TTATTATTATCATTTTCATCGCTGTATTCATTATCAATAATCATATCAGTATTATCTATACTTAAATTATTTAAAAACTGTTCCTGTAATTTAACCATTTCATCTAATTTATTTTTTGCCTCAGATGAATTACTAATAACTATATCTATTAATTTAGCTTCGTATGGAAATTCAAAATTATCTGATTCCCACAATTTATGATATGCTTGTGTATTAATATTAAACTTTTCACTAAATATTTTTATATTTTTTAATAAACAAGCAACACGAAATTGAAGATTATAAAACTTTATGTTATCCATCTTAACAATAGATTTATTATTATTAAATCTATAAAATTTATTACCTATTGCAGCAAATTAGTCTTCTATTTTTGAACGGAAGCTACCAAAAACATCATTATAATGCCTTTCTTCTGCTGTTAAATCTACATTCTTTTCTTTGCGTATAGGATAAACAAAATTATTTAAAGATAAATCATATCCTTTTTCCGCACCAAGTTCTATAAGCTGATTAACAAATAAAGTATAACCACCATCTGTTGCCAATACATCTTGTTTAGATATTTTTTTATATAATTTCATATTCAAAAACATACTTCCGTCAGAACTATCAGAACAATAATCGCTTTTGGAAGCATATAAAATCATATCATTAATATCGCTAACAATTTGTGTACAAACTCCATTTTTTTTAAATTTATATGACCATAATCTTTCATGTTTTATATCAGTATTAATATAGTTAATTCTTGAATCATGACCATCTATTATAAAAGTTATGTATCTAAAAAGTGGTGGATTATATTTATAAGAAGATAAAATTCTTGAAGTTAAAGAAGAAAACATATTCTCCATAGAATCATTAACAATTTTATTTAACCTTTTATAGCTATCTTCATTCATCCAAAACTCTTTATAGTATTTGTGAAATGATGTTTGTGGGATAAACTTATTAATTTCAATACCAGAAACACCAGAAACTAAATGATATAATAAAAATAAACCTTTTTCAACTTCAAAATAAGGGCCAGGATATTCACAGCTAGTATATAAAACAACCAAAAAGAAAAAAACAGCTATATGACCAAGTTTATCTACTAAAATCTTTTTAATATCATCAATACCTTTAATATGTTTTAATTCTGTACGATGCTTGTAATTATAATTAATAATTGGCCAGTTATATTCCAAAAATTCCCACTTATTAACAATAATTTTGTTAACTTCATTATTAATCTTTTCATCTATTTATTGGTTATCCATTGTAATATATTTTTATATTTAATTAAAATTCCATTTTTTTTATATTCAATTTTAAAAAATATAATAATTTTGTAAACATGAGGAATTTTTATAAACCTTGAATATTTTGTTAACCTTAGTTTAGATGAAAAACTTCAACTAGTAAACATCCTCCTTAGGTGTGGTAGCCCGGTAAAGTATCAATTTTTGGTTCACCATTCGACTTCTCTCATTTTACTACAGATTGATTATCGCAGCATGGCCCTTATTTTCATGCGGGTTTAAAAGTATTGCTCAATACTTAGTAGCGTAATATCTTACCGTTTGTATACTTTTAACACGAGGAAGGGCCAAGTTGCGATGATTTTCTTTAGTGAAATGATAAACAATCGTGAATATGTTTTTCGTTTCTTTACATTACACTAATCAGGATGGCGTATACAAATTAATAGTGATCGTACATGCCGATCAACATTAGTACACGTCAACAGTGACAGAAAAGTCAGCGGCAAGAAACCACTTGAAGAACAAACGTCGTCGATCAGACCAGACTTCCTCGTTATAAACGACGGTCTTGATTTCGCCGTTGGTGAATGCGGTAAAGATGATGTTGGTGGCATTTCTAAAAAGGAAATCATGGAGCGACAACTGCATGTCCCAAAGGTCATGAAGGACATTCTTCATCGAGCACTCACGAAGGGTAACCATGCAGAATCGCTTGCCCGTACGTTGAGAATAAGTGCTCTGAACGCAAACAGTAAGTTGTCAATTCTACAAATTTTCTTAATCATCCAGCCAGATCGTTAATACTTTCTAATTCAGGCACACGCGTCCAAGCCCAAGTGCTTGATTGTCCGAAAGGATACATCTGCCGTTTGATGTCTAGCAATGAATACCAACTCCCGCAAAAAGCAGACATGATTTCGGCACAGCTTTTCCCGTTGATGAAGCTGACATTACAAGTGAAAGTATGTTGTCTTATATGTACTTTGCAAGGTCAATTTAACATTGATATTATAGCCACTGACATACACAATTGTCTATAATAGGCAATCACCAAGAGCACTATCAAAGCATTCAAAAAACATCAACGTGCCTAGGCCAAAAATGCCAAACAATCAGTTTTTACACTTAATTCACCATCAGCTCTCGAAATACCGCCCGCATCCACCATTTCTACCCTGAAAATATCAAAAACGAACGACATCTAGCAATGTCATAAACAGCGCGTAATGCACGCACACACACACACACACACTCACGCACACAGCACGCAACGCACACACAACGCGAACAACGCACACGCACACACTCACGCACACAGCACGCAACGCACACGCAACGCACACAACGCGAACAACGCGCACAAAACACAACACGCACACACACACACACACACACACACGCACACACACACACACATACACACAACACACACACACACACACACACACACGCGCGCGCACAAAACACAACACGCACACACACACACACACACACACACACACACACACACGCGCGCGCACAAAACACAACACGCACACACACACACACACACACACACACACACACACACACACAACAACGCAAACAACAACAACACACACACACTCCACATCACACTTGTTCTCTTTACATGAGTAACTCTATTTTGTAACTTTTTATTTCTATACCTGTTGTAGTGAAACATGCTTAGTGGTATTCTATCTCTTTTTCTTTTTTGCACCACTACATACAGTAAAGCAACTGTTTATTTTTTACAAAGAAAAAATACGGGTCACCATATTTTTGTATCCTCGTTGTATATTACTATCCTTCAACCAACCGGTCTCGTGTTATCTTTTGTAATCTTTTTCTTTAAGAAAAGGATATTACCGATATAATTGAAATGACGGTATGCCTTTCTATAGAGAGGAAAGCACGGATTATGCTATATCATGTAAAATGCAGTGTAAAGTCCGAAAAGAAAAAGGTATTACTGTATGTAGTAGAATAGGATACGCACATAACAAGTCTAGAGAATTTAGTAATCCCAAGAAGTAATCCAGCGATGTGGAGACTCAGAGATACTTGCATCCTTCGTGTATAAACAATGGCAGAAACGAGGAACGTTGCGTGGTCTGTGCTCATATCATTATCGGTAACAAAAATTGAACAAGGGGGCCGCTTCTTATGCGGTGCATCTTCCAGCGGAAGATGCCGAAAGGACGATGAAAATCATAGCACACAACAGCTAATTCGGCTTCGCAAAAAAAAGCTCTTGTATCCGTACATTTAGCATTAGTAAAACAGCACTTTTAATATCATATTTTCCGTGTACATATGATTTTGTCTTCGTACACTTAGAAAAGCGTATGTCTATTATTATGTCGTGTTTTGTAGGCGAAATGATATTGGTGTGTATATTCCGGGATAATGATATAGTATGTAGTTTCAATAGCAACAACGCAAGAAAAAAAGATGAGTAGAGATAAGCTTACGCGTTGTTAGGCAACAGCTTCACCGGATTAGCCCATTGACAACACTAGTTTATTGTATATACTGTTTCATTGATTAGTCACCCAGCTGGGTTTGGTTGCTCTCTTTTGCTGGATGCATTGTTTTTAAATAGTCCTGCACATGTGAATATTTAGTGCTGACGAAATAGGCGCCACGTAAGAGAAGCTCCTATGTATTCTCTACATTACCCTCTTGTAACATGATGTCAAGAGAATGTAGACAGCTTATGAGGATGGAAGGAAAAGGTAATAGGTAATTGTTCGCTGAGTATGGAGGGATGATTGAAAATTATATATAATGGAAGAAGAAAGACAAACCCCATGGAACGATTGAAATGTATGTAAGAAAAACAAAACTTGTCATGCATGAAAGACGCCACCAAGACACGCCATGATAGTAATTTTGCACATAACTTACGGGCAGCAAAAGTAACATTGAGTGTTCATTGAGATTTTGAACGTGAACACAAACGTGATCTTTGGCATAGGGGGATTTTGTCATGCCTGTAAATGAACATTATGGCGCCTTGAGCTACCACTAACACCAAAGTAACTTTTTGATATGAAGGCTAGATGTCACAGCACTAGGCTATATGACATCTTATTTTTTTATTGATTGTTGATATGACGCTTAAGACCTTTACAGTCAACCCCCGTTTTTTGCAGCCATGGGATTTCGGGAGATTAGGCTGCAAAAAGCGAGAGGCTGCAAAATACGAACGCGTTACACAGGGCAAAATTTAAAGCCGTGAGCTGTCATTAATTATACACCAATGACAGGGTTACTGTAGTAACTGAGAAATATAGTACTGAGACCGACCCAGTTTGTTTATTCCTTTCTCTTCCCCGTTTTCTACTATCCTTAATGCCACCAAAGGCTGATTACATAAAGTTTACCGAAGATCAAACCAATGAGATACAGTAATAAGAATTCAATAGAACATCTTGATATTAAATATTTTATCTCAGATAGCTGATAAGAATATATAGATGGTCGGATAAAATAATCGGTGTATATGCTTAGTGGGAATTTGCAGGGCACCTTTTTTGACCTGCAAACTGCAAAAAGCAATTTTTATTAGTGAAAAATGGGATTTATCCAAAGTTTGCTGCAAAAACTGAAGGCCTACAAAAAGCGGTCGTGCAAAAAACGGGAAAGGCATCCCGGCAAATGCCAAATCGTCAACGGCGACCCCAGCACCAACTGCCGTCTCTATGGAGAGAGCATTGAACAGGTTGCCTGGTTTAACTATCTGGCATACCTTTCTGTTCTACCGGCATCGAAGTCTCCCGTCTCATCAACCACAACGCCACAAAAACCACTGATGCTATGCGCGTGCTCTGGTCCCTCGGTGCTCACCAATACAGCTTTGGCCTCGGCGTCACCCTTCGTTTGTATCGCTCATTCATCCGGCCCATTCTCGAATATGGGTTGGCCATCGTTACGCTTACCGCAACAAATCTCAGAAAATCGAACAAGCTCAAACACGCTGTATCCGGCTGGCGCTCAACATCACTGCCGTCAGTGCCCGAACACCCACAATATAGGATTTTGCGTTGGAGATGGGGAAAGAAGCCCGAGTTTTAAATCCCAGAGATCATAGTTTTTCATTTTGAAGACTATAGTTTTTCACTCTGGAAACCATAATTTTTTAATCCCAAAGACCATAGTTATTCAATCTGGAGTCCATGGTTATTCAATCTGAAGACTACAGTTTTTCACTCTGGAAACCATAGTTTTTTAATCCCCGAGATCAGAGTTTTTTAATCCCAAAGACCATAGTTTTCATTCCAAAGACCATGGTTATTCAATCTGAAGATCATGGTTTAATCTAACTGAAGATCATGGTAATCTAACTGAAGATCATGGTTTTTCAATTCAGAGGCAACTGATCGCCTTAAGGCTATAATGGAGTACCACGAGCAATCCACACAGTTTAATGATTTCTAAGACTTGTTTATACATAAGCCTTTATGCACCAAGTAATGGAGAAATCATTGAAACTTTGTGCGTTGGATAACATACATACTTATTTATGTTACACATGCGTAAGCGCCTTGAAGTGTATATGCACATATCTAAAAAATTACCAATATTAAAGAGCATGGAAAGTTCTCGTTTGGCGTTGTCACTATTATGGTGTTCTTCTGCATCAATTTCATCATCGATATTTAAGCAACTTCTGACCGGCGCTATGCAATGTAGGAGCGAGTGATCTAGGATAATGCTATACGCTATGCTATATATAACTGAACAATCGGCAAATAGTGATAGTAACTCTTTTGAGTAAACACTTTAAGGACGGATTTTTTAATAGACAACTTATAAGCATCGCTATGAGTGCTCTAGCAACGAAAACCAAAAGATTCAGATAAATTTCTCGCTGCACTATTCATCGCTCTATGCTTTATTAGTTGATTGTTGTAGTTACTAGCTAATATTAATTTTGCCATGCTTGTAAAACTACCATCTCCACATGTTTACCATAGACTCCAGTTGGAATAACTATGAAATCCAAATTGAAAGAAACTATGGACTCCAGATTGTCTAACCCGATCTTCAGTTAGAGTAACTGTGATCTTCAGATTGAAAATCTAAGGACTCCAGATTGAAAAACTATGAACTCCGGATTGAATAACCATGGAACTAACATGAATGATGAAAAAATTTCAAAAAAAAATCCAGATGAAAACATGTCCGAATGAAAACTATGAACTCCAGATGAAAACTATGAACTCTGGATTGAAAAACTATGGTCTTTGGGGTTAAAAAACTCTGATCTCGGGGATTAAAAAACCATGGTTTCCAGAGTGAAAAACTATAGTCTTCAAAATGAAAAACTATGATCTCTGGGATTTAAAACTCGGGCTTCTTCCCCCATCTCCAACGCAAAATCCTGTAGTACCTCTCCACCTTGCTGCCTTGCCGTCCACCAAGTTACGAGCGCGCATTCTGCAATTCAAGTTCCTCTATCGCGCGTACGAAATTCTACCGTCTACATTACTGGCGTGTATTGTCACGACTTTCCTGCGTCAACGTGGGCCACCCGAAATTTGGGCTGTGCTCAAGAGAAACAAGCTGTCAAATTTTGACAAAACAAGCCCCGTTTCCACGTCACCCTCAACAGCATGTGATCGACGCCCACCTAGACCAGGAACTGCATGACCGCCGCGAGAAATTCACCTCAGTGGCCCGTGCACTCTCGATACGCCAATGGGATCCCATTCTGTTCCTCCCACTGCATAGCGCCGCCCGGCATCGAATGGTAGGATGCACTGGTTGCCCTCCTGCCCCCTGAAGGACTGCCGCTGCGGTGTGCACCAAGCAAATCGACGCCACTTTTTGGACTGCCCGCTGGTTGGGCCCAGCATCCAGCGCCTGCAAGCAGCTTTTCCCGATTCTGTGCCTGCTGACCAACACCCGCTCGACACCATCATGAACACACTACCACGTAGCTCAAGAAGTCTACGACATGGACATTGGCGCACGACATGGCCGCTGCTCATCAACACGCTCAGGAATATCAACATCTGCAGCCATCCCGATGCGGAATTCGACCCTGAACCAGATCCACGACTGGCCCTTGACCAGTCTTTACCACCACCGCCAATAGCTAGTACTTTTACCAGTGATACCACCTCTCCTCCCTTGTTACTCTTTGTCCCTGACAAACCCTTTGTATGTATTTCTTTTCTTCTACTTTCTTTTGTATTATCCACGTTTCACATACCTTCGCCTCCTCTTCTGTTTTACAGTCGGGTTTTTCTCCCCCTGAGGGTTTTCCCGCTTGTCTCCATCGTCCTTTATGTTTATCCTATACTCCTCTTCCTGTCGAATCACAATGACTGGCATTGCCTGATGGATGTTGCCGCTAATGTCATTTTCACCAATAATAAAGATAAAAATAATGTTTGAACTGCAAAAAACGGGGGTTGACTGTATATGTGAAATGCTACATCTCGTACGGAAGAAACAACGTGTCATTCTAAACTTACGCAGTGCTGAAGTGCCTTTGAGATAGGCGTATAATGTAAGATGGAGATATGTAGCGAGAAATCGCATAGTAATAGCTCGTCAATGTCTGAGAAAACCACGTCTTGCTCATCTCGCGACAAGTATTAACTTTGATCTGCATGAAACACCTGTTTTTAAATCAATACAGTAATACTTTTGATAGCCAATAGAAGCGTGTTCCAACGCTACTAACGTCGACGACACGTTGAAGATCTCGTAGATGAATTTTTTCTGTGGCAATTAGCTCGAATATCGTCTATGGATGCTCGCGCTCTCCTGCTAAGACTGCTCTACATTCCCTTTTATCCATCGTGCTTGCCCAAGTCAGTAGTTCGGGGATGGTGTGTCGCGACGTTGGGACAGACATGGCACGGGCTCTGCCAACGAGCACATCGTTACTGCCAGGGATACCAACGTTACTGGTAGCTCTTCGTCGTCTGACCCGTGTCTGTTCGACTGGCGTCAGCTTTTCCTTCTTCATGATTAAACGTGTTTGGCACTGATATGCCACCCTGTGGTTCGTCTTCTTGAACATTGGTTGGATGTTAAATCACCGGACTAGTAACAGCAGCTGCTTCAGGCAACTGTATAGATGATACTCCTAACGTTGTATATACACATATTAGAAGAATTGTCGCTCCAATATGGTTGCAATGATGTTAAGCCAAATATCTTACATGGATTGATAATCTCAGCATAGGGCTTCGGAAAGTGGCCGGCATTACCACTATCCTCGCTTGATCCATACCACCAATCACTATCATCACTTTGGAGCGGCTGAGTCATATTAGTTTTATTTTGGCAAACGCTAGATCATCTTCTCGAATTTCTACAAACTCATACAATGCACGGACACGGAAAGCTAATTTTTTTAGGCCATCGGCGTCTGCTGTCGCTGCGCTTCAGGGAAAAAGTGGTTGCAGGATTGTACCTTCTGCAATAATTTCCACATAAGCCCTCGGGAAAAAGCCAACCTGCTTGGCTAACAGGTATGTCTTATACCACCAAATCGCTTTAGCTTTCCTTGTGCGGATGAGTCCATCATCTTCACCGAACAACAAATCATCACTACGAGCACCGCGAAACTCATACAATGATTTGAGCCTGTAAGCTTATTGTTTGCTTTGTTAGACTCAAAATTCTCTGCTCAATGCAAATTATCCATGCAGCATACGTACTGGTGTCAAAATCGACTTCGTCTTCAATGTCCACACCATATCCGCTGGTTCCTGCAGTTGTTGCGCAGTAACTTGAGGTTCGATTTGCATTGCTGCTTCTGCCTCTGCTTTAGCTTTTCCCTCTGTCTCTGCTGCCGCTGCCGCTATAACCTCTTCTTCGTGCTGTTTACGACGTTGCTCCAAAAATACTTTCTGCTTTCATCGCTCTCCCTCCTCTTTTTCCTTCTGTTCTCGCTCTTCTTGTTCTTGTTTGGCAGCCTCTTTTTGTTTTCCACGGTACTCTTCAGCTTAGAGCCATTCACGACGACGTTCTTCAGCCTCAGCCCTAGCGGCTTCTCGTTAAAAAAAACCTTCATTCGATCTCTTCTTGACGAAGCCGTATTTCCCTAGCCGCACGTTCTGCTTCCTGCCTTGTCCTTTGTAAAGGTGCTTTTCAACTGCCTTTTCTTCCGCTTCTCGCTTGAGCGCTAATTCGCGTTCGCGCCTTTCATGTTCCTCGATTTTCTTTCTTCGACGTTCCAAGACCTCTGCCTCTTCTTTCCTCCGTTTTTGCGCCCGCACCTCTTGTTCTTTTCGCATCTGCTCTTCCTCCGACTGACGTTCTTTCTCTTGCTCACAGTGTCTGGCTTCTCGTGCAGCGGCTTCCTGTTTTTGTTTTTCTTGAATCCACCTCTCAAATTTTCGCACGATCGTTGCTGATTATATTTGTTGACAAACAAGAGTCATCGTTGCTCTATCACTTGAAGGGAAGGTACTACATTTTTCACATTTTCAAACCATTGTAAGTGTTTTATGAGGGGGTAGTATAAATTTGGATGTCAAAATCTTTAAACTTACTGCTCATAATCGCACTCCATTCGGTATTGAAACATGATGTCTTCCAGGTAGACTTTGGTACCGTCTTCCTTAGTTTGCAACAACCACTTCTTGTCTTCTTCCATGCTTTGAGAATCTTTGATGAAGCGGTCTTTTGCTTCGGCTGTCAATTCCCACGAGCCACTTTTCGATGTCTCTGTTGATGTGGTGGGTCTGCTTCTTTTTGATTTGCACTGTTCTTTCTTGATGCTTTCAACTTGTGCTTTGATGTCGTCCCAGTCGATATTTTTCTATTTCAAATAAATCAGTAAGAGGTTGCATTTGATAAGTTTCGTGTCACTCACATCTACTATGTTGTCGACGTTCAACTGCTTCGCTACTGTTTGGTATCTCTTAGTCCAAACACGCTTGACATCCGTACGCGAATCGGTGGTTGCAGCCGCTTCGCTGATGCATGTGTCTAGAAAATCTCGCAAAGAGGGTTCTTTTTCCGACGCCATGTATGTTTTGACATATGTTTCGATCGCTAAGTGTAAAGTGTACAATTAGTAGATACTTTATTGAAACACTGTTTCAACATACTTTGCTGCGCGTTGGGTCGGCCATCAGTGCTTGTAGATGTTGCTGTGGGAACAATGGTTGTTTTGACAACGGAGGTATCCTTAAAATGAGGTTTGCGAGATATTGGGCCTCGTCAAAGTTGGTTGGAATTTACAGGTGTCGCTGATAAAAAAATAAATGGTCCAGGAAAAATGTAAGAACTGACTCTTTGCGATTTTTGGCTTGATTACGTTGATGTGTTTTAAATCCTTTTGACCGCGTTCTTGGTAATTGCCTAATGAGACAACTGTGTATGTTAGTAGTTATAATAGCAATGTTGAATTTACCAAGCAAAGTACATATATTGAACAACATACCTTGACTTGTAGTGCTAACTTCAAGGGAAAAGCTGTGCCAAAACCATATCTGTTTTTTGCTTGAATTGGTACTGAATACTTGAAGATGTATACTTTCGGACAATCAAGAACTTGGGCTTGGACGCGTGTGCCTGAATTACAAAGTATTGATAATCTGGATGATTTAGACAATTTGTAGAATTGACAACTCACTATTTTGGTTCAAAGCAGTTATCTTCAAGGTGCGTGCGAGCGATTCTTCATTTTTCCCTTTCGTCAAGGCTCGATGAAAGATGTCTTTGATGACCTTTGGGACATGCAGTTGTCGCTCCAGAGTTTTCTTCTTACTGATGCCACCGTCGTTTATAAGAGAAAATCCGGTCTGACCGATCAACTTTGTTCTTCAAGTGGTTTTATGCCGCTGACTTTTCTGTCACTGTTGACCCGTACCAACGTTGATTGGTAAGTACGATCGCTATTAATTTGTATAAGTCATTATGGTTAGTGTTGAAATACATGTTCATAATTTTAATCAATTTTAATAAAGAATAAATCATGCCTACCTCACCCAAGCCTTGAGAACAACGGTCAAGGTTGTCCCAGCAATGCACAACCAGTCTTGTTCGGAACCGTTAGCGATCATTTCAATGGTAGTTCCGTGTCGATACAGATCCAGAAAGTCAAGAGGAAATATGTTGGATTTAAATATTATTCTTGTGGTTGAACGTCAGGGTCAAAGAAGCCAAAAGCAGTGATTGCCTTCCAAATGCATTTGACATATTCGTCGTCTCTTGTTACTTCCTCCTCCTCTAGTGGTTCTAGTGCCTTTTCGCATTGTTCAAAGACTTCTTGAACAAAATGGTCCAAAGAAGGGAAAAATATCCCCTCCTGGTCTGTGCGCAGCAAGTTGAGCTCTGCCAACATCTGCTTTGTTCATGACGGCAGCGAAAAACGGGTTAGCGTGTACGTCAAAGGTGTCGATAAGCGATGTCTGGATGTCAGCTGACAAAAATGAGGTGTTTCTGGACGTTGTGGAAAGGTCGACGACGGCCCAGCAGGCAGTTGTGCGGATTGCTGTGGGATGGAAAACGTAGTGTCGCCTGTGAAATGGCCGTAGCGGTCCGTTCATCCTTGGCGTTGTAATGATGAAAACGGGCTTGTGGCGTTATTGACATCGTTCTCATTTATCAAGGCAACGGCCTCTGAAACAAAAAAAAAGTAGTGCTGTTGCTGCTGTTGTTGCTGTGTGCTGAAATGACCGTTAACAAAAGCAGGTTGTGGAGGTGGAAGAGGTGGAAGCATATCGTCGTGCGACACGGGGTCGAGTTTCGGGTGGTTCCGCGGGCGTTGGCAGGGTTGTGTTGTAGTTTTAGTGGCCGCTGTCTTCGTTATTGGGTCAACTGGAGAAACACGCGTACCAATCGCAGAAACCAGTCTTGGTTGTAGGGGAAACGCCAGGTGGATACTCGCATAGTTTTGACCGTTACTATCATTATCGCAAGCCAAATATCCGTCGCAGCCAAATATCCGTCGCAGCCAAATATCCGTTGCAGCCAAATATCCGTTGCAGCCAAATATCCGTTGCAGCCGGTTTTGCTCTTTTTGTAGATTAGGCAAGCATTCGTGCCTTTTGGATTTCAATTTCTTCGCTCGACAAATCGCTCAGGATGCTTCGAGTCAATCTGCGTACGATGGCGAACGAAGAGAACTTTAGTGGTGGTGGCGATTCCACATTTATGACGTTCAAATCAAAAGTCGCTGTAACGGTACTGGGCAGGAGATGGAAACAGGAGCAGTTGGATTGATAGAACAGGGCTGCATTATTTTAAAAGAATGTACAAAATGACCAACAGTGGTCAGTGAGTGTTGTGCTCAACGAGAAAAGAGGGAGGTGTTACTGTGTGCGTGTGTGTGTGTGTACGTAAGCGTATGAGTTTTAATAATACAAGCATGTGTCCAGCCAAGTTTTTCCATTTCAATCGTAATATCCTCGCGTTTGACAGTGCTTTCGCTTTCAAACACCTTGTCCACCTTCTACGTATTGCCAGTCGTATCTTTTGACTTATCCAGCAAGTCGCAGAATGATAGAATGCCGCCACAGACGCCAAAGTAGATCGCCTGGGCAGCAACATAGCTGTAATGAATCCACTATTAGCTTTAAAAGTCTTTGGTCTAATATTGGAAGGTAAGTGCATTAAGACTTTCATAACCCGTAACACATGCCAAGGATACAAAGGTTGCTTTGAGCCTGGTCCTAACAGGTGAATAGAGGATTCAGATGCACCTTGTTTGGCATGGATCTTATCTACCAAGCAACATATCGACCTGTGCCCATATCTGTGTTTTTCATTCCCCAAGATCACCACGACTTCTGTCGTCTGCCCAAGTGCTACGCTGCTTTGACCACCATGCGGGTAAGAATCTTTTTAACTCTTTCATGCGCCAGTTCAAGTGACACGTTTGAATTAATGCTAACACTCTACGCAGTCCTTGGTTTTGCCAAACGCTGATCGCTGCTTTGTATTACTTCTATTGTCAGCTCACTCCATCGCGTCCATCATGTCATTAAAGTGGCTAAAACCGCTGCAGAAAGACGCCAAGCTGGAAAGTAGCCCACCTGCTGCGGTCAGCATCAATATTACTGTCTCGAAGGTGATATGCATGTGCCCTTTTGGTATCGCTTCGAATGGATCTAGAGGAAGCTGTCAAAAGTCTCACATTCTTCTTGACATTTTCAAATATTTTAAACATTCTTCCATTCCCCTTTGCTCTCTCTCAGCGCCTTATCAGACATGAACTTTCTCACGAACTGTGTATTTATTGACGAGTCTGCTTTCGATATTAATATGAAACGGTCAAGAGCATGGTCCACAAAAAATACTAATGCTATTGTTACTTGGTGGCCTACTACCAGAGCAAACACAGCGTCTAGTTTGGACGCCATCTCTGCCGCAGGTTTGGTTACACTCGGTGTAAAGAAACCAAGACCTACCAAGAAGAGAAAGGCTGAAGGATGTATAAGTCCAGGAACTGTACATACCGGTTCACTAATCAGTTTCTTTGAACTGACTCTCGTGGATTAAATGTACATAAAAAAGGTCTCTATGTAATCATGGATAATGTACCCATTCACAACGCATGATAATATATAGAAGTACTGTAAATATTTAGGATCGAAGAAATAGATGTGTGTATCTTCCTACTTACTCTCTTGAGCTTAACCCAATAGAGCAATTCTGGGCAGTGGCTAATAGTAAGGTTAAGCGCAATAGATTTTTGCAGGAAGATACTCTGTCAAAAAGAATTATGGAAGCCTGCAACAGCATAGGAGGTCTGTATCGCATCTGGAAACAAAGAGCCCACGTGATGGTCACTGACAGAGTGCAATGATAAGATTGAATGAGGTACTTCTAGTGATTTGCGACGACTGCGTAAACTTGTCAAGAAAACCAGAATGCCTGCCAATCTGGACACACCAAAAACAAATGTCCAGAATGCCTGCCTGTCTAGACATGGAAGGTATTGTCATAATTATATTTTTTTCTTTCACAACATGGCTCTCACAATGAAAGAACTTAATTCTTACCTGTTTCCATGCACAGGTGAGAACTGTATTTCTGTCTCAATGATGAAAAGGCAATCCTCAATCGTACATATTGAAGACTATTACTAACAACTAGAGTATGTTGTGAGTTTCAAGAGATACAAAGGTAAGATGAAATATTAAATGGGGTAAATTGCATAATTTCAATACTTCTAGACGATGTACATATGTGCTGATGGTGTCATTTTAAACGATGGTGACCATCGGGATGAAAGTAGGGTTGCACTAGGTAAACGTCGGCACAAAATGATGGTTGAATATCAGTGTAATATCAGTTGAATATTAGGTGAGTATCAGCTAATATTCAACTGATATTCAACCATTTTTAAACGTTTAGTACACACACTGTTTTTGCCAGTGCATAGTCCAAGCCGTTTCCATAAGAATTCTGATATACTTGCATTGTTCTGCACCACCGGTTCCTCTTGGCCGTCCACCATTGACCTTCTTGCACCAATACATATTTCCAACCTCCACTAACGTGGTGCTACCTCTGACCTCAAAACTGCCAGCTAGGTGGCTGCTTTCTTTTAGGTTTGGCTGGCCTTTTGTGTCCCTTGGACTGAAGTCAAATGATTGTCCTTCACCAGTGCAAGATCGACACTAATACCTGCGGGACTCTGGTTATCTTTAAGCCGAATAAACGTCGCCACAACCACACCATCATTAAACGCGTTCACATCAATCCACTTGCTACCAAGGAAGAACTGTGCCTTATTTAAGCCTTTTGTATTTTACATGATCACCTGCTTTGCTCAGGACCTTCGTCCATCAGATAACCTGTTTGTCAATAGCACAAGACCTCATATTACTGTTCGAACACAAACGATATCAAACTACTGTAGTTGCACTCTCTGGTTCGCCCGACTCCTTCGGTTCGCTCTCTTGGATCGGATCTTCTTTGCAATTGGTCTTCGCCTTCTGTTCTCGATACTCATTACCAGCGCCAACGTTTACTGCATACTGATGTTACAAGTTTCATTTTGGCCATTCCAAGCTCAATCGTCTAAAGTTCTCTCTAAATCAGCATATATACTTCTATGTCAGTTTCGATGGTCTCCTCAAATTGAGGGGAGATTCATCGACCGTCAATTCCTTCATTAGACCGTCGATTCCGACATAGAAGTATATATGCTCCCACCCACACAAGTCCCATTTAGCTAGTCGCTTTGGAAATCAACCATATAGATAACTGTTCTTTTTTTTTCTTTCTCAGTCATTTGCCCAATAAGAAGATCACAGCATATATATACTTTTATGTCTCCACCTATGGTGGTCTAATGAAGGAATTACTGATTATTTACTGGGAAATGAGCTTTGCACCGGAGAATCCTATTGTTATACCGAATAATCATTATATCGAATATCGTTATACATAGCGAGCAGGCACTGAGAATATATTTAAGCGAACGGAAATGTAGTTTAACGGACCAGTAAAATGTTTATGCGATCCAAACCCACTTTTTTTCAATTGGTTACTAACTCAGGTTCACATTTGTTTTGCCTACCACTGTATATTTTACCCAACTTCTCCATCATGCCTCGTCCTAAAGCTTAAAAGAAAGCTGTTAAAAGCGCATTCGCACGGAAATTGGTACTTCGTCACTACTGTGCAGCAAATTACAGCTAGTAACCATCAAAATGAGGGCGCTTTTGACTTGCTGAAGTGGAAGAAAAACGGAGATTCCCACTTACGCGGAACATACAATGAGCTCGTCCCTTCACGCACCCAAAATGGAGAACTAAAACAACCGAGGCCAAAAAGAAGGAAGAGGCAGTGAATGCACACATGTCTATCAATTCGCTCTTTCTGATTGTCGAACAGCAGCAAGCTATGATAGCAATGACGCTCCAAGCCGCATCGACAGAGCACAAGGAGACGATGATGACGACGACGACGACAGGTACAGCATCGCTCATCATGAGGTTATTTTGCTCTGTTTGATTGAGGCACTTGATGAGGCGACCCTGGGTCTAAAGTCAGTAACGAAAGAGGATGACAAGGACTAACATTAAGCGTCATTTTGCCGTGAAAATGTATATCAAAAACGTCTTGAAATACAAAATATCATTAGGTCAGGCATCCAAAGAAGCAGCAAGCGTTTTTCTTCCAGAAACCAACGTCCAAGAACACTAATACCGCAGCCGCACCATTCCCAAGTGGAGCAGACGAATTTTACTCGGCAGGCACCATTCCAATGTCTCAGCAAGGGAAGCACGAAAAAAATATGTCCCAACTTAATCATAAAGACGTAAAGGACCAATGCATTGAATGGTTTAAACGTGAAGAACCGACGCAAAGGGATCAACATCTTTTTAAAAAGCATATTCTTGAGGATGCTATTCTACCAACCGTATTAGGAACAGCCGTCGTGTCTGTTTCCTTACAAACTTTGCGCATGTTTATGGATATATGGGGCTTTAAGTATCGCAAAAACACGAAAGGCACCTATTTCGAGGGACATGAGATACCAGATGTAGTTCAGTATCGACAGGAATGGGCAACACGGATGATGAGACGTAAACAGCACTTGGACGACTCTGAAGGCGAAGACATGGAGATCATCATCGAGCCAACATTGCAACATGGAGACAAGAAAAAATGGATCATGGTCACTCATGAAGAATCCACATTCTATGCAAACGATGGAAACGAGAAAGGTTAGTTTTCCGAAGGCGAAGCACAAAGTAGAGGGAAAGGGACCTGGATTGTCTATTATTATCAGCGAATTCCAGTGTAGTCCCTGCCATGGTACGATGCGAGTTGACGGAAGGGAGTCGCGCACGCTCTTTATTTCCGGTGCAAATCGAGAAGGATTGTGGTGTGCGGACAACCTTATTGTGCAGTTTAAGGAAGTTACGAGATTATAAAAGAACTGCATCCGTAGTGCATGGGATTGTTTTTATTTGACCAGTCTTCCAACCATACCGCTTTTGGCCCTGGTGCTCTTGTTGCAACGCGAATGATCAAAGGAAGAAAAGTTTACATCAAAACAAAGACAAATACCACTTCAAAGACACTCAATATTACCACCATCAAAAGAAGCACATCGTCAAACAGACGTTTTATGTTACGAAAAGCAAAAGGCCGAAAAGCGGCATTGTGAAGCAATGCGCATACATTATCTTACATAATCCTTCGGCATCCACACTTATAGCACTATTTTACGCTAGCATAACTTTACCTTTACGAGGATTTGTTTTCAGTCATTGCATCACATTTACATCGTTTAGTAACTTTCCTCCACAGTGTATTTCAAGGAAGTGACTACATGCCCAAAAAAGCCGGTCCATCTAGTCTTCCATACAAAAACCATGAATCTAACATTTATGATGAGGAGTGCTGGATGTTGTAGTCAGATTCTTATGACAAATCATATTACTATTTTAATACCAAAAGGTTCATATTGCCCTTCCGTAAAATAAATTTGCAGCGTCTTTAACGTAGAGATGATAATCATGGTCACCACCGGAGAGATGGGTTGTCATGGTAAACAGTGCAGCGTATGGGTACCTGCATTCGAGATTTCTTTTTGTTTGAGAAGTAACTAGGTATATTACTTTTAGCTTCATGCCTATTTGCCCCACTTTGACCAAACAGCAAAGTTGTTGTATGACAATGCACATCAGTTGTGTATGAAACTTTTTAGTATATCGAGTATATGGACTTTTTTAATTCATTTCTCTTATGTGTGAATCCTCAATCTCTCTCCTCCATCAATATATTTTAAGTAGTCTACAATTACAAGTGTGTAGTACTCGGTTCCAATGATGTATAATTTCGATTTCTAAGCCGTGATAAAAAAGGAAATGGGACATTCGATCTCTAAGCAGAGCGACATTTGATTTTGCTGCCATGCGACATTAATTTCTTTTGAAAAGTGCGCCATTACTATTAAAAACCCGTGTACGTCATATAGCGACAACCAAGTGCCCGGTAATGATTTACGTTTGGGCAGGATAGTGTATGCCAGATGTAAATACCAACAAAAAAAAAAGGCGAGGGGGAAAACACAGGTACACTCACACCATGTGTAGTCGTAACAATGACAAAAGCGATGCGGTCGGCTTCCCACTTCCGTTACCCGCCCTTTTCTTTTTTTGCCAACAACAACAATCATATTATGTACGGTTACTGGTACAATATGTGTAACTTGAAAACCTCTGCGTGTTACCCACCTGACGCTTACCAATCCAGTCTATTATATGCGGTTTTGTAATAATAACATGAAAAAAAAAGGGTTGTGTGTTTATTGTTGTTTATAATCATTAAAGGGGGGGTGAAAGCGAGTCGCTCTATCTACTCAGCAATTACGTTGAAACTCACACGATGCAAGTGCGTGTCATTCAGAGTTTCTAGCCAGAGAGAATAAGAGAGGGACTATAGGGTCATAAGAAAGTGCTAGTGCAGAGAGGATAAATAGCTGAAGGGTAAGGGAGGGGGAGAGGTAACAAGTAAGGAGTTGGAGGGTCAAACACAACGATAATAATAAAAAGAAGTTTGAAAAAAAAAATCTAAAGAATGAAAACAAGGCAAAGCGGGTGTGTTTTTTTCATTTTCCAAGTCATTATCCAATTTTTTTTGTTTGATTCTTTTGGGAGATTCTTTTGAATTGAAGAATCCCTTCTTTTTCCGGATTTTTTTTTAATATCTTCTTTCTGGTTATATAAGAAAAGGCGTTTCTCGTTCGTTGATGGTGTTGTTGTTGTTGTTGATGCTGCTAATTGGGAAAGATGGTCCTTTAGTTAAAAGGGTGGTAACTGGTGTTCTTGTTGCTGGGCAGCAGCAGCGGTTTCCATGTCAACACCCATCTCACAGGCACGTTGCTTGAGGTAAGTGTACATCTTGTATTGCAGATCGACCAAGGGTGAGTCGTTTCTGTCGACGTTCATGGTGTTGAATTCGGACAGATAGGACTGGACGCCGACAATCAGGTGGAGCAGTGAGTCTTCCTCATAGTCGTAACCACCGTTGTTGATGTTGTTGCTGATGTTGTTGGCGTTGTCTTGGTCTTCTTCTTCTTGTTGTTGCATTTCTTGTTCGTAGTGCTCGTATTGTTGTTGTTCTTGTTGTTCTTGTTCTTGGTCATCATTGAGGTGATAGTTCTCGGGAGCATGAAAGTTGTCGTATTCCATGTCCATCATCATCGTATCTTCATCTACGTCTTGTTGCTCGTAATAGGCAGCGGCATCATAATAGTCGGCCGTCAATGCAGCACTGGCGACGGCACGATCGTACTCGGCAAAGTAGGCTTCCTCTTGTTGTTGGGCAAAGGTAAGTTGTTGTTGCTCGTAATGATGATCCATTTTTTTTTCTTTCGTTTTAAGTTGTAAGATGGGGTTTTTCTTTTGGTGGAGTGATAGAGAGAGATAGTTAAGAGAGAGCCAAGAACAAAGAGATATCGAAACAAACAAGTACAAGCAGCAGCCGAAGAAGAAAAAGAAGAAGAAAACAACAAGAAGAGTCTTTTTTTTCTGTGTGTGTGTGTGTGTGTGTGTGTGTGGAGAGGAGGAAAGAAAGGAAGGGAAAGAATGACCGTGCTGGGGGAGAGGGAAAGCTTTTATTATTAAATGAGGAAAAAGGAAAGTGGGTGTAGTGACCGGGGCCCTGACTTTGTCAGTTATTTTGTTAGCTTTGGATGATCCTTTTTATACACACGCCAGCGGCTTCGCTTCTTTTTGCTCGCAACGTTGCACAAACCACGTTGCGAGATGTGAAGGTGTATCGTTCATACGCGCTGTGTTATGTCCGTTACCGTTTATAGGCACCTGCTGCCATCATTACGAATGCACACAACTCTCTCCCCCCCCTTCCCTTTCTTTTGCGCCCCCATCACCCCTTGCAGCAGCAGCCCACAACGCACATTGGTGGTGGTGATGTTGATCAACGTGGCCCCAACGCTCTCTTTGTACACCCACCCGAGCACCTGCCTTTTGTACTTCTTTGCGGCCACTTTGTATCATCCTTATTAAGGCACTTGATCATCACCGTCATCACCAGCAACGAAGACTTCCGCATACAAAAAGTAGTAGTAGTAGTAATAGTAATAGTGGTAGGAGGCGCCGCCACGACTACTAATATACTCTTCTGGCAGACAACGTGTTTAATAACGAACATCTGCCAAATAGAAAATGCCGTCAGACTAAAAAATTTTGGCTCGGTGGCCATATCCGTAGTGAGGAATTTTCGTCTACCGGTCACAACAAATATTGTAAAGAAAGGAAAAAATAGGTAGAAGCAAGTGCAAAGTGTATATTTATGATATGTTTGTTTACGCGAGAAAAGTATTGAAAACTATTACAAATATATGGGGAAAAATAAAGTTGTGGTTGAGTAACTAGTTCAATTTCTTTCTTTTTCGTGTATTATCATTATTTGCACTACATGATGGGTGAGATCTGTTTTGACTGCCAGGGCAATTTTGTGGATCAGTGCAGCCTTCATTTTGACAAGTCCGGGAATATTTTTGCTGTTTCTTTGGTGGTAGGCTTTTGAGGAAATCAGCACGGCTTATGCTTGATGGTGATGATGATGGAGCTCTAGGTTGCATTTGCCGTATATAATGCTGTTGGTGTTGCGGCTGGATTGCTTGTTGCTGAGGTGTAGGACTATAGTGCATATGCTGCTGCACTTGGAATGATGGATATAATTGCGGCGGAGGCAGTTGCGGTTGTAGTGTAAATGTAGTAGGCGGTGGCGGTAATGCTGACATGGGTGGACGTGCAAAGGAATACAAATCAGATTGGCTGTAAACTTGTTGTTGCTGTTGCATTGGCCGTGGAGCAAGCGGTTGGTAGACAGAAGATCTAGATTGCAGTCGTCTGGATGTACTACGTTGTATTGAGGATGGCAGTGTCGGTGCTGGCGGATTCGATCGAGGCTCCAAGACTTCAGCAGTACGGTCAGAGTTATCACGTATTTGGGATCGTGGGCGAGCTGTACCTTCCAAGCTATTCCTTATCACCGCGTTCTGACTCCATTTGTTGAAATGTGTGCGCAGATACTGTGGGTACTTATAAAAAATATTGCGCCCGTCAGTATGTGTCGAGTTCCATGACTTGGCAAAAACGGTCCACCTCGTTGAGTTCGGTTGCTGACTGTTGTAGAATTGAGATATCTGTCGGTTGAACAAAGCTACCTCTTCTTTTGTATGTACAGGTAGTATTGGATACCGGGTGCCTTGACGAGATGCTAAATATGCTGCTCTCACAGCTGCATTATCTCGTTTGTTGGCCTGTTCAATTGATGGTCTGTAACGCTGCATGCCATATGTATCCAAGCTTTCGTCGCTCGTCTTGCAAATGTCAAACTTTTCTTCAGTCGAGGCCAACAGATCCGTGTTCTGCCAATCAAGCCAATGTTTTGGTAGCTGCAATTCGCGTCGCAAGTATGCAAGCTGGATTTTGTTATTCATCCATATATCGTAATGTCCCTTGTATTGTTTGCCTGTGCGATTCAGCGTACCAACCTGCCACATAAGAAAATGTTCGAGTTGTTCAGTAAATTGGTCACTTTTTTCAGGCTATGAGATACACTTACATGTAAATTATGTTGTGTTCGATATTCGACAAGCAAATTAACCGCAAATCTCGGACTCGCATTGAAAGCTCCAAAATGCCTCTTTAAATTCTGGTGCACACCGCCCTCAAGAGAGTTTGTTCCCCTTAGACATTGATATACTGCCAAACCATTTTCATCCCGTCGTCGAAACAAGTACAATGATGTCCCAGGTGGATCGCTCAAATATCCTTTGCCAATAAGCTGTAGCAAATTTCGTGCGTCTTTCCAGGCCTGTTTGTCAAATAAGGGTCGACCACTTGAGGCGCATTTCAGAGGTCCAAACGTCATGAATAAATCGTACACATCTTGTACAATTTTTGATGGTGGTGGGACAACGCGGCGTATTCGCTCGTTAATCCAAGATTTGCGACGCCAACGAACTAAAATAACATGGTTTTGATATTTCAAATTAAGCTTGTTGTCGCCCACAATGAAAGAGAATCATATAGATATATACCCAATTCAAATCTCTCTCCTTTTTCATGCAGAACCCGGGTGACAGCTGCAACATCTCCAGAATCCATCCACAAAATTGCGTCGGTTAATTTACGTTGGAATTCTATGCGTAACCCATGTTTCTTTGGTATTGAGATTCTCTTGAGCGCATGCCAAGCATCTTGGACGATTCTGGTGTGGATGGCGTTATCTTGTTCCAAGCGTTGTGGTCGATACTTTTGTAAAATAGGATCGAGGAGGTGACTGCCATAAATCTTGGAGCTCTCGTCGATAGCTAAAGTGTTTGGCGTTGGTACCGGCATATCATCGTCACTGTCGTCTTCCGAGTCGGTTTCATTAATATCCCATGCTTGCACGTCATTGTCGCTGCTATGATCAGTTTGACCAGCTTGCGATTCCGGATGATCCACGCTCTGCGATATGTTTAGTGTTTCCTCGTTGTGCACGGTGGCGACAGGCTTAATAAGTTGATAACAAGGACGGAGTGACAACAAACGCACTAATATACAAAACGGAGCAGCACCAAATGACGAAAGTGGCTGCCTATCACATAATTGCAACTTTGCCGCAGGGACCAAGACAGTAGTAACTTCAACCAGTGCACGATTTTCCGTTATCGTCCGCTTATTAAAGATTCTGGAAAAAAGTCAGGGTTAGCTTAATATTAGTAATATGATTTGACTTATTGTGTTATTCCTACTATGAATTGGTGCAAGCAAGGAGTAAGTAAGGGAGAGAATATGTACATACCCACTTTGTCTAGCATCGCTGATTTTCCCGCGCGCCACCTCCACAGTACCATCGTCGCTTAGTACTGTTACATGTACACCAGCTCGTCGATTTATGATGTCGTTTCTAGGCGATGTCACTTGGAGATAAATTTGCCGACTACTCCAGGCATCCAAAGCTGCATAGTGTACTTGCTCGTCAGTAAGTCGACCTTCCCAATTGCCTTGTTGTAAATCCTTGGATAGACGATGTTGTAGAATTGTTGCGCACATATCTGCCAGACTTGTTCCAGTAATTGGTTTGCATTTGTACTCGTTGCATATTGTCAACAGGTCCACGACATTGGATGCTTGAAGGTTATTGAATTGTTGAGGAAAAGATTGTGAAAGCCGAGTGATATCATTTGCGATGTTACGCCCAACCTTGATGATATCTTTGCGATTAAGCAGCGTCCAGATAGCATGTGGCAATGATGATAACTTCTCCAGCTTTAATATTGATACTCGGTCGTCATATGCAACTTGTATTATTGATACTGGATGCCACGTTGGATCATTTTCATGAAATGTCCACTCTGCGTCAAGACCAACGACGATCGGTTGCTGTTCAGTGCCATTTTGTTCGAGTAGTGGTGTCAAAGCAGCTTCGATTTGCAAAGGTGAGCTGTGAATTGTTACTGAAATTGTTGGTGGTAGCTGTAGCTGCGGCAGATGATAATATGGATCAGCGACTATACGTGGATGAACTTCAGTACGAAGAGATTCGATTTGTGTTTCAAAAAACTGTTTATCGGCCTCGACTTTGTCAGTAAAAAGGATTTCTGGGTGACGATGACCATGGGCAGTAAGACTTTGTAGCATGGCTAATCGCAAAAATTAGTTTCGGTTACTGTAATGCAATCAGAGGAAATTGTAAGAAAGAAAGTATAGTATACCTTGTATTCCTTGTTCTATGTGATCCATGGATGTAGTAGGCACAAAAGCTTGATACCGAATCTCTCCGTATTCGTTTGTCATTGATACCAACCCTTCAAAAATTTTGCACGAATCCATTTTGCAAAGATGCTTTGTCACCTATTATCAAAAACAAACAAAGCACTTGTCAGAATATATACACAAAAGCAAATAAATTAAACTCACCTTATGGCTGTGGTCAATGTTGATTATGGTGGCTGGTAGAGAACTCATGTGGTTGTAGTGGTCGTTTATATGCATTTCAACAAATTCATTGTACATTTTTGTGAGATACTTAGGACCAGGTGTCGAACCACCATATCCATCTCGATCATCGAATGATGGGAAATTCTTGAACTGCCTTGATGCCGAGTGCACTGGTTTATAAAACGAATTGATTGCCGACTGTCTAGTGGGTGATGGATTTTGCTGTTCGTTAGAATGTTCTTGCTGCTGTGGTCTTCCTTCCGCATACTGCCATTCAATTTTGTCGTGTCGCAGGTGGTGTCTAGTGCTCAATGCTTTTGCAAATGGACCGGGCCCCATTCCGTTACCAAAGCACAGCCGCATATTTGTCATCAACTCCTTGGATACACCACTTTTATGTGAAAGTGTGGCCGGGTATTCGAGCGCAAGTTGTATGGGTAGCGATTTTTCTATCAAGTTCTCGTCTGTGCCCATAATTGTGTTGACGTCGCATCCGTCGTTTTTGCATTGATATCGATAGGATAGGATGTAAAAAAAGTCGTCGTCGTCTGCGATGCGTCTGGCAAGTGGGTTTGATGGAAATCCAAGCTCTGTGAGTTTTTGCTTGCACTTGGGACACTTGAGCTCTTCTACCAAAAGGTGGACAAGCCAAACGAACACACGTGGCAAATATAAGTCGGTTGGTTCAAAGTATTTCTTCTTGTACATAGCGAAAAAGGGCGCTGGTGGCAAAACCCAAAAGGTCTTGTTTTCGTAGCAAGCTGGCATTCCTTTGCTTCTTCTTTCTCTGTCAATTTTGTTGCGGACACTTGTCAGGTACGGCTCAAATACTTTAGGCGTTGCCAAGGTTTCCTCATCGCGTCCCACCATCGGTGTCATTAAATCGTTAAACTGATGAAAAATAAATGAGCAAAATTGAGAGAATGTCCCTCAATAAGTGAGAGTCGAGCAGTGGAAACATACTTCACTGTGTGTAGATATGTCAAACGTAAAAAAGTACTTTTTGACAGTGTCGTGTCAAAGTGGTTGTAGCAGCAGTAACCCGAGTATTCACCCTGCACTAGGGTTCCCAGCAGCTATATATATACTGCGGAACGCACTCAAGCTTTTGTGTAACGCTGGCTGTTATTCTTTATTCCTGATTGGACAGACTTTATTCCACCTTTGTTATTGGCGTAAATAACAATGCCGCACTTTATTTTTTACAAGCAATTGGTCAGTTTTTCTATACCGCACTTTATTCTGTAAATTTAACTGGCTAGGTCACTACGGGTACCGCCCGACTGCCAAAATTTTGGCATGTTGCTATATATTTTTTCACGACATTTTGCGGAACCATAAAGCTGCCTCCAATACATACTTCGGAGATCGTCTCCACTAATGACTATCCACCAGCACCTACCAGAGTAAAAATATATTAAACATTCTTTCTCTTTCAAAAGGAGTATGTGGGGGGGGAGGAAGGATACTGCAGCATGCACGCATGCGCCCAAAGACACAAGGAGAAACAAGAAAAAGAGGCTGTTAAGGTTTATGACACTATGACAATGTGAAAAGAGCCTCTTTTTTTTTTTAAAATGTACATACATACACTGCGGTTGGAATCTTCCCCCCCCTTTTCCAATAGGATGATGCGTGTAATTTGTAACACTGTGCATGTTCATGTAATATGATAGCAGCAGAAAACGAGATGAGGACACTGATATAATAGGAGAAGATGGCTAAAATAGGGTTGTTTGTTGCTATAGTATGGGGTAATACAAGAGAAGAAGAAGATGATGATGACAATAGATCGTTTTGTCCATTAATAAGTCATGGGTGGCTTTTGCGTGGATGAAGATCGTTGTAACGGTATGGCTGGCTGGGGTTGTTGTGATGGTTGTGCAGCATAGTAGTACTGCTGCTGCTGCTGTTGGTAGTGGTGCGGTGGTGGAGGATAGCCAGAGGAGTTGTAATAATGATCTTCAAGGTCACGCAACTGTTGATGTCCTACGCTATCTTTCATGCGGCTGACGCTGGCGGACACAATGCAAGCCCAGTAAATCTGTGAATTATTTAATATCCCAGCAAACGGGGTAATTTTAGAGTTGTGAGCATATACAGAAGAAGCAGTAACAACAGCAGCAGCAGGAGCCGCGCTGCTGTGCATAAATAAACTGTACCTGCAATGCATTCCCAATGAAAACAATAAGCGCCCCGACTATAATCAGGTTTCGGACCGAGGCATCACAGTCGCCATCGTATACGCCAAAGACGCCACTGCCAGGCAAGTCGCGCGAGCCTCTGACCTGTGAAAGGTATTCGTTGCAGCTTGACACGGCTGAGTCCCGCTTAGCAAGCAGCACAGCCCATGCTGCAAGCGTCATTACCAGTACAACTGCAGCAACTGCCCAATACATGGCTTTGAATAAGCGCATCATCGTTTGATTTTGCTATTACATGTACAGCAGCAGTAATGTTTGTTGTTATGCGTTTATAAAATTAGAAATAGCAGTCAGCTGTCATATGTAGTGTTAAAATAGTTTTACCCGCAAGCTGGCAAAGGCGCCGAAGAGCATGCATAAACAGATTATGCCAGATAGAGCCACTAACAGCCAAAGGATCGGCTGGATGGCTTGTGATTCTTGCTGGAAGAATCCCAAGATGACTATAGATATGCGTAAGTATACATCGCTTTGTTGTGAGCATTCCATCCGCTTTCAAATAGGGTCGTGTAATAATAAAATAAAATGATGCGTGTATGTATTCAGCAGTCATGTAGGAATAAAGGCGAAATAATTACTTTCATGTCGGACGAGCAACCAAATGAACACCGCACCATAAACCACCTGTAAAGTGATGATCATCGAAATATCGTGTTCGATCAGCAAAATATATACCAGACATATTCTATTGTGTTGTCTCTAACATGTTGGAAACTATACCGCAGAAGCAGTCGATATGATCAACGTTGCTTGACTGTTGTATCGTTTGTTCACAAGTAAAATATTAGCTTCCTCATAATAACGACGTGCTATTCAGCTAGCCATACAAGACGGTGTATGAATACGTACTGTAGCGAGAGACAAAGGCAGCACCTGTTGAACCCCATTGCGTTAAACAAGAGAGAATGAGGTGAATGGAGGTTTTAAAGAAACTAATGAGAAAGAGAGCAGAAGAAGAAGAAGAAGAAAGGAAAACCGAAACCAGGACAGAAAAGGAAAATCATCGTTCTTGGCTCTGCTGAACCATGGAACCTTCAACAGCATCTATTATTATTTTTTCGCTGTGTGTGTGTGTGTGTGTGTGTGCGTGCGCAGGTTGTGTGACACGATGACATTATATGTTGCGTATGAAGAACGGATAAAGGCGCTACTATTTCGGTTTCCTGCGCGCGGAGAGCAGACCTTGTGACCTCAACCGGTTTTCATATTTTTTTCTACCCTTTTTCTTCAAATCGTTTGAAAAAAGAAAAATGGAAGACGACGAACTTCAGGCAATCCGTGCCAAGCGCATGGCTGAACTACAAGCTCAAGGTGGCAGCTCGGCTGTACGTGCCTGTTTTTTCTCTCACTCTTCTAATGTGACTTTTAAAATCGTTGAATAGTAGAAGGGACACTGATTTGAATTAACTTAGGGTCGTGGCGGTTTCCCTGGTGGGAGCGGCTCGCCCGCTGGCGGTAGTGGTGGTGGTTCTGGCGCATCAGGCCAAGAAGATGCCGAAAAGAAACAGTAAACCATCTTGTTCCTGACGATGAAAATGAATACTGAAGAGAATCTTTTGCGAGATTGACAGGTTGATTTTATGATATTAGACAAGTGGAAGACATGCGTCGTAACATGCTATACCAGATTTTGGACAACAACGCCCGTGAACGCCGTAACGTGTCCCTTTCCCTCTCTTGCGTTTATCTTTATTTGTTCTGAAATAATAACGTTCCCGTTGTTGTTTTATATTTGCTATAGTCGCCCGTATCAACATGGTCAAGGCAGACAAGGCGCGTGCAGTGGAAGATCTATTGATCAAATTGGCACAGAGTAACCAACTACGGAACAAGGTCTCGGAACAGCAACTGATTGATCTTCTTGGTCAAATCAACCAACAGGAACCTAGTGCATCACAAACAAAGATTGTCGTAAGTGAACATCAAATAGTTAATGTAAAAGGGGACGAGGTACAAACGGGTAAAAACAAAGAAAATTGACCGTGTTTTATGCGTGGGTAGTACAACCGACGACGCTTCGATGATGATTCGGATGATGAGTACGATCTCTAAGAAAGAAAGAAAGAAAGAAAAAAGTATACAATATAAAAGGGAGGGGTGGATGACGTTTCTGTCTAATTATACATATATCGTGTAATATCTGGCTGTATGTGTGCAAATGTGTGTCTGTGTATGTGGACCGTTCTCTTTTTTTTACATTGAAATGCGTGCAACCTCATCCTGCCAAACAGCCTTGGTGTCAAATGTACTGCCGAGTTTTGTGCACAGCAAGAAAGCGCCCGACAATTTCTTGTGCAAGCCATACGTCTCATCCGGTGGGGGTGTCAAGCGATGACGGAGCATGACAGGGATCGTGTCACGTACACGGCCAGTGATCGTTTGCACGCCAAAATTAAAGGCATCCGGTGCATCCTTGCGGAAAGGTTCGCCAAGAACCATGACACTGTCAATGTGCGCCTCCCGCATCACTGCTGTTTCATATCCCGTGACAAAGCCCAGCTTTTCTGAGAATTCCCAGACACCATCACGGTCGCCTGCTGCTGCTGCTTTCAGGATGCGGCCATACAACGATAAGAAATCCTCACCAAATGCGCGACACGCGCCAAAGTCTAACAGTTCGACTTGGCCGTTTCGTGGGTTGTAGAAGAAATTGGACCAATTGGGATCTGTTTGCATGAATCGGAATGAAAATACCTCACGCAAGCACAGTCGCAATAAGCTTTCGCCAAGCTTTTTGTTTTTTTTTTTACATATAAGGAACGTTAGTAAAACTATCAGGGCATTTTTTTTTCGGGGGGGGGAGAGGAGGATGGAAAGGAGGTAACAAAAGAATTTTACCTGGTTTCGCAATTGTTGATTTTCGGTCACGGCCTTGCTAAGTACTCGGCCCTGGAGCCGTTCCAACACCAAAATATTTGGACTGCACAGATCCTTGTACACCTGCGGAACCTTATACCGACGATCATCGCCGACCAATTCACGGTAGCGTTCCGTATTGTTTGCCTCACGAACATAATCACATTCCCAAGCCAGCTCCTGCTTTGTCACTCGGACCGTGTTATCGAGGTACATGCCGCGGGGCAGCAAGTTGCTGAACGTGAGGATAGCCATCAGATTGCTTAGATCACTGTCGATGGAATCGCGCACGCCCGGGTATTGGATCTTGATCACCACATGTTCGCCTGTCTTGAGCGTTGCCTGATGGACTTGACCAATCGATGCTGCGGCGATCGGCACGGGATCAAAGTCTTTGAACAAGTTGGCTTGCCAGTCTTTACCCAAATCTTTGGCCATCACCTGTTCCATCTGTCGTTGCGGCATGTAGTTGGCACTGTCGTGGACGCGCAACAGGATTTGTTCGATTTGTGGTGGGATCCAGCTCTCTGTGTCGCTTGCTGCTTGGATGCCCTGAATACTCAACATTTGGCCCATCTTTAATGCGGCACCGCGCATGCGTGAGATCTTGTCCACTAATAGATCGACGTTGCGTTCGCTCAAGATGACCGACCCTTGCTTCGTTTTGGAAATGCCTGTGGCGCGTTTGAGTGATTCGTTGATCGCACCCACACCCAATCCAGTTGCGAGTGTGCCGTAGTGCCATAGTCGACCGATACGTGTCGTCGGTATCCGCGATTCTTTTAATGCTTTGCGTTGTTCTAATGGCTATATATAAACATGATTGGTATAGTTGAGCTTCTTTGTCCTTTTTTTTTTGCAATACCCTACCTCTTCCGTAATGGCTTCATAAACAGGTTGGTTCGATGCAGCTTGTAATTCTTCAGCGAGTTTGGATATTTCTGAGGCATCCAACGTCGTTCCCGGGGTCGCACTACTACCAGCAGCAGTGGCAGTACTAGTGTCTTGAGCTGGTGTTGGTTGTGGTGGTTCCTTGGTTACGACCAGCTTTTCGATTTTTTGTTGTTGTGATGGTGACGCGGTATGCTGCGTAGGTGTTTCCAGAGCCGATCGATCAGAGACATTGTGTTGGTCAGTTACCGTGCCAACGTGTTGTTGTTGTTGTTGCTGTTCCTCAGGGACAGTGGTTGATTGCGGGTGTTGGTCATGTTGTGCTGTCGGTGCTGGCTGTGGTGGCGACGATTGAATAATGGGTGTAGGATTCAAAAGACTGGAAGTGACAACATGTTTACAGAGTGCTTCTCGTTGTGTTTCAATAAACACACAACCGACTCTGGAAATGGCAGACGCGACGCCGTAGAGATCGACAACGTTGCGCGACATGGAAAAGCAGGGACAAACGCCAGTCTATATATACAAGCTATTTTCTGAAGGCACCCAAAACTGACAGCACTAGGCCTTTTTTACTCCGCTGTTGTTGTAATCGTAATCGGCCCGTGTGTTTATGCCGTGATTTGTGTCCTTCTTCTTCACCTTTTGTATTGTGTTACTCAGAAATTCTTCAATTTGGAACACTGGCTAAAATTTCGGAAACTCTGATACGTAATGCTGAGCAAAAGAGAATTCAACTTTAAGCCAACTCTTCTAGCATCCTAGCAAGTAGGCAAAAAGTGTCATCATAAGCTACAGTAATTCCTTCTTATACGCGAGCACTCAAGTTATTATATGTTGAATTCGCCTCTGTCCAAGATCGATACCGTACAATACCCTCTCAGCACTGCCATCGCCATCAGGATGTGTATTATCAGCATCATCATCAGCGTATCTACTGTTGGCGGTGATATAATCCGCTATACCTACCTTGTTGCACTAATACATCGATCACCTCATTCAAAATATAAAACACAACACTCCATTTCTGACGACCTTTTGGAATTTTTGGAGATAATGCGTCAAAGATGATCCAACCTTGAAATATCCAAAGCACAGAACCATGCATGAATCAGGCCGCTCTTTTATATGTTAGGCTCGACCTTTGCTAATCGTCCAACAGCAACAACAACTGTTCACCAAAAACATATGTATCAAGAAACTGTAGCTCGCGTATCTCACCACAGTAAATGGCCGAAAAATGGATGCACTCTGTCATCATCCTTATAAGAAAGAGTAACAGTACTCCTTTAAAGAGTTTGAGTTTGGGACTTTTTTGTAAGCCATCGGAATGGATATATACATACTTTCAATTATTACTATGATACAAAAACTGATCTTTCAAGATAGATGGGTCCAGATAGAAAGAATTACAATCCAAAACGCTTGATAGTCTCATTGCTGCATCTTTTACATTGCAAAAAAATTCATCCTCGAATAACATCGTCCGGAGACACGCGTCTTGAATAATTGATCTGGTTTAGCGATTATTGTGTTAAAACCCTGAAACATTTGCTGAGCAGCATAGATCTAGAGAGAATAAAGACATGTGGCTCGACTGTTTTTTATTTTGGTGCCGTCGATCAAGATATGGCAGTGATCAAGCGTTCGTGATAGTTGAAATATTCTCGTTTGATAAAATGTTATAAAGGAAGCACTGTGCAGCTTTTTTCTGTGGTCAAAATGTAAAAAAACACCTGACAAGTTTAAACATGTAAAGGTTCTAAACCGTGTTGAGGACTACAACGTCAGAGGCTACACACAGGATCCATCGTTGCTGGTATTTTGTACAGAGGCGTTGGTGTCGTTGCAAAGGACCATGACAGACAGATGAAGAGTGATTAGTGTACTAGCATATATGTATGTATTATATAAAGCTATCAGTGTGTACGGTAACAAAACAGTATTTGAGCTGTGACCAAGTTATAAGTCTAATAAAAAGCCAACTTCATTCTCCACGTATGTAGTATTTGTTGATCAATGTGCTGCTGGATTCATATATGCTAGTATTAAACGTATTTGATGTATTCAAAGTATGTACATGGCAATAAAAGAAAGTAAGATGTGTCTTATACACTATCTGTAACTTGTTCAAAGCTAATCACTTTTGGCAATATTGCATCAAAGGTTTTGTCCTCCTCCGTTGATTCCAAATCAAGCTCAACCTTGCATTGTATATTCCGGAAACTCTTGCCCCATGGTTTAGAGTACTATGTTATATAGCCAAAAAATCAAAAAGCTTAGTTTTACCAGCATTGTGTACAAGGATCTCGATAAAAAAAAATTAGCAAAGAGAACATATAAAAAATCACTAACCGTGTCTTGCACATATTTTGTGCCTCGTTCTTCTTTGATTTCACAGTATTCCTTTGACGTTAAGCCCCAGGCCTTGGCAATGAAATCGTTGGGAAGCATGATACATAAAGCATTCTTCTCTCGTTCTTCTTCTTCCAATGAGAGATCCATTATCAAATCTTCAATTTGCACAGTAACGTTGTACTGTTTAGGCAGAATGCCAATCCTCAGTGGTCTGGAGACTATTGCTTGTACTGTTACTTGGGATGGTAGCTGTATCGTAAGCTCCGGGTTGCTCTTCCTACACCGGAGGTACTCGACTACTTGAGTGACAGTAACTTCTGATACTGCTTTTGTCTCTTGTTGTTGCTCTGACATTGATTTCTGGTCACTAGTACATTGCAAGGTGGGTTGTTGTTGTTGTGGTTCTGCCTCTGGTTCTGGATTCAGATTTAGCTCGGAAGCCTGTCTAGCAAGTGGTAATGTGGATTCGTGATTTATGAGAGGAGGCGCTTGGTTGGCAGCCAGTGTAGTTGTGGGCATGTCTTCCAAATCTAGAGACATTGCATCCATGAATTCGTCGCTAAAACTATCGTTCTGATCTGTATCCTCTGCTGCATGGCGTTCCATGCTAGCTGCCCGTTGCGGTGCCTGTATTGATGATGTGGATGTTGGTGGTTGTAGTAGTAGCTGCTGTTGCTGCTGTGACCGTGATCGGGTAGACGTTGAGTAGGTTTGCTCCATCTCCATAAGCATTTGCATATCCAAATCATCATCAAACTCGTCGTAGTCGTCATGGTTATTATTTGACGGTACTGGCGCTGTCGATCGTGACGGTGGTGCACTAGTAGTACTGGTAGTAGTAGTAGTAGTAGTAGCGGCACTGTAGAGTCGTTAATATTTGTCTTATTATACTACCATGTTATGTGAAGGTGAAAAGAAATTTTACCTGAGTGGTGGTGGTTGTGGTAGAGCTGGTCGATGCATAATTTCGCTTTCTGTCGTTGCTATAGGTTGCAGCCTATAGTGATTCAAGTAATTGCCAGGTGTAAATAAAGAAAATTGGATCCATCGTTGGGTATATGTAAAAACATGGATCATTACCCAAGTTTTGCTTTGAAGCGTCGCTCCAACTCTTCCAGCATATTACCACCAAATAGAGACTCGACTTGACCTCCTAGAATCTTGATATTGGATGGTCGCAGAAACAGCATACCTTGCCGCACTTCACATGGTTTGATGAACACCTAAAAAAACAAAAAAGAAATTGACATTAGCTTTTTATTATGTATCACCAGCGTCATTCTCTTTATCTCTGGTTGTTTTACAAATTTATACCTTGCATCCAAAGGGGGTTGTAAGGCTGAGCTGGTTAATACGTTCATACTCGAGCGCCACGACTTCGGTGTATCCATCAGTCAAAGTCCACCTCAAGGTACCGCGCGGAAACCGAACGTCGTCTTCTGTTGCTCGTCGTACATACACTTGACGTACGGGTGCTACGGTGGAGAGATTGTTGAGGAGCGAATGGGTGGAATTGCTAATGTCGCGTGTGTCTACAATTTGAAGTACAATGCCAGGTGCCGGAGGAAACGACTCGAGGGAATCACTACCAAAGTTGTCTGGAATGGTGGGTATAGACGTGTCTCTGAGATCTTTGCTTAAAAAGTGCTGGAGAATGGATTTGTGCATGATGTCTCGATTGTCGCTGGATCGCGGCGGTCGTTCTCGTAACCATTGCGCAATGTACTCTTGTTTGGGCTGAATGCCATTCTGTGTTTTTAATACGTGTTGAAGGGTATATGCATAGTCCATGACAATTTTCCAACGCGCCGCGTGGTCCTGAAAAATAAGAAATAAAAAAATGCTTATAATATGACACGCGACGACGCGTAGATTTTATCCAATCGGATTCGATATATCGTCAGGAACATGGATTATTGTATAGATACTGATGTTCGTATATGTTTGTGTACTATGACGATAGCTACGTCCTCACACCCAACAAAAACCAACAATATATTAGGCCATGGATGTTGGTCATTTCTGAGATTCCAATCATACTCGCTGGTTTTTCCAACTTGAATATGGACGAACGGTGGAAAAAGTGTGCACGTTCAGTTGGTCCTTTCTGGTTCTTCTTCTTACATTGATTTGAAGCACACTTTTATCGTCTGGTTCATTTTATTAAGCTCAAATCTTGCATCCAAAGAACATCAGTCACTTGGAAAGACGCCATCAAATGGAATTTAATATTGTTTACTAACAAGAGGAGCTACGAAAGACCTGCTGTTTCCTCAAGTGCTCCAAATGCTGGTTTGAGTAGCCCTGCTAATATATACATTCTGCACTGGGGCACTTGAAGGCGTCTACAGAATAACTACGGAACTATTGTATAATTTGTAAATTATACTAATCACTACATTTTATATCGATCATATTGCCTTTCTCTTTTCCTTATGATAGACACCGTCAACAATAATGGTTCCGCAAACAAACAATCTGTCAAAGTGCCCAGAAAACGGAAAAATAATCACCAGAGATCTGGGTGCTGGGGACAGGCCTTGAGCAACGGCGCTTTAAATGTCCAAGGTCAGATCCAGCAGCTGAAATAAAAAAAAAGTTTTTTCGTCGGCGACAAAATGATGGAGTTTCCTGTTCCTGGGTACTCCTTGCTCCTCATGTCATTTCAGAACGTATCAAGATCTCTACACCATTATATATTGTGGTTATTAATCATTCCTACACATTGGTCAATTACTGAATAGTGACATTGCATTATGCGCTCTCTGTTAACAATAAGAACGAACTTTACAAAAAAATGAATCGAAACTCCTTTTAAATATCAGGTTCAATATTGGTTCGGAGAAGGGACGATGACTAACGTCAATGTCCGCGCTCGGGCATCAAAAAAAAGATCCTCTGAACGAGAAAAGGTATAAATACGGGCGCCATCCAGGGCCTTCAGATTTTTCTTTAGTGACCGTACTCTACAGGATCTGTATGCAGTACATAACCAGTCTACGTTTCTCAAACTAGACACACATCTCAGGTTAGACGATGACTAGAGACAGCCCTTTCTCAGAGTGAAGTGTATTGGTCGTTGTTTCCTTCGGGACGCTTCCAATAGTTGATGATCTCGCCCGTTTCTATTCCAGAGCGTGGCACGGAAGATGCTGTGGTCTGATGACCTATCTTTTTTATTTGAATAAGAGAATGATAAAAAAAATATATCTTAAATATCTTAAAAGCTACAACCCAAAAGACTGGCAGATTCTTGGTTTGATAATGCGCTCGAGATCGATCACAATGTGTGGTAGTACATTTTATCGCCTAGTATCGGGGCAGTATACTTTTCTTTTTGCTCTTTTCTTTTTGTGTGTGTGTGTCCCAAAGTACGAATCCTTATACGATACATGAACCGTGCTTTATGCCCGTGTATTGGCTTGCGAAAGTTACTCATCCAGAGGCTCTCACTCAGTCTTATGAATATATAACTAAATGCTAGTTTTTTCTTTTCTTTCAATCACACTCAGTGGAAAATCAATCCCGGCCAGTTCGACGTACTGAATGTTAAAAGGTAGAATGTAATTGATGTAATGCTGAGATATCCGGTGGTATACAATTTATATAGCTCATTTTGGATGCTATACACAAGTATCAGATTTCTCATTTAACGAGTTTGGTACGACATTCATCTCAATTGATCAAAGGATTAAGCAAGTATGGCTGTCTCGGCTATTTTGGTATGAGACGCTCTTATTTTCTTACCAATTGTAGATGGTTCTTCATCTACCCGCAAGACGTTATCTTCTGCAATATAGTTCACCAAAACTTTATATTGTTGTGAATAGGAACCAATTTTCTACTTGGTGTACTCGGTCGTTCCCTTCTGTCTCTCTCCTCCAAGCTTATCCAATTTAATTATCCATCCATCACCGCGTTTCCACTTTTTTCAATCTTTTCTTTTATCACTCCCAACACTCTTACAGTATACTGTATCTTACTTTGGTCACATCGCGCTTATACCTGACGTGTGACTAAATAATAGTTGGGTCAAACTACCGAGGCACATTTTGATGTTGTTGAAAGAACACTAATAGAAGCACTAGGACACTTCAGTCAGTGTCATACCATTTATCTTACTGTACATTGAATATCGTCTTTCTTTTTATGATACTGCTATCAGTTACAAGTATGTCTATTCTTTCCTATTTCTAATTTAATTATGGTATTGAACTTCGTTTGGTTCCTATGGCAATAATTTGTCATGGCAACTTCTTTGAACAAGACACTTATAGCAATAGCTTGTTCGACGTTATGTGTATTTTATTGATTTAAGCTTTTTTTTTGTTCTTTTAGCTTAACCGATTAGTGGGTAAACCATTTTTGTACACGTATAGCTCTTATTTGCGTGCGGTGGATTGATTTCTCAACTCTTTGGCTCAATTTCGCTTAGGGAGCTAAATTTTGGTCGTGTGGCTCATTCCAACCAAAACTATGGCTCATTTTTATTGTTGTTGCCAAAATCAAATTCCAATGCTCTACATCCTTGCTGCACGTTGGTCTTATGCTTGGCATTTCGTACAAGTGTACAATAAACGATAACATATTCTATTTTTCCAGCTATTCTTATCATACCTTTCGAACTATCAATCGCTATTGCGTATCAGCAAGGCGAATTAGTCAGTAAACCATCCATTGAAGTTTACCGATGATTGAGTAGTACAGTAATAGCAAATTTACACAAAACTGAAGCACGCACTGACGGATATGACGGTTGACACTTTTACAAAATTTAGATGTGATTTTTATGATGATAAATGTATGTATCAGGAAAGAACCCTCGTTATAATGGATGCACTATTATGCTTGTACACGGAATTCAACAAGGTAACGGAACGGAACAATCAAGGGTGCCGTTCATATCATATGAGCATGGATCAGAAACTAAACCGAAATAGGAAGTAAGGAGTACAAGGCGTCGAGACTCCCAGATTCGATTGTTACACACGTACACGAAGAGCGCATAATGCTCAGCACTTGATGGTTTACTCGCTAATCTATGACTGCCATGGACTCAATTTGTTTGAGGCAATACTAGCCGTTATTGTAATGCTCAAATAAGCTATGCTCCAGTGACTGCCAATTATAAGCGACCATGCGAAAAGTTAAAAGGGGGTTGATGAATATGTAGAGAGGTCGGGGCTCGGTGACAGGGAGGCGGACTTTTATTTGCAGGAAGTGCTGAATAAAAAAGATGGGGAAGCACAGGTTTTCAATGAACCTAAAAAGGATTCTTGGCAACGCACACACAATCACAATCACCCTCTCCATCTCGTCCTCATTCAATCACAGCAGCGAGATTACGTGACCCACAAGACAAGCTTCTGAGGTGGTAGATTTCATCACTTATGCTTTTGACCTCTTCATTCCACAGACGCCCTGTGCTTCTACTCTATCTATGTCTTATCGCACTCTCGCTCCTCTTTTTCGTACAACTGCTATGGTACCTGGTGCTAAACGGTAGCTCTAAGGGCGTTTCACACCGGTCGGTTATCGGTCATCCTAACTTGACACCAGCGACAACAACAACGAATACTACCAGAGTTAAGGCTGCGTTTGTCGTATTGACGCGTAACTCTGAACTGGATGGCGTACGGCAAGCGATACGACAGATGGAGGCACGGTTCAACCACAAGTTTGAATATCCATATGTATTTCTAAACGATGAGCCGTTTACGGAAGAGTTTAAGGAAACGACGTCTAGTTTGACCAATGCAGAGACAAAATACGGTACTTACATATATAAACAAGGAGGAGGGGTGGAACGATATTTGTCTGTGTGATCATAATTATATGCACATCAAGACTAAGACGGGCAGATTTTGAGATGGTTGACCATGTTTGATCGTAGGACTTATTCCCAAGGAGCATTGGAGTTATCCGGACTGGATTGATATTGAAAAGGCTGATAAATCACGAAAAGATATGGAGGAGGACGGGATTATATATGGTGGAAGTGTATCGTATCGACACATGTGCCGGTAAGGATGAAAAAGGATGGATGGTGGTGCTATGTAATTCAAAAAGAAAGAAAAGGACGAAGAAAACGAGAGGCTTTGCTTATCCACCAGAATTTAAAATGTGCAGGTTTGAGAGTGGCTTCTTTTATCGGCATCCACTTATGGAAGAATATGATTACTATTGGTAAGTTTATTATAGAGGGAATGGCGATGAACTCGGGGCTTACCGACTGTCAATAACTAGGCGCGTGGAACCAAACGTCGAGTTCTACTGCGATCTGGATTACGATCCGTTCCTGTACATGAAACAGAACAATAAGAAATATGGTAACGTATTGGGTTTGGTGCAGTGTGCGGGCTCTTATCAGAGAAAGTGAGAGAACTATATTAGCTTGGCAAATTAGAGTTTGTGCAAAGACTAATAAAAAAACTGTGTACAGGCTGGACCATTGCACTTTTGGAATACCGATCGACGATACCTTCACTCTGGACGACGGTCAAGGCGTTTATGAAAAAGTATCCGCAACATGTACCAAGGAACAACATGCTCGACTTTGTATCCAATAACGGAGGCTACAGTTACAACCTGTGTCATTTTTGGAGCAACTTCGAGATTGGTGATCTGAATTTTTTGCGTGGAGAAGCATATAGCGCATTCTTTGATTATCTGGACCAAAGCGGTGGATTCTTCTATGAGAGGTAATTATGAGGATGAAGAGATTGGATAATGATGATAGAGGTTGATGGGCTAAAAAGAAGTACTTTTTGTTTATAGGTGGGGCGATGCACCAGTACATTCGATTGCTGTATCGCTGTTTTTGAGCAAGGACGAGATCCATTTTTTTGATGATATTGGATACCGACATGACGACTTTATGCATTGTCCAACTGCAAGGGAACTGCAAAAGAAATGCCATTGTGATGCACATGCAACTTTCGGTAAGATACTGAAAGGACATCGTACATGACATGAACACAATAGCTGGCTCGTATGGTTTCGAAACTCACCCTTTTCCCGTGTAAAACAAACTCTAGATCTGACAGATAATTCTTGCTTCCGGAGATGGGTTCAAATAGACAGCTGAGCAAATAGTTGCTACTCTTTGCACCTATCATATACAATAAAGTAGACTGTATTTTTTTATATCGTATATACACGATGCTCTGAGGGGTCCGGTTTCTCGGGGAAATGAAAGCGCGTACACAAACCATCCATGTCAGGTAAAAAGGCAATATGAGAGAGAGAGAGAGAGAGAGGGCGATATATTTCTGTTTTATCTTATCTCGCAAAGATAGTAGCTAGTGATCCTAGTGCTGCTTGTGCTGTGTAAGATGAGAGAGATGAGAGAGAAAGAATGAAAGAGAGAGAACCTTAACCTCTGACACACTTAAACAATACACGACCATGGACCAATTACATTATCTCGATAATGATTTGCTGCGAGGGCGTGCATTGCTGTCGACGGGATATGTACACACCCGTGCAAAAAAAAAAGAGGAAACCAGTTGCCTTTTTGAGTTATCGCATGCAGCTACCATATTGGGACAGCAGAAAAAGAACCAGGCCCCCCCACCCCCCAATTCATTTACGATGAGATGCAGATGATGAGGCTTTGCATTTTGGATAGGATTGGCGTAAAAAAAACGTTTATTGAAAATAATTATGGGCTAAATTTTATGGATGCTGCGTAACTAAACACGCTAATAAGATAATCGATGACGCTTTCAAGCTTGCAAAAAGGATTTAAAAAAACAGTAGTGAATCTGATACTTGAGAATATGCCATTCTAGTATTGCTTTTAAAGAGATAATGATTAGCCTTAATAGCTTATATAGGTTTTGTCAACGCGTCATCATTTTCAACTTACCAAAGATATGAGCAGTATAAATCGGCGCGTACTTCATATAGCCTATGGTTAGCCTATGGTTTAACAGAAACATATATCAGCGATTTCCATGTCGTTTAACAGCCCATGACCTAGAGGAATAAACGTATACTTACAGACAGTGTGCAATAAAAGCACTTATAGCACCATCATGACTAATAATTCAAAAAGAGATTAGTCACTAAAGAGAGCTTTTTTCTAATTTCAAACAAGCAACTAAGCATTCTTACCTTGTTTTATAATAGCCTACAGATTAGTTTGAGAACATCTAAGAAGATGCTTTAATAATTTAGATTTTAATGGTCTTAAACGAAGAAAATCAGTAAAACATTGTTACCTGAATTGCAAAAGATGATGGGCAAGAAGAAGGTGGAGAAAAAGGGAGGCAGAATTTGAGCTGAGGCATTTTAAATTTAACTCAGCACTTACCTTTTTTTTCTCTTTTGCACTTATCTTTATTCTCAATTACAACCATCTCCATCCGACTATGCCCTTCAACGTCTTCTCCATTAATGCACAAACTCAGAAGCAGCGTAAAACCAAAACATGTGTTCCTTGTAACACTGTCGTTAAGCTTGGAGATGGCTTAGGAAACTGGAGAACTCATGTTAGCTCATCGAGCCATCAGGCGAATGTTGCTGAATATGATGCCCGCATTGTCCGTGCTTCGGCTTCTTACGCTGAGGATATGGACATTGACAGCACAAATTCGGGAGAGGAGCAGCAGCAGCAGCAGCAGCAGCAGCAGCAGCAGTGCGCTAGCGACGACGACGTCGAAGACGACGCTGACAGTGACAACGAGTCTGTCGACATTGCTGCTTTGCGTCAGTCGTACGGTGTTTTCCTCTCTCGGCGGCAGGAATCCAATGCTAATGCCGAATTGGCTGCTGATGTGGAGAGTGATGGTGGCAGCGACGATGAAATCGACGAAGGTGATGATGATGGTGATAATCCGCTCGATTTTAGCGTCGACTACGAGACCAACGAAGACTGGTACCCTTTCGAAAACCAGTTGCAATTTCGTCTTGCTGCCTTCTTCCACGCAGACGATCGTCTGAAAGACAGGATGATGAAAAAGCAGCTGAAAAGCCTTCTTGAAGATGTAGCCGTAATGTTTCGTGAGGATAAGGACTTGAAGGTGCCGTCTGTTCGTTGGATGATGGATCCATCGTATGCTAAGCGAAGCAAAGTACCGAAAGTAAAAGTAACAACAGTCAAAGCAGAGATCAGTAAGCCCAATACAGACGAAACCGTCGAAATTGCGGCACATATGCATAAGCCTTCAGATTGCTTGAAGCTCCTCAACGCTGATCCAACTGTCTCTTCGAGTTTGAGTGCTCTACCCGACAAAACGCCTGACCAGCGAATCGAAATGACGCAAGGCAGTAAATGGAACACCTGCAATCTATTCCAGCATCCGTGCGTCACCAATTCTGTAGGAGCAATGCTTTGGGTTGGTGATTATGCCAAAATAATTGGTATCGGGCAGCAAACGTGCAAAATTGCAAAGTTCTACACTAGACATGGTGTTACATTTGCCGACATCTGTCCTGTCAAACTGGCCAAAAAGCAGGGTAACACGGAAGTAGTCGTACTTTCCTACGAGAGCGATCCTGAACATCTATACTACGTAACAGTGCCAATCGATAGACTCGCCCTTGATTATGATGCCAATTGCAAATGGCATTATCTCGAGCACGTTGCTGCAAAGGTCACCAGTTCCGGTGCTGCTGGAGATTTCTGCGATTTCGGCAGCGGCGAGTTCATTCCTATTGACTTTACGAAGCACAGTGATTTCAGAATCGGTCTGCGTTACGATCGTCGGCTGCCTGTCAAGATCGTACCAGTGAACTTGTTCACTGATGACACCAGCGGCAACAGATCAAAAAAATGGAACAAGTTCGATAGCTGGTCTCTAACGCCCGCTGCGCTTCCACTCGCTGAACGCAACAAACGGGAGAACACGCACTTGATCGCTGTCCACAACAAATTGACTGCTTTGGAGATGCTTCCCTTTATTGTCGAGGACTTGTGCGAGCTTGAAAAGGGTGTGGTGATGTTCGATGCTGCTAGCAATCAGGACGTGTTGGTGGTGGCGCCGCTGTGCTTTATTTCGGCCGACAATCCACGGCACGCCGAACTCGTGTGTAGCAAAGGCCTTGCTTCAACTTTTCCTTGTCGCAAGTGCTACTACTACAAAGGATGTGATGAGCACTGGGCAGCTCCACCTCGCAATATTACTGACGTTGCAATGCTGTCAATGGGTCTTGATCTGGAGGATCCGGTGCGACTGCCAAATGACACTATGACAACGAATCCTACTGCTGTAGGATATAAACTGACTGGTGGGGAGGCGTTGGGCAAGCTCGAGGCGTTTGACATTACGAAAGACTGCCCAGTAGAGATACTGCACACCACGATGCTGGGAATCACGAAATACCTCCTGCTTGAATTTTGTAATTATCTTGACAGCGACGAGCTCAAAGACCTCGAGCTCAAGTGCCGTAGCTACGACTCGAAAGCCTTCCGTCGCATGCTCAGCAGTAGTCTGCGTCTTCGCCGTTCCTTTGTCGGTCGCGATTACAAGGTCATTAGCCAGCAAGCAGCCATCATCCTCAACGATCTCCTCCATCATGGCTGGTCAGCAAAAAGCGAGGAGAAAATGGAGGGTCTCCGGGCGTTCTTTGACTGCTTCCGTGTACACGGAGAGGTCATGTCGCTATTATTCATGTCCAAAATAGAAACAAAGTTCTCTTTGTACAAGCTGCTGCTGAACAAGAAGACGGAGGAATTGACGGCTATGATTGGTGTTGTCGACAATTTCCTTGTTGCGCAAGGAAATATGACCGCCAACAGTAAGATGGGTAGCAAGCCCAAGCTGCACATCTTGCATCACATCGTGGAGGATATCGAGCGTTTCGCCACTGCTATTCATTTTGAATCAGAAAAAGGCGAACAGTTCAACAAATTCCTCCGAGAACACATCTTCCACACCAACCGCCACAACCCTTCGCGAGACCTGCTTGTTTCCTTTGGACGGTATACAATGTTTCGTTGTATTGTCAATGGCGGCTATTTTCGCCATGTCGCGTCCGGTCGACTCGTTCATGCAAGCAACAAGATCATTGATTTTGTACGAGCAAACGACAGTTTCCGCAAGTTGTACTTCGGAGCTGACCGTGAAAACGTCGACAATAATGAGCACATGGTGACTCTTAAGCGAGGCGTCAGCGGTCTCTTTAGGATCAGAAAGAGCAGTGGGTGTCAAGATGTCTTGGCTGAAATTACAAGTTTGAACAAGCGTACAGGAGCAGTGTACTTAAAATTGTTCAAGCCCGTAATCACACCGTACCCCACCGTTGACTTCCCTCGTTTATCCTCTGCATATACAACGTACTTTTCCACGTCCATTTATACGAACACCAGTAAGGACGATGCTGCCAATGTCAGATTAAGCCGCTCAGGGACCGGTACGTTGGAGGTACATCTTCCAGAGTTAAGTCTCTTGGAAGCATTGGACATCCAAGTTCAAGCTACTGGTCAACAAGAGCGCATCATCAACATTGGCAAGTTCGGTTCGCTGTGGAGGCTTTTGATGTTGGCTCCGGAAGAAGTCTCGTCGTTGTGAAGACTTGTACCTCTCTTATGACTAAATTCCACTATGCTCTCTTTTTCTACTTTTCTGCTTGTGATTCTTTATGTTCTTCCCATTATCCTTTATGTTCTTCTCATTGTCATTATGCTCTTTCTATTATCTTTATGCTCTTCCCATGATCTTTATGCTCTTTCTATTATCTTTAAGCTCTTTCTATTATCTTTATGCTCTTCCCATGATCTTTATACTCTTTCTATTATCTTTATGCTCTTCCCATTGTCTTTATGCTCTTCCCATTGTCTTTATGCTCTTCTTATTGTCTTTATGCTCTTCCCATTATCGTTATGCTCTTCCCATTATCTTTATGCTCTTTCTATTTCCTGCTGTTTTTTTATGTAAGTCCACCTTATTTCCTATGTCTCATTCATTATCAATTTATCTCTCTCTTACTGTATGCTTAACTCCTAATATATGCTGCCAACATCATTGAACGAACATCCTTTTTTCATGCAGAAATGACTTAGCAAAAATCAATCACTTTTCCATGTCACATGAGCCAGACCCCCCTGAAAAAGGCCCCCCATCCAGCCAAAAGGCAGATGCATGAGACAGCTGTAGGTAAGTTTTTAGGCTATAACTTTATTTTTCGTGCAACATGGAGATTTTAGCCAATCACAGCGCATTTTCTGGGTGGTGCAGTGCCATCTTTGCCTTTTTGAGCATCCATAGTGAACGGGGGTGTAAGGCTTCGTCCGCTTTGAAACGGCGAACACCCAGAAAAGCAAAGCAGATCGGCTTGCATCGCGAAGCAAATAAAAGCGATAAAATACAATTGAACATCTAATCAATATTCTGGTGTATAAGATAAAAGACATGCAAGATCATAAAAACAAATATGTGCACATTTCCCAGATCACCCTGCTTTCCTTGCATGGACTGGGCGTGGTCTTTTCTCCTTTGTATATACGACGCCCAAGTATATTCCATGACGGGAGAAGATTGAAGGTGACGGGAAGCAAGAGCAAACCTGGTTTTTTTCTTTAAAGATAAGCGACTTGAAGACGAAGCTTTAAAAAGGGACAAGTGTTGACGGTCGGGAGCATTCGGGTTGTTCAAGTTCAACTTGGTGAGCAGCAGCAATAGCAGCAACAGTTACCGTGCAACGGATAATTTACGATGTATCGTAGCAACGCCCTCCTGCCTCTTCTCCACTTGCTCCGATGGGCATGGGAACGGGGTCTACATGATACGTTTTGGCCTCGATTAATCCTTTTCTTTTATCCTAATCGCAAAGACAATTCCAAGCAAAATGTGTTACCGTCGTCCAACCGGATTTGGACCAGTCACATGCTTCGAAGCGTAGCATAGCAGGCCTAAAGGAGAAATTGCGGTGTACAAAACAAGAGGCGATCCCGGTCAACCTTAAGAGGTGAGCGAGTGAGTGAGTGGGCGGGCAGTGCGTGCTTTTTATTTTTATTTTTACAGTAATCTTGTAAAGTAAAACAGGAACCCTTCCGAGTGTTTAAAGTAGATTGTCTAATTACTGTATATATATATATATTATACATCTGCCCTTTGCTTGCTCTGCTACTACTACTACTACTGCTGCTGCTGCTGCTGCTGCTGCTGTGTCCCGCCTTCCTCTTTCCCCCTTTTCCTGCTGCTGCTTTGCCCCCAACTTTCTCGCTCTTTCTCTCTTTCTCTCTTTCTACCACTCCCCATTCTTCTGCTTCTTCTTGCTGGAATCTAAAAGGCAGACTAGCAAAAGTTAGCCTCATCGATAGCCTCCTCTCTTTCGTCTATCTTCTTATATGTATATTACCTTGCTACCGCCTTACTGCTTTACGTATAATACACTGTCGTCACCACCAGCACGATCATCATCATCATCATCATGTCTCCACACACAAATAATACCACTACTACCTCACGCTCTAAGAAGCCTCACATTGAAGCAGTTGCCGACAAGCTGCTCTCCGAGACATTGTTTCCACCCAAAAAGTCCAGTGGGCACAATGACAACGACACCAATAACAACGGCAACAAAGAAGACGACGACGAAGATGCTGCTAGCACCGATTCAGATGATTCACAAAAGAAGGATCCACTCGCTACCAAGGTGTGGCGCATGTACACAAAGGCAAAAGATACTCTACCCAATGGGGCACGTATGGAAAACTTGACTTGGCGCATGATGGCCATGACTTTAAAAGCAAAAAATGCAGAGGCAGAAAAAGCTGCTACTTTTGCTGCTGCTGCTGCATCAGCCGCCCAGAACGACGCAGAGTCATCAAGTTACAACGCAGAATCCATGGCGATCGATGATCATCACGATGACGACAACACTAACATCGATGACCACTATGGTGTACACCATGGAGCATATCGACACGACATAGGGTATGTCCCAAGTGCGGCCATCACCATTGAGCAGCGAGCTTCACCACCGCCCGCAGACGATACAACAGCACTCTTGTCGTCGTCGGCTCCACCTTATATGATGGACTTTTTGAGAGAAAACTTGGAGCTCCCTCCAGAACCAAGGAACGTCATGGTGTCTGGAAGTACACGTGCATCTTCTTCCACCGAGGATATCCAACATTGCACGGTATGTCACACATATATATCTAACAGCTGCTCCTCGCATAGAGTTACACCATATTCTACAGGCAAAAAGGACGTACTCATGCAATCCATTTTTTTGTTCTGGATTTATATAATAGCCCGCTAAACGCCGAGCAGAATATTCACCACGTCTATCCGCTGCAGACCAACATTATCACATGGACAGCACGAGCTCGACCGACTATGTATTTGCAGCGGAACCTATGGTAGAGGCACCCATGGGCACACCTTACGGATCACGCGAGTTGAGCCAATCTGTACCCTCCCTCAATCCTTCGTTCCCATTATCACAGCATCCAAACCATCAGAACCGGACTGTAATTGGAAACCCGCTTTATCAGTCTAATATTCCAGGACCGAGCTTATCAGCTCAAACCGCGCTACTACATCATCAGCAACATACTGATCCATACAACACACCACCCGCGAATGCTTCACCTCCTTTCTACTTTGCAGACGTGACCTCACCAGGCTCATCTATTTCCACTCCTACAGCTGAAAATCCACCTTCAGCACATGTCCCTTTCCCGCAGCAACAACAACCGTTTATAAATGCTGGCAGCCTTAGCTTTGAAGATATCTTATCGATTTACTATCCTAACCAACAACAACAACAGCAACAGCATCAGCAGGAGTATCGCCAGCAACAACGCGCGTCATCGCCATTGTCGACGTCAACTCACCAAAGTGATTCTCATGATTCTAGCGCGCTGCTAGGCCTTCAAGGTATGCATATTTCGGGAAGCACGCCGCCGCCGCATTCGCCCTCAAGAGATGAAGAGCCGAAAGTCGCAGCTGCTGGCAGCAACGACACTACTACTACTACAACAATGAATCTAGCAGCAGCTGAACAAAAGGCACCATCAGGAACAACGACGACTACAGCTGCACCAACAAGTAATAATAACCATATTCCATCGACAGCCGCACCGACGACATCTATGCTACATCAGCAAAAGATGAGTCAGAACAAAACGAAATGTACAAACTGTGGCACGACAACTACACCATTATGGCGTCGCAATCCAGCTGGACAACCACTATGTAACGCATGTGGCTTGTTTTTGAAACTTCATGGTGTTGTCCGGCCTCTCAGTCTCAAGACTGATATTATTAAGAAACGCAATCGAAACAGTAGCGCTAGTGCTGCCAGTGGTCCAGGTGGCCCCAGGAGCAAGTCAAAACAGCGTTCTGTGGTTGCATCACCTCCGGATCGTCAGGACACAGTATCAGCGTCGTCGTCAACGTTATGGCCAGCAATCAGCAATGGTAATTCAGCAGCAACCGGTGCAGTAAACATTGCACCAAACAGCTACCGCCCACCGCCAGGACCGCCATCAGCACGACCATTGAGTGTGTCTCCGGGTACTCAGCCTTTTGTTAGTACTAAAGCAACGGTAGCTAGCAATAGCAACAACAGCGGTAGTACGAGTGCTAGTAACAGTCGACGGAAGCGACGTGTGTCGGCTTATTCGTCCTCATCGACGACCACAACAGAAGCCAATTCATCAATCACTTCATCGCCTCCTCTTGTTCCTCATTCCATTACCTGGGCATCGACAATTACGAGCTCTGGTGATCCAGCGCAACAACTACAACAACAAGCGAAAATGAACTATTCGCTACCGCCACAATCAACGCCTCCGCCCTCGTCACAACAACAGCATCACTATCATCCAACAGCAACAACGACACCGTCGCCACCACAATGGGATTCAACAGCTGCTCAGCAAGCTCAACAGGCAGGATTACCGCCAGCTATATATTCAGTATTGGAGTCAATAGGGGTGCATTTAAATAGTCTTCCAGCAGAAGTTCTTCCTCTGATCGCGTCTGCAGCTAATTTCCATGCAATACACAAACAGCGGCAGCGACAGCAGCAGCAGCCACGTTCGACCGTAGCGCCCAACAACAATGAATTAGCTGCATTTATGCAGCATGTGTATCAGCAGCAACAGCAACAACAACAAGGATCACATGCGTCATCACCACCGCACTCTTTAACTTCTACCACCACCACACCCCCTCCCTCGTTTATACCATCTTATAACCCTATTCATCATCACCATCATCATCCGCCAGGCTCCTCTTCATAAATGAAGGAGCCTGAATAATCTGTAAAAACACTTTTCTAGTAAATAAGAGCATGTATTGCGTGTACGTAAGAACAATGGCTAAAGTGAGATGCAGCAAAAGAAAAAAAACTGAAACATGCGCGAAATATGCTTTCTCCTTTATCTGTCAATTGTTACAAACTCTGCTGTACGTCGAAATAAAAATAAGACTAAAATACAAACTGGTTGAAACAAAATTTATCAGATTCGATTCGTCGTTAGGGAAAGGGTCGATACAGCCAACTGTTGTTTACATTAGAAAGGGCATCACCCAAATGAAAACTGGGAATGTTTTGATGGTGTGCTATGATGTTGTGCTATGTGGACGCCCTTCTTGATTCTTCTAATACATTTTATAAGAAGAATCAGCTGGTGGTCTCAACTATGATGTATGATGATTTGGAAAATTTACTGCTATAAATTAAGCTAGCAATAATTGTCTTACCAAATGCTGAAAAGTGGCTACGCATATGTAATGTATAATTCACATCACAGTACCATAGCAATTTTTTTAACATGGACTAACATTAGTTTAAATGGACTTTTCAACGGCTACAAAAGTTTTATTCCATAGCGATGAGTGGCTGTAGTGATTAACAATTTATTATTCAGTTGAATGACATACAATACACTAAAAATGCCCAACGGCTCGCTCACATTTTTACTCTTCGCTACCGTGTTCAGTCATCAGAAATCCAACATGCTCGATGAAATTCAATGACATATTATACTAGATGTCACAGAAGGGCGCATAAAGCGTGTAACGAGCGTTAGTTGAGAGGAGGGACGACAAGTCCATACTGACGCATCATCAGCTTATGAGAGCTGCTTGATAACACAACGCATGCTTGAAGCAACGAATACAGGCGTCGTAGACGGTAGTGCTGAGTAAATATACAGTAGTTTCTTTGAGTATAAATTAAGCAAGAACGAGTTGCTTAAGCGAGATCGTAACCTATCTATATAAAATCTTTGCTGAAGACTCGTATTTAACTTCTTGGCTAAATTATACGATAATGGACTAGTATCTGTTGTGGTATGTTTTTGCAGCAAAAGAGGTGGTTAAAAATTAAAAGTACAGTATATTTTGTTGGGTAGTAGTTATGGGTCTTTGCAAAATTGCCAGTTTATACAAAGGTTACGACGACATGAATAACGGGTGAGATAGCAGAGTGGCTGCAACAGTAACGGAAAAGCAAGGGGAGCGGTGACTCGGACAGAGAATGCAAATCAGCATTGCTTATCTATACCCCTATTAGTTACCGGCAAAAGAAACGACGCATCGGAAGAGATGCTGATGTTATGTAGAAGCGGTTAAACAAAGCTATTATGGCGAAAGCTTACGGGAAAAAAACAACGACTCTTCAGTAAAACTATGTCAAAGCTACTGAATAAAGAAGTGTAAGGTAGGCAAAAGACTAATGATTGCATAGCAGTTGTATGACTCACCAGTATAGGCGCTTCATGTGCATTACTACTTATTGTTTTTTTTGATCGCCCGCTCGGGGACACTGACTCACATTGGGTGCAATGTTTATTATTGGCTGTTTAAGCTACGATATATCATACACAGATGCATATAGAACATGTGTAAAACGGGAGACAAAGGGGGGGGAAGCTCATGCCTTTTTATTTTTGTATGGGTAGCTAGTGATGCCGGGTGGGATTTGCATCATGAAGTCTGACAATGATTGGTGCTACCTGAAAAAGTCGCTTAGTGAAAACGGAGCAATGATTCGTATCGAAAAAAAATATTTCCCTTTCTGGTCTGTTCTACAGTCTCCGATAACATTTAAAATGCAAATTTTGTTTCCTTCCGTAGCCCCTCGCTTATCATCCAAATTTCTTTTTCTTCCTTCTCCCATCTTCTATACAATACATCACTTCAGTTTGCTCAATGCCATCAGAAACACAGCATAAATTACAGCCGCCTGAATCCTACGAGTCTATATCTCGACAACAAGACCTCGACTTGCTTCAATCGGATCAGCCTGGCTATGGTACCCGAAACATCATCGAAGTCTCATTTAATATGGTGAATGCGACCGTCGGGGCAGGCGTAATAGGACTTCCGCTCGCGTTACTGCTAGCTGGATTCATTAACGGTGTCATCCTTTCGGTGATCGTGGGGTTCTTAACATTTGCTGCTGTGTATGCCATGATTTTGGCTGGTCAGCGTCTTGGTGTGTACAAGTTTGCCGCTCTTGGCGAGCATGTCATGGGACGATTTGGTTTTCACACATTAAATCTCATGCTGTTTATCCAATCTGCGGGTAGTTGTATAAGCTATTTTATACGTAAGTCTATTTTCTGTTAGTTTTTGTTTGCATTACATACATCATCGTCTATTATGTACACATAGTAGTACTGGTAGTATTGTGCCAGGAGTTATTGTTTGATGTTTTGAAATTAACCGTTCTTCGTATGACATGGATTATCTATACCTTACGGTAGTGGTGGCCGACACACTTCCTATCTTACTCAAGCTCTACTTGCCTGATAATTACACATTTTTTTCGAATCGTGAGCTTGTGACCGCCGTGATTGCAGTGTTTGTGGTATGTGGATTATATACCTTTCCTACTTCATTCTTTGATGAACTATATGTCAGCAATTATGACGGTGTACGTCGAATTAGAAGAAGAAAAAACGAGAGTCGTCGTTGTTCAACAAACAAAAAAAATGTTTATCGTTACTAGATTTTCCCACTGAATTTGCCACGATCCATCGGTGCTTTGGCCTCTTGGTCTACTGTTTCGGTCTTGTTGCTACCCGTCATGATCCTCAGTGTTTTAATCCGTGCTCCTGCATATTCGAAACTTCATGAAGCTCCATTGACCATGTGGGGCACAGACCCTGTTTCGGCTATTGGTATCATGTCGTTTGCATTAGTGTGCTCACAGGTGGCATTCAATAACTATCTATCGCAACGAAACCAGTCCAGCACGGCATGGGGCTGTACCTCAGGCCTTTCGGTATTTCTCAGCTGGTGCGTCTCTATCACATTTGCCATCATTGGTTATCTCAGTTTTGGCAAGGATGTCGAGTCCAACATTTTTGCCAATTTCCCGGAAAATGATAACGTGATCAATGTCGGCAGATTGTCATTGGGCTTATCCATGGTGCTGACAGTTCCGTAAGTGGTCGGGCATGTACATCAGTTTGACACATATTCACATACACAACATCCCCTCAGATGTTGCCCCTTTCCTTGGAGCCCTTGGTGGTTAAGAAAAGAGCTAATAATGGAAATGGGTACTTTATTGTATTGTAGTATGGCTTTCTATCCTGCACGCGATGCCGTACAAAAATCGCTCGGATTCGAGACATCAGAGAAACAACCAACCGCGATCCAGCATTATGGCGTTTCCGTCGTGCTATTTGTCGTTTTCTTGTTCTTTGGTGTTAGCGTGCGGTCCCTGGGAAAAGTATACTCTGTCGTCGGCGGCTTTGCATCCGCTTATCTTGCATACATTATGCCTGCTTTGGCATATATTGGTGCGTTTCATCCTAACTGGCTGCCATGGAACCGGGGCGAAGCAATTGCGGATATAATTAGAGAAGGACAGCCTTTACTGCCTAAAGATGGCGATACTGCCACCCTTGTGCTACCCAAACGAAAACGATGGCTCGACATCAGCAGTGTTATATTACTTGGTTTCGGCTCTCTTGTTATGGTCTTTACTGCCATTAAGGCTTTCAATTGAGAGATCACCTTTATCATATACATTATAACCTCCTCCTTGCACGACCGCCTCCTTTACTGTGTTTTACAGCATCATGTATACAGAAATCATTGCACACTACGTCGTCATACCCCAATTTATAAATATTTTGAAACAATTGTAGATATACCAACAACACCCCTTACACACACACATACACACATACACACAACAAACACACATAACGTCCGCACACCTCTCAATATCATAACAACAACAAAAGCAATGATAAAGTTTAGCTTTATACATGCATACGTCATTGACACATCTTTCTATTTTTGCTCCGTCTTCTCTTAAAGAGGTTAACTTGCAGTAGTACATAATATGCTAACATTCAGGATGATGAGTGTTTGGTCAGAGTCAGCACCACCGAGCATACTGCTAATATTATTTACACGATTAACATACGCGTGAGAAAAAACTATACCAGACCAGCCCGTCTTTTTTAACTTCTATACCAAGCTCTTTTGTTCGATTGAATTCGACCTGAAAACATACTACTAAGTGTATACACATACCATACATAGCAAACGAAAACACGCACACACACACACACATCACGGTGTTGATCACTGTTTCTATGCAATCAGCTCAAAAGTCTATGGTAGTACGTTACCTGAATTTTTTTTGTATAATCTGTATCAATTGATCACAATGATCTACACTCTATGTGATAGAAGAGCGATCAATGCGTGCTCATGCTTCTCTAAGCAATTATTAATATTTCCTGATTTGCTGTTTACATTACAGCAATCCGATTTGACCTGAAACACTTTCTATTATTACCCATCACACCACATCATGGAACCCAAAAGCTATAATATACTGCAGACTATCCTTGCTCATAAAACACCTTATGTCTTGTTGCGTGTTTTCATGTCAAAATGGGTAACGTAATGTATCAATATTGCACATTATGCTAAATCGTCTAGTTCTCTATTGATGTAAAATAACTCAAAAAGCACAAGCTACAGGCTGTAACTTTGTGTTGTGTGGGCTATTTTCTATGCATTATACCATTAGCAGAATTTTACGTTAAATGGTTGAAACGACTGTCAAGTCAGTATTTACCGTTTTACAAGCGAATACATACTCTGACGCGGAAAGGAGCACTCTATGAAAGAAGGAGAAGAAGATACGATCTTGAATGTTTCCGACCATTAATTACTCTATTTTATCAAGGATGGATACAATGTGGAAGGAAACTGCTTGTGTTGACTGACTCGGGATTACTATGAAATGTAGAGTGCATCAATGAGACCAAAATTTCGAGCATCTAAACTGTCGACCAGGAAAAGTAAATTTTACTTATACCAGTATCTCTGTTTTAATAAAGGTATACGTCCATGTCGTGATAGGCCACGCCTGACGAGGATTTACAAAAAAGAAAAGCAGCGTAACCGTCTGTCAAAACAGTGTGCATTACTGTAACACACGCTTAATGTACGTATAAAAAATGCAAGAATCACATGTCACGAAGGGATCATTGCTCCGTACAGCATGAGCATGACACATAAATACAGCGACAAGTAAAAGTTGTCCACAAATCTGCGTAATTTTTGTCATAACACTATTACGTAGCCACTTTGATTGTTTACATGGTTAAAGCCAAGTCATTTGTCATTTATTCCTGATATAGCATAGCACGTGACTTTAAACGAGAAGAGAATGCGAGAAAATGATCTGTTTGGAATACTAAACAAATGAACCTGATTTTCTGTGTTACGTTCAAGTTGCTATGCCTATATCTCTTGTAGAGAAAACAGGCTTAACCGAGTATTTACCATGCATGTAATCATGGAGATAGCCATCATCTTTTAGAACATTTCAATACTTCACCTCTCGTAAATGAGAGAGTGATGAGTCTTGCGATTGCCTTATATTTGCTGTTGGCAAACTGCCATTTTAAGCTAAAAATCTGTTAAAAAAGAGAAGTGCGCCACCACAATTGTTCCAATTTATAATACTTTCTAAAGTGCTCAAGATATTATACAGTATATGTAAATGTGTCGTTACGTGTATACTACTACATTTACCATTCTAATGTCAATCTATCTGCAGTCATTCCATGTATGCATTACTATGTATATTAAGGATACGAAAGATTGAAAAGACAAAAGTGACAAAATGCAAAGCTAAAGAAGGTCACTTTTACCGTTCTTAGTGATGGCCAAAGAACGTGGTCTACCAAGCGCTATCAAAGCTCAGATATTACTTTATCCCGCGACAGCAGCTTCGCGCGACAAGTACGAATCTGCAAAGCTTTTTGGCGGCGGCGACTACTATTTGAAAAACGAAGACGCTATATTCTTTGATAAGGCGTATTGGAATGACTGTGAGAAGACAAAGATCGGATTCCCAATGTTGGCGACCACCGAGGAGCTTCAAGGACTCCCACCAGCTCTAATTTTCACCGCAGAAGCAGACATTTTGCGTGATGAAGGTGAAGACTATGCTCGTCGATTGACCAATGCTGGAGTACCTAATGCCACTGTTCGGGTCATTGGCGCAAGTACGTATTATACTCTATGTTGAAGCATGCTTCTTCTCTTTGTTACCTTACTACTACAGTGGTGGATTGTGATTACTCATGGTTCCTTCTTGTATGTGCTTAAAAACAGTTCATGGATATGCTACTGTTCCTGTTGATACACCGGCGTATAAACAAACCATGGCCATGATTACCAATCAACTGAGTGAAGCTTTTGAGAAAAAGTGAAGTACTATTATGCGAATGTTTCTCTGAGCAATGTAATCGTCGGTGATACTGTGTAACATATTATAATAGAATTTCCCATGCAGCAGCAGCATAACCTTTTATGCATTTTTACTGTTGAATGGTTTGTTGTCCCATACATTTATACAGTGGTTCCCCTAAAATTTCATTCTTCAAATTCATGGAAACCAGGGATTGTGAAAGTTAACGAAAGCTAGGTCAAACTGCCATGTACAGATTCTTTATCCAAACAGATCTTGATGTTACATGGATTAACCAACACTCAAGAAAATTGTCACTCTAACGGTCATGTACTTTATGTAGCCTATTGTCCGATACATATACCTGGCCGTATCGACATATTCTACACTACTTGATTCTGATGTTGAATCACATAATTCACATTGTACATTGCCTGCTGTCAAATACATTTACCGGGCCGAATTAACCTTTTCTTCACATACATAATAGATAAAGATACACCAAATGAAGAGACGATGGACGACCCTAACAAGGCTAGCGCAAAACTGTGAAAGAATTTCCACACCATTTCGGGAAGCCTTTCTGAGCATGCTCAAACGGTGGCAGGTTCGACCTCTCACTGCTGTCTGGTAAAAACGTCTTGCCTATGAAAAACAATCATCTCGCAGAATCCCCAGTGACAAATTGGATAGCCAACGCTTATAATAGATTTACCCATAGAAGCACACCGATGTGCCCTAGTTTTTCAACCAGGTTTCAGATTGTGTGTTTAACGTAATTGTCAGTTTTGACATTGTACATATACTAATAAAAAAAGGCTTGTATTGTGGTAAAGTTATTCTTGGTAGTTAAAGGTTACAGAGTGAGAGAATCCCTTACAAACAGACTCATTGTTTCTCACACAATCTTGCAGTTGACATGCACTTGGAAGAGCTTTATCCGAAGGCTGGATCATACACGGGCACTTGAATTAGTGTTACGGGCATGCGTCATAAAGTGAGCCGGAAGCGACGACAAAACAAGACAAGTCAAAGACAGAGGAGAGATGAATCTAGGTCAAGGCAAGAAGAATATCGGAAGGTCAAGGAGACCAGATGATGAGAAAGGAACAAGGAACAAGTCGAGTAATTACATTTATATTTATGAAGGTTGATAAGTTGGGTGATGGTTGACGATAAAGATGTTGAGAGATTTAGTAGAGGTCAATGAATAGTCATGACAGGAAGGGCCTCTATTGGGGTCAAAGCGATGCAGGCGAAATTTGAAAATTGACCCACAAGTCGCTTCAATAGCGGACGTTGCCCATAAATTGTGCCATTCGCTGCGAAAAAAAATTTCTCAACGAATTGGATGCGGTGAATAAAGCCAGTAGTGGTATTCCAACTGCGTCGGGGGCCTACGAGCTATCACCGGGTTGACATCGTGCTTCTACTTTTCGAAGTAGGAGTGGGGAGCTGAAAGTTCTTTTAAGAATGATCAGTTTCTTTTCCCATTCGTTCCCCAATTTTTACACAAAAAAAAGAAAATGACAATAATATAGCATCTGGAGCAAGTCCAGCTTTTACTCGCTAAATTTTCCCAATTATTTTTTTTTTCGGGCGAGTCCAACTTTTGCAAGCGGACCAGCTTTTGCTAGCGCACTCACATATAATCTTAGCGAGTCTATCAGAGTCTGTCAACTTTAACAAACCAATTGTCAGCAGTGCTAGCAACATCTACGTTTTGTGTGATTATTCTTAAAGGCAAAGGGTTTTGTGCCATCACAAAAGAATTGGCTTGGGCTCACATGTATTGAAGAAAGCAGAATGGTTTAAGTGTGGTTGAAAATCGACTTCCCTATATGCCCCTAAGCACCAGTGAAAGATGCTCTCGCGACAATGTGCCGAATAAGGAAGCATGTCGATCCTGTTACACACAGTGCTTGTGATCCAAGAAAGAACGATGAGCACATTAAAAGAGCAGGAGGATTTTCTTACGGGTTGTTTTTCTGATAAAAAATGACTGATGCCGCTGCCCTGTGGTGATGTAAAAGAACCTGTCTTTGATCAATGGATTCATCACCGCAGCCCTGCGTAAGATTTACCTAAACAGACTGCTGCGGCGTTCGTGCGACTTCGTTACCATGGCAACCCGTTGCTGATAGCGTACTCTTTTTAACCCTTCCGGTCCACCACGCGGTTTGTGTGTTGTCTATTTATATCAGCTCGGTTTGCATGAAGCAATGATCCTTTCTTTCTTTCTTTCTTTTTCACACACGCCCTTTTTCCTTCTCTGTGTCGATCACACACACACACACAACACGAATAAGACCAGACCCATGTCTAGCATCGAACCTTTTGAAATCCCGTCCATTCCACCTCAGCGTCTTGCTTCGCTCAAAGAAAAGCTACAGAACGTTGAGTATCCGAACGAGCTCGAAAAGAATGTTGGCTGGAAGTATGGTGCACCTCGACGAGCTGTTGAGCCTCTCGTTCAAGCCTGGCTCAACGACTACAACTGGGAAAAGGCGCGTGCCGAAATGAACAAGTGGCATCACTACCGCGCGGAAATCCAAAGTTTACGGGTGCACTTTATCCATGAACGTTCGAGCAACCCTGATGCTGTTCCTCTCCTCATGCTGAACGGCTGGCCGTCAAGCTTTTACGAATATCACAAGGTGATCGATTCTCTTCGAGACGGTGCTAATGGCGGTCAGGTAAGTAGGAAGAAAAACAAAAACTCTTAAAAAAGAAAAGCTTTGATGATACGAAACAAAGGCGCGCATACCGTAGGCTTTCCATGTGGTGATTGTAAGCCATGCTGGATTTGGCTTTTCAGAAGCACCCAAACTTCCCGGCCACGGTGGCTCAAAGAGCGGTGAAATCTTTCACGAGCTCATGACATCAGTACTCGGTTACGATGAATACAGTTAATATGACCGTTTCGTTGGATGCAATACCAAGAGCATGTGCTGATAAATGTATACCTATATCTGTTCAAGTGGTTCACGGATCCGACTTTGGCACCATGGTCGGCAAATGGCTCGCTGTCAAGCATCCTCAGCAGTGCAAGGGATTCCACACGGCCACGTCCGGATGTATGCCACCCATCCCAACGCCCGGTTTTCTATGGTCCCACCCACTCAAGGTGGCAAACTTTATGGCTAGCATCGCTCTCGGTATGGACACAGTCTATGGTCGTGGTTCTTCCAAAATCAAGGGCCGATCGTTTGTCGACGTTGAGAATGATCCTGAACTTGGTTACTGTGCCATCCAGAGTACACGACCGTACACTTTAGCATATGGTTTGACTGACAGTCCAGTGGGCCTTTTGGGTAAATGCATCATAACCCCATCTATCATCAGTAATTGATCATTTTCCCCACTAACTGCCACAATAAATACTTAGCTTGGCTACTCGAAAAGTACCACAATTGGTCATATCCTGAAAACAAGGATGACAGTGTCGTGTTGCCAGACACCATCACCACCGACGAGTTCCTCACTCAAGTCACTCTCTTCTGGCTGACAAATTCGATTTCCTCGTCGATCCGTTTCTACTATGAAACCTTCAATGATGCAGGAGTGAAGGCGGTGTTCCCGCTTTACGTCAACATCCCGAGTGCAGTGTCCTGCTTCCCTGCTGATCTAAGCAAGGTATTACTTGATAAAAGATGGTGCGATTGTCATGAAACAAACAAGCTGACAGCACGGTGACTGAATCTTACTATGTAGGTCCCTCGCGAATGGCTTGAAGCAAACTTCAATTTGCAGCAATACAACGAACTCGACATGGTATGTACATATATGCTTTTGCTTCACTATGGTATTCTCTTGCTCACTCTCTGCTATCTTTAGGGAGGTCATTTTCCGGCCTTGGAGTGTGGAGCGTTGCTGGTGGATGAGGTGCAACGATTTGGCAAATTTTTGAAGACGATGGAATACTTAAAGTAGCGATAGCAGCAGCAGCAGTTTTGGCTGTCATGGTTCCCCTTCTCCTTAGCAGCAGTAGCAGTATTAACCTTTCTTTTTCTTACCTGGCTATCTTTACAAAGAAGAATAAAGTTGTTCATTTTTTTTCGCGGTCTCTACTCACGTATTATTACTGCCTTATACACTGGGAATCCCACTATTGAGATACGTTCCTGAGAGCTCTTGAATAGATTGATACTGACTGATCTTCTCGGGTGTAATGGTTAGACGTCTATCAACGTCAAATGAAGGCTGACCATCGTTTTAGGCAACTTGTTTCTTTTCTGGTAAACAGGTTCAGCCCTGTCCCACCTGACAGCGGAATGACCGTCAATTCCGTCAGGGGAAACTTTCGTCCGTCTGTTTTCGCGCATACATGTACTACACACGCAAGCTTCTTTTTTTTAATGTAATCTCTCACGTACGTTTCCACAAGAATCATGGTAAAGCTAGCTCATTAAACGATTATTGCTGCTATCAAAGTGTAATACATTAAGTTAGCTTTTATCGCAAATTGTAATGTATAGTTCAATCCTTCTATTCCTCAAGAAGGTGTGTCACCCTCTACTTTTCTTTCACACTTCTCGGATTTTATGCATGGTTTTAAAGTATTATGTAGAACACTGTTACATCCAGCACGCGACTTTGTGGATTTCGTCAACAAGTCGCCATCGCCCTTCCACTGCACTCATGGAGCTGCTGAGCTGCTGAAACAGGTATACACACCTCTTTTGCAAATATGAATAGTACAACAGTCAGAAGTTGGTCCTTACGTACGGAGTTGGGGGTAAATGTAGGCAGGTTTCACAGAGATCAAGGAACGTGACAACTGGAATGGTGCTATTGAACGCAATGGCAAATACTATTTTACTCGAAACGGCTCGTGATCGTTGCTTTTGTTGGCGGTGGCAAATACGTTCCTGGTAACGGGTTTTCTATTGTGGGCGCGCATACTGATTCTCCTTGCTTAAAGGTAAATGATTACAAGAAAGAAGGGGAAGCTTCTTGTTGGATCAAAGTGTTTATTCATGTTCCATACTGTTATGCACAATAGGTCAAACCTATCTCTAAAAAGGAAAAGAGTGGTTATCTGGAAGTCGGTGTCCAGCTTTACGGTGGTGGTATCTGGTAAGGGACATAAGAAAATAGTAATCATTGCGACTCGGATACCTAACAAGTATGGGTTTATCGATCAGGCACGCATGGATCGTGATTTGGGCGTTGCTGGATGCGTCATGGTCGAAGACAACAATGGCAAATACCGTCACACAGTGGTTAAAGTGGACAGGTAGGTAAAAGGATGAATTTTTTTAGTTCAAATGTACTTGATACAGTGCAACGCTCATTTCTGCTCGAATGACCCCAAGAAGGGCTAACTTTATATATGTGTAGCCAAATCCAGCTTTCAGCGCTGATCATGTTTGCGTTTTATTGCTTTGTATTGGGCTTCTTTTCCCTCTCGCGGTATCAGCTATTAATGAGCAACCGGATACGAGGCTCGTATAGTATACTTTGCTTCTCATGAAGACAACAGGTGAATGACCGGTATGGAAGAAAGATGCTCCATCATTTTGTGTGGGGTAAGGAAGATCCCAAACTTTGGTGGTGCGTGACTCTCATGCAGAAAAAAAGGAAACGGGCGCCATCCCCCGCCCCCACCTGAGTTATCCTCGCATAAATCTTCCTTTCTTTGTTCTTTTTTCGTTTGCTTAATAACGCACTATGGCACGTTCATTAGTATCATCAAAGAAAGGTGTTTTATATTGGTACGTATAATGAAGAATGACTTGGATCGTACATAACCGAATTTTTGCATCAATGACTTATGTCTGTTATTCATCTTTCTCCCCCAGGGCTGTTCCGCTGACTGTTTTAGCAGCAGGCACTGCATATGGCCTCCGCCAGTTCCGATATCGTGCATCACAGCATCCCATCCAGTTTGTATCGTCCGGAGAAAGCAAAGAAGATGCTGAAAAATTAGAGCATGTTCGCAAGGACTGGAGAGAGCGCAATGGGGGCATTGGATTAAAAGACGTGAGGCAAGTATTATCTCTTATATACACACGCACGGTATATATTTCGCTTTGCTAATATGTTTTCTCTCGTTTTCATAAAATCATAGTCGCAGCGGCGGAGGCGTGTGATCGGATGATGTATGCCTTTTTTTCAAGTCGCACGAACTCCACTTTTTACAGACGTTTGATATTGGCTGCTGCAGAGATAAGAAATAACGACCCGCCTTTTTTTTGTCTGTTCAATATCCATCCAAGCAGGAAGTAGCAGTTGCTTATAAAAAGCCCTTCTCGGATGAAATTATACAATGAAATTTTCACGGAGATTTTATATTATCATAGCAGACAATTTGTTGACGCGTTCCCCCCCTTTCTTCCACTGCTTACGCATTACGTTTTTGTATTACATTTTTGCATAAAATCAATTGACAAATACTCTTTCTCACGGTGTATTTTAATTTGCGATGAAAGGGGTTCGTTGTAAATTTTAATCACATTAACATACGCGCATAAAATACTACATGCGTAAATATACGTGTGAGCTGCATCGACCGTTGATCAAGTCGACGAGGATCACTATGGTAATGGTTGCGAGGTTGCAAGGTTACCTGATACCCAATTCTAAAATATGAACTTGCCACCTTCGATCCGGATATACAAACGGTTGCACAAACATGAGAAACAGGTCGACAAAATCAAATTATATGTAAAACTACATGGCTCTGATGGACGGATAAATGTGAGATGGAGGGAGGGGGATAGGGCAATAAGAAAGAGAAGGAGAGAAGGGATGTGGGAATTTATCATGCCTCTTCCGCTAATGGATGAGAGACACCATAAGTTATTGGTTCATTGACCTCATCTTCTTGGCGATTGAAAAGACCTGACCAGTACTTGATGTTGAGCGGATCCGGGAACAGCACGCCACCGTCATCTACTAGGTCAAGATCCTTCTTTGGATCATACATGTCATTGAGGAACTTGTCCTTATACGTGTTGAAATAATCCCAGATACTAAAGGTCTTGCTCTGTGGATAATGATTTGTCCGTTCTGCCTCACAGTTGAATAAGAATGTTCCATATTGACAAGAGTAGACGTGGTAGTGCAGATCAATAAGCATGTCTTCGTTAAACTCGAACCGGGTAGGCCATTGTCGCAACAGTTGGTATACACAGTCCAGGAATTGATGGAATACTGGGCTTGTCTCTCGCTGATAATAGTTGGATTTGTAAAACTTGTTCTGCATGTCTTTGATTGTATTTGTTGCTGCGTTTCCCGTATGTACTAGGTTGACAAAGTACTTTTCATTCGACAAGTGGCCGCATCGGTCTGCAAACTTGTGTCCGAACGAAACCCATTCTTTTTCAATTAGTACTTGGAAACCTTCGAATGTACGATAATATGGATCGAGACAAAGTTCGCTGATGGAAACGAGTTGAGCTGTGCGGTCCCATCCATCCGAGCAGTGAACAAGAACATGTGAGTTGTAGACGTGCACGTTCTTGACGATAGTCTCTGTGCCCTCCATCAGCGTTGCAATATGCTTTAGCCAGTTTGAACGTTGTAGCGCTAATCTATTCACTTGTCCATCCGTATCTGCTCCTTGCATGGCTAGAAGCAAAATGTGCTTAACATCACACCGCTAATCACAGCTACAATCCTTCCATCTCCCCACCCTCATGATTTCTTTTACATATACGCGTACCTTCACACATTTTTGCCAGACTGTCGCGCATTACATGAATATTATCAATGGCTATATATGTCTTTTTGCAATTCCTGTAGTTTTCCATGTTTTCCGTTCCTGCGCCGCGTGCGACATTACCCATGGCGTTCGCCATTGGCCGTGCGTCTACGATCAAGTTAGCAGCCGTCGATCCATAAACCGTCTGGCCACCCGGATTCGTTGGAACGTTGGAGGCAAATATCGCTTCTATAAGTTTTTCATCTTGAATGGAACGTGCTTGTTTGAATCCAACCATAGGTTGACTGCTTCGTGTGATAGTGGCCTTTTCAAAGGAAAATGAATACGTGACAAAATTTAGGGTCGTTTTTTGAATCTTGTAAAGATGTGTAGCTGACGCGCCTTTTTAAAGACGAATCTTACCATATTATACCAATGAAGATATGATAAAACGGGTATTCTGGCTTTGCTTCGATATTTAGCAGCATAATTAAGGACGTTGTCGCTAATCTTCGTTGGTACGACGAGTGTCCGTGGATATGTTGGGGAATACTATATGTGTGTGCGCGAGTATACGTAAAAAGCGATCATACACCATTTAGTCTTCCACTTGCACTAAAAATCTTATTTGACACCTTTTTTTGAAAGAAAAAAAAAACCGATTGACGATTCTATTACCGTAAAGTCGCGATTGATTGTTGTGAATCGCCAATTGTCATTCTTGGTACCCACACCCATGCGTTCGTATTCTTTTAAAGGTTCGTATAGCTTCCAACCAGTGGATGACGTGAATGGTGGTTGAGGCTGGTAACTGAATGCATAAAGCTGCTCGGTAGAGCCTTTTTTCCCATTAAATATAAAATAATCCCAATAGATGGTTTCTTTTCTCAGAAAACAGATGCAATAGAGCCATGAAAACATCCTTGGTTGGGTTTACGTACTGATGCATGTGAGTTTCTGGACACTGTCGAAAACATCTTGCGCTTCTCCTTCCTTCAACAAGGACAACGTGATACTCAGGAAATCTCTACAGCGAATATACAGCGGGTGACGACCGGATTGCAAAGATGCTGGTCTGCGTTCAACCGTGTGGATAATCGGGTAAGGTATCTAGTGTAATGCAACAGTTTGGTGTTTAAGATAATTTAGTTATGTAGCCTGTCCAACAAATGATATCCTATGTGTACTAATATATTTGTTTTATACGATACCCAGATCTCTCCTTCGGGATAGTTGAATATTAGGTTATGAACCGTCAGGTGAACTGTACCCGTGTGCACCTCATTACCTTTCTCAAGTAATACATCTTGGACCTAACACAAAGGCGTCGTTTGGAAAAAGCTGGTTAATGAAGGTATACAAACTACCCAAAATGAAACGAAAACAAAAAGGACGTGGTGTTCCCTTTCAACCTATAGTGTTTTAGACTGTCATGTACCTGCGTAATCTTGAGCAGATCTATTCTGCTTTGATGCATCATATTCTTGCCTTAGTCACTTAGTCTTTAAGTTGGGGGTGGAAAAGAAGGAGGTGAAGTAGCACAGTAATGAGAGATAACCGAGGGAGAGATAAGAGTATACGTAATACTTATGTCAAAGGTATGGTTGAATTCAAAGCAAAGGGGAATAGTAAAGCTGCGTGCACGCTGTAAGCATAAAGTGCGAGAAGAAGCTATGCTACAAAGGGCCCGTAGGAGCTTTGCGGAGTAAGCTTTTACCCTTCGCGGCACAGACATCAAACCCGAGTGATCACACACGCACTCGCACCGAAGAGCGATCATACAGAAGATGACATGGTGGGTGTATGCTCGATCCCTTCAGCGAAATATAACCGACAGATAAGCAGGAAAAAGTTGTTTTCAAACTTCATCAAGTGAGATATAGCCGCAGTATAAGAAACAAATCAACAACTGTAATGAAGCAGTATATCAATATACTCAGTACAGTTATTGTGTGATACATATGCTGGCTAACCCCCTAGCACTCGCATTTGGTAACACATTGAACAATTGCACCTCAACGCTATTTGTACCGTTCCTGACTATACAGGCTTGAAGAGACAGTTTTCTGCACATATTAAACATTACAATATGTGAATCCTATGTCTTCAGATGGCTGATGTTCATATGGCAACAGCTAAAATCTGCTTAGCAACTTGGTAAAACAACAGAGTTGCATCGGTGTGGTTGGGCAAGGCGGGCGAAGGGACTTCTTGCTGGTAATCCCTTGTCCAATCAGCATACGACTGCGGACTTTTACGTCAGGAACGAATGTGGCTTGGACAAGTGAAAATATTTGTGAGCAGAACCGGTGTATTTTGAACCCTCTCTTTTCCGGTTTTTACAATGGAGAACTCTGAAGGCAAGCTCGTCGACCTCTACATTCCCCGCAAGTGGTACGTATCTACCTTCTTTTTCACTTTTCGTTACTGTCTTTTTTTAAATAAAAAGCGAATGAGTAATTAAATTTGGAACATGGACTAATGGATTCACATTGTAACAATTTTCTTTTTTAGCTCGGCCACCAACCGTCTCATTTCCGCCAAGGACCACGCGTCCGTCCAGATCAACGTTGGTGATGTCAACGCCGAGGGTCGTCTTACTGGCTCCTACAGCACCTACGCCTTCTGCGGTTTCGTTCGCCGTGAAGCCGAGTCTGATGACTCGCTCAACCGCTTGGCCACCGATGACGGCTGTAAGTAGTAATCTTTTTTTCGTGTATTGAGAAAGCGCTTCTCCAAAAATTATACGAGATTAATTTTTTTTTCGCAATAACAGACTTGAAGAACGTCTTCTCCTACCAGCAATAAACATCTGGTCGATTGTTAACCGACTGGCAATAAACTGTATACTGCATCTGTTGGATGCGTGTGCTTTTTAAAAACTTTTTTTTATTTTTGCGCGTTGCCCTTTGGCCTGGTTCCTGATCGATTTGAAAATTTTTACAATGATGTCCTTGTGATTGTGATTGTACTGCCGCTGCTTCCGGACAGTAGATTGGATACGGGTATAGGGATAGAGACCAAAGGAGTTATTCAGGAGGGAACGTATGTGTGTCTTTTAAGACACTATTCATGTGGTTGCCGCTATTGGCGACGGTTGCAACAAAGAAGCGCATTGCTTCCGTCAAAGCAACCATTTCAAACCGCATGCCTTCATAATTGAGATGCATGGTACTACCAAAAAAAAGGTTACCTCGGATACTCCGGAACTGGTTATCTTTTCATTCCGAATGGATCTGGAATAGGATGTCAGTAACACGTCCACTTAGCCCGTTTCATTCCACGTTCACTCTCGAACCCCCGGTCTTCACGATTAGCATCACAACTGCGTATAAAGAACGTCGAATGTCTAAATGCCTAGAATACACAAAATGCACTGTAGACACAGTAAATGATGATATACGCGTGTAATTATTCGTATTTGATGGATCAGCTATTGCTGCCGTTATACGATCAAAGATATCGTCATAAAAAATGATCCAGGTTTATAGTGCAACTGGCAGTGTAAGTGCCTCTCAGAAGTATAACCTCGAAACAGTGGTTTGTCGTACGATCGTCAACAAGAGCATACGTCTTATGTCCTCGACCAAGGATTTACAAGGAAATTCGGTGTCGCTGAGTAAAATACGGTGTGAGCTCAAACCCTAGGCAAAGAATCGGAGCAATTCTTGAAAAGATCCATGTTCAACCGCTATAAAAGAGAGAGAGTATAAATGGGATACTGTATAATTCGCTCAATTTGAGATTACAGCCAAAGCTTATCAGTATGAAGTCCTTCATTTATACTTTGCTTGGTGCCGCGTTGGCTAGCTTGCCGATGATGGCAAAGGCCGACGACGTTTTCTATGGACTTGACTATGGTATCGAAGCCAACAACTGCCCTTCACTCGACAAAATGAAGCAAGACTTTCAAGCTGCACAAAAGTATACGAATCGTGTTCGTACTTTTGCTTTGCACATTTGTGATCAAGGTGAGAGAAAGCGAGACGATCTGATCAGATATATCTGTACATCTTATTAACTATTTTGTAATAGCTGACATGGCGTTGGAAGCAACCCAATCGCTTGGCATGAACCTGTATCTCGGCATGTGGGTCGACAGACAGGACACGTTTGATTTGGAGATGCAGGCTCTCAAAAATGTGCTAGAGAAGCACGACCTGAGCAACGTGGATGCTATCATTGTTGGTTCAGAAGTGCTGTATCGTGAAGATACGGACGAAAACACTCTTACAAACTGGATTCGTCAAGTCAAGGAGGTGGTTGGATCTAAGGGCGTCAAGGTCACCAACGCTGAAACTTACAACAAGATGTCCAATGAAGTTATTAATGAAGTCGACTTTGTGTCCATGTAAGTTATCAAACACTCCTACCTTTAATTTTGTTTTTGAGATGACTAATACTTCTGTTTATTTGCGTACGTCTGCTTTTTTCCAGGAATGCATTCCCCTACTGGGAAGGTGTAGCGATTGACGAAGCTGCTGACACGCTTATTGACCATTACAACCAGGTCAAGGGTATGGCTGGCGACAAGGAGGTCAGAATTTCCGAAACAGGATGGCCTTCAGAAGGCGACAACTTTGGCGCTGCTGAGCCATCCATTGAGAACCAGAATAAGTAAGACCTTGGCGCTTCCTTTTATTCCAATCGAATAGCACTGTGTACTAACTCTTGACTTGTACGATATGATAAATAATGAAAGATACATGCAACAAGTTCTCTGCAAGACCCAGCAAAACAACATTGATATGCTCTACTTTTCTCTCATTGAAGAACCATACCGCCCGGGCGTTGAAGGCCACTTTGGTATCTTGGATAAAGATAGAAACCTCAAACAGGGCCTTGATCCCAAACCCGCTTGTTAGAATGATCACAAGTGTGAACATGTTAATGAACCAACGAGATGAGATTTAACAATAATAGTAAGAAAAACGGAAACTATACGAAATATTTAATTTTGGATGTGGAGGGAACTTTTATACAATTGTGTCGTCTATTCTTGCTTTGGAACTTCTTGTTGTGCCGACTGTGGTGGACGAGCCCATCCCTTGGGGAATTGCAGCTGCTTCTTGGGGGTTGGGAGTTTCAGGGGAATGTCTTCGAATGTATCCTTCATATCCTATATACAACGAGCAACCGCATTTAGGAAATCGTTCTGCACTCTCTTACATAACATCTCAAAGTGACACTAATAATCCCATTTAATGTGTATTTTTACTTACCTTGGCTTCGGTTAACAATTTCTTTAAAGTATCGCTAACGTATTTCTTGTTTTGCTTGCGGTGAGGGAACTTTTCACTGGACAAGACAAACTCGTCCGAATCGACGTGATACCGTGGGCCTGCCAAAAGCAAAAACTTGTGCTTTTCCTTGGCGTCCAGCTTCAAGTCTGATACTTTAACAGAGAGAACGACCTTCCGTTCGACAGGGTGACCTTCACCGAGATAGTTTTGTACTTTGTACTTTACAATTTGTTCGGACGTCGGTGGTTCGAATGGCTTCGCAAAAGCTACAACAATGGAGTAATTACACTCATGTTAAACTTGCAGTACTTCTTTTCACTTGCAAGCGCCTCTTTCGTGGTTGTTGTTATTCCTTACACTGTAACCTTGGTAATTCGTATTCGGTTTTACGCAGGTACTGGCGAATGTTACGGATGTTTTCAAAAAGTTCGTGACCGATCGTGGTTTGGTCGTCGAAATCGAATTTCTCCATGAAATTAACGTCGAACTTTTTCTCGGGTTTTCGGAAACGACCACCTTGACGACCTGCCATGGTAATAGCTGTAGAGGAGAATGCACGGCATGCTGGTTTGGTCAATGTGGATTGAACGGCGGCGCGTGCGAGGCTACGGCTTGCCATTGTTGTATGTGGTACTTGAACAAAAATTTGTTTTTGACAGAACGGCAGCCCTGGAGGTCACATCCCGACACACTGGCGGTGTTTTCTCTTTTCAGTAATGGTAATTTTTTTTATGAATGAAATTAGTAGTGGAGTTGGTATATAACATTGATCTATCTAAACAATGACTCTTTGTGGTCTATCAAGTTCCTTGATATTTTGCGTTTTGAATCCCTTTGTTACGAATATAGATTAGACTACCAGAAAATAAAAATAAGACTGCCCCACATAAAGTATATATGATTCCAGGCATCAAAACACTGCCGAGATCTGCTGCCACCAGTGAACTTATTCCAGACATCATATAGCGAACGAAATTGTTACATGCTACATATATGACGCACAAATATAGAAAAACTAAATCTTGTCAGTACGTATCTAAGATTATACAAAAAAAAAGTATTACCGGTAACAGAGGCGCTTCGATCCCGGTGACAGTCGACCATGTAAGTTGAAGTAGTGATATTCGGACCACCCAGGGATAGGCCCACTGTGTATATATTCCAAATAAGCGATATAGATTAGGCATGTCTTCCTTATGTAGTTCGAGGTAGTACATCGACTATGTAGAAAGCTATATATCGTACCAAAGAATAAAAAAACCAGACCGGCAGAAAAATGGATATTGTATTGCACGCACCATCCATAAGCTGCGAAACCCAGTAATTGGATAACAATAGCACTATAGAAGATAATTCCCCCGAGTCGCATCTCTGGAAATTCACGCCCAAGGTTTTGTTTGGCCTGTTTCATGTAGAGTCGATCAGAGGCTTGACCACCAATGATGCCACCAAGAACGTTACCGATTGCAATTGGAAGATAGCAAAGGCCAACGGCACTTGAGTCCAGTCCGTATTGCACCGTATACACTCGCGTAAAGTTAGCGTTTATAAGGTAGTACACCATGAATCTATGTAATTACAAATACGATTAAAAATTGGGAAGAAGACTTCTTATTCTCAAGCTTTCTTTTACTGCTGAAATTAATACTTAACACTTACAGTACGCCAATGAAGAGTGCTGCCAAGGCGATATTTAAGTGGCGTAAAAGCCCAAGCGCTGCAAGTGGATTAACTGCTTTTCGCTTTCTCTTGTCTTCGTTTTCACTATTGCTGCGCGTTTCGCCATCTCTATTACTGTTTCGTTCAACAGCCTCTCCTTTGTATTGTGTTTCCGGCAGAAAAAAGAGTATTGAAAGCAAAATGCATGAATTTGTTATGGTGACAAACCAAAAAATGCTTCTCCACCCAAGTGCCTGATTGAGTCCACCACCAATAATTGGCCTAAAATCAAATCAAACTTCCAACCAATCAAATACTGTAATAAACTACAATGTACGTATATGATAGCTTTTACCTGTTTATGTATATTTACCCCAATGCTGGACCTAGCAGTGGTCCAGTCATGTAGTACGAAAATGCTCGACCTCGTTCATGACTCTCAAAAATATCACCAATGGTAGCTGCTCCAAGACTGAGAACCTACCATCAAATAGTTAAGCACAGAAGCATTCGAGAAGAGGTAGTCGTATATCTTTTTTTTAATACACAACTTACTGAGGAGGAGCCTACGGCACTTATGCCACGAAATACGATAAACATAGATATATTGACAGAGACAGCACAGCAAACTGATTCGAGGATAGCAACTATAAATGATATGAGATATATCGGTCGCCGGCCATGGATATCCGAAAAGCTGGACCAACAGAGTGGGAAAACCCCAATAAAAAAAATGTAGATAGCCAATGAAGCATTCATTGCGGTATCGCTCGTCTGGAAAAACTCTTGCATTTGAACCAAAGCAGGATACTGAAATATTATTAGTAAGCGGTAAGCAAGGTATTTTTTCTTGCATTTAGTTGATTCTTACATAAACCGTTGCAATAAGCGATGCTCTGCGTTTTTAATCCAACAAAGTTAATATATAGTAAATCGTCATTCACACCTCAAGTAAAATGCTAATATAGCAAAGGATAGAACTTACGTGTTTCCAGCAACCGAAGCTATAGTAACGATGATGACTTTTCGTGGGCGCGAAAGCGTTCGTGCGTCGGTCCTTTGAAATGCCGTCTTGCCTGTCAACCCATGATGGCTTCTTAGCAATTGATGATTTGATCATCGTCGCATTGTTGTTGCTGTCAATATTGTTTACTATTGTATTATCCAAATCAGCTTCATTGTTATGACTACTGGTTGGATCTTCTCGCTTTTTTACTTCCATAATTTGCTGATGATGAGCTTAAAAAAGAATGTTCCATGGGAATTAAATATCTACTGTATCATATTTAAATGCATAAAGGCGAAATCATTTTTCCGTAATGCAGAAATTAGTTGATCTCTCACCCTTTATCTTCCTTCTCGCCTTCCATTGTTCCGCGCAAGTAACTAAACAGAGGCTACGTCCCAAGGGTACAAACTAAGGACCTTTCTTTTCAAATGTTTCAATGTTTACAACGTCTTTATGTAAAAGAGGCTTTGGCTAAATTTACAACATATACCAATATCAATGACCTGATAGCTCTGAGCATTTCCATGTCTTTTGATGAAAGATGACAATTCATAGATCGGGAGTTACAGGAAAACGTCAAACATCGGCAAAAACCGGAGCTAGAGATGTTTGGTACAGTACTGGATTGTGGTGTCAAACACGAGATAAAGAGAAAACTCCAAGTGGTATGGATGCATACTTGATGTATATTTTTAAAAAGAGCTTCCAAATTCTAGACGGCATTGGGCATGCACCGATATAAAATGAAGTAGCCACAACAACAGCAGCATTTATGCATCGATGACTACTTGACTTGTGCGTGCAGTCAAGTGATGTAGATCAAGTTGAAAGCGTATTGAACCAGATTGGCAATTCGTTTGTAATCCCCGAGAACCGTCTGATGAGTGTATTCTGACGGATCGTGTAACAAGAGTATGATACGCAGTTTTCCGTGGATTTTTACTTATGAGTAGCGCACCTAGTTATTCAACTTGGCGTGACACGATTTTACATTTAGTCGATTGAAGCTACTAACTCAGCTTAGATGCTTTTACTATTTTTTTCATTTTGGAGCAAGCCAGTTTGATATTGCATGAATCATATTTTGGCACATTCGGGTTTATCATTTGGCATTTGGTGTACTTTATTTTGGCGTATTAGATTCTTTGATATCGTATATCTATAGTCAAGTAGGCTGAGCTAATTTCGTGGGATCCAAGAGTCATCTCCTGTTGAAAAGCTCCGTTTAACGTCTGCCTTCGAACTCTTCGATAGATCAAGAAATGTTCTTTACGGTGGTGAATATATATAGATTTAGTTCACCGGATTTCAATGCGTGGTTTACATTCTTCACACAGCGAATGTTGGCATTTTCATCATTAACGTCTTTCAGGCATATTTTTTTTCCAAGACATGACAGAATGATTTTTATGGAAATCAGTATAGCATATATTATTTCAGTGCAGTATCTTTTATTAATTGCATAATAACCGTGAAATTAAGAATGATATTTTCCAATATTAAACTTTGTGATTATTACTTTTTTGCTGATTGTTTTTGTGAACGCCTCCAAAAATCATATATCCAAACACTTTCATAAAAGCTTATTTGTGAGCTACAACCTGCTTTTAGATGGAGCTGTTCTGCTCAAAAAGGTGTCTGCGAAAGGGTTTTATAGAACGTATAGTTTTGCAGCGTTCTAAGGATACACATGTGGCAATTATATGTTTCTATTTCAATGATTTTCTTTGTGCGGTTTCATAATGCCAGTGGGCTTCTGATCATGCTTATGTGTTTTATTTAACAGTAGTAAAGGAAGTCGTCGCAGGTGATCAGTCCCACTGTTAGCTTACAAAACCGATCGTCGCATCAACAATAAATACACTAAAGCCGTGCACCACTGTTCAACTGGCGAGAGTGCCTTGGTTTTACCAATGCGGCGCACACGAGTGGCGGGCTTAATTAGTGCAATTGCTATCAACGCTTTCTTCGATAAGTGAGTAGGTAAGCACGGGAAATCAAGTTACTATATGGCAACAGTAATTCAGATAGCAAGTGTCATGCCAGTGCATACGACAGTGATATATACACTGTCAAAATGCAATCGCTTTTGCGACGCATTTATATCAAAATGCTTTCAAAAGATACTGATACAGCTTCTAATAGGCCTGCCACCGGAGGGGGGTTCTGCGGGAAACCCCAAGTGAACTGCCGAGACGAAGCTCTGTAGATTTTGATACGAAGCGAAGCGGTGGGGCTCAATAGCTTAATACATTTATCCTCGCTTTTTTAACGAAGTTTTCTGTATTATTTCTTGAATCATCAGATTTTCGCCAGTGTATCAAGTTTTAGTCAATAAACAGACACTGCATGTAACGCCTTTCCTATCATTAAAACGTCAGCTTTGTAGTATGCATGAATTGCTGTAGTTACACCAAGCAACAGCAGCTGCCTCTTTGAAGAACTCGAGCTGTTAATGCCGCCTCCAGAGCAACCTCTGGGTTTGATTGGAACACAAAAAGAAAATTCGAGGAAATGAATTTGCAATTGCCATCGTAACCATTAAACGAAAGTAAGATTAAATCATTTATTTTAATTTAAGTAATTTATGGAATTATGGAAACTGAATTAACAAGGGAGAGATAAAAGGTAGACTATATGAGCTTGCGCTCGCTTCCTATTATAATCGGAATCGTTGGCGGTTTTAGAATATATCCTTTGCTTCGCGTTATGCTACTCCTTGAAAAGTGCTGGTCGGCACTGGCATAAAAACATGACTGGCGAGCGCTTTCCTGAGTTGTAGAGATGACCCGAGCTCCTATGACGGATACTGTGATCTGCAGTTCATAGGAGACTTCAAACGTATCCTTGGTCATTTCTGGTAACACAGTACTTGCACAGTGATCCGGCACATAAAGCACTTTGGTAAGGTCAAACACGATGTTCCTGGATGAGCACAAGCTGCCGATTTCAGCTGCTGGCGTTGATGCTGCTGGTGTTGGTATATCGTCGCGTCCACCTTCCCATTTTAGCTCCATTCCCGAGTCGTTGGCCGTACTCCTTATCGATGATTGATCGTTGTTGTCGACTGGTACCGGTTGGATTTTATCGTTTCCCGTAAACAAAGTAGTTGCTTGATCGATCAATTTGGAGTCTACCTGCTCGCCGCAGTGATATGTCATGTAGAGGTGTTGCTTCAACTTTGTCTCGACGATGACTTGGGCAATGTCGAGACCAGTATTTTCCACGTGGACACGCAGCGGTATGGCGTCGCCTTGGCCGAAGGTTTTGTGGGGCAATTCTAAGGAACACTTGAGGTAAGGAGTTTCGAGCACCTTGCGTCGCTGAACGTAATAAGTGCTTAGATGATGGAATAGTCTGGTCATCCATGTCGTTTTGTTGTGTACAAGTGGCCTTGATGAGCTATTGCTGTTGTACTTGTCATGTTGGCTTAACGAGGAGGTCTTGGGTGGAGGCATTGTTTTTACGGTTTGCTTGCTCTTGACAGATAGGACTAGTTGGTCAAGTCTACTGTTGGTGATCCATAAAGAAACCGGACGACTGGTCATGTGCCGTGCAACAGCGAGTTCGTTCATCTCAGCTTCGTCTTTGAAAGTCTCGATGGGCGATGGTCGAAATACAAGTGGTTGAACGGTATGCGATGCCCAGCGTGCATTGGGGTTGCTGTCGGTAGCGTATATTAAAAGTGCAACCAAATGATATTGAATAGGATGGTTCTTGTCATTATCTGTACCAGGAAGCATGCGATGGGTCGTGATAGGAATCGAAAAACGAATACGATGGTTTTTGCTGGCTTCGAGATCATACGGTTTATCCTCTTCGTCATTCTGGGGTGCGTTGAGGATCTGGAGAGATAAACCACGGCTGCTGATGGGCTCGCTGCTTGGTGCGCACAGAGCAATTTGTTGCATCAGCTGCTCGACTGCCTTATCGCGTGCATGTTTAGATGACGATTTCCTGTTGCTGTAATTGTTGTCTTGCATCATCCAATCATTGTTGTTGATATCTTCTCCTGAATGCGTACCGACTCCTTCTTCGTCATGATGGATTGATGTGTGGATATCGAAATCATCTGGTTCAACCATTCGTGCTTTGTCTTTGGATCGTCTTCGTCCAACATTTTGTTGTTGCTGCAGTAATTGCTCATCCTTGGTCAAGAAAGGCGATACTGGTTCGGTACGCTTAACGATACGAATTCCTGTCGACAAGATCTTGACGTCGTTCTTGTAATCAAACAGACCTGCTGTCAATGGTTGTTCAGGCTGGTCACCATGGACACGTGCGTTTCCGAACAGAGATACTCGAAGATTCGTCACGCGAACTTGGGATGGTGAGCCCTTTGTGTCGACAAAAAGGCGTCCAGAGATGGACTGACCGTAGTCAAGGTAATCGGGTTGCTGATCGATAATAATGCTGACGCCAGGCGCAATCGGCTGTTGTCCCTTTGTTGTTGTTGCTCCTGTGAAATTGGTCTGTTTGCTGCTGCTGGCACTGCTCGAGCTTCGAGACGAAGATGCCCTGCGTGATGAAGAAGGACCGTACAAATCGTTGCCATAACTCAGATCAATATCGTCTAGCCGTTTGAATTGATGGGAAGTGTAGTCGGTTTGATTATCAGAAATAGCAGATATCATATTATATGCGTTTGGAAATAATTGGAAAAAGAAGAAAGAGAACAAAGAGCCATGTCAAATCAACCAAATAAAAATCCAAAGAGACGATGAGGTATAAGCACTGTACCTTTGAGGGGAGGTGATACGGTCATGCAGAGCAATAGGAGACAGAAAAGAGAGAAGAGGGTGAAAGTGTGACACTTGCGGATAAAGAGAGGGAGAAAGGGAGGCCCGTCGCACAATTTTATTTTTCCTTCGTGTATAACGTGGAGTACGTGCACATTTACAGAAATGATCTGCAACCTTCCTCAAATTAGGCTTAGTACGTCTTTAAAAACTTGTCGAATAGTTTTCATATGTAATTTCTTTTTCAAAACATTCCGTTAAACATTAGGCGCACGTATCTTATGTTAATAAGGGGGGCGGACAACTGGATGATCAAAAGGCTTAGAGATAACACTCGTAACTTCAGTAATTCTGTTCTCCAACACACGCAACCGAATTTCTTTCTCACTATCTGCGACGGATTGTATTTTTTTTGGCGACTTTTTGTGTCGACCTCAATCTTATCACAACTAAAGCTTCAACAAAAGTAGTACTAAGGCCGTGTACAATTACTGATGATAGATTGATGATTCTGTATTGGCCATTACGCACCTGCTCATTGTGCATATCATGTGGTGTTGCGTATCGACACTGCTACTCTACTTTCTTCACTTTTTAGAAGCCGTGTCTAAACTTGGTTAAAAAGCAACAGCACTGTCGATCAGCGCATGGACCCTACTGCATATCTTTGTAATGCTGACTTTTTTTTAACGATATGTACGCAAAGGCAGCACATTTTGAACTTACGATACTGCTGCCTTAAGCAGAGATACGTAAGAAGTTTGACTCTTCAGATCTGTTGGGTTCGTTCATGTCATTTTTGCCTCTCTTTGCGGTTTGATATTTATCTATTCTGATATAATGAAACAATACAGTTTACAAAGGTCTTCTTCCTTGCAGCTGTGCTTATATTATGACAAAATTCGTTTGAAAATAGTTATCTTTTCACACTTGTTTTTATTTATTTTGGAGAGCTTGGAAGGATTGCTGAGCCACTTATATTATGATATACAAAATGATAGCTCTCAGATTTGCTCTATACCATCAGTCGGTCAAATTAGAGAACAAAAACAATAGCTTTTGCTCTTATAAACGAAGAAGATGATGTTGGTTGTTGTTGTTGTATTACGTGGAAATATAGAGAGAAAATATATGATAATAAAATGACGATACCAATGTGTTAAATGGAAGGGAAGGCAAATACTGTAGGCGAATCTAAATTATATAAGTACATTGGATAAGAAATTGTAGTGTAAATCAGGTTTCTTTTACAGCTTTTCCAGGTTTTCTGGAGGTGGTGGATGATTAGAGGTATTTGCAGAATGGGACTTGGCACGAATCTGAGGACCCCACTTGTAAAATACAAATGGAATAGGAATAATTGCTAGACTAATAAATGCCAGAAGCGAACTAAACAAAGTGAGAAAGAGTCATTATTGATCCTCTGCAATACTGTAAATAGCAACCGTGATGTAGTTGAAAATGAGCTATAAGAATATTTACCTTGCCCACTGCGAGCCCAAGTTACGATACAAGGGTCCAACAAATAACGGAAAGGCGGCACCGCCACCACTTCGAATGATTGTCTTTGCGGCCAATGCTGAAGCACAGTATTGGCTAAAGCAATCGATAATATAATTGTTTGCTGCATAGTAGACAAGGACCATGCCAAAGCCGAAAGGAATGCCGGCGCACATTGGACCTGCCCAATGTGCATGGGACGTCCAACCAAAGATAAATAGCGAGATGGGTATAAACGGAGCCGAGAACATCATACCAGGCAAACGATCTTCGGGCGTTTGGTTACTTTTAATATAGCGCTTTTCGAATTGAGGCGTTATAAACAAAGCTAGGGCGACGCCAACCATGACACCGAGGAACATGAGACCGACAAAGCCACTGTTCATACCCCAGATATCACCAAAAATAATGGGATAACAGCCAAAAAAGCCATATAGCAAAGCGTAGATAATGGCAATGTACAAGGACATCAAGAACAGGATGGGCTCGGTCAGGAGTAAAGTAAAAGGACGAACCAGCGTCGTTTGGAGATCAAAGTTTTTCCTCAAGGCTTCGGATAGTGTACCTCCTCGACGACGTCGTAGCAGCACTGGTCCATAGGTTTCGGGGAGGAAGCAGATGACAATCCACATAACACCAGAAAAGATCATATTGACCTAGATTGTAATAATCCAATTATAGGAAGTTTTTCCGTTAGTAAACAAAGGCTCTATTGAGAAAGTTTAAATCCAAAAAAGTTGAAAAGGTAATTGATTACCCAGTAGATCCATCGCCAAGATTGAGTGCCAACGAAAACCCAACCGCCGACGATAGGGCCAAGAACAGGACCTGCATAAGGTGCGGCAGCAAAGTACGCAATGGCAGCGCCACGCTCTTCAGCTTTGAAAATGTCACTGATTGAGCCACCGGCCAGGGTGAGGACCACCGAAGCAAAGAAACCAGCAATAAAGCGACACACGAGAATGGTACCAATGTTTGGAGCCAGTGCGCAAGGAATGTTGAAGATGACGTATATGCCAATAGCGATAATATAGACGGGTTTACGACCTATCGTTTCGCTTAGCGGGCTCCAAAGGATAGGACCGACACCAAAGCCGCAAACCATCAAGGATACTTGTAAAGCAGTGACCGTGGAAGATACATTAAATTCTGACATGACGCCTCCTTGATCGCCGGAAATCACAGATGACCCAAAAGCAACAGAAATGACAAGAGAGGATACGATCAGTGTATGGACCCAGCGGTAGAGTTTTGACCAATTGTAAGGATTGGCAGGATCGTCAGCTTCCCATTCATCCTCCCCAAATTCAGAGACGATAGTAGGTGATGAAGAGGTACTAGGGTAGCTATTACTATTGTTGTTGTAGTAAGGTAGGCCTTTTTCAATCCGATTTGGATCATTTTCTTTGTATTCAGACACATCAGCCATGTCCATGTGTGTATGTGTAAGTGTTATGTAATAAAATCGATGAATGTAGTAGTAACAAATAGGTGTTTTTTGCTGCTAAGTAAAAGAATGACGAGAAGCGTCACGCTCGATATTTATAGTGATGTGCAAGGAATAACCATATTCCACCTAGTAGGGGGGAATACCAGGAACAGGCAGATCTCGGATCGGATTAATCGAGAAAGCGGGAATCCTTTTAGCCAGATCCCAGCGAATCAGATAATAGGACGCGGGAAACACAGGTTTTTGGATCGGAAGTGACGGGAAACTTGGACTTGACAGGGTTTTCCCTGGAATAACCGCTTTTCCCTTTTTATTTATTTCTTCTGCATTAATATGCCCGTGCACTTCTATTTGCTCTGTCGGGAGCTACAACAACGCCAGGTTCGCCTAAACCCCATACCCACCGGATACGACCTGTCGTACCGTATACGTATTCGAAACGATGATTCAATATTAATTCAACGACGATCCAGCAGTTGATGATGAAAAATATAACGCTGGCGATCCAGAGCGAGAAGAAGGTATTCTCGCCCAGAAACTCGAGATTATAGGCGTATTGAAGCCAGATACCCTGGTTTGAAAATGTCGAAACACATGTCAGTCAGATCAGAAATGCGATAAGCGGAGTAATACCATTTGCTTCTATGTTTATACAATATAAGGGTTTACCTGTCCTGCTGCCCAAGCAATAACGAGAATTAAGCCTTTCCAGCGAAAGCGGATCGTAGTAGAAGGTAAAATGAGTGGAAGAAGACATATATACCACATAAAATACTATGTAAATCAGTTTTAAAAAAGTGAAAATACGCTGGGTAAGTTTCTTGGTTATATTCAAGTTTCAAAACCCGCATTGATTTCGTTTTGCTTTTCTGCTTTTCTTTACCTGCGAAGTGCAGACTTTGTTAAATGTGACAAATAGAAAAGTTTGGATAAAGCAGGCGAAGAATATATCTTTTGCAAATACAATTCCTGTTGCTGCCACCAAAGCCAGTTGGGGCACAAATACCAGGAGGCCCATCAGTTTGCCAACCACGGGTGCATCAAATGCCAGGTACATCTGATAGAACCAGACAGAGAAATTGTGTCGGTGATCTTTGCGTGTGACATGGTACAAGTATGTGTGCTGTAAGAATTCATCGCCATAACTACAATAAAACATCAATTGGATTTCTTTACCATCAAACCTCTGCACCTTATACAAGAGCCTGAATCATTTTTTGTGCACTCTGAAACATGCCAGTACTTACAGTTGATACATGCACCACGTCAGAGCAAAAAATACCGCAGCGCTTACAACACCAAAAAGTATCCGTGATGGTGTAAAGAATAACGCACATTGTCGCAAAACACCTCGGATCTGGTTAACAGCACGATCGCGTATTGTTGTATTATCCTCGTCTGGTGATCCTGAAAGTGACGACGATGATGACAAAGTTGGCGGTTCGTTGATTTCAAATTTAGCCCCTCCATCTGCAAGATAGCGCTGCAAAACGTACAGCCGAGTCTGCTGATATGACCACATCATTTGCGGGAATTCGACGGGATCGCCGTACCGTTTATCCAGCAAGAACAGCAACGGAACGGCATAGATGATTGGGTATATCTTGAAATGTACGGCCAGGCCAAACAATGCACAGGCAGGGTAAAATCGGCGCGTAATTACCAAGTAGAGTGTGCCCAGTACCATGGCAGCCAGCAGCGATTCCGCATTACCACGTGTTGATATATTGGCTACCATTGGATTCAATAGCCACAACGAGTCCAGCCATAGTGCCTTTTCTGACGGCATACCGCGTAATACCAGGATTTGATGTATCAAGTAACCGACCAGAATGTCAGTCAGTGCAAAGACGCATTTGCCGAATGAAAAGAACCAGTAAATGTTGGGTGTCAGGAGGATCGCTAATAAGGGCGTATATCGGTAGGTTGCTCGTGCAAATGGTGATTCTCCTCGAGTGACATGCCGTGCTGCATCGGTAAACACCATATAATCAATGTCGGTGTATTTAACTGTAAGATACGCGTCTTGCCATTCGCCATATAGTAATAGTATTATACGTAGTAGCGTTGCTGCAATGCACAAGTTGGTAAATGTTGCCCAGTTGTTATTGTTGCTGCTGTTACTGTTCATATTGTCGTTTTCTTTTGTAGCACCTGCACAATGGGCATCGCTAGGCTTGATTTTTATAAAAATAAAGTAGAATGTCAATTGCCATCTTTATAATCTTGTAGTTGGCGGTGGTAATAACAGGTTTTGAAGTGTTTAGTTTACCTTTGGTCAGAGCTCTTTAGTGCAAGTTTCAAAAATTTATCTGCTTTGCTTTATTTTGCTCCCAGCAGATGGAAACTCGCCCAACGCAAAATTGTTACACACACGTGCTCGCTTGAATTCGTTGTAGTGCATCACACAAAAGTAGTTGTGCCGTACAATAGCCATTTTGACATTATCTTGTCATCCATCAGTAAGTGAAGCTTTTATCTTTCACAGGTGATATGTTAAGCATATTCGAAGCACGGCGGTACCATTATCCCCGAGAGGCGCATATCAGCAGCACTTCTCAGCTAACAACGTTTAGGCTTCCTACGGTTTATTGTATGCGGTTGGAGACGCTAGTGCAGATGTCTGCACAGAATAATGTAACAGGGGAAAAATTTGCCCGGTGCTCTTTTAAATACACTATAACAACAGCCCGTTTTGGTTTTGAAAGGCCAATATAACAAAAAGCTCGCAGTTGTGGTGTGAGTGTGAGCAGCATGTGTAGTGGTACCGTCGATCCAAGAGTGATGTCGGTAGCTACAAACTCACGGCCCTCTGGCCGAAGAACTGATGATCCGAATGTATGACTCAGACGAGACATCGCATTAATATGTCTGGAAAATGCGGGGGAAACCAAAACCCGCTCAAAAGATGGTTAGTTCATGGCACTCAGATTACTCTTAGGTGCCGCTACATCATACATACTTAACGCTGCTCTTAAAAAGTATCTTACGTATTGACATCACTGACATGAGTGAGAGATGGCTTATAGAAGTTGTTTACTGTAAATCTGTAAAATCTGTATTATTCTTTACGTTGACCAACTGAATCATCGTCGTTTAATTCTGCTTCCGCCAGCGAAAGATTCAGCTGTGTGTTATGGTATAAACATTTCCCGCCACTAGTAGTATGTACACATCAGTAGTGCTAACTGGCAGTTGCCTTGTACATTTGAGAGAACAAACACTGCCCTCAGTCTTAATGCATTTTTTGGTCATGCATGGCTTACTCAAAATGTTGTCATACATATAAGCTAGTATGAGCTCCCTCGTGATTATGTAAATTTTGTTACGGGGTCGCTTCTCCTGCAATTCTTTATTACTCATATGATCTGAGCAAAACATTCTCAGCTCAGAAAGAAAATAAGTGGAGAAGTCACCCCAACTTTCGTGGTACCCACATCGTGGCCCCGTACATGATACGTCGGTGAGTGCGAGTATGTGGGGTGGCGCCATTTTAAAGAGCTCAGCCGTGGTTTCCCTGTTTCCCTGTTTCCCTGAGCCTAGATTACGTAAATCTTGCCGTGAGAAAAGCGGAGTGATTTATAAAAACCCTGAATTTTTAAGCTTACTTGGGCCCTTTCCCTTCTATTTCCCTTCCACCCACACACACAAACTCACATACCGACAAACAAATTAGATGCACACTGCAATGATCACCGACATTAACAATGTACCTATTGACCAAGCCTTGAAGGAGAATGGCTATGTTATTGTGGATGGCCTCATTCCCGATGCTATGGTGCAACGCTTGAAGGATGCTTGCGAGCGCAGCATCAACAAGGCCCGAACCGGACAGTGGAAGCATTGCCGCTTTGTTGGCACCCAATTCCCCCCATGGACCGAAGGTACTGATGTATGTAAACACACACTAGCTTTTAACATAAAAAGCAAATGCAGCCCACTCACATACGCATACACGTGATATCATTGCAGGTGTGGGGCGTGCAGCATCTTTTGCATCCTGATCTGCAGGAAACCGTCTTTGCCGAGTGGTATGGTTCGCCAAAGCTTGTTGAAGCTGTGTGCCAGCTCCTGAGCACCACTACCGACAGCCTGCAAATGGGTAAATAATATTACAACCGCCCATTAGTGTGCTCTCATTCTCTTTTTCTGTGAATGCTTATTTCCTTTTGTTAATGTATTTAAATTCAACAGAGTTGTTCAATCTTCTTATTAATCCCGAAGAACGTGATTTCGACTTAACATGGCACCGCGACGCTGTTCCTGCTGAAACACCCAAGGAGCAAGAAAAGGAAAAGCTCGAGATTCCTCATTACGGCACGCAATGGAACACGTAAGTTTCCTAGTTCATTCTTCCCTCTTAGTTTTTTCAGCATTCCACAAAGTGGCTCTGACAACGATTCGCAACGATAACAGTGCACTTTATGACGACGCGTGTTTGTTCGTGGTACCAAAATCACACCGCCGTGTCCGAACATCGGAGGAGCGAGATATTACCATCAATGATCCCAAGAGCCACAACATGCCCGGTCAACTACAAGTGCACTTGAAGCCTGGACAGACCGTCTTTTATGACAACAACATTTTGCACCGTGCTGCTTACTTCAAGTCGTCGAAGCGCGCCACATTGCATGCTTCCATGGGAACCATCGACGGCGGTCATCACCGCGCTGCCACTATTTTCCAACATGGTTTGGATTGGATGGATACTGACGCTTTCCGCCAACAATTGCCTGAATCCCTCAAAACTCCTTACTCTAACGTCTGTGCCATGGCTGCTCGTTCCAATGAAGGCAAATTTGCCGTAAAGCCAATTCATGAGGGATTGTAAATATAAAACACCCATTTTTTATATCTTTTTTCCTTTTTTTCCCTTATAGCATAAGTAGTAAACAAAGTTGTAGTATCTGTAATCATGGTAATATAATAACACAGTCGAGCAGAGCAATGATGAGTTTCTTTTTTACATATATGTGCGGTAGTGATGGTGGTCGTAGTAGGTCGGTTTGGCTTGGTTTAAAAGGCATAGTCTAATTCTCCTTCAGAGCTCTACATACAAATTACCATAAACATGTGTTATTAGTCAACTCAATTAATGTCTGGTTGGTAAAAGATGCACAACTTACATCTTCGTCCGGGCTAGATAATATATGCAAGTTTGATTTATGTAAAAGATGATAAAAGAGATTTAGTTGATGAAGAAAGCAAGATCCAAAAAGTACTCCCGTAACCACGTTTCTCAACTTACACATCACCTAGCGCGACTTGGAGTTCTCGCACCCGTTCGCGGAGGGAATTTTTGTTATCAACCAATTGTCGTATGTAATCGGCAGCTAAGCAGAATGAAGAGGAGAAACAGCACGTCAGCTTATATGCCTATATGCAAATACACATTATGCAAAACAAGATTTGCATGTGATTTACTAATATAATAATCATTACATTTTTGCAGGATCAGTGATTCGCTGCGATGACAGTGACTGAGCGTGGGGACAATATCAACCAACTGGTCGAACCCTATACGAATATTGGCACGTCGTTTTTGCTCAGATGCAATATGGTTGGCCTTCTTCTGTGCGTCGCTCAAATACTCGTGCGGTGGCTTTCTCCCGCGACCATCTCCTCTTGACTTGGGCACCGGATCGTCAATGTATTCGCTTTTTCCTGGTGCTGCTCCAGACGCGGACGAGGAAGGTGATGATGGTTCTGCTATTGTTTGCACACGTTCACCCACGCGGTACTTTCGTCTTTCGATTTTGCCTGGCTTTTCACCGACAGGCGTTGTGGTCCTTCGGCGCACTGTTGTAGTTGAACGAGAGCTGGATGAAGCCGCTTGTTCGGGTATCGGGAGAAGACTGATTTGATTACTGGAAGTTGAAGAGAACATGGTGTTTGTGGAATAAGGCGAGGACAATAGTACGGGTGTTGGCGATGCTTTATTTATCCAATTAAAGATTCACATTATGTCAGGAAATTATTTCCTGTCTTGGCACATCAGTTCTGAGTATACTTTGTATAAACGAGCTTACATGGAGAAGGTTCTTCACCGCCGGGGCCACCACCGCTTACAACACCGCTCATAGGATGATGATGCTGTGGGTGACCACTGCCACCAGCATGTTCTAGTCCATCCAGGAACGTCTGCAGCTGTTCCTGCTCCGTGTCTGAGAACAAGTTGCTAGGTACCTGTATTGTCCTACTGTCTGCTTGTGAACCTGACAAGAAAAATGACATTCCGAATCACGATCAGTTCCCACTTATGCGCCCTACTTTCTGGTCGTGAATGTTGATTCCAAAACATGGCGCAAAGCAATTTACCTCTTGCTTGATTGGCGGCATTTTCAGACATTAGGTATATACGAAAGAGAACAACTAGTTTATATGACAGAATAAGGGAAGAACAGCGAAATACGGTCTACATGGAGAATAGGCATGTGAAGATGAATTGGTGGTGGTACAAAATGTACAGCTTTACGGACCAGCTTATTGGCAACACCGGAGTGCCTTTTTCGGGCAAACGTCTTAGCAACAACCGATCCCCGCGCCAATTTCGCGAGCGAGACAAGAGTGGTTTCCGAACAAGTGTATGTACAGCGTGGGGAAAATTATGGGCTCTGGGTTGTTGTTGTCGGGGCCAAGGGCATGTCGCCTTGGTTTTTAACGCGTCCCATGTCAGTGATCATAGGGTGGACGAGTCAAAAATAAAGACACACAGACGCTTTTGAGAATGAATGAAAGAATGGTGGTGTGATTTCGATAGTTTCATAGTTCAATACAGTATATACAAAAGAGAAAAAGCAGGAAAATAACACTTAAAAGGTAAAGAGCGTAAAAAGATCGCCCTTAATAGAATCCAATGGCATGTTTTTGTTACAATCCGAATATCATGACAAATCGTATAATGTTAAACACAGTTTTCGTGGATGAGTCCGATAAATACCGATGTCATCTTGCTATGTAGTCGCCGTAAATTAGCATATTATATGTATGCTACACAGTGTCAGCATGCTCTGAAGAATAGCATCTATTCTGTGGTTTTAACCAGCTCTGTATACGAGAATTTTCAATGTATGCGACTCGTGGCGTATATGCCCTACATATTTGCATATGCCCAAGGCGTTCATTTTTAGAAAGAACTTGAACCAATGAGCTGGTACATAAATAAAATATTGATGATCACAAGAGCAAAAATCATTAGGATACACCCAATACTAGACTAGTTTCGAAAACACATATATACAATGTCACCTCATTATTATGTATTACAAAAGATCTGCGAATGATCGATTCACTGCCTTATTAACTATGTAGTTTAAGGCGAAAGCTACCATAAAGGCTTATCAAGCTTCCCTGGTGTAACAATTGTCATAAGCAAAAGGAAAGGGAAACCACTCAACTCTGAATCCTGTGGTATTAAGGCAGAATCCTGAACATTGAATTTTTTTTCTGAGAACTAAAAAGCTCGTAGCATATCTTACGCACTATGATGTATGACTGAAGAAAGAGGTCGAAAATACATTCATAGCCCGTCTCTGTACTTTTCACGGTATGATGTAGCAAGCACGATTAGTCTTTATATCACGTCTGCAGCGTAGAAATTGATACGTATATTACACATTTTTTTTTCTTGGTTAGAGAAAGCAATGGTGGCATCTTATTTCGTCATTCTGACTGTGGAAGGCTCTCGATAGTAACAGACACAAAGATGGGTCCTGCCTTCCTTTTCAGGAGGTTTGCCGATATTAATTACGATTCTACTTCTGGGTGGGCTGAGATAATCATATGAAACCTACAATCAAAAAATGTCCCATTCACGCGAGCGGCTATGTATCTCCCCAAGAAAAACCTTCATCGTCGTCTCTGCGGTGAATGATAATCTCTGAGAGTCTTGTTATTCAGGTTTACCTTTCTCGAACAAAGAAGAAAAGTAACACGTTGAGACGAAATATAACGTAAAAAGGTAATTTTATGCTAGTGCGCACGCGTGTACTGTACGTGGAAATAATTAAGCTTCACCCGCGTATAAAGTTTTACGGGTGTGATGAGTCATGTACTATAAAAATGAAATGTGATAATATACACTATTTCGAGCTATGTCTATATATTATGTAGAGAGCGCCAAATGATAGTTATGGAATGAAGTAGAAATACAATGTAAATCAACATCAAAATATGTGATGATAAGTGTTATCTTATATAGAAAATAGAAAAAGGCGAACGCTTTATCAACGATGGAAAATTGAACCAGCATATATCTCCATTCTCTGTTTCTTTTTCACCATCTCGTGGAAAAATAGTGCTTTATGACGGCCTAGATGAAAAGAAAATGGCAGCCTTCTTAGTCGAAATACACTTAGTGATGATGGGAAGGGATCGTCCAATAAAACATACTCAGGCCAGCACGCCCAAGGAAAAAACAAGCGGTACCCGAGAGCAGCTAAGAGTATATAACACAGATGCGAACCAGACCGTCGACCGCTGCTTTCGACCCAAAGTATAAACGAAAATCGAGGCTAACTGGTTATCGATATACAACGTGTTTCAACTTCAGCAGTGACAAATTGAGGTGGTTAAACACAATCCTATAGTAATATGTCGCCCACACAATGAAAAACCTCCAATTTATTGACAACGGATGTTATCACATATATGCCAGTGTTGTTTACAAAGTGCTCCATTTAAATATGTCGTTGCTAAGGAATGATGGAGGGGTACTGAGAATCAAAAACTGTGTATACGCTTATATATTAAGGTAAGCATTTATCTGTGCCGTCTCCATCCGTTTTACAAGATGTGGGAGCGCAGCAATTTGATGTGAGCGGATTATTAGTACTAAAACATTGTTCGCCTTGAGCCATACAGGTTCCGTCAGCAGAGACAAGCAGAAAACCATTCATCATCGGCACGGTTAATGTTAAAATGAAAAGGTACTGAAGCGAACGAAGCAAAACCATTGCCAAGTGAAGAGAAACAAGTATGCTACAAAAAGAAGTAATTTAGTGAGTTTCATGAATATACTCGCGTCAGTGCATTAGTTTTATGAAGTACGGCTTACATGTAGAAGCTATCAAGAAGAGATCGTCTAGCTTTCTATACGGTTCGGTATCCTCTTTTATAGCCAGTTGTTGACCAATACAAGGAGAAGAGGCAGTACTCTTCTTGCGGATCAGAGGCTCACCTTTTTGTGTGATACAAGAAACAGGAGTAAGAAATATATAAATGTGCCAGGAACATGTGTTTGTCTTTGATCTATGTTCCTCCTTAAATGTCTGCAGCTTCCCTCGCAGCGTGGCATACATTTTGAATACTTGTGATCTGAAATAGTTACAGCAATGACTGAATGACTGAAAGATGCTCGCTTAAAGCAAGATAACCCAATTGAGATGATAGTCTTGTGCCACATTCAGCGATCGTTTATATCTTTATATGAGTGGGTGCTACTGTAGGTCACTATAGATGTACGCTTGATGAAACATTGAAATTACTTTGAAAAGAGCAAGAGATCATGTACATACCGTAGTCGCTTCGTTAACGCTCTCATGTCCTTTTCATTTAATATGTTTTCAGTAATATGTAGGAACACTTAACTTTCTCAAAATGTGGGTAGTATATGTTAGAAGCGTGTATATCGGCTTTCCTGTTTTCTTCTCGCTCTACGTATGTGGTATCAGCCTTTACTTTTTCTGATTGTCTCGGTCGATATTTTCCCTGCAATGATCGCCACACAAGCGTGCAATGTCTGTACCACTATTTGATTACTGCTGAGTAGTAGTTCGAAACGGTGCATAATACCCAAAACCATGGTATGTTTACATGAATAACTTTTATACAACATCGTGAAAACCAGAACATATATATTTACAATATTTAATAGGCTTTTTTTCTAGAAAGCAACTATTTAGGAACGGTAATCGCCGTTGATGGTAACATATTCATGGCTAAGATCGCAAGTCCAGAACTTGGTTTCGCTTTGACCGAGACCGAGGTTTACTTCAATAACAAGATCCTCCATTTTGAGAATTTCAGAAGCACGGTCTTCATCAACAACCTCAGGTTCACCCGTAATCATCAACTTTAAGGCTTCTGAACCGTCAGTAGGGACAAAGCTTACACTGACTTTGGTGGCATCGACAGGAATACCGCTGTGACCCAAGCTGGCGCAGATACGACCCCAGTTAGCATCTTGGCCATACAAGGCAGTCTTAACAAGCATGGAGGTGGAGATGTGCGACGCTGCTTGCTTGGCGTCTTCGAAAGAGTTGGCGCCCTATTTATTTCAATACGTTAGCTTTAGAGTCGACCTAAATAAAAACAACCCACAATCATGCTATCCGAGCGTGTTTCTCATCTTACCTTGACATGGATAGTGACAAATTTCGTAGCTCCCTCACCGTCACGGACAACAAGTTGTGCCAAATCAGCAGCGAAAGCAGTAAGCTGATCGCGGAATATCTCATAAGCTGGTCCTTCGCTTTCGATTCTAGCACCGCTAGCGCCGTTGGCCAAAACAGAAATGGTATCGTTGGTGCTCATATCACCATCCACACTGATTGAGTTGAAGCTTCGGTCAGTGGCGTACTTGAGCGCCTTGTTCAAAAGGGTGGGTTCGACGTAGGCATCTGTAACCATGAAACCGAGCAGGGTTGCCATATTGGGATGGATCATTCCAGCGCCCTTGGTGATACCTGCCATCGTCACGGTCTTACCATCCAAAACAAACTGGCCAGAACGCAGCTTGGGGAACGTATCCGTAGTCATGAAAGCTTCGGCGCACTTCATCCAACCATCTTGGTGTTCGTTTGATAGTTGCGTGTAAGCGTCACGAATACCGGCTTCGATTTTCTCAATGGGCAGTTGCTGGCCAATGACACCCGTGGACATTGTCAATGCACTGGCTGAATGGTTGACCAAGCTGTCGACCGTGTTGCGCATGCGCTTGGCATTTTCAAGACCTTGTTGACCTGTCACGGCATTAGCACAGCCTGAGTTTGTCACGACACCAAACAACGCGCTGCTGTTTTCTGCAAGGGTAGCCTGGCTCACAAGGACCGGGGCGGCCTTGAATGCGTTTGTAGTGAATACGGCAGCACCGGAGCAAGGGCGATCAGAGATAATGAGGGCAACGTCCTTGTTGCCATTCTTTTTGACACCACAGTGCACACCGCCGGCGCGGAATCCGGCAGGGTAAACGCCAGAGTTGGGAATGAGAGCTTGCTTGGTGCTGGTTAAATGAGAGTAGTTGCTGGTCGAGTATAATCGTCGTTGGACTTGACCGCGGACACCCCCGACACTGGCTCGGAGCATGGACAACATTATGTATATATGTATTTATTTGTAGTTGCTAGTGGCAATGGAGGTAGTAGTAGCAGTAGGAACAACCGAAAAAAAAAAAATAACAAAGAGTGTTTGATCGTGGATTTATAATTGCCGCCCAAGTTGCCTTATAAAGAGTGAGTCATCTTCGATCCAGCATTCGAAAAGCAGCAATGGACCTAATTATATCCAAGTTTTTGGTACTATAAACATGTAACGATGACACATCCTTATTAATCCCTTCGTTGAAAACTTGCTAATCTCTTTAGCACTGTCTGTATCGACAAAGCTGTAACCATCATCCAAAGTCCAATAATCTCTGATCTACTGCCTTTTTTGAGCTTTGGTTGTAAATAACCTACTAAACTCCAAAGGAAAACTTACAATAATCAACAATAGACATGCCTTAAGCTAGAAGATCGTATAGCATTGTTTGTGTCTGCGGCTATGTTGCTTCGTCTCGCTTTATACCTTGGATTGTTGTATTATCCTTGAAAGTTGTCTTACAGTGAATGGTGGTGGGGTGAAGTGGCGGAAGAAGCTTGTGTTTGAAGCAATCTTCCCCCCTCTGCGTCCCCCGGATAACGCCAAATACGCGAGTCGGACATTATTACGCGACACGAAAATTCAAAAACGCGCCTTGGTTCTTTTTTTTTTTTCACCTCTCACAAAACCATGGCAAACGACGGATCCCAAGATACTGAAATGCCTGATGTCAGTCCTACTCAGGATGTCGCCTTCAAACGACGCAAAATTCGACACGACGGCCCACAATTAGAGAAACAAACTTCCTCTGCGTTTGAACAGGAATTGAACGAAATGGTGGTTGACGGTGGTAATGACACTGTGCTTTTTTTTTTTGAATGATCTTTGTAGAGAGATCGCGCGCGTGGTTAAAACAGTAGATTCTTTACTTCTAGGTGATCATATTAAAGTGAATTTGGCTCGTCCACCCGCTCCAAAGATCGAGCCAACAAAGGATAGAATAGGTAAATGACCTACAAGAAAAAATAAGGGGGGAAAGGGGGGTGTGGAGGAGGTCAAGTTTTTTCTGTCTTTGTTTGCTAATAGGGTAAAATACAGTGTTCCAACAGATTGAAGCGGACGAGTATATGGATTATAACGAACGAAAACCAGTTGTGCGCTTCTATGGTGTTACTGCGGTAGGCAACTAGAAACTCATGTTTCATTATCCTTAACAATACAGAGACCGATGATTTATTAAAGGTGTGTATATCTCTATAGAGCGGAAACAGTGTTGTATGCCATGTTCACGGCTTTCTGCCGTACTTTTACTTTCCAGCACCAGTCGGTCTGCAAAAGAAACATCTTCCTGCTCTTCAAGCCTCGCTTTCGGTAAAGAAGCAAAAACAAAAAAAAAAAGGAGAAGCGTGGTTATTTAACGATTTAACTCTCTCTGGGTGTGTTGTTGTCAAAATCCGGTCTGACCATGGAAACAAAAACGATTCTTTTTTTTCTTCTCGTAGTCGGCACTAGGCAACTCATACATGATACAAAATGTCGATATCGCTATGAAAAAAAGTTTGTATGGTTACCGTGGTGATCATAAATCGCCCTTTGTCAAGGTTACATTGGGCGATCCCAAGGATATCCCCAAGGCAAGGAGTAAAGTGGAGATGGGTTTCACAGTGCCTGGTTTGGATCGCATTTGTCGTGCCGAAACAACATTTGAAAGCAACTTGGCATTCTTGTTGCGATTTATGATTGACCAAAAGGTATATTTTATGATGTGGGATTATCTATCAGGAGAGAGAGAGTGTGTGTGTGTGTGTGCGTGTATGATTATTTCTCAACTTTATGCTTTTCATGCAATTTCCAGGTCACGGGCTCAAATTGGATTGAACTTCCAGCAAGGACTTGGTCTTTTGTGGAAAATCCAATCTCAGAAGCGCAATATGAAGTCAAGACATCGTAAGTCTGAGCATGTGCCCAAAATCTGTCTTTCAATGTACGCTAAAAATCTACCAAATCGCTTAATAGCTATGACAAGTTTATAAGTCATCAACCTGAAGGCGATTGGTCCGGTATGGCACCACTCCGTATTCTGAGCTTTGATATTGAATGTGCTGGTCGGAAAGGTGTGTTTCCTGAGCCGGATAAGGATCCTGTTATCCAAATTGCATCTGTGGTCAAGATTCAAGGCGAAAGCACACCGTTTGTTCGTACTGTCTTTACGCTAGATGAATGTGCGCCCATTGTTGGCACGGACGTGCGCGTTTTCTTCAACGAAGGTGAACTTTTACAACAATGGAGAGACTTTGTCGCTGAGGTAAGCTTATCATTTAAAATTAAAAAAAAAAAGAGAGAGAGAGAGAGAGACTCATTCCGTAATGTCCATCACTAGGTGGATCCTGATGTTGTTATTGGCTACAACATTACAAATTTCGATTTCCCGTACCTGCTTGACAGAGCCAAGCATTTAGGTGTAACCAAATTCCCATACCTGGGCAGAGTTCGAGGTACCTGTTTCTACACTCCACAAGATTGTTATCCCGGAAAGAAAAAATTGTAGGGATAAAGCTAACTATTCCATGAATGACAGGTACACGAACGGAGGCTCGAGACACAAAGTTCTCGTCGAAAGCATACGGTACACGCGAAAACAAATCCATCAATCTCGAAGGCCGTCTTCAACTTGATTTGTTACAAGCCATCCAACGTGATTACAAGCTGCGCTCGTATACCCTCAATTCAGTCTGTGCTCATTTTCTGGGTTAGTTGTTGTAAAAAAAAAGAGAGAAAAAAAAGGGCCCTTCCCTACTTATTAGAGCTAGAGAAAAAAAAATATGGGATACTCACACCTGTGTTACACATATGCAGGCGAACAAAAGGAAGATGTCCATCACTCGATTATCACAGAACTTCAAAACGGAAACTCAGAAACGCGTCGACGTCTCGCCGTCTACTGTTTAAAGGTAAAAAACCATTTATTGCTAGGTTTACTATATGTTTTTTGCATAGTGTCGATCCACATTTTGAAATCTATATATACCACTCCGTTATGCGGTTATTTATTTTAGGATGCTTTCTTACCATTACGATTGATGGACAAGTTGATGTTGTTATTCAACTATACGGAAATGGCCAGAGTCACTGGTGTGCCTTTCAATTATATTCTCGTACGAGGACAACAAATCAAGGTCGTTTCTCAGCTGTACCGTCGAGCACTCGAGCAAGATCTTGTGATTCCTGTTGTCAAATCAGAAGGTTTGCTAACAATTTTTTTTAAAAAAAAATGTATAAAATGCCCAATCCTCACTCACTCTCTCTTTCATTTTCCATAGTGACGGAGGAACAATACGAAGGTGCAACAGTGATTGATCCTGTCAAGGGCTACTATGACATGCCCATCACAACGCTCGATTTCACATCACTGTATCCATCCATTATGCAGGCCCATAATTTGTGTTACACCACCTTGTTATCGAATGATGTCATCCAGAACCTCGGACTTGTCAAAGATGAAGACTATATCGTCACGCCAAACAATGGTGAGTTTTTCTCTCGTTTATGTACACGGGGACCCCATGTGAAAGATTCTTCATGTGTCGGAATAAGCTTTACTAAAACAATGACCTGGCTTGTGATAGATATGTTTGTCAAATCATCGCGTCGTAAGGGCTTGTTGCCGGAAATTCTTGAAGATTTGCTTGCTGCTCGTAAGCGTGCCAAAACCGACCTAAAGAAAGAAAAGGATCCTTTCAAACGTGCTGTACTGGATGGTCGTCAATTGGCTTTGAAGGTATGAATCAATGATACAAACCCGCGAACCACTTTTTTTTTTTTTTTGCTCTCCCAAAACGCGTTCATTGAACTTTTTTGTCAATACATACAGATCAGTGCCAATTCTGTATATGGTTTCACAGGTGCTACTATTGGTAAACTGCCATGCTTGCAAATTTCGTCCAGTGTCACGGCGTATGGTCGACAGATGATTCTCAAAACAAGAGAAGTGAGTTCCACATTACATTGACACAAGAAGAAGCATTTTTGGGGTCAAGACATTAAGATTATTTATTTTCTGTCTTTAGATTGTGGAAAGCCATTTTTCGATCCAAAACGGTTACAAACACAACGCACAGGTCATTTACGGTGACACCGATTCTGTCATGATCAAGTTTGGTGTGGATAATCTAAAAGAAGCTATGGACCTAGGTAATAAGGGTGGCGGATTTCTCGTTTGGTTTTCCTCCATCCATCCATCTTTGCGCGCTCTCTCTCTCTTTCTACGGTTTACTGACAAAACAGATTCGTTATATAGGAAGAGAAGGTGCCAAAATCGTGACTGAACAATTCATCCGACCCATCAACTTGGACTTTGAAAAGGTCTATTTCCCGTATCTTCTCATTAGCAAAAAGCGTTATGCCGGCCTGTACTGGTCCAATCCTGACAAATACGACAAGTTGGATGCAAAGGGTATCGAGGTAAAAGAGATAAAGAGACAACGTGTAGGTAGAAAAAAGAATGATTTTGTTGAATAAGTGCATGATGTATATTAGACTGTTCGACGCGATAACTGCCGTCTGGTATCAAACGTGATTCAAAAATGTCTGGATAAGCTGCTCATTGATCGTGATGTGATTGGCGCCCAAGAGTAAGTTTGATTTGATTTGAATAGACCAAGAAGATGTGTTGTTCTTGACTTGCTCACGGAACAGCAATCGTATAGCTACGTCAAGACCATGATTTCCGAACTCTTACAAAACAGAGTCGATTTGTCACAACTTGTAATTACCAAAGCGCTGAGCAAATCGGATTATGCAGCAAAACAAGCACATGTAGAACTTGCAGAACGTATGCGCAAGCGTGATGCAGGATCAGCGCCTTCCTTGGGTGATCGTGTAGCCTATGTGATTATCAAAGCCAGCAACAACACACCAGCCTATGAACGATCGGAAGATCCACTCTACGTCCTGGACAACAATATACCAATTGATACTCGCTACTATCTCGACAACCAACTTTCAAAACCACTGCTTCGTATTTTTGAACCGATCCTTGGTGACAAAGCCGAAAGTTTACGTGAGGTTCTTTTATCTCCTCCCCTGTGAGGCTTTGACTCGTACAAAATAACTCAAACCGATTCTTTTCTTTTTTTTGTGGATACAGTGAAAGGAGCTCACACGAGAACTGTAAACATTGCAACACCAACAGTCGGCGGTCTTATGAAGTTTGCTGTGAAATCAGCAACTTGCTTAGGATGCAAATCTCCACTTCCACGAGGCGGTAAAGTCATGCTGACACGTAGCTACGTAAAAAAAAAAGTTTCAATTGCTGACTTTAAAAATCCATAGATAACTCTGCCGTGTGTAAAAACTGCAAGCCGAGATTGAAGGAGCTATACCAGCGTCAGGTAACTATTTGATTGGATACGTGCGTGGGTACTGAAAAGCTCAATGGAAAATGTTGTGTCTGTTTGAAAGGTGGAAACGGTCAGTGAACTGGAAACACGATTCTCGCGACTGTGGACACAATGCCAGCGCTGCCAAGAATCACTTCATCAAGACGTGATCTGCTCCAACAAGGATTGTCCTATCTTTTACATGCGTAAAAAGGCACAAAAGGATGCCAAGGAAGCCTGTGATCGTTTGGACCGTTTCAGATACGATTGGTAGAATAGTCAGTCATTGTCTTTCCTTCCCTGTCCAACTTACACAGCATGCATATATACATATAGGGGCATCATCCAACAAATGGAAATTCACTTTGTAGTATGACCCTAAACAGCATTTCTCTTTTTTAATTATTGTTTTATGATAAAGAATTGGGGGCGGGTTGGGGGGGAGAAGAAGACTCTTTGTAGAAAGTGCATACTGCGCTCACATGGATTTAAAACTAACAATAATCATCCTTTTACCACCATAATTCTAGCAGTTCAGTAGTTGTTAATACAATTGTTTGATAACAGATCCATTTGGTGTGTGTGTCTCTGCTGAGTTCACCACCCGCCTTGTGACTAGAAATGGAAAGGCGACATCCGGCTTCAAAGTTGTTATACAAAGCCGAAAAAATTTTTGGGTGCTTGGACTTTACTTAACTCCCAGAAAAAAAAAAGAGCATGGGCAAAAGAAAGCATTCGGAAACTACCACGTCCGAGGGCAAATCGTCCAAATCGTCGCGCAATGTCAAGATCGCCGTGGAAATGCCTCCGGAGGGCGCTGATTCGCCTTACTTGGGTAAACTACACACACATTAGATTCTTTTTGAGTATCCCTCCTCCCCAAAGCAAATTGGTGTTGTTGTTGACAATATACAAATGGATAGCTGCATTCCCCGGTACGAAACCTCCAACCACTACACCATTCACGTCCTATCGATCCAGAGACAAGAGCAGTGACAAGAAACGAGTTGTTGTTGGTGAGACGGACAAGGTGACATTCACCGGCAAAAACCATGGTGAGGATGCACCAGAAAGCTATTGCCAGTGAGTTTCATTTAAGACACTACACACATAACATTTTTTGAGGGAGGAGGAGGAACAACTAAATAAATTGTGTGTGCGGCGGATTTCCCCCCCCCACAGATACCTGGTAGGCGTGTATTCCAAGAGCAAAAACACAGTAACGTTGACACCAGCACCTGTTTTGCGGATGCACCGATCCGTGAAAACGCTTGCACTATCCGACAACACGATCCGCAACAAACAAACCGCGTTCAACGAAGCCAAAACGTCACTGGGTCTTGCGTTTGGCACAGCCAAAGCCAAAAAACAACTCAAGGACGACGAACGCAACGCGGTGCGCGGTGAACAAGTCCAAGATGCCTTGCACGATATGCATCGCGAGATTGGCGAGAGCAGCACGGGCCCGACGCAGGCAGAAATCAAACAGGCCATGCAAGCCGAATTGCCGATTCCAGCACACAATATGGATGCCGCGTCGCCGCAAGAATGCTATGCTATCTCGAGCATTGTGACCGAAGAAGAATTGTTGGCCATGCCTGTCAAGGAATTGATCACGGCCAAGCCGCAACAGCCCAAGGATTTGAACCAGTTCTTGCCATTCGGTTATTCCAAGTTTGTCAATGAACGTATCTTGCACACGTTGAAAGCGTCGGGAAAAGTCGATCGTCCGCGTCTGCGTGTCCTCATGTATATCTCGTACTTGATGGCTTACTTGAATCGAATCAAGCCGTTTGATTTGAAGAATCGTCGCAAGGTTGAAACGGTCATGAAGAATCCGCCCAACGTTATCTTGGATCAGTTAGCCGATCGTTACACTACAAATGATGTGTAAGTACTCTCGCGCGCGCCCCCCCCCCGGTGTGGTGTGGTGTCTAATAATAGTTGTTGTTATGGTGATGATGGAATTGACTGACGACAACCTAAAATAATTCTAGACGCACACCGTTCATGCAAGACAAGATCTTGTGCTATATGATGGTACTTTGTTTGAGCGTCGCAGACTATCAATTGAACCCTGACCTTTTGGCCAGCGATCTGTCATTAAAGCCACTAAAGTAAGTCAACCCCGCGTAAGATTTTGGAGGAGCAGTGGGTTCCTAAGCAGCAGTATTTTTACCCTTAGAATTTCGACTGTGTTACGGAACCTGGGATGCAAAGTGGACACTGTCAAGTCCAAAGCCAATGGAAGTGTCACAAAGAAAGCGTCGCTTGTCGTACCGCTCAAATTCCCGGAAGTGTCAAGGGGCAAGCGCAAGTAGATTGCTTTTACCACCACACAAACACACACACACACACACTCTCTCTCTCCATAAAACACATAAGCACACACACGACATTTCACATTATCTCAACACGTACTACTACTACTCTTCTATACTCCTTCCTGTCTCTCTTTCTTTCTTTCTCTGCTAATCATGCAACATAGCACGCACACACACAGACACATTCTATACATACACACAACAACCCGTTTCCTCCCCCTCCCCATTAGCATTCTTCTTTTTATCTATCACAATTAGAAAAAGAGTTTATTTCTTTTTACAACGTTTGATATAGTACGATTGATTTTTATGTGTCACAAAATGCTAACTTTGGGAGGGACCACACACGTAGAAAAATAGCCGCTACCAAAAAAAAAAAGAAACGGGACCTTCCGAAACGCACACCCACATATACAATCGTATTAGACCGTTCTCTGTAATTATTCTTGATTCCCTCTCAAGACAATACATGTTGGGAGGGGCAGCCATGGACACAGAGACAGACAGACAGAGAGAGAGAGAGAGAGAGACCTTACTTACCAACACCCCCGAATAATAGCAAAGGTTGTCAATTTCATTTTGTAGGGTCCAAGGGCTGGGCTTTATTCTTGCCGCGTAAAAAGGGACGAACAAAAAAGCAAAAGAAGCCCTCGAGGATATGAACTACTCGTGATGGGTCTTTTTTTTGTTCTTTGTTCCTCTCTCTATCACTTGCTTACCATACACGGACGGCTCTGTCAACAACTTTTTTTTTTCATGTTGAGCAAATGCGTTCATACATGTTAAAAAAGAGACGAGAGAGAAAGGCATCAGGGGAACAGACAAAGAATAACATTTTCCACACAAAAACACTCATTGCGGGTTAGAAAGTACATGATATGTCTTTTTTACAAAGCGAGAAAGGCAGAGTTATACTTTCATTCACTCATACACACAGAGTCCATGTAAGAGGTACGTAAGGCAGTCGGTGTGTATATAAAGTGTGTCGGTGTGGGGAGAACAGCCATAGAGAGAGAGAGAGTGACTGGTGTGCTTGTTACCAAAAAGAAAAAATTGGTATATAAACCGAGCAAATCAGTTCTTAGTTTTCTTTCCCCCCCCCTCTCTCTTTCTCTCTCCTTTGCTCTTTTTTTTTTTTTTGTTGGAGCTGAGAGTCGTCGCGACTTTAATTTTTTCTGATACTTTTTACTTCTTTTTACGGCAACTCGCGCTGTGTTGTATTTTACCCACTACTCTTTCCCCTTTCTTTTACTTTTGCAAAGCACTGAACAAGAAACGCGTCCTGTTACTGCCCTGCTGCTGCTGCTCTATCTCTCAAAATTTCTGTTTTTTTATTTCCCTTTCTTTCGTAACACGGTACAATACACACAAACATGCCATTAGACGAGGTACTTTTGTCCACCCCCATGACATCTGTTGTTACTACTACTACCTTGGGTCTCAAGCTGGATTGACTGACTCAAAAGATAATAATGCAGGATGCTTGTGTGATCTGTGAGGGTGATCGTTCCACCAACAAGAATCCCATCATGTTCTGTGACGGCAGAGGTAAAAGAAAAATAGTCTCTCTCTTTTACAAACCTATCAACAAATTCCCTTGTTTTTGCTAATCCCCCCTTGTGTATATAGGATGTGATGTTCCTGTGCATAAAGGTAAAAAACCATGAAACAAAAAAAAAAAAGATAAAAAAAGCTAAAAAAAAAACGCATAATTTCCCCAGATTGTTACGGCGTCGATGATGTTCCCGAAGGGGAATGGTACTGTCAACGCTGCGAAGCCAGGCGGAATGGAAAACCTGCTGTACAGTATTATCATCAGTTGTTGGTTGTTGGCTTTTTTTGCATGAAAAAATAGAAAACTCATCCTTGATAAATGTTCATACTATGAAGCGAATCGTATGCTGTCCAGTGCAGACTGGCGCACTAAAGACAACAGTAAAGGCGGGCAATTTCATCCACATTGCATGTGCCAAGTGGAACCTGGACATCGATCATGAAGCAGAACCCTACGATGTTGACAAGGCCTCCATGGATCAGCATGTGAGTAAAAGTATTTTTTGCGAGTCCGACTCTTCTTTTTTGTGAGACTCACTGGTGACAAACACCTTGGCACTATGGCTACTGTTAGACATGTTTTCTCTGCGAAAAACCAAAGGGTATCTGTATCCAATGTCAAGACAACTCTTGTAACAAGTAAGTTTTTTTGACAACCACCCCTATAAAAAAGATGACACCTATTCACCAACAGTTTCTTTTTTTCTTAAAACAGGTGGTTTCATTCTACCTGTGCCATTGATGCCGGCCTCATTGCTGTGACGAAAAAGGTGCCTGAGAGTTATTTGCCTCGATGCAATGACCACCAGCCTCAAGAGGTCATTCACAAGCGTCTGGTACGTCGTCATGGTGATAGCAGTGCTAGTTCTGGCGTAGCAAAGAACAAGAGAACGTTGCGACGCAAGGGACGATTGATGACCAAACGAAACATGATGGAGACAAGCAGTTCTGAACAAGAAGACAATGATGACCAAGACGAAAATGAAGATGAAGATGACGAAGATGATGATGACGACGATGATGATGATGACGACGATGATGATGATGACGACGACGACGATGACGATGTTGAAGAACCGGAAGAAGAAGAAGAAGAAGAAGATAGTGATGACATGGGCACCAGCACACGAAGAAAGCAGCGACAGCAACACACCAAAAGTGCTGGCAAAAAGAACAAGGAAAAGGCTACGCCTATCAAAAAGCGACGTGCCACCGCTCCACACGGGAAAAAGGGTGGGCCAATCAGATTGTTTATGAGTGACCAAAGTGATTCCGACGATGATCATCAGATGGGACGTGCCAGCGGTGCCAACGGTAACAAAAACAAGGCCGCCAACACCAACAACACCACTACTACTACCACTACTACTACTCTCAAGAATAACAATGGTAGTAATAACAACAACAACATATCATCCCCATTACCATCACCAGGCGGTATGCTCAGCATGATAGAAGCCAAGCTGAAAAAGAGTCAAATGGAAAAGCAAAAGTTATCGCTGCAGCCACCTCCCTCCTCTAATAACAGCATACCCTTCTCTTCTTCTTCTTCTTCTTCTTCTAATCAACAAGTAACTACACCCATCTCTGCCACAGCTCCAGCTCTTCCATTAGCATCATCATCACCATCCATGTTTCCATCAACGACCTTGTCACCTGCTGATGCTGCAGCACCACCTACACCGGGCCTATCGACACCACCTGCAGCAACAACAACAACAACACCATTACAATTACAACAAACTAAGCCGTCGCATGTCTCGTCAACGAACTCAGCACAAACACTACAACCACTACCACCCACGCCACACAAGCAAAAGTTGCCCAACAAGGCTCACCTGATGCCGAACCAAGCGCCACCCAATGGACATGGCAAGAAACCCTCGCCAGTGTTTCGGGATTTGGATGATATTCAAAACGACATTCTTGGCCAGCGACGAGCCACGGTGGGACCGACTACGCCTACAACAACAACAACAACTAATGCTGCTGCTGCTACTACTTCTACTGTTACTACTACTACTACTAGTGCTGCTGCTGCTGCTGCTGCTACATCTGCTAATACAAACATACCCAGTCCTTCGTTGTCCTATGACGCTGTTGCTCCTTCTTTGACAGTGAATGGAGAACGTCGCAATACCCTGCCTGATCGAAAAGCGGCCATCTATCCACCAGGGTAAAGGCATTCTAGGTTCCCCCCCCCCTTTTTTTATACACCATTTGCTGACTGTAATCTCTCTCTAGTCCTCCGCTACAACAACCACAACAACAACAACCACAACAGCCTCGCCAACGATCCATGGAAGGTCCAAACGATATCAATGACTTGCAAAAGCTGTATATCAGGTCAAAGATCACCGAGATTATGGATGAAGTGCTTGCCCAGCCACCACGTAAGTTGTTTTTTTTTTAAAAAAAAGTAGTTTTCCAGAGAAAGGTGCTAATGGAGGGGGATAATATACAACAACAGAAAAAACACCTAGCGATAGCGAGATCTTGCGACACGAAGTGATGCGACTGAAAGAAGAGAACCGACGACTGCAGACGTTCCGCCGGTCTGTGGCCGAAGTGTTTGAAGGGCTCAATGTCAAGGTACCGAGTGGGCTGCCGATCAGCGTGGACAAGATTGAAGACTACGTCAACGAACTGCGGATGATGTTTGTACGAAGTGGCGCGATACGCGATCAAGATTATGCTCGTATCAACCAATGTGTTGAAGACATGATCATTGACAAACTGTAGTAAATAGTCCCCTTTCCCCCCTTCCCTCTCCCTCCCCCGGCCCTTTCCCCAATCGTACATATAAGCATTCTTCCTAAAAAATCACATCCCTTGGTTATACTTGGTTTTCTTTTTTTTTTTTGTCTATTCCCTCACACCCACATCGGTCATCATCCACCCACTGCGCATTATTTCGAAAAAAAAACAAAGAGGTTTTTTTTTTTGTGTTCTATTATCAACGTGCTTTTGCTTTACAAGGAAAAAAAGGGGCTCTCTTTTGTACTATGTGTCATTTAGTGTTTTTTTTATTATTATTATTATTTACTTTCAGTACTGTTCGTAATAGTACCAGTAATAAGAGGAGCAGATGGCGATGATGAGGATGAGGATGAGGATATGCTTTCATGAATAAGAGTAGTGTCGTTGCTCGCAGTATTATCTTTTTGTCGTTGTTCAAACACCAATGATCGCAACACTCGGTTCTAAATGAATAAAAAAAAAGTTTAGCTTTTTTCCTATATCCCATATCAAAAGAGAGAGGGAGAGAGAGAGAAGCTTCAAAATGAATTACCTCTACTTGTAAATCATGTAACTGCCGTTTCAAATCTTCTGCTTCGTTTGATTTCTGTTGGTATTTGGTAGTGAGCGAAGTTTCCATGTGGTGGTATCGTTCTGTTAATTGCTCGTATGCTTGGCGTAAAGAGGCTTGTTGTTCTGTTGCGTTGGCTGTGTTGTCGTCTGTACTGCTCCGTCGTAATAACGGCTCGGGGTAATTACCTTTGTTGTTGTTGGGGCGGTATGGTTGTTGATGACGATAGCCGTAAGGAGAGGAGGAGGGTGATGAGGTAGTGTATTCGGTCGGCGTCTGTTGTTGTTGTTGTTGTTGTTGTGGTGGTGGTGGTGGAGGTAGCACGATGCGGTGTTGGGAAGGAGAGGTGGATGATGATGTGGGCGTCGGTGTATTGTCTGAAGAATCACGGTGGTTGGAGTAGGGGAAATGATGATGATGATGATGATGCGACAGTGATGAAGTAGGTTGTTGTTGTTGTTGCGGAGGAGGAGGAGGAGTTTGTTGGTTGTGGAGTTGGTGGTGGCGTAAATCAAGCTGCGGAATAGGTGGTCGATTATTGGATGGTTGTGGTTGTGGTTGTGGTTGTGGTGGTGTCGTAGCCGTGGCTCCAACATCCGAAGCCGGTGGTGTGTGGCGTGCCTGTTGTTGTTGTTGTTGTGGGTCAGTTTCCTTGCGTCTGTTTTGTCGGTAATGACATGCAGAGCCACCTTCTGTCCGCTGATGTCGATTCAATGCATCCAGTCTTGAGAATGAACGCTCGCACATGCTGCATACATACGGCCGTTCACCCGTATGCAGCTTTTGATGCCGTTTAAGATCGTGCAGCCGTCGAAACTTGGAATCACAAGCATCGCACTAAAGACACACACAAAAACCTGTTAACATGCTTTCTCTCTTTTTTTTTTGACATTGATGTAGAGAACGTGTGTGTGTATTAAAAACTCCCATGCGCTTTAAAAGAGGGGGGAACCAAAAGCCTCCTTCTTCTTCTTACCTTGTAAGGTCGTTCCATCGAATGTGTCGCAAAGTGAGACTTGAGATTATGCGCCCGACTGAACGTTTGGTCGCATTGTGTACACGTGAATGGCTTGGATTGATGAGAGGTATCTCGTCGTTTTGCATTTTGTTGTTTGTTGACGGAAAATGAAGTGTACAAGCCGCCATTGTCATGCGTTGTTTGCTGTTTGGATGGTCCTACGGTATATGTGTTGTTGCCGACGCGATACATGTTGTCGTGTGGAGGCGGCGATGAAGCCACTACTCTTGGGTGTTTGAGTCGCTGGTAGTCATGGTACTCGTGTTGCTGAGGGTAGTGCTGCTGTGGTGGGTAATGATGATGATGACGAGGATGTGGCTGTGGCTGCTGTTGCGACTGCGGAGGAGGAGGAGGAGGCGTCGGCGGCGGCGGCGGCGGCGGAGAACAAGATGAAGCTCTTTTCGTAGAACTTGTGCCAGTTGTACTAGTAGTAGAAGGAGGAGGAGGCGGCGGTGGTTGCTGTGCTTGAGGTGCTGCAGGTGAGACGGGGGTGGGTAAATGGGCTGGCCATGCTGCGCCATCATCGTGCGTGGAGATGCTCAAAGTGTCGTTAGCGTTTCTTGCAGTAGCAGCAGCAGCATTCGTGGTAGTAGCAGAGGTTGGTAGTTGTGACGAGACAGTAGTATGGCGGTTGTCATTTTTATGAGAGGTGGTTGCACCAGTGGTGGTGGTAGTGATATTGGTGCGATTCAGCAATGAAGAAATGGAGGAAGAGGTGGGCGTAGCGGGAGTTGTGGTCACAGGCGAGCTTATTGGCGAGGTGGTGGACATTTGCTTGTTGCACACTCAGAGACAAAGGGTGCTGTGGTAGGATTGGGGGATGGAAGGGAAAAGAGATAAGAAGAAGAAGAAGAAAGAAAAGGAAAAGAAAAAAGCGTAGCAAAATAACTCTGTTGAGTGTGTGTGTTATGAAAATTTGGTGCGCCTCATGCTTTATTTGGTCTAGCGTCCAATTCTTACCACGAATAAAAAAAAAGTGTGGCTGAACAAATACACACAACCGGGCTTTGGCTTGGCAAAAAACATTATTCAAGTAGTAGTAGTAGCAGCTACCCAGGTCTCTTCACTGTGCTCGCAAGAATACTACTTGCTTCCCCATGGTAGCCTTTTCATACCTCTTACAAAACCGTGTAGAAAATCCATTTACAAGAAGAACAAGAAGAAGAACCGAGCGGTTTCGGCCAAGTGCCGTTATTTAGGAATCAAGCCCATTCTGGTAAACAACTCCACCCTACCTACGTAACGTAAGATTTTCCTATGTAATCGTTTAGTAAGCGTGGCTCCCTCTCCCCTTCCTCCCCCCTAAACACAAGCACTCCCCCCCCTCCTTTCTACAACGGCTCCACCTTGGGGTTAGGTTTGTATGTAAGCACAGGCACAAAGGGGGTCCAAAACAATAAGGCAAAGCGTACCTTGTCATCGCTCACACGCGTCAATTGTTTTTTCTTCAAGAAACAAAACGTGCCCTGTCTTTTTGCCACAACATATCAATCTCGACCACTACTAATCATCTTTGTGTGTGTGTAACCTTTTCCAGGGCCCTCTGAATCAAGCACTCACACAAGTAACAACAACGCCCGCGGCTTCTCCGACACAAGCCCCAGCCAGAAAGTGGACTTGTACAATCGAATTAGAAAACCAACCCTCTCTTGTGTTACCGCACACATATTAGCTCCGTTCCACAGTTACCGCCTTTGCTGCGCGGCGTTAAGGACCCTGCGCATGTTGCTGTGAAATTGGAATGAAAGGGCACTTGCTAGCCCAATGCTTATTGCATTGAACGGAAATGGTGTTGTCAAGAAGGGTAAACCATCCAACGTCGGCATAGCCCGTTTTAGAGCAAGAGAGCGAGAAACTATTCGATGTATGTATAGATGCAGCTGTGCGACACTAGCCAGCAACATCCGAATAATACAATCTGTTCCCATCGTTATATAGCAAAAAAACGTAGTGCATTAGGAAATTTGCATTATATACAACGTGAGATATGATAATTCACGTGGAGGACATGGTTTGTTGTTGTAACCTAATTCTGAAACTTCTAGTAGCTACTTGTTATTACTACTATATTTGTCATCATGATGTTAGTAGTACAGTAGCAGTAGTGATGATGATGGGATAATAGACTCTTGTGCTATGACAGACGAGGCGTAGTTGTATCACATCATTTACACAGGAGCCATGAAGTAACATTAGAAAAACAGACTGGATGATCTCCCAACTATACGACGTACCACACAACATGGCTGGTGATATGCCCTTTTCTTATATGAATTATATAGAATCATGGGAAAGAGCGGACCCTGCATTCATGTCCTAATACTTTCTTTCACTGCCCACAACATAACACTCACATGGTTTTATGCAAACTATGTACTGTAAATGATGCCACGTTACATGTAAGCATATCATACATTGATGGTTATTATTAGTGCATCTCACTATTTTGCCAGCAGAATCATCCATCCTTATCCCGCGTCGAATATACCGTATAAGCTTATCTTTATTACTAGAGTATTCGCAGTCGCATCAACAGGGGCTATTAGATATATAGAGATAGCCAGTATGACGCCTGTCATCTACTGTTTGTTCCCTCCTCCACCTACGTAGTATATAGCAACCATTATTCAATCATTATTGCTACATAAAGGAGTACTTACATTACAGGATTGGATACATACACAAGCTATACACCTCTTGAAACCTTTCTCTGATTATCATAAGTACACAGCTATGACACGTCGACTTTGTTTCAACCGTTCAACAATCTCACTATGTAATCCACTCAGCTCTGCAATTCGAATCCATGATGAGAAAACAATTTTATAGCTGTTATGATTAGCGGTCGACGAAGCAATGACTGGGGGAAAAGGATCGAAAGTGATAATTATTCCCGGTCAAGAATTCTTGCCAGAGTTTAATATACTTTGAAAAAGTTAACAAAGGAACATGTAAATTAGCAAGTAGCAGTGAAATGCTTTGAAACGATTGAATAAGAGTTCTTTAAAGTATGGACAGTACCTTTGCTCTTTCCCAACTGTACATACTTACGATGCCAAAACTGAATTCGCATGAACCGTGATTAGCAATAGCACTCTTCCGTCTTTGATGGGTAAGTTTCAGTAAAACCCTCTCAGATTAGTGTGTGGCAAGTCAGTAGGTCGAAGCATTGAAGCGGATGGCGCTGTCTACTATGTAAACGGATGGGTCGGGCTAAACAAGAAAAAATAATAATGGTTGTCCTTGCCAACCTCTGATCATGTATACGTAGACACAGCATATCCATTTGGTGACCTTGTATAATATGGGTTGCTTTCCTCGCGGTATCATACAATGATGTAGGGGAGGAAGAGAATATATTTATAAATGGGGGATATACACCACAACCGAAAAGCTAGGGCTGAGAAGAAGCTACAACTACGTATGTTTGTAGTCAATGGTGAAAGTGTCGGGAGACTAGCTTTGGAGAATCTAAAAAAAGAAAAAAGGGACACTGTATAGGGTATGCTGTAAGGACAACTATACGCGTGTGTGAGTGTGTCTACGTAAAAGAGGACAATTTGTGGAGCAGGTAACTGGATCCGTAGCATCATAGTCAACACCTAGATGGCTGGGGCGGTCTATTTCGTGCAGGACACGGTCAAGCCGAGAGTCGGGTAGATGGTTCGAAATGTAGTGTCCAGTTGGTTGTACACACCGCCCAGTATAATCACTGCATATATTTGAATGTGGGGTCTTATAAACGTTCGTCGTATTTTCTTTTGGGCTCGTCTCAAGTAACCATTTTCGACGATGATACATACATATGTTACAAAGGAACTCGGGACTAGTTTGCATAATAACACTGCGAAGCTCGCTGTATCAGCAGCTGCTAGACGATGTTAAGGCGCTGAATTTACAGCATATTCCTATGACCTGAAGCATATTACAGTACATATCAGGTGCGGTGAATGTGGACATAGAGCTAATACAAGCTAGAAGCTTCACTATGGTACACTCCTAATTTCACATAATCCTGACATCCTGCAGTAAAATCTGAACGAGGACCGCCTGTTCGTATTGTGCTGCTGGTACTTTGTGATCAAAAAAGAGCTCTAATTTGATGAATTAGTGAGGTGTAGTGATCTGGAAGATGTGGATTAGGCACGTTGCATAATCGTACTATTGATTCAACATCTAATACCGTAGAGCGATTGAAAGTACATTATGACGATACAAATTAGGCCTTCTTCAAACATCCATAAACAACTTGCTTAAAGAAGCTTGTTGGATCATCTTTTAGAAACCAAAAGCGTAAGTAGTAAGAAAAATCTCAAAGGAATCGTAAAATAGCGTGAATAAAGCTATATTGTATGCCTACGGTGATCTCCTAAATCATCGATGTCAAGTTAAACTTAAAAGCAGCGTATAGGCAATGCGAAACAATTTGCGGTGACAAATATGCAAAGAAGAAAAGAGGGAAGAATCGGAACCAATAATATTCTCTCAGACTTGCTTATGCTATGATATGACGGATAGCGGCATGGCCACAACAAGCGTCGCTTGAAACGCCAGGACGTGAAGAACGTTATCTCTCACGAAAACAGTAGGCACCCTACCCTGTCTCAGATGCAATTTGGAGCTCCCGAACCTTGAGCTATTGTCATCCATGCATCCTACCACTGTATATACACTATGCGCTATGAATAGGGGGGATGCTTCGCCATGCTCTGCCTTATTAATTCCTCGCCTACACGCTCAATGCACTATGGTGCACGCCACCTTGAACCGTACCACTTTTGGGTAAATTTAAAGTACTGTGAACCCATTTCATCACCCCATATCAAAATTTTAAACCGATAAAAATGCTCCTTTTGACCAGGAGAAGGAAGTTATCGGTTTCGATTTTTCTTTTTATTGATAAATTTTTGAGCTACCGTCGCTCAAAAGTTACAAGTGCTGAGGAAAATTTGACAGTGATTCGATTCCTGCGTAGAGCTTAAGTTTATTCGGCAAATATATATGCCGAATATATACTATATGAGATCGGCACCGATTATCGATTGTACTGTTACATATTGCTGCGTAGAAAGTTTTGTGAGTGAATGATACTCTTATGCACCTCTTTCTCCTAACTTTTAATTATAAAAAGTATCAGCAGAAGAAGCTGGCTTGCCAAAAACAACCAGCAATGTGTGCAAACTGGTCAATTTTCAGCAAAAAAACTATTTGAATCTACGGACAGCTCACGCTGTCGCAGCTGTAGCAGCGATACAACTTTTGCAAACCTCAATAAAAGCTGTTCCCAAAGTCCTCAATAGTATTCCTCTGCCAATGATTCGTAATATGGCGCGTAGAGCATGGAGACATCATGATGGTTAGAAGGTCGTGATGCTATTGATGCTGTCATTTCATATGCAGCTTTTTAAAAACATCGGTGATTAAAATTAATAAATTGACAGTGATTTCTGCAAAAGGTACGGTTTAAGGGGGCGTGGCACCATACCTGTGTCACTTGTCAACCCAGGTCACCTCCAAACGCTTCCTTCTGCTCAATACACATCTTTCGTCAACGATCAAGGATCGATTTTATTTGAAAAAAAAACGTCAAAAAAGCAAGAGCAAGGTTTATTTTCAAAGAAACAGCCGCACGGATGCTATCAAAGGTAGCAGCGTATAAACGCCCTACTAGAACGCTCGTGTCCATCTGATTGTGAGAGCTTAGGCTTGTTGCCATGGCAGTGGTGGCTGTTTGTCAGTGGTGGTCGCCATGGCAGTGGTGGTTGTTTGTCACTGGTGGTTGTTTGGCATTGTGTGGTAAAAGTAAAAGCTTGTTTGGAAGTGCTTTTGGCGATTTGTGTAACTTTCCTTATTTATTTACTATGTCATGTAGATTTCTGACACAACGTTAAGCATGGATTTACATTATGATGACCAACGAACTATAGTAAAAGAAGTTTGCCCCGATATGTCATTGGGAATGATAATTAACCTTGGTACTGGACCTTCAGATCCAGGCAGCAGAGATTCCCTTTATCGACTCGTATGTGACGGACCAGTAGTAGGATAATGACTGTGTAGATCAGTGCAAAGCAGGTGCTCGTCGATACCAAGGTGGTCGTCCTCCTCAAGCATATCCCCATGAGCAAAGTATTCGTGCCTGGTGCGGTCCCTCTCCGTATAAAAAGCCATACCACATTCGCCGCATATGTAGAGCATCCGGAAGGCAACTGGTCCTCCAGTAACTTGTTCTCGAAGACGAAGAAGGGTATAAAACGTATAGCTTGCTGCACCTAACGATATCATTGTGGATTGGATTGTATGTAAAGAGAATTCTGTGGTATGCTAAGCGTGTCTTTTAAAAATTTAAACAGAAAAAAGAAGGATGAGAAGAAAAAGGACGTAAAAAAAAAGAACAAGAAGTGGTAAATAAGGTGCGAAAAGGCGCTTTGTACCACATTACCAAATAAAATACATTCGAAGTACCCATTTGGGGACAGGATCACTGACCGTGTTACACTCAAAAAAGCACGGTCAGTCTCGATTTGGAACTAGCTGTATTGTTTCATACTAGCTCATTCATACAAAAAAAAAGCTATTTAAGTTCGGAAAAACATCTCATTGGCCAGGCGAAGAATCCACATATGTAATGCACAGATTGAAGCAGCCGATGCACCTGTGCACGTTTTGCTATCTATTACCCCTCAAACTGCCGTCACTGTCATTGATCATCGGTTGCCAATGAGTTTATACCATTCCCCTCCCCTACCTTTCTGCATCTGTATTTACATCACAGTTTTGAGAAAACACTTAACATCCTCGCAGTATCCAAAGCACACCAGAACATGTTCCAACCATCCGCTTCGTTGCCCTCTCACACGCTCCTGGTCTTTCATTGATTTTGACTCTTAATCTGCCTCTGATTATTATTTCCTTGACTTCTTGTTTATATCTCTTTCTTTCCGCTATACGTTCAGGCAAAAATAAAAATTGACCCACGGTCACCTACAAAAAAAATCTTATCTAACAATAAAATGCATGATTTGAATGAAAAGCGCAAAAGAACTTTTGGAGTAATCCATACCGATGGAACGAAAAGATATACACACACGAACCTCTTTATTTGGACGTAGTGCTTCCATTTCGCAAGTTCAGATAACACCACCCGACACCACAGAGAGCGAATGGGTCAATACCGATAAATATTAGATCTTACTTGAACAGATGCCAGGTACACGTTCATACCGAGCTATTTACACAAGGTGATCGACACAACACTTCGGATTTTAACATTCGGTGATCGGATCGAACATCCGGACTACATATGTCCAATCTCAATCACAGAATATCGGTGGAACTGGAGAGCCAATCAAAACTGTATTTTTTATTAGCCAATGAAAATCACTTGTTTTGAAACGGCTGGCGAAGACGGCAAGAGCAGAGCTGTTTGACACATGACGCGTTTTCACTTTGAAGACCTCAAAGTAAACTTGAAAAACATTCTGGTCATCCTGTTAATTCAGTGATTCCAAAGTTCAAGAGACACCCGAAGTTCCTACTTTTCCACATTTTCTACCGAGGGATCTACAGAAAAGAGCTCAAATGCCTGAAGTGTAAAGACTATTGAATTCTAGAGGACCGACAGGAACAGCTCACAGAGTTGTTGATCTTGGAAGTTAATAACGCTATTAGGGATTCAGATTATGAACATACACTCACACTAGATATGGCTGCGGTAAAAGCTTTGTCGGCAGATATCATCCGCTCTTTGCCTAAGCTCATGCAATCTCGGTACCCAGGGTATATGACACATCGCGGTGGTCTGTCCAAAACAGTTGGTACTTTGATGCGACCTTGTTTACAAACTTCAGTTGGACCGAAAATGCTTCCAAAAAATCACTTGCCAGTGGCATATCTCACGACACGCTCGCCTCGAATAACAGTAATTGCAAACTTTTCCTTTTCGAAAGACCATCTCATTGATCCAACAATTTATGCAACCTGCCAGTACTTGTATCCCAGCAAGTAACCCATCGGGCTTTTCTGCCGCACCCAAAGCTATGATACTATGATTATTTTTCAAAGTTTGATGACCGTACTGAATATACCTGACACATCCCTTCCTTACAGTATTTTATCTCGTTTTATACAACATACATGAGCGAAATTCGTCAATTGATCGACAAACAGGTGCAAACATTGGGTGCAAAGTTCTTGAAAGGCGACCACAGCTTTAAAGTCAGCGAATATGCATACATTGGCATACCAATTTCACAATCGACACGAGAAAGCAAGTAAATCATATGATTAATGGATTATCAGCTTTATACTACTGTAGCAAGGGCATCAGTATGAGTATATCTCTGACAGTAGTTTACTTTAGGAACACATGTACTACATCATGTCAAATCTGTTGTACAAGTTGTTGCATATTTAGAAATCATCGTTCAACAAGATATCTGTTACGGATTCAATGTGAAAAGCAACGAGCTATTAGTAAAAATAAGTATAATTATCATTCCAGGTGCTCTTGATGCACAGGGAAAGGTACTTGGCATCTTTGATTCTTTGCCGTTCGACTCTGTATTCGGATTATGTGACTTGCGGACAAGTAAAGCAGTTAAAAAATATCAACGACAATTCTGACTTTGCTAATATCACTACAAGCACAAACCTTGACAGTAAAATACCCTAAATACGTAAGTACTATACCATATTAAGGAGTAATTAGGACGACCGCATTGGGAGGAGCTATATAAAGCGATGACTTGAACTATGAAGCAATGTTTAAAGTGGTGTCCCATTTTTACGCAATCATTGTTGGGGAGACATAGTCCATGTCGGTGTGGACGGAACAAAAGCATGGAAAACTCCAGAATGAGTGCCGTGGCTGGCCTGTGCATGTAGTATCCCTCCCCTCCTCCACTCAATAATTACCCTTGAAGAGAACAAGCTGCTAATCACTGCTATTCTTAACTGTACGGAATACTTTTTTTTTCAGAATTTTAAAAATTCTTGCAAAGAATTCGACACAGCAGTTATAAAAAGTGGCAAGAATATCTCCAGCAATTAGAAGATCGTGCATGTCTAGTTCACTTGACTTCTTACTCTTTTTTTGAATTTGTTACAAAACATCCATTTCTTTTTGTCTACCGGCCCCTTTAGCTATATCTTTATTGATCCTAAGGAGCACTGCTTGTGCTCTTTGCTCTAATTCATGATAGTAGTAGAATATCTATCTTTCGGCCCCAAAAGCAAATATGTTACTAGTGTGCAATTGCTATGATTTGTATTGTAGATGGCTGGTCTAGTGAGCGGAGGTGTAAACATTATTACCTGATCTGATTTATGACGACTGTACCCCGTCTGAGCTCTTTCGGTTTTACACATCCTTTTCAAAGTCTATTAGACTCAGAGTCTGATCTTAGTCGCTGTGAGTTCCAGTATGTAGCTATTCCCTTTCAATTGAATAAAGCCCAATGATCTCTCAAGCGCTGAAGATAAATCTTCTTTTCGTGATATGTCGTTACACTACGCTATCATAGCTGTGTAAAGGGAAAACATCATCAGTCTCGTAATTCAATTCTTTTTTCTCGTTTTATTTCATACGACATATTGCCTTGTGCTTCATATTAGATAAGATAGCATTTTTGAACAAGAGTTGTGATCGAGCTGTTGTTGGTTTATGTACCTATCATATCCGCACTCATGACCATCCGCCTGCTACTCTGCACAGCGGTTAGCATGGCTAATTTAACAACGTGTAAGCATACTCTGTAAGATCTTGACTCATGCTCGTACATATAAGTTCCGTCAATGGAGACCATAATACAGTCGACTCCCCCTTTTATGTCACATCAGTTAAGTTTCAGCCCTCGATAACTTCACCAAATTTATAGAATTGGTAAAAATAACATAGTAAAAAGCTCAAAATCCTCGCGAATTTCACTTTTAATGGATCATTCAAGGTTAAAACCTTACCGAGTTATATCTGTATTAATAAGAATTGGTTTACCCTTGGCAACTACCAAGCCCTGTGCATTTAAATGAGTTTATTGATAAAATTATCAAACATGAGGATCAAGTGATATATGAGACGTCAGTAAATAAGCCAATCCGGCCAGGTAAATGTATTGGATAAGGAGGCTACGTGTATTACTGATCCATATGGTGACAACTTCTTGAAAGCTGGAAATCTGTGTAACACCAGAATGTGCATGGATAAAGGAATCTCCGCGCATGATAGTTTGGCCTGGTATTCGTTTGAAATTAAAGGGGTTCCACTATAACTACTATTCCTATTCACAATAATTCCAATGCCGTAGACTTAACCTTTGCTATGTCAGCGTTTTCTGCTTCAACCAAAAAAAAAGAACAAACTGCACCGGTTTTCTCCAGGTTTTTGCAGAAAGGTGTTTTCGCGTAAACACTGACACCCATCCCACCTGGCAACAGACATCGTGCTGCAAATAACTGTAACTTACATGGCAACCAGACTTAAATTTGACGTGTACTGTACATAGTGTGCCACTTGATCAACAGAAAAAATTGAGCTTTATAGTTGACGACATGGTTTGGTCATAGCCATGATAATATTTCATGATGAAATTGTTTTACACAGCGTTGAAAGCAGCAAGGTAGTAGACTTCTTTCTCGAAGCTTGTGATTAAAAACCTCAGTATGTATTATGTTTGTCAGTTATAGAATAAGCAAGACCGATTTCTATGCCTTCACACAACCAAGAACATGTGGTGGATGTAGTGTAGATGCGGTACATATGTTATAATATCCTCATAGGGTTGTTTTTTTGCAGCGCATTTACAAATTCTATGTGCAAGATCCACATAAGTAAGATTGCTTCTTACGGTTTTTTCCCGATTGGATGCTTTACTGATAAATTAGCGGGCGCATGTGCATCATTGCAACACCATTATGCCTTTAGCAAGAAGTATCCTTTATGTATCACAGTTATTCCTTATTTTTCATGAAGAAGTGAGCACCAGAGATTTTCTTCGCAGCAAAGCGGCACATGAGCGATGCAGGCTGATCGATCACTATGTGTCTTGTGCGTGAGAATACTGCCGTCTATGCTGGCTTTTGGAAGCATAATGGGTAACCCTTGCGGACTTCAGATGTGCACATATTTTGTGGCGTGAAAGGAGCTCCCTGCTCCAAATCATTTTCCCACCTGCCTTCCGTAGTTAAAAGAAAAAAAAAGAAAGAGATAAAATAAATAAGGAGCATAATATGGACCATACCTTTTCTTCTTCACTTCCTTCTGGTTCGTCACTAGTACCAGAACTAATGTATATGCAGAAACCTGACGAACAACCTCTACAAAGCGTTTGCACAACGAATACAACGACGCCTCACCTTTATAGTGCATCCTGCGGATACTGTCACTACGCATATCCCTTCGATGACGATCTAATTCGTCCAACGATCGCTAATGACAACGATGACACTCCATTTCAGTACAACTACTTGCTCAGTCTCTTCACTGCACCGGACATGGCCAAGCATCTTGCCCAAACAAATGTGAGCGAAGACGTCTATGCATTACCTATCCACCTGCAACGACTTATCAGCGAAGCAAAAGAGGAAGTCGTGCTGGAACGTATCAAGGCAACGCAAAATGAGAAGCAGAATGACAACCCACAGCAACCGTTGGCACTAACACGATTAGAACGGGTTCGCAACTATGTGTGGATGCAGTCGGGTGGCGATGTTGCTAATCTCATGATGACTCTTACAGAACTTATGAGCGACGAAGACGAACTGGAGAACGTTTTGGGTATTTGAAAATACCCTCCATTATTCGACGCCTTCTTATCATCATTTCTTTATCAATTTTTTTACCCTTCCTTACCCCTTTGCTTTCCATTTCCCCCGATCTCTTCTTTTCCATAAAGAAGAAGAAGAACAACAACCACATCCATACTTTGAATCTTACATACCAAAACTTGCAAAAACACAGACAACTCATCCCATTTTCTTTAGCATCCACAAACTCTCACACCCACTCACGCTCACAGCACACAATTCCAACGTTAACTTTTCTCTCGCATTTATTGTATATCTTTTGAATTTGCTTTCGTGTACACAAGACACCCAAGTCATTTTTAATATCCCCCCCTTCAATGAAACATTTATCAATGATAATAAACAATCAGTCTTTATTGTTCATTTTGCTAGCACCTGTTGGGTAGATCCAAGCTATAAGAGTTGTGGCTAAATGTCTCGTATCATATAACAATTGCGCCCACGAGATTTCCGTCGTGGCAATGTCTTGATATCGCTTGGATGTTGCTGCTGATGCTGACGAGCCTGCCGATGTCGTAGGCCCCGTGGAAGAAGCTGCAGCGCTCGCAGCTGCCATATCCATGTGATCCAAATAATCCTGTAGTGCTTCGTAGTTCCAGAGATTCGCCTTGTAGAACATGTCCAAAAACGCTCCAACCACCGGGATCGTGCCAATAACGGCATCTGACGTGTTTATAGTTCTCTTAGCTTTTCGCTCTCTCTCTCTCTCGCTTTGAAACATGCCCGCCACAACTGCAAAGTCGTCTTACCGATCACCAGACTAATCATCATTCGTAAAAGTAACCACAATGGAATCCCAAATTGTGTCGATAAATATACTGCAACGAAAAGTTTTATGTTTTGTGTATCAGTTTGCAAGTTTTCCCTCATGTCGTGCAACATTTCACTCATCCCTGCCTCTGTCTCCGTCCATAAATTTCTTACTCACTTTGATAGAGCGTAAATATCGCACCGGCAAACGCACCAAAAAATGGAATAAAACTCTATTATGCATACACTCTTGTGCGTTAGCAATGGATTACAACGTTCGAAAGAAAAAATACTGTTTTTCTCTTACCAAAAGAGAGTCAAGACCGAGAGGAATTGGAGATCCTGGTACTGCATTATCCAACCAGTTTGCTAAGCGCTCAATCTTTTTGATTAACTTGACTCGCTGTTTATCATTCATCTGCTTCTTGGGCGTTGTGTGACGGAGATAGTCGAATTGTCTCTCTAAACTTGTCATCTGCGCCGTGCCTTTCGGACGTACACGCTCTGCGCGCTCTGGCACTTGTAGTCGGTTGTATATCCACCGTTGGAACATGGTGCTTTAAGGAAATCAGCAGTAGCGAAAAGGAAGAGCAAAACAGTAAAGTAGGTAAAAAGAAAGGCGTAACGTCTAATATGAACCTCTCCACTCATTGTCTTTCTTTCTCTTCTTTTTAATGATCCGAAACAAACCCATGTCATACACAGGAAAGATATAGGACTAGTGACGAAATTTGGTAATTTTTGTATATTTCCACATTTACAAACAAAGCGCTAGTTTCTTTTTCGTAATCCGTCTGAGCTAGCAGCAGTAGTACTAGTTGTAGAGGCATTATCATTGTTGCCTTGAACAGGTTCCTCGAATCGACGTTCAACCAGGCGCGCCCGGCGAGACCAGCGGCGTCGCCGTGTAAATGTTTGCATTGCTGGATGGCCAGTCATCTGTTTCCAAGCATTGTTGCCATATTCCCAGCCGTTGCGATCCACGCGACCTTGCATCTCGCCAGTCATATCCACCCACCAATCTCCGTCTGCCCAGCTCCACACCTTTTTTGTAGTTTGCTTGATGGCCACGCCACCACTGCCTGCTATCGGTCGATACTGTACAGTATCGCTAGGTGGTGGCAGCTCAAACCCATCTTTGGATCGCACCGGCGAGAGTTGATTATCCGTCCATGGAGCACGTTCACTTGGCATCATGTTGGTCGTCCAGTCCATGCCCAACCACCATCGCTTTTTTTGAAAGCAAATAATTACAATAGAATGAGATCCTCTTTTTCTTTCTTCTCTCAATACAGTTCAGACAAAAACGATATTCTAGCTTACCTGATTTTCGTAAATGTCAAACTGGAAAATCATTTCAGTTCGTAATCCACTTGAAGCATTCTGCTCTTCCACTTGCTGCTCACTTTTGATCACATCAAGAGCCTTGGTCTTTTCACGACGGGCTCGTTTCATCAATCGTGTGATCCATGACTTAAAGCGACCACCACTCGGCGTTGCTGGGGCACGGAACGGAACAGCGACAGATACCATGGAGATCACCAGGGCAACCCCGTATGCCCAACATGCAGCAATTGCATGTGTAACTAATGCGTTACGACGGATCGCCATGATTGTCACCTTGAACCACGGCGACGGGCTGACTAGTACGAGCGATCCAGCTAGTGCAATAATTCCGTTCGTTCCGAGTACCAAATTGAGCACAATCCAAATGGGCCATGCATACAGCATCACGGTGAGTGTCGATGCGACAACGTCTGGACGCGATCCATCCAGCAGCTCGTCTCGAGTCCACCGGATCCACTGTCGTACTCGATCCACGTATGCATTGACGACAGCAAGGTTGCGCAGCGTATCGTCCAGCGATACATGGCCCTCGGGCTGGAACTTTCGCGAAATTAAAAGCTGTTCTTCCTCTTCTTCCTGCTGTTGCTTGCGTTTCTTTCCTTCTTCATCGTCGTCATAATAATCATTGTGATGGTCATCTTCTTGTTCTCGTTTCAAACGTTGGAGTTGCCGTTCACGCTCCAGTCGTTCTCGTCGTGCACGTGAAGTTCTGACTTTGAGCCATCCTCTTGCGAGTTTGACAAGGATCATGCTTGGCAGCACAAACATGAGGACTGGCGCGGTCCATAAACAGCACCCGATCCATAAAAGGAGCGCTAATATGGATTGTCGTGGGTCTAATGTGCTCCACGTAACGACTTGTACAAAGTATGCGCAATGGCGAATGAACGGGCCCAAGACAATCAGCATTTTTAAGATTGGAGTGGGTATTTGATCGAGTGTCTGTGCGGTATAGGGCGATGAGAAGCTGCGCCCATCGTTGGAGGTGGAGGAGGTATCGACAAAGTAAGCATTGCGTAGATCGCTTGCTGCACTTGTGACAGATTCAGTTTCTGCCATTGTATTTTGAAATGAATGTCTGAAAGTAAAAAGCGCAGAGTATGTTTTTTTTGGATTAAAAGAAAAAACGAGAGCGAGATAGGCTAACTTTTACTTGATTATGTCTGTCATATGAAATTATCAAAATCGGTGTGGTGTGACAAGGATTCATCACTCTCTCCAAGTTTATTTTGGCATGTGCTTGTAGATTGTAACTTACCTGTTATTGTACTTTTTTCTCCATCCATTTTACGTCTTGTATTTGACTGGATTTTGTCATCAGTTGCATGATACCTGTTTTGCATTCGCCATTTTTAGTTCGTCCAATTCCCAGAATAAAGGCAGTAAATGTTGACGCCAAATAAATAAATAAACAATGACCTCCTTACTGTTACACAGCGCCGGACGGCGCTCAGAGTGCTATCATAGTGGCGATAAAGGCAAACTGCAGTTCACAACCGAAAAGCCTTTTTTTAAGCCTAATAATTTTTTCTATACATCAATGTACAGTACTCCTTTGTAGTTTTCAGGCTAGATATAGGCTCCTAGTGTGAATCCAGACTAACTTGTCCACCGATTGAGGGCCTCTATAGAGTTCCCACTCCTCTGCGCTGGTCATCATTCTTTCTATTTCCAAGATGACCTTCCTCAGAGAGTTTAGTCAAATTTCTTACCATCGACACTAAACAGCATGGTTAGAATTTTAATCTGGATCTGATATCCAAGCTACTACTGCTAGTCTGGAAATCCATTCAGCGTTCAACCTTCATTATACTGAAGCCTCATGCAAGGACATTTTCGCAAAAATGAATCTTCTGTTTCCGTTAACTCAAAGCAAGATTCTCGTTCAGTTCCATTCTTTTTTGCTTGCCGGCAAAGTATCGATGATGGCCAGACTGCCCAGTTCTGTAAGCCCAAAAAAGATGGGTCCGTAAATGATATAGTAAATTCAACATGTATTGCAGTTGACAGTCCATCAAAATCTTCTTGGTAAACCCACCCCCGGTAATATGCACACTTTTCACTTTGTAAACAGTATATGTGGCAATCTATTCGAAGAGCGTTTTACAACATACAGTTTGCTTATCACGAAGTTGCATTGGTGTAAAATACAGTAGAACATGTTGTCGCTTAAACAAATACACTCGCCTTACTTTCCCAACCGGATCTACTCAATTGTATAGAAAGACTTTCAGAATTTGAAAAGAGAACGTTGAGACTAAGAAGCTGTGGTATTCACTGTTTTTGTCGTAAAACATGCTTGTTTAAACTGTGATTTCATATTAATTCGCGCAATAAAACGGAAAACATATTATGTGTTTGTGATGATACAGGTATACAATAGGGTCATATAGGGATAAAGGAAGGGGCGTACAATTACGCTCGCGCTATCGTCAGAGATGTAAGAATAGCGCCATCAACTCTGTTGGTTTTATGATCACCATCAGTTACCGAGTACTGTTCTGATACTTCATTCTGCACAAGTACTTGATCAATGGTGGGTTTTTGGGGGAATTTGCTTAATGTGGAAGCCTTGTACAGAACAACCCTGTTCAGACTTTTGCTCTTACAAAGTAACGACAGGATGTTGCCAGCTAGGTCGAGATCCTCTTGTAAAGAATCCTTGGCCGCGGTCATGACGTTAGGAGTCTGCAAAGCGAGCTCGTTCAAAAACGGCAGTTCGCTTAATGCATCAATGACAGCACCATCATCCAAAGAAGCATAGTAATCCAAACCACGAAAAGTCAAATTTTGAATGATGCTGCCGGCCTGTAGCCCCTTGACGAACGATACTAAACCCACCTCCTGCTCCGCTTCCCACTGTACATCAGCGAGGTCAATATCAAGGTGTCTGAGTGTAGGGACACCGGGAATCCCATTGAGCATGCGTTTTGTGGTCTGTGGCATCTGGAGTAGTCGCAGTGTCACGAGCCCTGGTTTGCATACCACCAGCGAGAAAAATTCGGATAAAGCAATTACTTGAGCTTCGTCACTCAACCTGATCATACAGAGTTCCAGGTGGCTCAATCTTGAGTTGCGCATCAAATTTGCCGCGTCTCGATTGAGAGGAAACTCTGCATAGTAAACGCAAAGCTTTTCCAACGCAGGAAATCGTTCAAGCATCGTCGTTACGCAGAGTTCGTTTGCAAATGTAAATCCACTGAGTAACAGAGAGCGTAATCTGGTTAACGTCGCGAGTGATGCAAGAGTAGACAGTTCCAGTGTTGCAGGCTGGTAATACAATGTCAGTTCCAAGGTATCCAGAGCAGGACATTGATTGAGCATGGCAATGAGAGCGTTAATTTCGAATTCAATGCCGTCGCACACCAACGTATGTAGATTGGATAGATGAAGCGATCTGAACACGGACGACCAGCTGGGACCTCGGTCTGCTTCAATCAGTCCTACATATTCGAGCGTTCGTTGGTTGTCGATGAGGGCCTGGACAATCTGCTGCTTATCGTCTTCTCCTGAATCCTCCAGTACGGCTAGGTGACACAGTTGGTTGGGACAGGCGCTGTTTTTGCTTCTGCTGCTATCAACAAGGCTTTTTGCAATAAGGTCGGGCGGATCATCGTAATAACTAGAGTTACTCATGTAGTAGACGAGTCTCGAACAAATGGAAAGCAGGGATTCAAGTTGTATGAGACTGCGATTGAAGAGAGAGCCGCCATTTTGCTGCTGATAACAGGTTTCTTTGCTGGCACCAATATAATACTGAAGACGTGGGCACCGTAATAAAAGCGGTTCAAGCCGTCGTTGCCTGTCTATTAACGCATCGATATGCAGATAGATGAGGTTGCTAAATTCGTAAAATGGAACCGACTGCGTCACTTCGTCGTTGTTGTCTTCGCATATAGTAACAGCAGGGATTTGATCGAAAATCTTGTATTTGTGCCAAGCTTGAGCGGTTGGAGAATACGTAAGATGGGTAAGATTTGGAAGTGATGATACTATGTGTTGTAAGGCAATATTGGATCCATGTTGCTGTAGCGATAATCGAGTCAAGTGAGGCGCAAAGAACCGTAATAGCTTCAGCAACCGGCCTTGATCATCTGTAATACAATTGACGAAGGCTAGAAAGAAATACCATATAACAAGTTAGTCGTATGTTCTTCTTTTCGAGTCCTTCCTTGTTACGTAGCTAAATTTACGCAGTTTATATTATCAGAATAGATTGCTGATGACGAAAAGGATTGAGATTAACATCTTCACTTGCCTATGGATTTTATTTCATCACACTTGAGTTCAATGAGCCTTTTCAGCATTGCATAAAGAGCGTCTTCTTGAATAAACGTATCGAATTCAACCTTCTTGACATGTTTTCCCAAGCATCGGTCTCGGAAAATGTCCTTTATGCGAGATTTGTTTTCGGTAAACCGTACTGTCGCCCAAGTATCCTTTACATAAAACGGTAAGCGTTCAAACCAGTCATGGCAAACGCTCATGCAAATGAGGCATTGTTGCTTATTAAGATGAGAAAATATCGCAACAACTGTCTCGAACGGAAGTCGATCGATAAATGAATCTTGCGGTGCCATCTTTTTAAAGCTGGATTGATTGTATTCGTGGACAGATGTCTTCCCAAAAAAGAGAGTTCGCAGGGCAATAGATCTATTTTTATTGGCTTGAATCCTCTGACGTAAAGTTTGGTATGTGCCCTTTTTTTGTAATCCTACGATACTCAATTTAGACGTCAAATTTATAAATATTTATCTAATATGATAAACATACGATTAGCTTGAGAGTATCCCAGGTTGTTCATAGCAACAAATACATCATCGTTATCATAAAGCTTATCCTTAACACTAACTGTCGACTTTTTGAACCGCTCCCAAGTATTTCCGCAACTGCAAGTACATATAGGCGAAAGAGGCCCCGCATCACGTTCTCAAGTGCGAGTACTGTATGAAATTAAAAAGAAATGAACATGCCCTACGCGTGTATGCCGCAGGCCACAGTATTTTATCTACAGGAGAAGTGCTAAACTTGATAGACCTCGTTGTTTATTAGAAATGGGATCCTTGGGGAATCTTCAAAGCTGCAGGTAGCCAGGCCTAATTTTTTACATGTATAGTTGCACTAGCAAAGAAACACTTGCGAGAGGTTTGAAAGCACAAGTGGTGTATGACATGTTAGAGCTTTATTTATGTAACTTTAAGAATATAAGCTTGATGAATTTAAGACAAGTATGCATTTGAATCAACGTATCTACAAAAACGTTGCTGTAGCGTCCACTGTTTGCGATTTGCCATGCAATTTTTTTTATATTTTAACAAACTTGATATTAAACTAAGCATCCCCTTTTGTTTTTACGGACGGCGCGAAGCTAAATATAAAACCTTTTACACTCGGAAGACAACATCCATCATAATGACATCCAGACTCCACCTTCCTATCCTTCGTCATCTTGAAAAATTCATTATCCTGCATGTCCGCGATTCGCCCATCAGTTTATCTAAACGAAAATATATGGACAGCATCTCAAACAGGGACTTCAAAGGAGCGCTGTGAATTAATTCTCTCACATATGACTCTCACATTATGTTTCAAATTGTTTGATCTCATTCGTTTCGACCTAACAATAACCCATATCATTTTATCAGACGATGTTATGTAGTTTGATAAATCGGCGTCACATATACATACTAGCAGTAGCGTTGATATAAAAAAAAAAGAATCATTGTTCTTTTTTTTATATTAAAGACTACAATATGTTTATGTTTACTTCAAACAGGGGAAAGCGCGTGATCGCAGCTGCATACTTAGCATGTCAGCGGGAAACAGTTTATTGCGCCATTATGCAGAAAGCTGCTGTTGAAAATCTGTTCTTATACGTAGAGCATATTATTACTTTTGTATACTGAGACACTGACCCGATGTTTCCACTAGTCCGGATCTATGAGTGTTGCTGCAGATGGCAGTATGTTTCTTCCATATTCTAAGCTTACAACATGGTTGCCTTTCCTGGAAAAGAAAGTATATAAACGTAATAAACACCAGTTTTTATATTAAACTTGTTTTCGTAGAGTTATACACAATCGTGGAGAACGCCAAAAACCATTGTTTTCTGCGTTCATCTATAAATACGAAGCACAAGTCACTGAGTGATTTTTGAAAACACAAGCTTCAAATGGTCGAGAGCTGCATAGACTATGGGTCTCAAGGTTTAATGATGCTATCAGAGAAACAAGAACAGACGTCGCGTTGAAGTATGCCATTTTTCTGACTATGATAACCGATAGTTTAATTTGAGGTCTAAGAATTTTTTATATTAGGACAAATGACAGAAATCAGAAGTTCATGGCACCGAAGTGGGACACGCTGTATGAAGAGTTGTCGACCCCGGTAAATCCTAAATAATCAACCGCTCTAGTTATAGCGTTGTCTAATACTTTGCTGTTGCGATATAGAGAGACGTGTTGAGTGAAATAAGCAGAACAGAAGGCCAAAAGCTGATCAACAAGAGCATAGAACATGCATCAACAAGATCGCTCAGACTTTTGGAGAGCTTTGAAGAAGCATAAAGCAGCAGTAGAAGTGTTGTAGTTGATGCAGAAGGCATACGCAGTGAGGAGGCCGAGACTGAAGACTTTGACTGCGAAGAAGAAGAGGTGGAGAGTACGCCAGTTGCCGACCGGTTGTACATGCTGTATTATAAAAAGGTAGTATAAAAAGTTTTTAGAGTACTCTACTACTCTACCGTGCTAACTGATAGTTGTATATACCTCAGTTTAAGAATGAGGCATTTGAAGATGAGGAAGACGCGTTTTTGGCTGATGGTATAAAGAAGAAGTCATGCATCCAAGAGAAATTGTTTGGCCATGCAAGTAAGTTGTTGTTGAAAAAGAAAGGTTTAGACATACAAGAAGACACGATGCTCAGGTATGATTATCTTTTAAAAAGCATTAAGATATAGGCTGATCAATTGTATCTCTTGTTAGGTTATCTCTCTCTAGTATCGTAAATATGCTCCAGCCCGGCACATATGAGGCATCAAAAAAAATCTTCAACAAAAAAGAGATGGAGACGCTTGAAAAAACAAAGCCAAGTACATATAAAGGACTGCCAGAAGAAAGCAAAACGCTGTTGAGGAGAATGGTTAAAAGGTAAAGCTTAGAAAAAATTGGGTTGGCCTCGCAATACCAGTAGCAAAGCATTTCACCAAAGTCTCATGCTGACCGATCATTGAAGTCACTCTCTATGCTAAAGAGCATAAACATCTTTATGTAAAACCTCAAAATGTAGATTTTCGTTCGAAATCTAGCTTTTGACCAAGGGTGCTTGCCTATGTCTTCTCAAAACGACATTGCTGCTTATACAATGCTCCGCCGATAAATTCGCTGCCTTCATCAGTGTAGCGTGCGTGCGGCCCCAAGTAGGCAAGGGGAGCAACACAGATGACAATATTAACGAGATACTCAGCGAGCAACTTTGACTAAGCAAGTTACGAATGAAAGGGCAGCGACACCTACAAAATGCTGGATATCTTGAGACACATGTAAGTAGAAAGGCTGAGACGGACGCGATAACCGCCTCTGTTGACATTTGTTTATTGAACAGGATTAACAGCATCGGCCAATACATGGAGAGAGATAGTGAGCTTACGGCGTATCGTCATTTCGCCAAGCTTTTGGACTACTTGTTCCGAGAAACAAACCAGATGTTCTTGAAGTATGTAGAACATTACTCATACGTAATGACTGTTGTGCTTTTTGGTTAATTTCGATACTCCCCAACTCTCAGCGGTGAACCTGCTTGCATAGCTGTCAAAAAGAGACAATCGCTACCCACTCCCTTCACTGGGCAGGAGGGGGTGTGTCAAGGGGTTGAAAAACAGCTTGACATTATCCTTTGGCAGAAGGTAATGCACTGTCAACTTGTAGCATCAGAAAAATCGATGCGATTATTGCTACCGAAGTCAAGAAAGAGCGTGTTGAGCTGTCGATTAACGAGTGGGAGAAGAGCAATGTGAGCTCAGCAATAGCCTTCAAGCAGCAATCAAAAAGCTTACGCTTGAACCTGTCCATTTTGAATCAGTTGGAGCGTAATTTACATTCCGAGACCAAGAACGCCTTTTGGCAATAGATTTCCTTGGTAGGTATTCGTGAGCATTATTTATTGTCTTGCAAATAATGTTAACATTTTTTAATACATAGGCTACGAAGGCTATTTATATAGTCTCGAAAAGAAAGAAGGGGTTGCTGTGGCAACTTTGGTGGAAGAACTTGTACTTCCAAGCAAGAAACCGGAGATCGAGCTTGTCGTCCAAACAATCTAAATGCTCTGGCTATACTACAGGTAAGGCTGCTTTATCACTTTTTCTACTCGCGAAACCGATCCTTTTTTCATTTGAAAGAATCATGTGCTCAAGCTTGCGGAAAAAGCTGGAGACCAAGCACCAAGAAGCAGACTAAGGGGGCATTATTCGACGAAAAGAATCTCTCCGTCATTACAAGATACAAACGTTGATGACCTCGACAAACCCATGTATAAACCCAAAATACAACCATTTGTCCGATAACAGATTCGACGTTTATCGGATAGCTACAGCAAGTCTGGTTCGATATGCACCGAGCCCTGATATAGCTTTACGATATGCAGAATTCTTTCTTACGCAAGTATACCCTCCGATAAGCGACGCAAGAACCGAGTTTTTCTCCTTTACGACTTGATTTATGTTTACACACACGTTCAAGAAAGAAAAATCGAGTATTTGCGGCATGATTTGGATTGGGTCAAGCTTGATCTTGAAAGAGGCATAGCTTAACGCACAGACATTCCGGTTGCGATAAGGATTTGAGAGTGTGGCGGAATGTTTTGCAACGTTATTAAAGCCTATACACTAATCTTTCACCGTTTGGGAGCTTCAACTGATGGACGGGAATTGATACCACTACGTCGACGATTGTAACATCCTGCCTTTCTGCGTGTACCTTAAAGAAAAAGCGTATCCGCGAAATCGAACATTATGTTTCGCGGAATTATCTTTGTTCTATTAAGGCAATTTTTATCTGTTTTGGTTTTTCCTCGTGCGCGTCTATTTTTTGCTATTTATAATATGTGAGGAAGGATTCGGGGTAGTCTAACGAATACTGTAGATAATGTTCCTCTAGATATATTTCATAGGGTTATTTTCACAAAAATAGAATCTCCACATAAAGTTTCAGAGAGCAGCTTTCGGATGCACTTTACAGCAGTTTCACTATGTTGAGGTCACTAGGAGGATGTACGGCATAGAGTCTTAAAGAAAAGGTAATAAGTAAGTGCTAAAATGACCTAGCATCATCAAGATCATTATTCCACACATGGATGGTTCACCGGCGTGATTCTTCTGGATATCCAGCACCCTGAACATTGTATTGAAGAATGAGACGGATTTTTTTGTACTCAACCCACCAAGAATTGCTTGGAAAGTTGGAAGATGTCTTTGCAATTTTTCGTGGAAAGTGACAGAATTGCACAGGTAGTAGTAAACGTCATCAAAGCAAGAGTATGTGACATCCGTAAGAATCGGTTGGAGGGGGAAGTCAATATGCTGTTGAATGAAACAAGAAGCAAAAGGAATGCAAATGTATTGGGATGGATATCCAGCGGTGGCCGTAAAAAATCGGGAAAATCAATATTAAGCTGTCGAATCGAAGCAGCTACCGTTTCAATGTTGGGTGCGCCCTAGCGTTGGAGCCGTTGATAGCAAGTATGTTACGACGGTGATATGCCATTTTACGAGCGTACTATAAATCGACGTTGATCTCGCGCACAGGTTGTGGTGGCTTTCCTGGTCTCTGAGAGCTGCTATCGACAAGAAACGCCATAGGTTTTTCCAAAGGGCATTGTCGGTAAGTTTGGCGACTGATTGGTTGCTTATATGAACTGCTTCATATCGACTATGTGAATGCGTGCCATAGTGCCGAACAGTGCCCACCCAACGGATGAACTTGAAAAGTTCACCTGGACGTCGCAGGCAATATTTTGCCTATCTCCCTCTCATTTAACACACTTTTGCTTTTCAAGGAGCGACTTGGTGCTAGCAGGTTTGACTTAAGTTCTTTTGCTTACAACCATCCTTTACGCAAGGAGATCTTGGTATCATAATGCTGACTCCACCGTCAACTTTCCTTATAATTCTGTTGGTAAGGTTTCGGTGGGGGGTCGTACATTCCGTCTGCTTAGAGAAGTAGGGCAATCGTCGCCGTCGATTCATCTCGTAAATTCGGTCTTCATGTTGGAGGACTTGATAAAAGTTAATCGGTGTGAGGTTGGTACTTTTAATGATCAGGTTGTTCGAGTTGAGTGCGTGGAGTAGCTCAGGAACACTCTAAATCTGGGGGCACATTTTTTTTTTGGCGTAGCACAAGAAAATTTCAGAGCTGCTATTGGTGAAGTTTCAAAAGTGTTTACACTCTGTCAACAATGGACGTGCCTACCACATAAAATAAAAAAAGCGCCTTACTACCACTTCTTCTTCTTCTTCTGCACGTCCTTCTTTTTTCTGTTTTAATTTTTGAAAGACACGCTTAGCATACCACAAAATTCTATTTACATACAATCCAATCCACAATGATATCGTTAGGTGCAGCAAGCCATACGTTTTATACCCTTCTTCGTCTTCGAGAACAAGTTACTGGAGGACCAGTTGCCTCCCGGATGCTCTACATATGTGGCGAATGTGGTATGGCTTTTCACACTGAGAGAGACCGCACAAGGCACGAACAGTTTTGCTCATGGGGATATGCTTGAGGAGGACGACGACCTTGGTATCGACGAGCACCTGCTTTGCACTGATCTACACAGTCATTATCCTACTACCGGTCCGTCACATACGAGCCGATAAAGGGAATCTCTGCTGCCTGGATCTGAAGGTCCAGTACCAAGGTTAATTATCATTCCCAATGATATATCGGGGCAAACTTCTTTTACCATAGTTCGTTGGTCACCATAATGTATATCCATGCTTAACGCTGTGTCAGAAATTTGTAAATAATTGAGGAAAGTTACACAAATCCAAAAGCACACATAAAAACTTCCAATTATACATGCCGGCAAAACCAAACAACCACCGCTGCCATGACAATAAGCTTAACCTCTCAATCACAGACGAACACGAGCGTTCTAGTAGGGCGTTTATACGCTGCTACCTTTGATAGCATCCGTGCGGCTGTTTATTTAAAAAATAAACCTTGCTCTCTTTTCTTGACGTTTTTTTTTCCAAATAAAATCGATCCTTAATGGTTGACGAAAGATGTGTACTGAGCAGAAGGAAACGTTTGGAGGTGACCTGGGTGACAAGTGACACAGTAGCGCATTGCGCGTCTGTAGGCGAGACATTATTGAGTTAGGACATGGCAAAGCATCCCCTTATTCATTGCGCATTGTGTATATATACACTGGCAGGATGGGTGGGATGATACAAGAACTTGCCAAAGGTTCGGAAGTTCCAAACGTATTTGAGACAGGGTAGGGTGCCTACTGTTTTGGGTAGTAAATTTTGTGAGAGATGAAGCATCTGCATTTCGAATACTAATTGATCATCTAATAGACTGCGCGAAAAAAGTTTTGAAAACAGGGTGATATCATACTACCTATCATCTGGTTATGCTAAAATAAATATGCAGCTGGTGGCAAATGCAGCTTTTCTTTGTATGCAGGTGGAAATGGGGCTCATGTTGCAACAGTATCTGTGATGACCATCATCATTTTGATATTTTATCCTATGCACCATGTATTTCGAGTCTACAATAGAAAAAATTAGAGTTAGCTGCTGGTAAAGACACTGTGTATTTACGTCTTTCAATCATAAAGCGGACAGGATTATAGTAGACGAATTGACCGACATTTTCCAGATGCCTTTTTGGTTGGGAGAAAGGACGATCCGGGTTTGACTTTTTTTTTTTTGTATTCCGTGACCGGCCGCGGATCCAAAAAATTCCCCACCAACCCTTTTCTCTGATATTTCTTCAGGTACCACTGACAACAATCATGGCAGACGAAGAAGGTTTCGCAGGCGATCTCTTTGGGGTAAATTAAACAATAACTGTCAATTTGTCAATAACGCAAAAAAAAATTGAGGAATTCAAACCAATGTAAAAAAAAAAAAAAACTAATCGCGGTGGCAATGGGTGCGTGGCTAGTAGTCCGATGAAGAATACCAAGCACCTGAACCAACTACCGAAGTATACACTCGACAGAATGAGCGTGAGTCTTAAAAAGCACTGGGGAGCGTTTTCTTTTTAAACCCCATGAGTACTAAAGAGGTTTTCAAGATGACTTTTTTGTGTGTTGAAAAAAAAGACAGCCAGTTACAGACAATAAGTATTCGACTGGTGGGATCACATCCGCTGTGGGCACATCACTTGTGGAACGCATCCAAAGTCTTTGCCTCGTTTTTCGATACCCATCCAGAGATGTGTCGCGACAAGTATGTTCTTGAATTAGGCGCTGGTGGCGCATTGCCCAGTTTGATTGCAGCCGCCAATGGCGCAGCCAAGGTCGTAGTCACCGATTATCCGGATAAAGAATTGATCGATACTATCCAATACAATGTCGATGCAAACAAGCTTGCTGATAACGTCTCCGTACAAGTAAGCTTACTTGAATTACGAATTCGATATGAAATAGCACGAGAGAGTAGAGAACCGGAGGGAAAGGACTTACAACACTGTTTTTTTTAGGGCTATGTATGGGGCACATCTACAACGGGTCTTCGCGACACGATCCCACAAGCTACGTACGACGTAATCATTTTGAGCGATCTTGTATTCAACCACTCACAACACCATGCCATGTTACGGACGTGTCGCGAATTGTTAACGCCCAAAACCGGCAGAGTTTATGTCTTTTATACGCACCATCGACCTCATCTTGCACATCGCGACCTGGAGTTCTTCAAGATTGCACAACGGCCTTATGATCCAAGCGTAGATCCGGATGATCGAGAAGCTGTAGGATACGGGTTTGAAGTGGACCATTTCTTACAAGAGAAAATGCATGTCATGTTTGAAGAGGATCCAGGGGATGTACAGGTTCGCTCAACAGTCCATGGATGGCGATTGTGGCTCCCATAGTAAATATAGTAATGATATACTATATAGAAAGAACCATTCGTTGATTGCAGTGTGTTATATATTATATTACATATTATGAAAAAAACCAAAGGGGGAGAAAAGAGAAAAAGAGAGAGAGAGAGAGAGAGAGAGAAGGAGGTGTGCGTTGTATATGAGGATGAGCGAAAGAGGGGAGAGAGAAGAGGGAGGAAGAAGTGTGTTTACAAGGTATACTCAGGAACGAACCTCCCCCCCATCCAGAGAGAAAGGGTGTCTTTTTGCTTCTTCCTCGAATCCTCATCTTTAGTAATTGGCGAGGAGCAGGCGGGAGGGGAGAGGTGAGTGAGTGAGTGAGTGAGTGCTGTATGGCGTTGCGGATAGAGCACCAAGTTCAGCGTATCGATTTACTCTTCATTTCTGCTGGTGTTAGTGGCTGAAAGTTGTGTACATCAATGCCGCGGGATAAGAGTTCCTGTTCTGTATGTGGTGGCACCAACTTGCTGATCAATTCCGGTTTTACTGACAGTTCTGCAGAATTGACAATAGATACATGCATTATTAGAGTCCGTTGTGAAAAAGAAAGCTTTTTTCTTCCATCCATCCACCCACTTACCATGGGCCGAGAAATCAAACAGTGTTGGCAATGCTTTGCCATTCGCCAGACGAGTTTCTGGATTGCGCAGTTCGTCAAAGAATGGATGGGCCATTGCGTCAATAGCCGATAGACGCTTCAAGGGCGCGTATTGCAGGAGCTGACTGATGAATTCAACGGCTTCGGGCGGCGTCCGTGATTTAAAGATCTATCATGTTGTGCGCCATAAAGGTCAATTACACAAAGATCACACACATATATGAAATAAGCGCTTTCCCCTCAACAACAACAACAACAACAATTGCCCCTCCCCCGCACTCCTTGAAAGTTTTGTAAATCGAACGGATGAAAGGACGGAGGACAAACCTTGGAGAATGGATGCGGCTTTATTTGCGGGAATCGATGATCGGTATAATTCGGGTTCATGGCTAACAATTGCTCCTTGGTGGGAGTGCCTAGGACCTTGATAATCTCGACGAGCTGGTCAATGCCACTTTCGCCGGGGAACATGGGCTGACAGAGCATCAGTTCAGCCATCACACAACCGGTGGACCAAATGTCAATGCTGGTCGAATAGTTTGTAGCTCCGAATATCAGTTCGGGTGCTCGGTAGTAGCGTGAGCAGATGTACGACACGTTGGGTTCGCCAGCAACCAGTATTTTGGCACTGATACACAACCCACGATGGTTGAGAGCGAGAATGACAAACAAATTAGACCATGTAAAGTTACCGCCTGTTTTTTTTTTATCACAAACAATAAACATGTACAACCCCCCCCCCTTTTCTTTCTTTCTTGCTTTCTTTACCTGCCAAAATCACATAATTTGAGGATGCCACTGGCTGGATCCAAAAGCAGGTTCTGTGGTTTTATATCACGATGACATATTCCAAGCGAATGGATGTACGCAAGCGAGCGCAGTAGCTGGTACGTGTATAGTTTGACATGGAGTGTTGGTATCGATTGCTTTGCTTTTGCATAATGACGCGAGGCACGATACACCGTTTCGGGAATGTATTCCAGCACCAGATTCAGATACACTTCGTCTTTCTGTGCACAATGGAAAACATTGGAGCAAAGCTTTTTTTAGTTCATCCTTTATCTTTTTTTTTTCCAACCCCAAAGCCCTTCGTCCCTTTCCAAGTTTTTTTTGATGTACCTTGACATCACCATGACTATAGAAGAATGCTTTCAGCGAAACAATATTCGGATGAGAAACGCTTCGCATGATCTGTAACTCTCGGTTCTATTACAGAACGTGTAAATACAACGTATGTCATTCATCGCAAAGTACTATTACATCACAATTGAAGGGCTACTACACATTTATATGCTTGCCAATCGAGTTGTTATTTACCTTGAACCGTCTATCCTGCAATACTTTCTTGATAGCAACTTCTTCACCGGTACGCAGTAATTTCGCTTGATACACCACACCGAATGATCCGTTACCGGCAACCTTGTAGGTGGAATAGTGTAGCTGCATGTCCTGGCCAGTCTTGCCGTCTTTGGCTGCCACTTTGATAACTTTCAGAGGGTCGGTTTCGCCTTTTTTTTACAAGTAGGAAAGAGAGGGTTCGTTAGGGGAAAAAGAGGGAGGAGGAGGAGGAGGGTGGTGGGTCGTTCAACGAAGGGTCTTTCCTTAAAACACACACACTCTCTTTTTTTATATATATATACCAATTATCTTTAAACCACTCATTGGACCGTGTGCCATTATTGTTCTTTCAAAGAGTTGTTGTTTCGTGTGTGTGTGTGTGTCGTAAGAAGGTCGGTTCCGGAACTGAATGCAAAAGAGAAAGTTCAAGTGAGTGTGGTTGGGATATAAAAAAAAAGAAAGAAAGAAGGGGGTTGGGTAGTGGGTAGAGCAAAGAGTAGTCAGTAGACCACCTCTTTTTGCATCTGCTTTTATTCAACGAAATGGGTGGAGGGTGCGTGCGTGTTCTGTAAATTGCTGAGCAGCAACATTGGACACGCACAAGCCAACTTTTCTCTCTCTCTTTTTTTTTCTTCACTCTAGGTAGAGGCAGGAACACTGTTAAAAAAAGAACAAACCCGAAAAGACATACTCACAATGTGTATATAGAAGAGGAGAGGGAGGTACGAGAAGTGATGGTCAATGCGTTTAATGATGCTGGGAAAGTAGTAGTAGTAGTAGTAGTTATGCGTGTGGAACGTAGTAGTAAGTAGTATGAATATGGAAAATAAAAAAAAAGTGGTGTGTGCCCGTGAAATAGAAAAAGAGAAAAGAAAAGAAAAAAGAGAAACGAGTGATGGTGGCCTTTTGCTCTCTCTGTCTCTCACACACACACACACACTCACTCTCTCTCTCTCTCTGTCTCTCTCTCTCTCTCTCACACACCCTGTTCGCTGCCCCCCCACCCCTTGGCTGCTGCTGGCTGGGTGACAGCACGAGTGGCCCACAGGTAACACCACCTCAGTCATTTGATGATTGCCATCCGCGGATCAAGTCATAAACGCTACGATCTTCCAGCTCTGGCTGTCTATCTCATAACCACTCTTCTCCTTCTTCTTCTTTCTTCCTAATACAACAACCCCCCTCTTCCACCTTCTCCCTTTTTTTATAAGCTATATATAGACATTTTGTAAGCAGTAGTAGTAGTAGTAGTAGTAGTAGTAGAGATATATACACACTACGGTTTTACTCCTTTTATTGCTGCTAGTATCCATCATTGCATCGACGACTGTCTCAACCGTAACCCAGTCGCGTCGCCGTTGTGCTCTTGTTCTTGGTCATTCAATACCAACCCGACTGCCGAAGACCGTCGCGAGCTGCGATTTGACTGTGGAATGTTGGTAGCCGTACTGATGCCGGACACGGACGCTTCCTTGACGTTCATTTCAATGGGCGAGAGAGGCGGTGTTGTTGTGTTATCCATCATTGAACCATTCGGAAAAAGCGCTGCCTGTTTTTTGTTCTGACGCTCTTCTCTTTGGTGTGCCTCGTGTTGCTCGCGGATTTGAGCAGAAGCACTGACACTGCAGATACAACAGTTTGACATGGCGTCCTTTTGTCTTTCTCGCTCAACCTCTTCCTGCTCTACCTGTCGCGTGATGGCTGTGATTGTTGTCGGGGCATCGTGCGATGAGTCAATCTTCCCGCTCACAGTGCTGCTGCTGCTTGTTCTTCTGCTATTGGCGGTGGACCGAGCAGCAGCAGTGGCAGAAGCGGTAGCATTGTCAGTGCTGCTATTGGTTGCATTGTACTCGCCCGTAATAAATGGATGGTGCTTGGCTTCTTGAGGCGTCAAGCGCCGCAATGGATCAATCTGAAGCACTTGTTTCAAAAAGTCGACCAAGCATAGACGTTTCTGCATCTCTATTAGGCATGGGCTCCAGCCAGTCAGTATAACCTCTCCCCCTTATCCAAGTACCCCTTCAGTTGTGTTGTGCTAGAGAAAATGCTTGTCACACCCACCTTTAGCCTTGTCCTTTTCGCTCATGTGTTTCCGAGGCATTGGATACGTCAAGATAAGGTCATCAAGATGGGTCGTGGAAAAATACTTTTTGCCCACCTTTTCGTTCTTGTTCTCGTCGTCCATGTACTGGTGTCTGCTCTTGAAGGTATACGAGATCCGTCCGTCTTTCTCCACACGGTTAAAGTATCGTTTTGAGTTTCGCCCTTGCTCGGTCATGTACACAGGAGGCAGTCTGTGTGTACAACATAGAAGGGAGGGGGGGGAGGGTGAATGATTAACCGCTACTCATGGTGGTGGACAGTTACACAGACATTTATGCCGCAATTTCCTTACCCAAGCGAATCAATGATGCGCGATAACTGATTGTACTCTGAACTTCCCGGAAAAAGGGGCAACCCTAAGAACAGCTCGGCCACTCATTTGAAAGAGAGAGAGAGAGAGAGAGAGAGGGAATGGTTAGCAAATACATGTCCCCTTCTTTTTATATTCAAAGGACTCACCTATGCATCCAAACGACCACATGTCAATGGCACTGGTATAATTGATACCAAGCAGCACTTCTGGCGACCGATAGAACCGGGACTGGATATACGTGTACGGCTTATTGGATTGATGACAAGCGGATCCAAAGTCAATGACTTTAATGCCGGGCGAATCGAGGTTTCTGAGCAGAATATTCTCGGGCTTGAGATCACAGTGGATGATGGCTGCTTCCTTGAGGATGATCAGGACATCAATGATCTGTGCAGACAGGACACGGACCAGGTTGATCGAGAGACCACGGAACTTGTTTTGCTTGATCAGTTCGTACAAGTTGACTGACAACAGCTCAAAGACAATGCAGAGATGATGTCTGTGCTTAAAGACATCCAGTAGCCGTAGGATGTGGTGGTCGCCTTTGGGGTCCCACTCGTTGTTGAGCTAGTCCATTGGACGTTATCCCAACATGCTTTGGGCGTGTGTCATTTTCCGCCCCCCCCCCCTCCCACGCAACCATTCCCCCACATTATCCAAGAAAGAAAAGGGAAAAAACCTTACATGTTTCAAGATCTCCACTTCCACCATACTCTGCTTAAGGTATGCCGGTTTGTTCTTGATCACTTTGACGCCAACCATCTTGTGGGTCGACGTATCTACGCATTTCACCACTTGTCCAAACGTGCCCGATCCAAGCATTTCTTGTACGACGTATCTGTTCAATGTGTCAAAATCCAAAACACCGAATCGTCCTCATTATTACTTACGTGTTGCCATGGTGCTTATCTTGTCTTCCCAGAACAGCATTTACATATAAGATCAGATCGGAATTTTCATTGTCGTATCGATCGTTTTTGCAGCCGACACTTGGTTTTGTAAGCACGCGACGCGGGTTCCGAGACGAGTCGTACCGAAAATTCGGATTTCGTCTCAAGTAGGTGGTCCGTAAAAGGATGGTCGTAGCAATTATCGGCTGATTTTGGTTTTTTTTTTAAAATCCATGGGGGGTGGGTGTTAATGACAATCTTACTGTTATTGTTAATGCATCCCGTTTACCTTGACTTTCCCACTAGCAACAACGGGATCAATGTGATATGTCTCGAAAGGATGACGGTGAAACGCACTTGGAATAGGCTGATAGGGTGAGGATAGCGATGATGATGGTGATGATGATAGTGAATGACTGTCAAGTACGCTGATCGTAGTCGCTACAGAGCAAGGAGACGTTGGTGGCGACAGTGTCTCATGCAGCTGCTGTCGTCGTTGTTGTTGTTGTTGATATCGTGGCGGTAACGGTGGCGGTACGTGTCGCGTAGCAGTAGTTGCAGGAGTAGTAACAGTGGCAACGGAGGCAGTTGTGCTCTTGGTGTCTTTGTTGCTACTACTTTTGTTATTCTTATAGCGCCAGCCTAATACACCACTCCATGTTCGTCGTCGCGACCGTTGTTGTGGTCGTTGGTGTGATTGCTCAATCGAAATACTCGTTGTTGGAACAGTTGAATCTCCTGGTTTTTCGAAATGGCGACGCATGACTATCCTATTTCCTCGACTACAAACAAACGCAAATAAAAAGTAAATGTGGTAAAAAGGTTTGTTTCTTTTCTGCTCTCTCCCCCAGTTTCTAACCCACACTCTTTTTCGCCGGTCTGGTGTGGGGGGGGGGGGCGCATCGGGGGAGGGGAAGATGCCCGCTCCAAGAAATCAACCAACGATATTACCGCAATTGCACTATGTCTTGCATGAAAAGGACGTCACGTTTCACTTTTTTTTTAATATACTACGTACGTTACGTACATCACCCACACACACACACATTACACACGCACGTTTTGGATATTTTTTTTTATATACACACAATGGAGGGGGGAGGGGTTCCGACTACTACATACTCGCTGACGGGAGGGGGACCCTTAGAACAAATAGTATCTGACCAGTAACACACCCAAAATGACAGATGCAATAATGGCAGGTGGACCGTATTTCCGATACAACGCTTGCAGATTGAGATGGCGTGCTTTATCCTTGAACATCTTGGCGCTATCCTTCAGCTCTCCCGAGATATGGCTCATTCCTAACCATTTGGATTCAGCACATAGGGCAAATACTACTACTACTGCTACTACCTTATTCCCTCTCCTTTTTCTTTAACCGTCGCCTCTCCCTAAACACAATCCCACTTACGATCCAAACTGTCTCCACGCCACAAAAGATCCTCCATGTTCTTTGTCATGATACGGGTCACATCCTGCAAATCCTCATTCAACTTGGTCAGGTTGTTCTGTGTTCGTGTGTCTTGGTATATTCTTTTGGTTTTTTGCATGAACGTATCTATATCATTTCCATCCATGAGATCTTTTGTGTGTGTGTCCACGGATCAAAAAGTAATCTCACTGATAAAGAACGGGGGTATCCCTTTCTGAACTTTACCAAACTTGACGAAAGCATAAGGTCGTAAACCAGGCTTCTCTGCCTCATTTCCATAGCTCATATTGAATTCCTTGGCCAGTTCTTCGAGATAGCTGAATGCAAGCTTGCGAGGGTATGATTTGTCGCAGATGCACAGATAGCATACACTGCCTTCAATGATATAGCTAGTAGTAGTAGTAGTAGTTTTTTCAATATGTATCGCTTAGTCCATATACATGAAAGCTCCACTTGTACCTCTGCCCCTGCTATTCCACAAGTATCTTTTTTTTCCTTCACAAAACGAATGCATCATCAATCAGTACCCAGAAAAAAAAAACTTACTGAAAAACATAAGGTCCTGATTCGATAGAACATCTCGGTTCGGAATTGACGTTGAGTCGCTTAAAAATGCTCTTAGCCTGGCCTTTGTATTCTGCCAATTCCGTCTCCACCTAGGAATATCAACCCCATCATGAATAGGGGGGTGCCCACATGGTATAAAGAAGAAAGGGCCTGGTGAGATAATGAACAAAAAAGCATAAAAAATGTACTTTTTACCTGTTCGTCATCCATACTGGCAGCTAATGGCAGGCCATCGGAAACCCGAGCGATAATGGTTGTCTTTACCATGATTTTTGAACGAGAAAAAGACACGTTTTCCAGTCAGCTTTTCGCGCTCCCTCGTGATTTTTTCTTTTTTGGAAGAGGGGGAGCCATTTCAAATTAGGGAAACAACTCCCCCGTCGTCCCTCCAGTTTTTTGCATAGACCAGGAGCCCAATACTACGTTAGAGCAACATAACTACGACAATAGAGAATGTTAACCAACGACAAAGGAAATTTTTCTCTTTCTACGGTTGCCCTGTAAATCAACTTCACCATACAACATCTTATTCTCTCCAAACCTGCCCAAAGCGGTACTATATTAACTCACCCAATCTTGATTCTAATATCCCCCATACTGACAATGATACTCCTTCAACATCCAGTTATCATCTGTATGAACTCACACACGAAAAGATAAAAAGAAAATTTCTGTGTATGTTTTTTTAAATGTACCGTTGACCTGTATTGTAGATTTCTAACCATAAATATTTGGGATTCTATTTCCACGCGTGTAAGGTACCATCATCATCCGTTACAGGAGTCCTTATTCTAGTTCTATGTGGCATCTTACGCCTTGTCGTTTTTTTGGTCGAATTCGCAGTAAGTCACTCTTTTAATGGGCACCTCATAACAAATTATTGTCGTGTTTTTCAGCCGAAATAGAATTTGCAGATATTCTGGGTCTTTACAGGGCCTTGAAGTGTCGTTTCAGTTTTTCGAAAGGCTACAGCGCAACGAAAAACGACGACAAATTTGGGATTTTTGAGATGCTCCTAGGAATAGGTTTACTTTAGGATTTGCAGCAGTAGAGCTTATCTACGCTCACTCTTTTTATTAGGGCACTTTTTTTAGTTTGCTGTTATTCGGGTTACTCTCCGTTAGATCAGTCGTGCCCGGCCTCCTCGGGTGCATACTGGTTTAACGACAAACTGTCATTGGTGTCGTCTTCATTGAGTGAGTAGCAGCAATACATCGCTTTTGGACATGCCAACATATTCTTGAGTCATGCCCATCAAAATTAAAGTATGGCCAAGGCTGTTCTTCTAGACCTTATTTTGTGCCTAATGTAAAAACGTTGTGGAAGGAGAAGGCTCGCCATTGTCATAACATGGGTCGAGTTTGCGTTTTGTCCGTTGCTTCGCTCAGGGAGCATCTTTTGCGTACAAGTCCGAGCTGTTTTTTGATTACGTACAAGGCAGAATGTAGTTGTTTCCGCAACATGTGAGCACCTCAACTTTTATGAGTTACAATAAAAGCTTTAAAGCACTGAAAAGTATGTAGAACAGTTCATATTCCTGGTCTCTTTGCATGCATTACTGTTATCTGATGGATCGTGACTATGACAAAGTAGTAAATATAAGATGTATACAGTAAATATCTTCAACATAGAGCCGAAACGTGTCTATTATATGCAGCTCACTAGCTTTGAATGCGTCGTTCTGTATAACGCGAAAGATATACGTACCGCCATCAGGGCGCAGGACTTGTTTTGAATCATCTCTTATAGAGTCCTCTACTAGATCCACAAGATCGTGCTAGACACATTGAATTATAACGGCAACCTAACAGGTCCACTCGGATTGTTTCTGCTGCAACTCGTAAACTTGCTGGAGGCCCTATATTTAGCGGCTGACATATTCTTGTTTCAATCAACATCATCCATCTTGTTAACAGATTCATGTTTCTCATTTTCTCTACATATCCAACATTAGACCCCATAATGATTGCGACTACCTATTAAGCATATATATATATCTATATATATATATATATACAGTCAAATAAGCTTACCAGGTCAATATTTATGGCTGTAAATGTCAATTTACTTTTTGTTGCCAATGGATTATATTACACCTGCCATGCTGCATATGAGATAATAATGGCGCTAGTTTCCCCCGAAAAAAATTATAGTCGGTTCTTGGGTGTCTTACGTGCCTGCGGATAGGTCCTATTCTTCTCTTTCCTTTTTTCACAACACCGAAATGTCACATCCTTACCGGCCTTTTGGAGGTAAAATTGAAATTGCTGTGGCAAGATCTGCACTGATCTGCACACCTTAGTTTCTGGTCAAAAAGGATTCTAATAATTAAATGCTATAAAAAAAGGGTACCGACCACGTCCACCGCCAGGAGCACCCTACGGTGGCGGTGGTAGAGGATACCATGGCGGTGGCTACATGCCAGGCCGACCACCATTGGTTCGTCCAATGTCCCTTTCTAATGCAGGACGACACAATCTGCCACCCAGTGAAGAGAAACAGAAAAGACTTTTCGTGGGTGGCATCGCCCCTGGTATTAACGATGATTGGATTGAATTGTTACTCAAGGTAACAATGAACAAACAAGCTCCACCCAGTTTTTTTTTTTTTTTCGTTTTTATAAATCGAATTTCAACAAAGAAAAAAAAGAGCACCCGAAATTTATAATGTGAATCTTGTCTGTTTGTAATTATAGGCAGGCGGTAACTTGAAATCCTGGAAACGTATGAAAGATCCACAGGGCAATATGAAAGGCTTTGGATTTGCCGAATACGAAGATGCAGAGAGCGTGTTGCGAGTACTGCGCGTGTTGGGTGGTGAAAACGATACGCATGATGGCTTGGTGTTAAAAGCTAGGGACGATAGTAGTGTTGAAAAGAAGCTGCTTGTAGGTCTTTTTTAAAAGAAAGAGCGAGAATTTGACAAGATACTCACATGCTGTGGATTGTTTCTCTCTCTCTCTCTTTTTTCCCCGTATGTCATTTAGGTGAAAGCAGACGACAATGTTCGCGAATTTCTTCAACAACATCAAACGGCACAACCAGATACAGAAATAGAAACAAAAGATAAAGATGCGCTGACCAAAATATACGCGTACGTTGATGCGATCAACCGAGGCCAGGATCCAGCCTCAGCCAACAATAATGCAGAAGATGATTCCCGCATGACCGATGCATCACCAACAGCAGCAGCAGCAGAAGGAGAAGAAGGGACTGAGCCAAAGGAACAAGACACAAACGGGGACAATGATTTATTGAACAAAGAACTGGCATTCTTCAAAGAACGCGCAGCCCAAAGAGATCAAGAAAAACAGCGGATACGAGAAGTTCAAGAAGAACGTCGTGCGCGATCACCATCACCATCCGATTACAATCGAAGACGACGAAGTGGTGGTGGTGGTGGACGTACTACTACTACTACGACGACACGCGATGACTTTGTACGAGGACCTACAGAGCATGCACCTCCACAAGAAGAAATCGATATTGACGACGAAGAACTGGAACGAAGGAGAATTGAGAAACACGAAAAAGATGTCGAGCTTGCTTTCCGACAACGAGAACGACGGTTTGAAGGACGTGAGCGTACGAGATTACATGACTACGAACGTGATCTGGAACGATTAAAAGAAGCTGAGGAACGACAAGCGCGTAATAAGGAATATTGGGCAACAAAACTGGCAGAGTGGGACGACGACGTAGAAATTGAAAAAGGAGAGGTGGAATTCTATACTAACCGGTAAGTGAAGGGGGTTTGGACTTTATATATATAACAAAGGCAATGATTATTTGTGTATGTTAAAAGAAGAATCCTTTAAAACTGGTAATATGTGTATAACTTAGATCACGATGGCGTCGACATAGAGAAGGGGTTCGAAGAAGAGAAGAGGAACGCGATGAAGAGGATCGACGACTTGAAGCCCAAGAAATTGAAGAAGAGCGCCTACGCATTGAACATGAAGAACGTATGGCAAGGCAACAACAACAACGCGAACAACGCGAAAAGGAGCGAGAAGAGGAGAAACAACAACAACGTGACGCCGAAGCGAGTAGAGCCGCAGAAGAAGCTGCAGCAAAACCAAAGATAGCATTGAAACCAACCAAGCTCAGTTTCAATGCACCGATTAAACGTATCTCTGCGATGGGCGGTGGTGACGATGAGGATGATGAAGAAGGGGGTGGTCGCAAACGACGTGTCTTGGTTCCTTTGGATTATGGTGATGAGGACGTGACTATGAGCGAAGCGTCCACTACCACCACCAGTATGGATCCTGAAGAGCGCGCCACTAAGCTCAAGGAGTTGATCGGCAGCATACCCAGCTCAGAGCAAGAATTATGGAATTGGCCTGTCAAGTGGGATCAAGTGGATGAGGTTCGGTTATTTGTTTGTTACTGATTTTGGGACTCTATCTAATCTATTTTTTATGGACATAGGCACTTATCGAAGAGAAGCTCAAGCCATTTATCTCCAAAAAGATCACCGAGATTGTTGGCGCGGAAGACGATGAGTTTGTCGGCTTCATCTTGGATTTTGTCCGAAGACAGCAAACGCCTGATACACTGGTCAAGGAACTGGAAATGGTAAAGTCTTTTTTTTGGGTGGTTCCCCGTTCGGTTGTTTTTTAACTATTTACTCACACTCATACCGCCTGTTTTTTTTTCTTTCTGTTAGACGCTGGATGCCGAGGCTCTCGTGTTTGTGATGAAGCTTTGGAGAGCACTTATCTTTGAATCAGAACGAAAATCAGCCAAGCTGTAAATGAAAAAAGCTTTAATTTCCCTTTTCTTCACCCCCCCCCCCGCATGTGTATTTAATTTCGGTAATGATGCCTGTAAAGACTGTAGGTTTAATATTCAAGCCGTCTAAAATAAAACAGTTGCGTCTTGATGCCGCTGTTGAATATGCTAGGTATATAATAAGCCGTTCCTTTTTTTTTGGTTTTCTTAGGACTGACATCTCATATATGTGTGCTTTTAATTGAAAAAAAAAGACATTACGATTTACAACTCGTATATATTGATCTCGATCGGCCGATCGAAGAATACCCACCACTGGACTTGGTAGTCCACAAGATGTCAGACATTTACGGTAAAATGTTACAAGGCGATCTTGGTGAAAAACTTAAATTCGAGCGATTCCTGGTAACGTCCTGAATATTATGGTCGAGATTAGCCTATTCCTATCTTATTTAAAACAATATGCGGAAATTCCAGAGCTTTTGTACCCATCATCCCAGTGTTCGGATACTCGATCCATGGGAGAACGTGAAAACCTTGTTGGATCGAAAAAGCACGTACGAGAGCTGCGTCAATGCAGCAGCAGCAGCAGCAGCAGCAGCAGCCGCCAGGGGCTGTTCCTCCTCCTCCTCCTTATTCCATGTCCCAAACACAGTGTTCCTGAATAGTATTCAGGACCCCATCCACGCGATCCAATTTCCAGTATGTTTTTCCCGGTTGTTGCCTAGCTATACATCATTAAAAAAACAAAAAACTCACGGCTCCGAGTTTAGGTCATCTGTAAACGACAGACGGCGTGTGCTACGGGTGGATCGCATCAGATGGCACTGGTTCCATCGTCAAAACATGTGTCAGATTTGAACCCGTATTTTGGCGCTGATGAACCGGTGATTCTTCAGCAATTCATACAACATGATGGTGTGCTTTTTAAAGTGTATGTTGCGGATGGACACCTCTACACCTATACTCGCCCGTCATTACAGAACACGTTCGAGTCGGTCGTCACGTTCGACAGCCAAACGTTGCCCAAGACGTTCGGATCATCCGCGCAACAACAGCCTCATGTGGTGACTGATACTGCCATGCAAAAGCAGAAAGTTGCACTTGTTGACCACGAGCGTCTACATGGCATTGCCGATCGTCTTCAGTGCCAACTTGTAAGTGTGGTCAGTGGGAAAAAAACAATAAGGAAGGGTTTCTCACTCGCAAATAAATAAAACCCCCATCTAGGGACTGACGATGTTTGGCTTTGATGTGGTGGTGGAATCCGGAAGGACCGATGCGTACCATGTGGTGGATGTAAACTATTTCCCCAGTAAGTGATACTTTATACTTGCAGCATTACTGTTGTCGTGCATGTGCATGAATTTTATGAAACTGATTATAATCTGCCTCTTTCTAATGAACCCCTCAACCTCCCATCCCCTCTCTGCTCTCTCCTCTCTTTTGCAATTCTTTGGCTCTCTTTGTTCATTTCCCCTGATCTGTGCATCTAAGGTTTTGCGGAAGTAGATGATTTCCACCAAGTATTTATTAAGATACTGCGTCGACATCTCTCAATGTAAAAATAAAAGGTGGGGACTGAAATACTCCGACGGGCGACCACACTTCTCTTTTGCCTGTGTATTTTCTATTTCCCTTTCTCTCTCTCCTTCTCACTTTCCTCTCCCTTGACTTCTTTTTCTCATACACGCACATATTCATAAAACGTACATACCTTCTTTACATATAATTTCTATTCCTAATCCAAAATAAACGCGATGCCTCCACCATCCAATTTTCAAATAATGTCGGGGAAACCGGCCAGCCAATTAACCCCTCATTCCACACCTCCTGATGCAAGCAATGTCCACGGCTGGCTGATGAACGTACAACCACCGTCCTATTCTAACGGTGTCGACAGCGACAACGACGACCCCAGTGTCGATATGCAAACAAGCTTTAGGTAAACAACTTGAAAGCAGGGTTTTGGGATGCGATATAGAAGGCTCTATCAAACCGGTTGCAGTAATACCGAAAGGACAACAACGGAGCCTTTTTCTTTATTATCTCCAAAACACGAAAAAAAAAGGGGGAGAGAAGGGGAGGGCCATAAACCTGACAAGATTTAATTAAATATAAATAGACGAGTCAAAGGACGACCACTGTCAATAGCATCCATCAGTTCCGAAGACAGCGTCAATTTGGATGAATTGATTAAAGCCAACTATGCCTCGGATATGGACGATGAAACGAGTCTCCCAGACCTCGCTAACCTGGAACTCGATGATTCGGATGAGGAGTTTTGGAAGATGGACGAGGTAAATTCCTTTTCCCAGACAAAGGCGAAAAGGCAAGCAAATGATAAATTGACAAAAAACTGTATATGTATGCGCACACGTGATGTATAGTCCTCCATTGCATCCCACAAATTGCCCACCCCGCCCATGAAGCCTGCTGCGTTCCCAAGGATCCGTCGACATCGTTCGGGCAGTCTGAGCAGCGAGAACAGTGTGACATCTCAGTCGACTGTAACGTACAGAACACACAACCTGATGCACCCATCGACATCAAACTCAACTGCTACCTCGGCCAACGGCAGCATGACTAGCGGCAGTCATCATTATCATCCTCCTTATCAGCAACAGCAGCATCTATCACCGCAACAGCAACCATCATCATCAGCACGTCTTCCAAAGCCTGCACAAAGCCACTCGTTCAATACCTCTTCGAACAACAACAACAACAACGAATTACCTGCCCGTTCAGGCTCAAGAATCGGCATGACTTCCAAACTTGCCAAGCGGGCATCGCATATACCAGCACCCTCCAGTTCCCGGCTTGCCACACCCAGTCCGCAACGCACACTGTCAACGCGGTCGAGCAGTAGCATTGGTAGCGGATTGGCAAGATTGAATGCCGCAAACAACAGTAGTACTTGTTCCTCACATGCGCGCGACCAGCAGCAATCATCGAGTCTATTATCGGCAGCGCCAAGAACAAGCAGTCGTTTAGGCAACCGTGCCAGTCATATCCCATCGACAGCAACCTCGCGCGCACGATCACCCATGGGTATGTTGGGTGGTAGTAGTGGAGGAGGGGGACAAAGAACTAGTATTTTTGGCGGTCCTCCCTCTTCCTCTTCAGCGTCCCGTCCACCGTCACGACAACAACAACAACAACAGCAACATGTGTTGCCACGGTCAACGGCATCCACGACAAGAAGTGCGAGCCGGATTGGCATGACAAAAAGATCAGCATATTAGGAGGGGAAGGAGGAAAATTAATTTCTCCTACCCACCACATCCACCTTTCATTTTTTCATAATTGTTGTGTATAACATAATAATCTGGTTTGTCATTCCCTCTCTTTTTTGTTTCTTTTCTAACCATAGCAGCATACATTATATACTACATCTTTTTGATACTACTACTACTACTACTATTACCTCCATTATCATTACCACCACCACTACTACTACTACTACTACTAGTAGTAGTATATCATGAAAATACTACACTTATATATATCGCACAACGCATTACGCACAGACAACAAGCATTTTAGAGAACGCCACACACAAACACTTACACATTCCTCACTTGGGTCCCAATAAGCGTTACACTGATATGTTTTATTATACAGCAGCGGGAAAATCTTATTTATCATATCTTTAATGTGATATTACCTTGTTGCCTCTTGCGGTCACGGGTTTTCGTCAAAACAGGGCTCATTTTCTCCCAAAGTGACTGACCTTCGCTTTCGAGTAATTATGGGGTCAGTGGAGCTGGGAAGACATTGGTCTTGGAATACTTGAAGCATCGTTTTGATGTCGGCCAAATAGACCAGGTAGCCGCGGAGATCACGTATAGACAATGGCACATTTACATTCGCTATCTCGATCATAATATATAATCCATCAGCCTTTAGTTGTACAAAGTAAAAGCAAGCAGATCAATGTTGACTGCTCGATGATTTTTTGCTTCATATTCAGAATTGACTTCACCAAAGCCGATGTTGTTTGTGATGTGGTTATCCATAACGATGCTAATCAAACAATCAGGTGCCATAGTCTCCTTGTACTGTCTCAGTGTTTTGTCCTGAATATTGAACATCGGTAAGATTGATATCATATACAATCTTCAAGTTCTCGCATACCACCTAATTCTTATGCAGCATTTGTCATCATCGAATAGGTTTTGGAGCGTGAGAAGCAGATAGCGTGTGCAATATTCAGATTCTTGTATGGAGCATCATGATCCTAGAATAAAAAATTTATGATCAGAGTCATGGTTTCATATATTCGCTTTGTTCTAGATTGCTTACACGTGATGAACAGAAAGAATCAATTTCCGGTTCAAGTCATTAGCATCCCCTCGCTAAAGACAGCACTTCCATGTACGCATCCATGCGGTCGATTTTTTCGGCTTCCAAATCCTAAAAAGGGTATGTCAATCCGACCGATACAATGTTATTACTTGTAGTTTCAGTATCACCTTACCATCACTATTTCAATTAGTTTCATGGTTTAGTGAGCCTGGAAACGTGATAGCTGCAACATTCCAGTCTTGGTGTGATTTCGAGATAATAGCACGTGATCTACGTATGTCTTATTTTATAGACTAAAAGGCTTTTATTGCTCTTGTTATCTCATTGTTGGGAGCTATAGGATAATACAATATAATAATGATATCTTACTTATTCAGGAGGTTATGATAATTGTGTGATAGAGAGAAGAGAGGGGGATTTAAAGGGGATAATGGTATATAAGTACAAGAGCTGTAGTTTTGTGTCACTGCCAATTTTAGTGGGTACCTCGGAATAACCTTTTTCTAGATTATCACTTGTACTTCACACGGACCACGCTGCTTGGTAAAAACTGCTGGATAAGGCGGGAAAATTCGATACGTGCGTAGTTGTCAACCACCATCTACTAAAAGGGACGTCTATAGTAATGCAGGAACGAATCGCTGTCGCCCTTACGGATCATGAGCAAGTACGCGCAATGCTCACGCAGCGTTACTTGGATCGTGTCGTGCGACACTGACTCGCAAGTCAAACCTTTGGAACCATCCATTATCGCCAAATGGGAACATCAGGACGTAATGGAGCGGCATATACGATGCGTGCAAGGAGCTGATACGACGAAGACTTTCTGCACGATCGTGAATGACAAAGTCATGCTCCCGTGCAGTGCCATCCACAGTACGTTCTACCACCATTGCTGCTACTTCAGGGTAACCCTGTTGATCATAGCGACGGCCCAAATCGCTTTGTCGAATTACAGCCTGAAGTGTTCCAAGTGGCTGATCACCGTGGGTTTCGACAGCAGAAACGAATGTGCGCGCCAAAGGATTGTGCGTCTCCATTACACCTTGCAGCATTTCGATCGTCTCGCGGAGGAGCCCAGAATACAAAGTCGTACGTCTTGCCAATTGCTCCTGCGTATCTTCGAAATAGATCTGCGAATAATTCGCTTGCGCCTGGTTGTCGGGTCTCAGTGCACCAACAGCATGATACAATGTACCATTAATACGGTAAGTGGGCACGCCGCCAGCGCCACTTGCTAAGACTGGATCGACGTTACCACCAAGAATGGATGCAAATGCAAACATACTGTTATATGCCCTAATGTTGGTGTGGAAGTTGACACTAACAGAATTATTGCAATCACGATTCATTTGGAGGTCGCAAGGTGGAGCAGGAGGAGCGCGAGGAAGTGGCAATTGAATTTTCCCGGAAAGACAGCAGAGACCCCAATGCGAGGATTGCGCACGGATGATGTTGTGAGCTTTCCATCCAACCACATCAGCGCACCGCAAAATGGGCAAAGAATTTCCATGCGTGGTAAGGCATGACGGTGGAAGGAGTCACCGGCAGTATAGCATGCGTTTGGCCCAAAAACGTCTTCTGGCTCGAAGGGGACTACGCGCGCAATGCGGTATTGTGCCCCATGCTCATGCTGGACATTGCTCGGGTTAAACGGACAGAGGCGGTGGGTGCGGCGCGTGTGTGTTGGTGCCCAGCAACTGGTGCAACGCGTAACTCGTGCGGTGGTGGTAGGAGTAGGCGTAGTTGTTGAGGGAGGATTGGCAATGGTGGGTGATGGTGGTGGAGGCGACGGAGGCAAGGCAGCAACAATGGGAGAAGTTGGTGGAGGCGACGTGGCAACAGCTGAAGTAGCTCGAGGAGAAGCAGAAATTGTAGCTTTGTCAGCAAAAATTGCAATAAAAGTACCTATCACAAAGCCATCGGTTTGATTGGCAGGATTCAGCTTGCAGAAACGATAGGATCGCCTCTGATGAGTAATCGAGCCACAGACGCAGGATCTAGGTGTAGTAACAGGGAGTAGGAGCAGTAGGATCCTCAACGACAATCTACCCGTCATTCCATTTTTTTTCCAATTAAACAAACTGTAACAGTAAATTTCAAACGGTGGCCTTAATCATACATTGCCTATTCTACGGCGAACGTTGCGAGAATGAAGTGGGCACGGCCCATTATTGTAACCACAGCGACAGTCTTGGGCAACGTCAGATTGCTTCAATATTCAAATAAGAAAAGTTAGTTAGTGCACTTTAAGTTTTTTAGAGCAGTCTGTCAGAATCTCAGGCAAGAATCCCGGGCAAGGCTCAAAGATGCTCAACGATTTTCATGAATAAACCTTTCAATTGTCGTTTACGAAAGATTGAAGCAGTAACACACCTCTTGCGAACTCATAGTAAGATTATAATAGAGAGAGACAACAAAGTTGAAGTGTAAACGTTCCTGAGAAACACGCGTGTGCGGGCAAAAAGAAGGGTGACAGGATGCTAATTTCCAAATATGGACTTGAGTTGGGATTGAACCGTAACGACCTCTCTTATATTTCCAGAGTAGAGATGTGATATCGACTACACAGAAATAGCAAGTATAGCAATTTCCGTTTTATAATATTTCGACTAAGATGGTGTACTTCAAGTTGAGTTTGACTGAAGAGTAAAATAAGTGTGAGGTAATGTCAAGACGATATGAGCAAAGAATACAAGGAGAGTAATGAGAATCAATTTATCTATAATTACTTTCTTATGCTATCGCGATTATTATATTAAGCGTTCTCTACTATATCATGCAGTTTGCTCAAAAATAAGAGAATGACTCTTACCAGCTGCTACATATAAATGTGTACCAGAATTATCGTCGATACACTCTTACCTTCAAAGCAAAAATTAAAGCGAACGAGAAATAGATCTTTGTCAGTTATGACAATTTATTAACAAATAAAGCACCTTTCTCCTACATATTTTTTCGGGTTGTGATGACATACAAGTCACGCTAGTGTTTCTATGAAAAAAAGTATTATTTGATATGATAGCAGTATCAGTTATTGATAGATAAATATTCGGCCTCAACTACACATTGCATTGAGAATCTTCCCTCAATGTTATCATATGTAATAATCTCCTCCATCTGTTACTGATGTACTATAATACCTATACCTGCCATAGTAAGCGATCTATCACACTGATCGCTATTGAAATAATCAAACCCTGCTCCTTTTCTCTTCTCCAATGAAAGAAATATCATATGATAGACAACCTCGAGCCTCCAGATTTTCATTAACATCAACGGTCGTATTGATTGTTACACGACTCCCCAATATGTATATGATAGCAATCCTACATAACGTATAAGAAATCAAGATGGATACATGTTTTATGACATAGCTCCAGTGACAGACAATGCATCTTTGAAAATCTATGTTTTTATATAATAGACTCTCAACAAACTAAACGCTGTAATAACAAAGAGACGACCCAACAATCATAACCATACTGTTATGATAGCGTCAGGCGGGGAACATGGGTCTGTTGATGTATCATACAGTTATTATACATATTAATACGCTTGCACAACGTCAGATAAACTAAAGACTGATCTTCTTGTCCAACCCGCACCACGATAAAAAAGAGAAATGCTGTTGAAATCATTGCTTAAAGGTGGCAAGTAGAAATTCCAAGTCGTTGTACATATATATATACTACACATACGCACTCCTGTTTTACGAATGAGTTGCCCTGTTACGCGGTCTGCCTCATAATAATATGCATTATGATCGAATGACTTTTGAAGCTTATACATACTTACAACTGGTTAGAAAAAAAACTGCTTCTATAAAGTTTCATCGAAATAGATGCAGGAGGCTAGTAACTCTAGCTCGACCGACATATGTTAGTATACTGTATGCGTACAGCAGTACATATTACTGCTTTCTTTTAAAAATAGCGTTATAAATACGACGGAGGATGGTGAAAGGGTCTTGTACACGAATGATCTGAGCCAGTGCACGCATAACATATACAAGTTATGTACATGTACATATGTACAGTGGGAGCCATCCACTCCTCAGGAGGAGGCAAACTTTGCGAGACCCTTACATGTTCTTTAATTTTAAAAATAGCATGATTCTATGGTATAGGTGCTCAATTGAGCAGTATTTTATACAAAAAAAAATACAACACAACAAGGGTTTGTCTGGTGATCATACTACTACTACTATAGAGTGATAGAATGGCTGCAATGAACAGCGATGATGACGACGTTAATGGATTGCATCATTATAGAGTATAATGCCATATGAGAAATGTTGAATGGATGATAAGCACTACACTACTATTACTACTACTCCTAGCCACTCTATCAAACATGGGAACACTGTGATCGTGCGGGCCGTGCGTCGGCATTTTCTTTTTTTAAAACTTGACTTGTGGAGCAATGTGCATCAACAACGCTAGTAAAAGAACGCTTAGGATAGCGTATATCAAAGCCGAAAAACTGAACCCTTTAAGTCAATGTCATACGCACAGTATAGAAAAAGTTCATTAGTTTTGCGATCTCTTCTTTCCACCTCGTTATACGAGCACGTACCAGTACCAAAAGAAGCCTTCAGATGACCAGGAAGCACCATGATCCTGCATCTTGTATCAGCTCCTGCACTAGCCAAATATTTGCCTGAAGGGCTAAAGGTCAAACTTGTGATAGCGAATCCATGCGCGTTCTTCACTTGCAGCATAGGCTGGTTACCAAAAGGAGGGGGGGGTGGCATACAGAAAAAAGCGGGGGACGGTTAGTAAAAGTAACCTGAGTAAATTGGTGAATTATAAACGAACTCTCACCCTCAAAGTTTTCGCATCCACGAGTCCAACGCTCAGATCCGTTGACGCATAAGCCAACAGATCCCCAGATGGACTCACACTGAAGCTTGTGATACTCTTGCGACACACACTGGCCGTCTTGACCTGCGTGACCGGATAGCGGCGCTGCTTCCGTTTCCGCAAATCCCAAACGCATATGAATCCATGACCGCGTGATTTTGGGTTGACCACTGCATAGAGTTTGCGCTCGTTTGACGACGAGGAAAGGTTACTACTGTAGCGACAACAACGGAACTCGCACTCGGTCTTTTTGTTCAGTTTGGGACTATCAATGACCTGTGTGATGGTTCCGTCTTCCAGGGACACGATGATCAATGCCTTGGGGGTTGCTACAGCGAGATACTCCTCTTCAGGATCCACGTCTACATCTTGTACGCCGTTGAACCGCAGGGGCGGGAATGCTAATGTCAAATCTGGCATCTTGAGCACTGTCACTCGACCGTCCGTGAAGCCGGTTACCAGATATTGACCAGAACGACTGAACCGGGTTACTTTCTATAATGTAAGGCATAAGCTCAATGTGCTTCCTCTCGATCTATCATTGTTTTTATTAATGCATGGAAAACACACACACACACACACACACACCTGATAATCTTCAACGTTCCGGGTAGTACTCGCAGATGTTTTGTTGAGTGGCTGTATTGTGCTGTTATCAATGTTTAGATGGAATACGTACAGTCCTCCTCCTCCTCTCTCCCCCAAAAACGACGCAATCCATCCTTGGGTCTATAGACTCAATGAAAAAACGGACCTTGATCCGAGTTCAAAAAGGTGGCAAGATTGATTCTCTCCCCGCTCGATCACGTTGGCTTCGTCATTGATTCCAGTAGCAAACAACGGTAGCTGGATAGAGGGAGAGAGAGAGAGAGAGAGAGAGAGAGAGCGCGCAAAAGTTAAGAACATGTTTTTGCTAGTATTCCAGATAAACTTACCTTGGGATGGCAAGCGACAGACATTGGGCAATCTTTCTGATCGGGTATTGGCCATGTTATAGGCGTGTCGTCATTAACAGGAAACGCAATCTATGTTGGAGTGCCCAAAGAGATGGGGCGTAGTCAGTTGTAAAAAAAAAAAAAAAGTCGCAAGTGAATGTGCGGGTTGCAAAGAGTTTCTTTGAATTACCAGTTTATTCTTGACGCCTGATTTCCCCGTTCCGCCACCACCCACAGCGACAATGCGATCGTCGACAGCGAATTCTAAACCATAGACTGGAAAGTCGACCTTCTTTATGAAAGACTTCATTGGCCCTGAGCAAAAGCGGTAAAGGCCCTTCTTGGGGTTGGTGTACCCCCCAATAATACGCATAAAGTGACTTTTTTTTTAAAGGTCCGGCTATCCGCAAACAAAAAGCTACAGTATTTGCCGCATTCATTCCATCCCCATGACAACAACATTGGATGATGCTATTAGGAAAGGCATCTATACATACAAACATACACAATACAGCAACGTATACTATCGGCACACATGCACATCCTCAGTGGGCGGGTTGGCTCTCTCTCTCTCTCTCTCTTGGTATTGTTATACATTGACTCCACATTACGCCGCAGGTGAAGGGAATTAACAAGAATAAACGTTTGATGCATGCCAAGAAGTCGGGCCTATGTCTCTCCTTTTCCACCAAACACTGTAGTCATTAGGATGCGACGGCTATTGTTGGGTCTCTGTAGCCATGGCAGGATATACAGATGGTTTCTTGCAATGCAAAAGAGTATAGATGGGATACCAAACAGAGCCAATAGACGGTTTAGAAGATCATATGCAACTTGATGGAGGTTATTTTATAGTTTAGAATTTTGAAATGTTATTATACATAATGTGAGTGGATGGAAAGTATGAGCTGATGGATGGTATTCATTTTAATTTGGGGGGGGTTGGGGTGGAATTAAGAGAGGTATGAAAAGCAACGATGAGAGTAATTAGAGATGGTGTGGGCGCCCTTAATTTTGCCAAGACTTGGATGGGATCGAACCAGATGCAATGCAAAGGCGGTCCACTTGCCATAAAAGTCCATGACAGCAGGGTGCAGAACTCTGTGTGTGTGTCTGGGTGGACGGTGAAAAGGAGGGGGGGGGAGACTTTGCAGGAGTGAAAGATAATATTTTTACCATATTGGTGAAATTATCCCAATACAGGAAATTAAACAACTATTACAACTTTTTTTTTTTTTGGATGGTGTGGGTAATACACCATTTCCCACATTGTATCATGCTTCGTATCGTCATCGTCATTGTCATCGTCATCATCATCATCGCATAGCGCGCAGCGCAATATGGATCGCGATGGTCTGAATGCTCCGCTGCCGGTTGTGGTTTGTGTTGCGCACGAGTGCTTGATCCTCCATGTCTTCAGTATCAATAAAAAACAACTGCCCCAGGACAGGTCGCGCTGTATCTTCTGGTGCTGGCGTTCGGTCGTATTCCACCGCACTGTGCGTATAATACACCGACTCGACGTTCTCAAAGCGTACGGATTTGTTGGATTTGTTCGAATCGGACGATTGGTTGGACGACGTTGACTTGCGACGTGTGATGTTGGTGCGAAAGAGCCTTCGCCACTGACGCACAAAGGATGTAGAGGAGGTCATGGCCATTGTTGTTGTTGTTGTTGTTGTTGCTTTGATCTGTGTTTGGCAGCGCAGTTGTGCGGATGATTGATTGTTGCACCGTTGTTTTGCAAGAGGTGTATCTGTGGTATATGTAAAAAAAACAAGAGAGAGAGAGAGAGAGAAAAGAACAAAAGAAGAAAAAAGGGGGGACTTGCTGAACAAGAATTTTTTATTTTTTTTTAACTTTTCCCACCAAAGGCAAAGGCAAAGGGAAAGGGAAAGGGCGTGTCTGAGTGCTTGCTTGCACCGTATGATTCTCTTTGTTTCTATGTAATGTATGCCCGTCTCAGCCCGAACTTGACCGAGTAGACTTATCTTCCACTCATCGCATTCATGTGCGTTCCTGCCAACTAGAGCAGCCCTATCGCACCACTAAAAAAAATCTCCTTTTGCATTCAATGCTACCAACATCATTCATCATCAATATCATACCACGGTGTGAAGATAGCCAGGTAGTGCTGCTACTACTACTACTACTACTACTACTACCCGCACTAACATTGTTGCTTCTAATACTCTCGAAACCTACTCCTTCAAAATTTGAATAAAGGCCATACTCCCTTTTGCGGCGTGTGTGGAGATACGCGAATGTCTTGGCAGCAGGAGTTTGATGATGATGGTGGTGGTGACATTGTACCTCTTTTTTTATTTATTATTTTCCCCTACGATGGACAAACAAATATCCCTTCCTTATTGCAATTATCACACCACCACCTTAGGATACCCTCGCTCCCGACTCCGTTCGCCCTGCCACATCTTGCATTCACAGCTTCCAAGGGCCATACTCCTCCTCTTCTTCTCTCTCTTTGATGTCAATATCAGCTATGATCTGACACTATCTTGGACTCTGCTTTTAATGTATGATATCATTATTAAACTACGACTGGTACTGGGGACAATAAGGAATGTCTTCCGCTCCGGTTACATGTTCGCAAACATTTTCTTCAGTGTTGCTAGCCGGCTCAATATCAATGTTTGTGAGTGTGATGTCTGTACAGGGTGTATCGATTGAACAGTTCATGGTGACGATAGGTTTGCCGTGCTCACTTGCGGATCCAAAGATGTTATCAAAGGTAATGTTCCGGATCGTGAGCGAAGCGTCATCTGATCCGACACAATATTCCGGTTGATTGCCATCGCAGTAGTCTGTGAATGTTAATGTTGTTGTTGTTTGTTTCATGCACGCAGATATAAATCAAAAAAAAAAATTAGTTCGTCACATTAGTGGTTTTCATTTTTACTTTTGGACCCAAAAAAAAAAAAACTTACGAGTTGTAATCACAATTGCATTTTCAGCATTTGTCACCTCCATGTTGGTGAATGTAATGTTCTCGACCAGCCCCTTGCCGCCAGCCCAAGTCTTTATTCTATATCATAAATCAGAATAAGATGAAGTGTGGGTTCATCCTATTCAGTAGATTGTAGTGTATTGAACTGAGCCGACAGGAACAAGCTCTATGATGATTACCTTGCTCCGTTTTCACAATCACGGCATGTAACGTTCCGAACAACAATATCGGTAACAGCATCGATCTGTCCATCACGTGCATACTGACCGAGCGAGCCAACAGACAAACCGTGTGATCCGGTGCAATCCAGGTTTTCAATGAGAGTGTTTGTAGTGTTATACTTGAACGAGACACAGTCGTCTTGGTTCGCAATCACCGAATCCTTGATAACAACACCGGTGCTTGCTAAGAGATCCCACCCGTCGGAATTGCGCACAGGGAACTACGTACACACCGTACATGTCAATGCGTCTTTTTTTCTGCACACCTTTATATCTTAATTGTCTGATGTACCAAGTACTTACTGAAGACTTGGTCTCAGACCAGATGTTCATATTGGTGAATACGGCATTATTGGCATTTCTGACGAAAATATGCCAGAAAGGGGATTGGATCACCCAGATATCCGACACATGAAGATTATTGACATTGTCAAATGTCATGGTCACCGGTCGAGGGTCTTCAGCCTGCATAAAAAACACAAGGTTTTAGTTTCTCAGATCGATCAGATCCCCAGGAAAAAAAGAATATAATTACTATACCACAGCATCCCACCAGACTTGGCCTTGACCGTCTACAGTACCACCGCCATCAACACGGATATCATCGCCGCCAAGGACCCAATAAGTGCCGGCACTCTGAAAGTCGAGCAAAAAGATGTTCTCTTGCCACCAAGCCATGTCGCTGTCATCAAAAGTCACATTGCCCTGGATTGAGATATGGACATCATTCAGTCCACTGATGTTCATGGGCTTGTGCACCATGTAGTTGAAGTTCTTGTTGAACACGACGCGGGAGTGCTGGCTACATTTCTTGAACGTCGACATGATTGCATCGGAAGTGTCCCCTTCTTTGTGTGGAATCATGCACGTTCTTCTTCTTCTGCCACCATGGCCCTTGTGATGATCATCGTTGTCATTGTGTGCTAGGGCAGTCGTTGCTAGCACTACTGCCATAAAGAGGAATAGCCATTGGCCTACTTTTGTTGCCTTCATATGGAATATATGATAGAAAAGAAGAACCGCTGCTCAAAGAGTGAGTGTGATTTGGAGAGCTGTACGTGAGAGAAAGAGAGAGAGAGAGAGAGAGAGAGAGAGAGAGAGAGAGAGAGAGCAGCAGCAGGCAAATCAAAAAAGCTTGGTTCACTATTACAACAGTACACGGTAGCTCGTCTTATATATACTTGAAGCGATGTTCATTTACTTTAGAAAATATAACACTTCCAATCGCTCTCACACACAACGCTTTCTATTTTCTTTTTTTTTTCGTCCTCCCGTGGCTCGTGGGAAGTCAATGTAGAATATCTCCATTTTTCTCCTTGAATCCGATAAAAAAGGACCTTTTTCACGGAACAATTCGAGAGATGTGCCTGGTGTAACTGTACTCCATTTAATGCCTGATAGCAGCAGAAATCTGTTGCCCCTTGTTTTTCCTTTTTGGTGAATTTCCCATAGTCCTACAACTTTTACTTTTGCGGCTTTTCTTGTTCGTGCGGAAAAAGCCGACGAGGCTGATCACTTTGTTCCATGCCAAGTGATGTAGGTATACTCACTGTCAGACAAGTTTTTTGGGACTCAAAAAAAATTACCGAGAAATCCACCGAACATAAAGAGCTTTTAGGTTGTAGATGCCTATTTGCCACCACGCCGTATTGTCGTGCATTTCGTTGTAACAGTATAGGATGGCAAGCATAGGATGCAGATATTATTAACATGGCGTAAAGGTGTGTTATTCTTGGCAATAGATCTAATTAAGCCTTATTCACCATTTTTGAGCTCGATACAAGAGTTTTGGCCCAGACTAGATATGTTGGCACCACGGTTTTTAGCCGACTACTTCCCTAGAAGTAGGAGTAGCTCTTCTCGATCGTCCGAAATTTCGCTTCAAATGCAAATTGATTGAACGAAATCGACAGTATGTCTTCTGAGTTCAAGTACCCCACTCTTTTCCTAATGGTTTCAAAGGAGATCCCGGCACTCCGTGAGCTTCTTCATCATAAGGCCACAGTTGCTTCACAAGATGCTTTTGTATCCCCGCTTTGGGCGATGAAGACTAGAAAGTGCTCACGAAGCTTTTCCTGCGCTTGCTTGATTGTAAAGAGTAGGATCAGCACCAATACATATTCTGAAGAAACATAGTATGATCAGTACTTTGGACTGACATTGCTACAGACTTCTTTTTCATAAGTTGGCTTGGGAGGTACAGTACGGTTTCCCCATCACAGAAACGGGGGCGTGATCTCGTTTGGCGGTACGTTCAGGCATTCGTTACAGGCGCGAACAGCCCCAGCCGCACTTGGAATTACGTTTTGAATAGTATCAATCAACTCGATGATACTCTCATCAGTGTATATCTCCTATCGGGACCTACAACACCACTCTCCAACATTGGCGTACTGATGTAGTATAGTTCCAGTCATGGTGATCCACAGATAGAAAGGACATACCTCTTGGGTTCAGCACTTTTTTTTTTGTTTTGGGTTTTGTGGGCGGTCTGCCTCTTTTATTTTTTGCGTTCTGTTTATTTGTAACTTGGATGTTTTTTTGGAAGCATCAGGAAAGTGATTTTCGTTGTTGTCCCCAGCTTTATCGGTTTCAGGTTCGATTACAGTCGTTCCAATACTAAAAGGGCGGCTTTTTTTAATTCTCAAAAGACGGGTTGGTTTTTTCTCAAAGCGCTTATTATGATCATTCAATACTATTAAGACTCGCTGAGAAATTCGATGGCTTCGCAGCGGAGGTGTGTATATGATACTTATGTGCTTTAGTTCCTTATTCTTTTCTACATTGCAACAAAGATATCTACCCATGTCAGCAAACCGAGATTTACTCCCACCCCCATCCTGATGAAGAAGTCTGGGCAAAAGTGAGGAAGTATGAGGCGATGTGCCAGGGTTCTCCGGGAGGAGAATCAAAAGTCTCAATTGAAGCATCAAATATCTGTATACACTCCCAAGAAGAGAGGCAATGGATTCCCTGGATGAAGCAATGGCCAGATTATATCTATGCTGTAGATCACCGTGACATATTTTTACTGTTATCCCATTTAGGATTTAGCAGTAGTAGTAGTAGTAGTAGTCATTAGTCGAATTTAGGGTGTTGATGCTGGCAAACCTGCAATACCTGTAAACACACAAAAAAAAAGTGGTCATCTGCTGTTTACGCGTCCTACTTCTGTCTTGAGTAGTCCCTGTAATTCTATTTTGTTTAGTCTTTTTTCAATTTATATTTGAAATGAGCATTTGAATTTCTGTCCTTCGCGCCACTCAAGTAGAAGACACCGAGATTGCTTACCGAATCCGTCTCGCTTAGCTGCGCGTGAGCAGAATGAACTTCAAATCGTGTTTGAGCACCATCAAAGAGCCGATTCAAGAAATCAAAGGGCCAATCCGAGCGTTTTAAGATCCTGCCTCCGAGGGCTAGCCGAGATCAAAAAAAGTGCTAATCCGAGCGATGAGACTGTAAGCGATATTTTTTTGAATAGCAAAAGTTGACGTGACTAAAAATTGACACATATTTGTAACAGTCAGAGACGGCTCCTCGGGGGCGCAAGCTGTGGTCAACTTGAACGTTCACGTAAAAGTTTTCGTGATTGCTTCAAGGAATTTGTAAGCTGATGCCTCAACTGAACCTCAAGTAATTCGCATTCCCTCCTTGTTTAGGCTATACAGTCTATGATTTAAACAACGCGTTTCTTAACCTGCATAGTCTCATCCTGCCGTCGAACCCATCCGCGCAAACCATATTTTTGACCGCCATTCGCTTGGATATTAATGGATCGTGAGTGTTCGTATTGTCTCCCGCCGCGTATGTGGGTGCAAGAACGTGTATCAGCATCTTCGGAGACATCAGAATTCCAGCTATGCTGTGCCAAAGGGCCCGTTACTCTTCCTCCACTGAGTGAAACTCCACCAGAGATAGCAGAGCTATCATGTGGTGATGATCGTGTCTCGCAGCCTTTGCGCAAATCTATGTCTATGATCCTCCCGTGGAATTGCAAATACGTCAAAATGCCACGAACAATACCCCTGTGAACACAGATACTTTGCGTACTTTGCAGGAGTTGATGCATCGTGTTTGCCCCTTTGCCCAAGCTTTCCAAAACATGGCCGATCGCTTTCATGACGACAATGTGGAAAACGTTACACTGGTGATTCGCGCAGAGGGTACCCCAGATCAAAGGCGATATAATCGACCAACAGGTGATGAAGTTGGAATCTTGATTGTGGATAACACGATGACGGCCAGGTTGGGAACCGCGACATTGTTGTGCGAACTCGGTCAAATCAATTGCAGCGTACTCAAAGAAGCATCGAGAGATGAATCATCATTTCGATTCGACCTTTAGCAATTGACATCTGCAATGCTGTCAATTCTTTTCGCTCTTGTGCTTTTTGGTTTGATATATACAACGTTCCGATACCGCTCTTTTTGATGTGTTGTTCCGTACATGTCCTTGCCGCCTTAACGTAGCTTGCTGCAATATTCGAGTTGAGCTGTCAGCCATGCTGATGTCTTTTTATTGCTGCAACTTCTTGCTAGTTATGCGAAACACTGAGTTGCGATACTTCTTGATGTGATGATGAAATTGCCGCGCTGAAACATGTTATCCACTGTTGCACGTTTTTCCATATCGGTGGTGCTGGTATGTCATAATATCGGCAAGGGCAGTGATGGTTTGAGCATGTATTGTTACTGCCGTGGCGCAAATTTTCTGGAAGGAGATAACTTTTTAAAATGTCATTCACACAATCGGCTCCGAGGCAAACCCAGAATTGACGGACGCTTGTGCTTGCAGACTACTGCCTCTACCATAGCAATGATCTAAGTGCATGATTGTGGCAATGACTATATACTATCATCCATGCTTACGCGGTTGCTAAGATCTCTATAAATTTATCGGTAGTCACTGTCAACAAATATGGCAGAGCTCATAAGTGTAATATAAGCCTTGCCTTCAATGCATAAACTGAAAAACTAGGCAAGGCATTCTGACGGTGTTGGGGATTGAGACATCGTTCCCGATGATGAAAAGGACGTTGGATTGTTTTATTTTTTGCACCTTGTTGTCCTTCTATTACGGGTCGGTAACGGTGAATCTTTGTTTTTTGGTGCCTGCTTATTACCATCGTTACACTGCTTGAGTGTATCGCAGTTACCATGCCTTTTTAAACAAGTACAGTACAAAGAAACCAGCGCGCGAGTTAAGTACCTGAGAACCTGACTCGGGGTTCCTATACAAGAAGCGGAGATGGTGCACAAGGTGAAACATGGATCGACACTTCAAACTACAGCGGCATGACAGCGACCGTGTCTGTTTCTACAGTATCAATCCAACGATACTTCTTCTTTACTTTTGCTTTTGCACAGCAATAGACAAAGAAAAAGCAGAAAGGGTTCAAAAAACCGATTTCGTCATTGTGCGGCTGCGCTTGAAAACCAGTCTTGACCTGCTGATCCACTAGCGTGTGACTTTTTTGTGGTTTTTGAAAAAGTATAAATATAGGTCCATTTTTCAGACCAAGGATTTCTTTTTTCTTTTCTCTTTGAAATCCTCGAATAGCTGGATATGAGTGGTATATGGGTCCTACATATATAATCATATGAGCGGTTCTTGGTGTTGAATGTTTGTTAATAGTATCACCAACAAGATGTTTGGGGGCATCGGTGTATACTTTTCCCTACGGGGCCCCATAATAAAATGATAAAAAGCACATTCGTGTGCACCACCACAAACAATAACAAAAGACAAAATCAATAACACAAAAAGTGTTGCTGACGTCTAAACTATCTGATTGTGTGTGTTTCCTTGACCAACAAGGTGCACCACTACAAAAATAAATAAGAAAATGATAAAAATAAATAAACACAAAAAGTGTCGTTGAAGTCTGATTGATTGTGTTTCCTTGAGCACGTATAGTAGTTTGAAACAGATTCGAAGGCTGCAGTAATGGCAGGATCTTCAAGGCTGCCGTCTAACTATCAAAGTCGTTGCACTTGTCGTTAGACTTTGTCTTCCTGAATGTCAGCTCCACTATATTTAAAAAAAAAAGAAGTGTTCCGTGAATCACAGACCGTCTCGCACTGAAATTTACGCTCGCTTGTCGTTAGCAGCCGATAATACAATGATGCTACAGCTGTTTTGAAAGGCATTTTAATCGAGTTACACGATTGCAAAAACGAACAATGGCTGTTCTTCCTTAAGCGCGTAGTACGCGAGATTTATATTTGCAATCGCAGATCTTAAAATAAACGCTGCTTCTGCAATTAGTGAGATTGTTACATTTTGCGAAACTATCTATATCTACGGTTTCCTGACTTTGCACGTGGTCTTTGCAGTTTTTTAGTCTTACAAGTACTCATCATTACAAATTAAGTGATTTCGAGTAGAAGCTACTTTGCCAAATAAATCTGTGAAGTTCTGCTGTGTATTATTTCTATACGCGTTCTCTTGCTCCAAGAGCTTCCCGAAGAAGTCGGACAACGATTTTGGTAACATGTCCATGGAAGCGCTTCAGCAAGGTCTTAAAAGGCTTGCTTGGTGCATAGAGTACCTGCAAGCCTCCCCGTTATTTAAATTAACTGTTAACTTGGGCTTGTGCTTTTCTGTTGAATACTATATTTATAATGACAAGGCAACTATGTAAGCTTCTCAAACATACAGACCATTAAGCCCAAATTTTTATCGCAGTGTAATTTATTTCAGTTTTATTAGGTTCATATTATCCATTATGTAAAGCAGTGGTACTACTGGGTGTATCGTAGAAAGAGGTGGTAGCTTCATGCTTAGTAATGTTGATATTGCCGGCCATCCATCATGAGCTAAATTCCTGTTGACTACAATGTCGATTCAAGCCCATGTGTATGATACGTGTACGTCATACAGCTTAGCTTAAAACAAAATCTGCTTTTACATATCCGGCAAGAGCACCAACGGTACAACGCATCAATGATATCTAGCCAAAAGAAATCATCTCATTGGCTTTTTGATCGCGATCCAAGAGTAAGGGCGCGCAACTGCAGAATATTAGCCAAAGAGTACAGTAAAGTATATGAGGTACAGATTATGTCGTCATAATCGGTTTCGACTGTTTCAACTAGCGAGCAGTTGCTAAGCATTGCAGGAAGAGACGACAGCCAAAATATTATTGATCGTCGTGTACCGAGGGAGAAGTTTAAAGAGCAAGAAGCCGATCATACAGCTGGGATTCGAATGAATCCAGAATATCCGTTGCTTGCAAGTTGACATGAGTGTACCCACTGTTGATAACCCTGATAGTAGGCAATACGCCACAATTGTTTTTGTCGTTGTTAGAGCAGAGATGTACGCACAAACTGCCAGGATAACACACCGTAGCGGGCGTCCTGCGTATATCAATATATAGACTTCCAAAAATATTATCCAACATCAAAGGTCCAACTTCATACTTGCCAAACAAGTTACCATATAAAAGGACCATCTCTGGACAGTAGCGCTCGAATTGCCACCTAAGAGCTACATGCATCCACAATCATCATTCACTACTCTTGCAGATCTTCCCTCCGGTATGATAGCGCAAGCCTCCGACATTATCCCTCCTTATGTCGCAAAAACTAATAATTCTTGAAGGAAAAAAATCAAATTTGCATGAGTTACACGCAAGCACTCAACGCGTTTACTATCATCAGAGACATCGGTTTTTATTTATGCTTCCTCCCCTCCTCCCTGCAGAATGCATCCGAACCTTGTAGCCAATTATTTCCTTGCTGATGTGCAGGTCTTTCATAGCCGAGCCTTGTACTAGTGACGAGAGCAGGGGGCTGTATCAGTGTACACTCATTTACTATGATCGTGCTCCACAAAACATATTCGTTCAGACGCATCCGCCACCACAGCCGGAACGAGGCATAATGGAAGAATCGCCGTACCACATAAGCCATACTACTCCTCCTGATGCACCGCTCGGTAAGTGTGTGCATCTCCTTGGCCGTTTGATCCTGAAAGGGACTGACGCGCCGAGACAGCCGTTTGCTCATATCAGTGTTAATCATCGAAATTTCATCAGCTGTGGAATCACTCAAGAAAGCCGCAACAGCCAAGTCCTCTAAGGCAACGAAGGCATCGTAGGCATAGGACAGGAGCCACATATTGTTCCTTTTACGCAACCAAGCACTCATCATGCATAGTAGTCCTATTCTCGACTGTTGTAATGAACCAGTACGGCCTGTATCCGGCGAAGTTGTACTAACAGCAGACGAGACAGCGCATTCAGGAACTCAATACGTCGCATGGGTGTGTATTCGATAGTCAGGGCACCACGAACGACAGAGCAACCATTTCCCAACCGAAGTTCCAGCATTGACAGAATTTGAGCGATGTTGTCCGCCTCACTTTATAATAGTTGGTCCAATGCTCGAGTAGACAGTATTAGTTGAAGTGGTGGCGTGTGGAGGATATAACAGCGACAGCGGCAATGGCCAGGTGACAAAAAAGCAGCAACTGGTACAAGGCAGAGACGAGGAGCATATAGCACTCGGGTCAAGCGAAAGATGACACAAGGGTATTGGAACCAACATTGAGAAGTTTAGATTGAACATGCCGAATGGCAGAAGGGCCACGACGAAGCATAGAAATCAGCAGCGAAATTAGGGATGGACGAGTAGGTAAAGAGGTGAGCATATCGGCAGTAGAAAAGAAAAAAGGAGGCAGGCAACAGTCGTGACGAATAGAAAATCGGCTTACATTTATTACTTTCTGCAGTGCAGGCATAATCGGCTGAGCTATTTGCGTATGCGCCTAACAATATTTCGTACCTGTAATAGCAACGGCTCGATAACTCTCGACGCAAATAAATGATATTTCGATTTCTCGACTTTAGGAAGGCTAGTAATAATTTGGCACACACCTCTTACCCGAGTTCACTTATATGATAGTGTCGATGTTTGATAACCAGTTTATTATTAATAGACAAGCAGGAGGCTATATATAATGATGTGAGAGATCGGAAACATGCAAGCATTGGCTTTTAAGCATGTATGCATTGTTCTAACGTGCCGAACCCTACATGCATTACATCCACCCGTCCCAAAGTACGAAGCCAAAAAATAATTTTTGACATTTTACGCGACGGTCCTCTTTCATTAAAGTACCCGGCTGGGTTTATCCAACTTCCTTAAACCAGGTCAATGGTAGGGGGGAGGAACAACGGGCAAGATAAGAAGGGAGAAGCAAGCAAGCAAACAAAAAATCTACAATGGCGAATACACCACTGCTATGTTTTTTGGCAAGGGTAACGAAAAGCTCTTTACTGTTCTATAGAACCAGTATTTTCTTCATTCGATTGATGAACTTGAGATTGACAATTATATAATGCGATGATCTAACCTTGATCTCTCTCACAATTTATTATTTCAGGCACAACCTTTTGTCATTACATTGTGCGTTCTGGCTTTGCTCTACTTTCGCTCGGTTCATCTAGTTTACATGCTTGCGGGATCGACCATTTGTGCCTTTTTAGCAAAGGGGTTAAAACGAGTGATACGACAGCCGCGCCCCATCGATACAAAGGATCCGAGCATATCCAAAAAAGACACTTATGGCATGCCCTCCAGCCACAGTCAGGCCATGGCCTTTTTTGGCTGGTACACATTCCAATCAGATATCTGGGATACACCCTTTGCAATCTGTTTATACCTATTCACACTTATGGTACTATGGTCGCGCTGGCGGTTGGGCCATCATACATTTTCGCAGGTTGCAGTTGGTACAGTAGTAGGAGTCGCTTTAGCGCATGTCTGGTACAAGTTTTGGCTGATCAAGGTTGAATTTTTCAGCCATCATGTACTGTGTAATGATTATAGTATATGCTTGTAATAATAAAAGTATACAAAAAGTCATGGAAGTGTTGGGGGTAATAGGTAAATGTTGAATGTTTAGAGAAAAATGATAAATAAAAAAGTGCGCTTAATGGGTAGTAGTAGCAGTAGCGATGAAGGGGGTGAAAAGAGGAAAGAGTCCCCGCTTGTGCGAGCATCTTAGAAGATCAATGCAACGACAGCAGCAGAGGAGAGCAGCACAGCTGCAGTCCAACCACCGGTCAAGGCAGAAGCACTCGATATGGTGAAGGGCTCACCGTCAAAGGTGGGGCCCATATTGGGTCGTGGTTGGGTTTCATCCCAATTGCAGTCATCAGCCGTGGTGACCGTGACCGACTCGCCCTTTGCAACGTTGCGAAGCCAGAGACGGTCGTAGTCTTCAGAGGGAGCAGAGGGGTTGACGGCGTTAATCATGTCCTGAAGCAATGCATCGCTCATGGCAACAGCGGCAGCGAACCAGTCGTAACCACCTGCTGGGGTCATGATACCGTCTTCACGGAAAATGCTTTGCTTCTCGATAAACTTGTACGAGGCGTCATCAGCACTGATGCCGTATCCTTCCAAAACATCTTCCATTGTGGTTGCAACATAGGTTTCATCAATAATAACGTCGACATCGGTAATGGCCTGCAAGAACTCTTCCTGCTTAAAGTATTGCAGAGTTTCGGGTGCCAACAAGCGGCCACCTACATAGAAAGTACAAGATAGTTTTTTTTAGATTATGATACTCACAAAGAAGGGGCCGACTCAATCTCATTTTCCTTTACCTGCATCTTCAGTGAGTTGCTTCTTGTAGCTAGCAGTACTGACGTTCCAGCTAGCAGTGTTTCCGTTGAACTGGCTAGGGGCATCATACATGGTCCAAGCAACCAAAGGCTTCTGATCATCAGAGTAGCCGCTAGCAGCCTGCTTCAAGCGTTCATAGTTGCCAGTAATGTTGGAGATGATCTGATTGGCCAAAGACTCAGCGTTGTAGAATGCAGCATAATAGCCGATCCATGCAGTGCGCTATGAAAGAGGTAATGAGAAACACAGAGTTTCATTTTGTACAATCAAGTGACCCCTCGGCCCCACCATCCATGTTCGTATTACTGCTCACTGCCGGTACAATGTATGATACTTACACCAAGCAAATCAGGCTCATAGGCTTCAGCAGTAGAGACAGTTTCGTCATCAACGGTAGTGTAGAAGCTTGTGCCAAATTGAACTTCAACAGCAGCAGCTTGTTCGTCGGCCAAGGTCACATTGGAAGCCGAGAGCTCAGTGACGTTGTTGGAAGTTTCGCGGTACTGTTGGAAACAAGTAGAGGTAACCATCGACGAGTCGGCGATAAGATGGATCGTTTCCGCGACACCAAGCATCTGCAATTACAACCGAAACACATGAAACCATGAGTTTTCTCTTTTTCTTCTTTTAAGGAAAAGAATTTATAAAGACTTACTTCGAGGTAGGGAACGACGGTGGTTTCAACCGCACCTACGCTGGTAACTGGAATTTGGTGCACAATCGCATCAGTAGCGATGCCCGTGGGAACTGGCGTACCGCATTGAACCAAGTAGTACTGCTTCTCGTTACGGTGGTCGGTGACGAGCTTGTAGTTGTTATGGTACTCGATTTCAAAGTATTGAGCATCGTCCTCTCCTGCAAGCACGGGCATAAAGTAAGGATCTGTTTTGTTTGTTTGCTGCACATTACACATAGTTTAAACACAAATAAAACCACTTACGGGTGGAGGACAACTTATCGGGAAAATAGTCCGTGTTCGCGTCATAGTTTTGAACGCACTGACCATTCATCAAGTTTTGTGCAGAAACTTGGGTGCCAAGAAACGCTAAACAGCCTAAAGCTGTTGCCACACGACTTAAACGAGGCATTTTTTCTTTTCTTTTTCGGTTACGTTGGAAAAAAAAATGAAACAAACGAAAAGAAAGAGGCGAGTGGGTAATGCAAAGGTCCGACCTCGTATCTGCGAATGTTGTCTGAGATTTTTCGGTGCTGCATCTCCCTTGGATATCTCTTTTCGTGTAAGTGGCTTGTTGGATGAACGTTACACAAGCTTCTTGCTCGTGTTTCCTAATCATGTGTAACTGGGTTGAACAATATGCACACAATCTAACCTTCATGCCTACCCAGTCGTCGCAGTCTATGACTGTGTTAATCATCATAGTTGCGGATTACAGAACAGCCATTGCCACACTTACGAGAGAAGACCATGTGGTTCTTTGAAGGCAAGATCTCAGACACAACTGGAGTTCACTTTATGTTTCGAACTTATTATCCTGAGAAATATGTATTACAACCCCAAGCACTTCATTTCAAGGACAGCGGTAAACAGAACTCTACGTATCATGCTACCTAGTTGGAAGAAGCCGAGGGCATACTGTATCCGAACTGATGTTATCATCTTCATGTGACTCGGTATAATTTGCCATCAGTACTTGATACGCGTTTAATCACTTTCTCTCTCCTGTATGACCGATGGCTTCCACATATTTTTTGTCATCCATACGCAAGCAGCATGAGTGTATGAACAGAAGATTGAAATTACTGAGAAGTCTGTTACTTTTTCTCTTTCAAATGATCCACACACGGATGATAAATACGGTCGTTTGCTAGTGCGTCAAACCTTTTCGCTTTGCGAAGAAAAGAAATGGTGATCAGTTATTTCAAAGCACACGCTGGACTGTCCCTGCTTGAACTAAGCTTAACAACTATAAAAGGACCTGTTTCCCTTGGAGAAACCCTTAATACAGTGTTGATGTGCTTAAGAATCAGCTATAGAAATCATCATTGACGCACAAACCCGGATAATATGACAGTAAACACTTTGTCTATTATTGCCGTTCTTTTGGTTGTAAGTTACGGGTCTGTGTGGCTATATCGCTTCAGGATGCTATATTGTCATTCGTGCTTGTCAAAAAGCAAGAAACCATGGTCACAGTTTGCTAAGAGCGCCGTCTCTGCTGTTGTAGCAGCCTATAATGAAAAGTACCAGGTGGGATGCATGAAATAAAAGCCAGAACCCGTGCTTTGTTGACATTAGATGAGGGTTTTACTGGTGACAGCAAGGAAACTGTTGATCTATCTTGCGTATGTTGTCCGATTCTTTTATTTGTCATACCACTTCTTGTCCTTTTTATTTAGCATTATCGTGAGCAGGGTTGTCATCTTTTGCTGCATACTATATCAAGCTGATCAAGTTCTTTTTCTACTCTTCTTAAATTTGTTGATAATAGAAAACAGCACATACAAACCTGCCATAGGGGCCTTCTTTCCTATTTCGTTGCGTGACGTACAATTTCCTAAAGATTAAAGAACTCCCCAAATGCTCGAGCGACAAGAGTTTCTTTTACTCCAGACACTCCGGCACACGTACACAGCATAGCACGATGAATGATAGCGTGTCGATACTAGTTGCCGTATTTTTAATTTTGGTGGCACTTCGATGGATGCTGGGTAAGCCATTCGTTTCATGTCACTTTGAATATCAAGGACAAGTCTTTCTCCTCTTAACACTCTTTACTACTGTACCCAATTAGGTGGCTCACAACAGCTTCCCGGACAACAGGCCGGTCAACGTCGCGCACCAACACGGCGACCACAGCATCGTGCAACACCACAGATGGTACATTAAAGCGAAACTTTCAGTACTTTGTAAAAAGCTACATAATTATCCTGACGCGCCACTTCTTGTCTTACTATCAAAACTCACAGGTGGAGATGGTACGCACCGTCTTTCCAAATATACCCATTGCAGCCATCGTTGCCGATCTCCAACGTACGGGCTCAGTAGAAACCACGATAGATAATGCCCTCCGCGATGGCGGTTTACCTTTGGTAATGATATAAGGACGTTATATAGGGAACGGTATACATATGCTGATAATATCTTCTTTCATATGATGATCAGCCTCCTCCAACTACACCACCAAGCCCACCATCCACAGCTGGAAACGCTAATGGCTCATCCTCTAGCTCGACGGGCGTACAAAAGTCAAATTATTCAGATTTAATGATGCGATACAAGATCAAGAATGATAGCCAAGATAGTGTTGGAGAACAAGTCGAAGAACCTCCCAAAGTATGGGAAGCAAGCCCCGATAAGCGTCAGGAAACATTGCGGAAACGGAAGGAATTTATGGTTTTGCAAGCAAGGAGGTTCGTGTTCTTGTACCCGTCGAAAGAGGCAATGTGGGGATGTTAAGAAGATGATAGTGTATCATGAGCTCATGATTGATTGATTTTTTTCGGATTGGATAGAAAAATGTTGGAAAAGCAAAAGCCAAAGGAACCTGAAGCAGCATCGAGTTCTTCGGTCGTTCCTGAAGTTGGAAAGCCGGAGGAGGAGGAAGCTTCGGGATATGATGAGATGTCAGTGGAGCAGTTGAACTCGCTTTCCCCAGAGGAGAGACGTCGCCATCTCTTGGAAGCAGTCGAGCGAAGGGCACCTAGCCAGTAATAAAATCTAGCTATATACATATATAATCAAAACAATCTAATAATAAAAAGTGGCGATCTGGCCCCGATAAACGTGTAGTATAGCTGTGGACTGTTTTCAATGCGGTTCTTGTCCTCGGCAAATTACTAGATAAACAGCAGAGATTAATATGAGCTTTGCTGTAATCAATGCACAGTCGGATAGTTCAGAGAAGGGGGAGTATTTACGAATTGTTTGTTCCCATGGAAACGGGTCATGTTTACAATGGCCTTTCCTTTTTTTAATATCCAGCTGCATATGATGCTATCCAGCTTGTAATAGGATGCAAAGTAGATGCTAGCTGGTGTGAGACTTGTGGAAAAATGTCGCGTGGTATGATCTACTCTTTCAAGGATTTAGCAAAAACCCATCGTCGTTCGTCCGTCCGTCCGCGTGACCGTGAGCAAATGCAGGAGCTGATTGGCTGACCATCACCTTGGCAACACAAACTTGGTTGCTAGGTTACGGTGGTTTTCCTCCAAAACCGCTACTCTTTTTTTTTTGTTCCACTTTCTTTTGTAATAAAAATGTCGGCTGCAGCACCTGTCAACATTCGTCGAGCAGACCCCAACACGCCTCTTCCTGCCGAATACTCAACCACCCCTCATGGTACGCTTTATGGCACAACTCCCGGAGGTACAGATTTGGAGCCATTGATTGAAAGCTCCTTTATTTTCTTTTTCTCTTTTGTTTTTCTTTCCACATTCAATGCACAACATGAGCAACAGTTTTGGTGAACAGCAAAAGATAGGTACACGTGTTATTTATGATCGGTCGACCCTGCTGGCCTTGTCGAACAGCCAGCTGGCCAAAACTCCACCTACAAAAATGATGTATGTTGCCGGTGTCACCAAGGCCGGTGGGCAGGAAAATGGTAACAACTCGCTTCATCCAAGCTCTGCAACATCCCATCGACGAGCTGCAGAGCTCAAACGCGAAGAAGAGGCGAAAAAGAAGACCTGTAAGTCTTTTGTAGGATTGAAGCAAGCGACAGGAGAGAGAGAGTGTGTGTGTCCGTAGTGATAAATCGATTGGTTTCTAACATGTATTATGTGTTTAGACAATCCGTATGCCGTCTTGAACAGCGAAGATGGCATGTTTGATATGGAAGATTAGAGAATCTTCGCGTATTTATTCACATCGCACACACCCCACGCCATAAAACACACGCACGATCTCAATTTCACTTCCCACACGCAATCTTCGTAAGTACGAACAGCCACAACACAATGCGTACAGTTCGTTCCCCTCACCCTCTCCCAACCTTTTCTTTTCTTCTTTCCTCGTTTATATATCAGTGGTTTATTCTTACGTTTTGTAGTTCCTTCTCTCTTTTTTTTTTTGGCAAGGGCGATTTATTTTTTCGATAAAATATTCGTGCACACACACATAGCTGTCATTTTTTTAATTTAAAGAAACGTCTACAGCTTGGATGGACCATCATTCCATGCCTTTTTCAACAAATCAATTGTTTGAGCGAGAGCAGCCTTGGTTTGTGGTTTGTCCATGGTCGTCATGAAACCATGCTGGACAGCGAAATAGTTAACTGGAACTGTCTCCACTCCTGCAGCAATCAGTTGCTTAGCATAGGCAGCCCCTTCGTCTTTGAGCGTATCGTAATCGGCTGTCACTATCAAGGTGGGTGGCAGGCCTTTGAGATCTTCATTGCTTGCGTTTCGAGGCACGGCCTTGACTTCCTTTGCCCGGATCGAGGGGTCTGCATATGCATCCCATACGTACATCATCATATGGCGCGCTACCATGTTACTGTCCTTGTGCTCAATATAAGAAGGTGTATTGAAATCGGTACCGAGCACGGGATAGTATAGAATTTGATACGTGATAGTTTTGTTGCCTCGCTCTTTGCACAGCACTGTGTATATGTGTAAAATGTTCCAAAGTCAGCTGATGTTCTTTATACACGCTGCAGTTTTTTAAGTAAGCTTACTGCACAGTGCGGTAGTCAGGTTTCCTCCGGCACTATCTCCTCCTACGGCAATACGTTTGGGATCAATATAAAGCGATTGTGCATTGTCGGTCATCCAGGTCAATGCAGCATAACATTCCTCAAGCGCAACTGGATATTGTGCTTCCGGGGAAGGAGAGTAACCTATAAAAATGACGGCTGCTGGCGTTTGTTGTGCGAGCTATATATCGAACAGAAATGAGTTCTTCAAAAATACGAATTCACCGTCCTGTCAATTCAATGAATATATATCTCTGCTTACAGCATACACTAAAGGACCATGCGTTTTCATGCTACCGAATACCCAACCACCGCCATGTCTAAAAACAGAAACATACCATATCAATACTATCATAAAAAAGATGTTCAGCATGCGCGCACACAAAAGAAAAAATCAAACTGACATGTAAAGAATTGCTGGAAGGACAGTGTTCTCGGACCCTGCAGGACGAACATGTGTGATCCTGACACGCGTGTTGTTAGGTCCAGCAATGACACTGCTATGTTCAATGACATTGGATGGTTTTGGAGGTTGAACACGGCTAGCATTCAAATCAAAAATCTTTCGCACAGCAGCCGGTTGAGTAACCTCTTCTTCGGTCATACCCATTTGTTCCTTGAATGTCTTGACTAGGAACGGATGCAATGGGAAGGGTTTGTACTTTTTGTCAACAGGACTTGCCATCGTTCAATATGGTACCAAGGCAAAGACGTAGAGGATGATGAAAGAAAGTACTGTCAAGGAACACCGACATGGATATTCCGGGTTTTCTTTTTGACTTGCCAAAGCGGTGGGAAAAACGATTGGTAAGGCTTTCAGTACCCAAAGTTACTGTACAAGTCTACTAGTTAGGTTTGACATCAGTCTTTGTATTAAGCTTTTGTGCCTTAGGTGTTTACAATACTAAATTATCTTAGCCTTCGCGCAAAAGATTTAGCATTGCATCATATGTACTGCTGAAGATATGTACTGGTTACTACTATAGAGACCTTCATGCTTCTTTAAACTGATTGTATTACTCTCTTTAACATTTTTATAAGATCCATGGTACACACATACTTGAATTATGATATACCGTATTATATAGCGCCCTCGCGATACACTTGGTACTTTACGAGTTCATCACTTATGTATTAAGTTGATCATTTACTTTTTTTCATCGGCAAAGTGGTAATGTCACTAATGTAATAGTGGGGTTCAAAAATAAAACGGATGCAGATTTTTTATGTAATAAAGACCAAGTTATTCAGTAGATACTTTATAATAGATGTATGTACTTACATTATCTACCATAGCATCATCCATGTACGATCTCCTTTTCTTGTAAAACCAGTGATCTTTTGATAGTATATAGCGTGGCATATCATATAAATGCACCCGCTCACCAACGTTTCTTTGGTATTTTACTCGTTTATTATGAATACAATATAGGTAAAGATGACATTATACATATACAAAGTGTACAACTGCAGTTATCATAGTTCCAATCATTCATTCTCCAACCATTATGACATCAACATAATACTAGCTGATATTTGAGTCGGCTACTGTTGATTGTTGTCGTGCTATTCGTGTAACACACGCTCATACAATGCAATAAAAGATTCTTAGATATACGATGTGAAGGTTTTATAAGGGATATTAGTAGATAGCAGATATCCAGGAGATAAAAGTGAATTTGTATGAGGAGTTTTATAAAATGTGGTGTTGCGAGAGATATGACAGTACAAAAACAAAAAGTTAAAAAAATACAAGAAGGACACGGATGGATTTGGGATGGACAGGGTCGAGCAGATAAGAGTTGATGGGATGAGAGTGTAATAGATATTATTATGAAACTTTTGCGGGGATGACGGTGGTTGATGGTTCTTTCTAGATTGAGATAGTTTTGAAGATATTGAAGCCAGTGTTTGCAGTGCTGAGAACACAGCCGGGAATTTGCTTGTGCCAATGAAGTTCTTTAATCTCGTTTTGGCCTTGATGAACGAAGAGCAATTGTGGGGGAACTTGGACACCTTCGCTCGTCAATCGACCTTCTTCTTCTGCGTCGGGTTCAACAGAAAGATCCCACAGCGTCAGTTGATCGTCTGCACCAGATACTGCAAGAGCAGACTCTTCTGTAGGATGCCACTCAATCGAAGTAATAGGAGCATTGTGCCACTTGAAGCTAGCCACTGGTGTAGGGTTATCTCTAAAATAAATTGCATTGTTAGCATATATATATATCAGATTTACTCCAGCATTCCCTTCACACGATAACATAACAAGTCTCCCTTTAGCACCAACTTACCCCTTGAATTGTCGAAGATCCCAAACACTAAAGACACCGTCGTCATGACCACTGGCCAACAAATAGCTTGCTTTTTGATTCCACGTGATGACGTTTACATCGGATGTACTGGCTTGGATGGTGACTGCAGATCGGTTCTTGCTTCGCGTGTCCCAAATCTTGACAGTTTGATCGGCAGAGCAAGATGCAAAAACATTACGTTCAGTAGGAGACCATTGGAGATCTTCTACAGACGATTTGTGACCTCGGAAGGCAGTGTTATCGGTTGAAGCACCTGTTGGTCGTACGATGGTATTGTAGATGAGACCCGCATTATCACCCGTCAAAATTCTAAATACGAAATTTATGTGAGTTAGGCTCTATTTTGGCTTTCTGGATACACGCATTCTCTCTTTCTCTCCCTCTTTCTTATTTGCAATTACCTTCCAGCATCCAAGGGAGACCAGTCCATTGCATAGCCTTCATAGCGACCGTGGTTGTTGATTGTGGCGAACGGTTTGTTTGACTTTGGCAGGGCAGTGCCAGGAACATCAAGACTCTTCATGTAAGGTGACAGATCGAAAATGTGAACTTTTCCGGTTTCAGACCATGTAGCGGCGATATGCTTCTCCTGTTGCTGTGGCATGACACGCAAGCGATTAACGCAGCCATTGTGTGGGATCGAACGGTATTCCAAGACTGGATCTTCGTCCAAAGCATCTGCATCATCCTCATCATCTGAATCATCCTGCTGAGTCTTATGGAGCTGTGACATCTTCATCACTAACACTTCGTTATCGCGAGCGGCGGGGACAGATGTACCTGCAGCAACATAGGCTGTGGCTGGGAACTATTTACCATAAAACAAGAGTTAGCAAACAACCGTCGCCTCATATCGAGCACCAACTATCCGCTACAACGTGCATAACTCACGTTCTTTCGTTCTTCGCCTAATGAATCCTGCAAAACGTCGAAACTCAGGAAAGGTGCACGAACATCCAAGTTGTGAAGCATAACGTATACGGATTGATCAGCCTCGAGTTGCTCGCCTTCTTCAAGAGGCTGGCCCGGGAGATAGGTTCGTAACTCGGGCTCTTGTTCTTCTTCTTCTTCTTCCTCTTCTTCAATTGCTGCTTCGTTTTCATCGACATCCATGCCTATATATATCCACATTTTTTTTGTCAAGTCAATTCCCTTTCTCTCCTACCCTATCACTCATACGAAAAAACCAGCTACTTTATATTTTTTCTTACCGTCGCCACCCATGGCCTGATCTTGTTCGTCGCCGGACTCTTGCTCAAAGTCATCTTCCCAAGCGTCTTCAAACTCGCCCATTTCGTTCAAATCGTTTTTGTCATTACGAGTACGGCCATTGCCTAAATCGGCGGCCTTGTAATATTGCATATCTTCATCGTGATCAGCCTGGCGTTTCGACATTATGTGTTATTTATCTCTCAAAAAAAAGAGTCCTGCAAAAAAAAAGCAGCCAGAAAAAAAAGCACAGCTAGAACTTTTTTCGGTTCCCAAAAAAATTGTATAAGCCATCGAGATTCTGATTGGCTGACGGCTCGCAGTAAAGAACCATCCTTCTCTTCAAATAGCTGTTGCTGAAGACTTTGACAGGTTCGTCTTGCAGTGATTGCTTCAAGAGCGAAAAGTCCAAGCAAATTGACGTTCATTGATCTCACTTTAGTTATTGTACTATGTACACGTTGATATACGTCTGCCCGAGCAAACAAGGGGGAAAAGAAACTTCCTCGCTCTTGCTACATGCATAGCTTTTCTGAACTAAAGAATGCTAAACTATACACCACGTTAAACTGAACGTCAGAAGAGGCGTATAATAATTACAGAAGTGATCCCTTCTGCCATATCCAGGATGACCAGTCGCATTGACATAATTATTCTCTGTGTGTATCCTAAAAATTTGTAGAGAAGACTAGGACAGTATAGTAGCATCAGAAATCAAAACCGCTCCCTGGCTTAAAATTTGAAGAGTACGATTCTGTTGATCTGTGGTTTCGTTATATATTCTCACTGTGAAACCAATCAAAGTTGAAATTTCTTAGAAGCACATTGTAAAACGCCATATCTTCTTTACCCACCTGCAGCCATTGTCATACCAAAGAGCTACCATATCAACGTACTAAAGGCTCTCTATCTTACACGCGAAGGTGGCAAACATTAGCAGGTAATCCTACCCGAAGTTTCGCGTAATCTGGTTTTGGCATAGATGATAAGAGTGTTTTTGTATATGCTCTGTACATTGTCTGTTAAAACAACTATTCATTTGTATAGCCATTCTTTAGCAGGAGCTTTGATTAAACGAATTGTGACACTTCTTGGACACTCAACTCGTTCAACTGAGTTCTGCTGCCCAAAATTTGCTTCTAATGATTGACTGCTTGTTTTTCGCCCTTACCGAAGCTGAGTTTGGATTCTCGTCACGTAAAAGGGAATCGAGAGCAGGCAACCAGTTTGTCCCTCCTCTTTGATCCATCCATTCAAGAGTATGTATACATACATGCATCCATCCACAATGCATACCATCCATCCATCCATCCCTATAGTAGTAGCTCTCATCCATCCTTAACTAACACGCATCCATCGTCATTGTTTATTATAGTGAGAGATAAATGGAAGAAGAAACGCCAACGTCGTCTCAAGGCCAAGAGAAGAAAGATGAGAGCTAGAAGCAAATAAGCGAAACGCTCTTTCCTCTACCACGTTGAAATGGGAAGGTCGACGGTTCAAACGTTTCCGAAGTCATTGTATCATACATTCTGCTTATTCAAGAATTTCCGCGTCCCCTGGTCATTACAAAAACTTGTTGACGGCACTTTCAAAATGTGTTTTACTGCTCTCGGATTCATCGAGCTTTTCTCAATGTGGACTTGTCCAATAAATAAAATAAGGATCTTTATGCTCTCTCAAATCTCGGAGGTGTTCCCAATGCTGAATTATTTTTGTGTTTTTTATATATGCATATATATTGAAGTATGTGTGTATGTAACTGGGTCTGGTGAGTGTTGTATTGTGTACTTTTGTTATGGTAGTGGGTGTGAGTGGTCTAGTGCAGGCAGTAGATAGGAAAAGCATTTTCACAGAACGGTCTTAAGGAACTCAAGTTTGTATATGCGAGGGTTTGATGGGGGTGATACTTTACTTATGAGGAAGAAAATGCTCATTTTAGGGTGTGTGTGTTTGTGTGGTTAAGGGGATGGGGGAAGTGTAAGTGGTGATAATAGAGTGTGTGTGTGTGTGTGTGTGTGGTGAGAGTGAGATTTGTGTGTGAGTTGTTGTTATGTGTATAGCGTTTTAGGGATGGGGGAGTAGGAGCGGGTAAACAGAGTGGGTGTGTATGTGTGTGAGTGGGAGGGAAGAAAGGAAGAAAAACAAAACAAAAGTACACGTATGATTACAAAGGGTAGAAGGGTGGAGGGGAAAGAGACAAAGTGAAAGGCTACTAAAGAGCCTTGGAAAATAATAGAGAAGTATACTAGAAGACAAGCACGTAGCTTTTTTTTGTTTCCGTTGCATTTGTTCATCGCTTGCGATGTCCTTGTTCTTTTACTGTGTAGCCCGTTTGATCATCTATTCACACGTAATTTAGTCAATCAGTTCTCATCATCGCTATCGTAGGTCATCCACCGCATATTCCACTTACTTCTTTAGCCCATCGTGCGGTCTCTTTGGTTGATGTTCCGCAATGGCGGCTAGTTCGTGCCTCTCGGAGGAGTTGTGGCACCCATTCAGCCTGGAGGAACTGCTTCAGTTGTCCACCAAATGCATCAGCCAAATCACTAGATAGAGAGAAACGTTGTCAGCTTTTCTTGGCCGCTAAACTTTCTTTTGTATCCAACTTACCCCAAAAGACCAATTAATGCTCTTGTCAAGGCATCTGAGCGGTTAGGATCCACTGCCAATGCATGCATAAAGTGGAAGATGCCCTGCATGTATGGTAGAAGAACGGCCACTATTATCATAGACGATGTCATTATTACTTTCCATCGTGACCGATATAAACAGTGGATCATCAATCCAAAAACAAATAGGTCAGCCCTTACCTCTTTGTGTACCAGACAAACCTTGAACAATACCAACGTATGCTTCTACATTGCCTTCATGGAGCGTGTTAACATAATCAATCATTTCATAATTGTCCTTTTCGGCACGCATGCTTCCAGCTTGCTGCAACACCATCATGACAACATCCAAGTAGGGCTCGAACTTGTCACCAATAGCCAACGCGACATCGCCGAAACAGGAGAGGATGTTAGGCTTGACGGTGCGATGCAACACGGGACTCTGCAAGTTATTCACAAGAAGCTGCATGAATGTGGGGCAGTACACGGTAACGCCTTCACCCAATGCACGGCACAAATCACCAATCAGGCCCACGGCAATGGAGCACAATTGGTATTCGGCGGGATTTTGCAGCGCGTTACACAGGATGGGGACAAATGGCTCAGCATACCGTGAAAAGTCAGCGTCCAAAGCACTTGTCATGGCGCCAATGGCCAAAAATGCGTCCTCGGTGATGGTCGATTGCTTGGATGTGCTGTTGAGAAGGTGGAGCAATCCCGTCATGATGCGGTCGGCTACAGAGGCAATATCTCGAGAAAGACGACGGATGCAGTTCTATTGTTTCATAAATCAACAGTTGGTTATCAATTGCACATCACCTAATTACTGGGTTCTATCTCTACTACTTACAGTAAGCACACCTAGCAAGCTAGATTGCAACTCGCTGTGTTCAGCTCTATCGTCGGCACCAACGATCTGGTTTTCCATGGCAATAGACTGGTCCAAGCGATCCAAGACAGTCAATGCAATTTTCTGGACCATGGTGATACAATCCTACAAAACAAAAAGACATCATGAATAAACAATGAAGCACACATACACATTATTTCTAGCAGCACTTACGTTGGCGGAAAACATGGCAAGTGAGGAAATAGCTTCGTAGGCAGATGTTCTGCAATTGGACTCGTTATCGGCACGTTCGGTGAATTGTAAAAGAGCAGAGGTGATGCCTTCGAAATACATGGACAAGGTCGAGGTAGGTCCTTCTTCGCCAATGGCAGGGCCAAGCTGTTCTGCCAAGTTCATCAACGACCAGCAGCAGTTGCCGACAATACGTGGGTTGTCCTGGAGGCCAAGCACAAGGGCAGAGATCATGTCGCGAAGATGGATATCGGGCTTAATGCACTGAATAAGCAGCTCAGAGACACGACCCAAGGTCCACGCAACAGTATCCTTGACGTTCACGATAGGGTCTGTCATCATGTTAATCAGTGTAGGCAGAGCTTGGTCAACGAGTGGCATCAGCACAGTCTCTTCGGGACCATCCAAGATGGAACCAAAGGCCATGACGGCAGCTTCACGGTATCGCCAGTCTTGGTTTTGAATATTTTGTTCGACAAACGGAACAACGGGACTAATGACGTTATTTCGTACGCACTGAGCGAAAAGCGACAAGCAGGTAGCTGCGGCCATCGCAACGTTCCATTCGTCCTCGTCTTCATCTTCTTCTTGCTTAGTTAACAACCATAACAGGACAGGCATAATGTCGCCAGTGGCGTATTCGGCAAAGTTGTACAAGTTGCGCTCTGGAGCTTCTCCCATTTCAGCAGCCTACATTTCAAATAAAGCAATTTAGCATATCCTCGTCTTTCCACTATGGTCCTTGAAAACCGATCGCTATAGTACAACTTACTTCAACAGCTTCTTCCTTCAATTCCATTTCTTCATCACAGACGGTAGACCAGAATTCGATAGCTTGGAGTACAACCTTGTCATCTTGCTGATTGTTCATGCCAGCGATAGTGAGCTGTACATATTATTTAATTAACAATAAAAAAGTTAAATTAAATTGTCAAATGCACATACACATACACACCAATAACCACGGGAATCACTTACACCAAACAAAGCTTTCTCCATGTAGTAACGCATCTTATCGTAGTAAAGTTGCATAATTCGCACAAGACATTCAAAGGATGCTACTTGAACTTCGCTTGATGTGCTTTGTGTAGCTTCGCATACGACTTGCATAATGAAATTACGTTCACCTTCACGTTCAAAGTTGTCCTTGACGAATTCAAGCGAGTTGTTAAGAGCACGAATGGCAGCAAGACGGACTTCCTGACTAGTTAACGGTAAAACAAAAAATCCAAGTCAGATCAATACTATGGAGATCGCACAAACGGAAATAAAACCTACTCTTGCTCTTCTTTCCGTGCGCCCTGAACGACAGCTGTTAAAATTTCATTTGACTGTTGTTGTAAACATGAGGGGTCCTAAAGAAAATGGAGAATGGATGAATCAAATGTACACATCCTCTAGTCAATGTTTCACTCAAGAGTACTTACCGTTGCTTCGCAAACATAGCCAATAGCTTGCAGAGTAGCCATCTTCAAAGCTGCATTATCGGTGTTCGTGACATTTTCAAGGGCAATACGGATCAAATCGGGCCATTGCTGGAGAGGTAACTCGATCTCTGCAATGGCAGCAATAACCTAGTAGATTTCAAACAAAGAATAACGAGAATTATAGTAGCCGTACACTCATCACCCATTTCTGCTATTGTTCTGGTTGCTGATAACCGGTATAAGGGGGAAAAGGGGGGGATGGAGGAAAAAGGCGGAATCAAATTTACCTGGCCAGCAATATTGGCAACCATTTTTCGTGGTGTGGCGAGAGTAACAAGAGCCTATAACGAAGCATAAAAGGATTAATAAACGCAGCTCGTCTACTTTTCAATAATAAGGATCAAGTAATTTGTATATAAAAAAAAAGAAAACGTACTCCTTGCTTGACTTGGTTTCTGGTGTCCACGTCTACTGCCAGCCACCGTCCAGTTTGCTCTTCTTTGCGAGAATATTCCTGACAACAGCAATTTAGTCTCGTTGATAAACTAGGTGGAAAGCTTTGTTTAACTTACTTTGGAGGACAAGCTATTCTTAAAAGCAAGACCAGCGGCCATTCGTGTGGAATCGTCAACCTGATCATTGGCCACTTGCTGGATCAACATGAGAGAATATTGGGCCTAAGAAAACGAAACATATGGAAAATCAATATTAACAATCCAGAGGGTTTTCTTCTTCCATTTGATCCCCAACTAAAAACGCGATCATGATTCCTTTTTTTTAAATCAAGCCTAAAAAAACAGTAACTCACATAATTCTCCTGAGCCAGCAGCTCTAGCTTTTGGGTAGCATCTTCGCGAAGAGCGCGATCTATTTATTTTTAGATTGAATCAGTATAGATTACTTTTTCTATCTCTCTCTTGCTGATCAAACGAATATTTTTTCTTCATCCAACACATTCATTATATCACCACAGCCAGAAAGAAAGAAAGAGACGCTCCATTTGTTACATACCAGCAGAAAGTGTATGTGCGAGAAGAGAAGCTACGTCCATAGCGAGTGTGGAATTCTCGAGAAACTGTCAGAAGATAAAGAAAAAAAAAAGTTGAATTAACGCTGTCAAACATATAATTGAAGCAATTATGAATACAAACAATGAGGATCTTTGAGTGTAGAAAGCGAAAATTGAGAAGGAAAAAAGTATACAAAGAACCACGTTTGTTCTTTGTCAGGAATGGAGAAAAAAACCTTACAAGTTGATTTCGTTGTTGCCGTCAAAGAGAGCCAGCAAAAAAAAAAGTCCTTCCAACGCGTGAAGAAAAAAAAGTGTTGAGCTGCGGTTTGTGAATGGAAAAGAAATGAGATTGATTACGTCATTGGTCACAGCATATGTAGAGACAAAAATTACCAGCAGGAGGTTTACCAGAGACCCAGTATGCTTACCTACAACTACTACTACTATTTTATTTCTATCTTTTATTGACTTGTAACGGCAACGCTCCATGGTATCAACTTTGTTCTGGCCACACATTTGGAAAATAGTATTATAGGTAGCAGTAGACTGGTCTTTTATCTGAGATAGTAATATCTGTCGCCCTGCTGTAAGACGGGGCACATGATTGTCATCTGCATTTTTTTGATTTAGCTTGGCAGTGAGACCGCTCGAAACGATCAGTTTCGTCGTCAGCACTTGGAAGCTTGCTGTTAGACACTCTGATAATATTGTTACAGCATGTCACCTGGCACAACATGGTGCTGGTTCTGGTAGAGTTTCTTTTTACTTCTGTAAGAATCAGTATTCTAAGGCACCCAAAATAAGATTCGACAGATTATCTCTAAAATATTTGGTATGCAAAGACACACGGTACAGCGCGTATGCTGTACCACTAATGACATATATTTATAGTGGAAACATTACAAAAAAAATACAGTACATAGGCTCTGTTTTGAACAAGAAACTAAAAGTTAACGGTGACTGGCAGTGATGGGGTATTTATTACATTAATGCGTGTGTGGAGTGGTATATATTTAATTACAATTTCTCTCAAGATCGACGTAAAGCAATAGTGCTGGTACCATTAATGTGTTCGTACTTTCCAAAATCACACGCAAGACTGACCAGCCCGCGATCTGTAACACCGTTGAGTAAACTGAGTTTGACACGTTTCAAGCGTTCGATTGCACCAAGAGCACACAAAGTTAGATCCGTTACAGCATCGATTTGCATAAAGTTGAGTTCTTCAATCAATGACAAGTTTCCTCGCATCTTTTCCATGAACTCGTTCAGTCCAATGCCAGATATGGAGTTGCACCGAGTCAGCGATAATGTACGCAAGCTCATGATATCCAGTAAAGCATTCAAACTGTGGTCCGTGATACTGGGCATGTCTGCAAACTCGAGCTCTTCCAAAACCGCCAGTGTTGTCTTGTTATTGCCGTATGCTGCCAGTTTCCCAAAAAACGACGTCAGTCCATCCTCCTTGAGCCCAGTACAGTCTAGTAGCCGCAAACATTTCAAATTGGGTAGGTCGAGCAAGCTGCTGAAGATGGCGTTGGTGATATAATGCATGTCTCGGATTACTATTGTTTCCAATCCCGGTGATCGGTAAAATATGGACGCCAAAACAGATGTGCGGCAGCCAATGGTGCATTCAAATCGGCGTAGACGTTCACCACCAAATATGTTTAACGGCTCCCAAGCAGGTGTGTAGATGAACCGGTTTTCGTCCACATGGATGTTTAGATAAAGCTCTTCCACAGTAGCTGCGTTTCTGTTGAGTGTCGATATTACCTCGCGACGGTTGATTTTAGCATCCTCGGCTGCAATGGATATGTATCGTGAGCCTGCAACGGCTTTTGTTGTCTTTTTGCTGTTGGCATCGTTGTTGGGTATTATTCGTGCAGAAGGCCAGTCCCATGGAGTGAGTTGGTCGATATCAGAAATGTCGTCGTCGTGAGAACCGTAGTGAAGATAAGGGACATTGGGGCAGAGCTCATGGACAGCGCCAAGGGCGCTAGGCGCACAACGATCGACTATAAGACAACGTAATTCCGGACAAGCACGTAGAATTGGTTCTAATTGCGGCCTTTGTAATAACACGCCGAGAAATGTATTGAGCCGCAAGTGGGTGATACCGCATTTTTCTGGTAACGGAGTTGTATTGACGATGCGGTCAAAGTCAGGCGCTTCATACGTCAAATGTGTCAGATTCGGGCATTCGGATAGCACGTTGCCTAGCAAGGGCACCGTTTCCAGGGTATCAAAGGAAATGTACAGCTCTGTCAAAGAATGACTGCTTTGAGATTGAAACACCACGTCCATGCAATATGCTGGATCGAGCTCTTCGCCACTTTCAATCGCTAACATAGGTCAAAGTATGCCCATGTGTTAGCCCGCCATTCTCTAATAACTGCTTCGATTCTTGCTTTATCATCCTCCTTTGAAAGCCCCCCTTTTTTTTACCTAGTGACTCGAGACGTCTAATATTTCCGTCAATCACCATATCCTCCAGAAACTCATCGAGTTCCCAATCATCGAGTAAATTCAGCCACAGTTTTCGAATATGCATTGTTACTGGCGCCACCAATGTAATATCATCGGCACATTTGAGCGTCACATCATGCCACGCCTCAGTGCATTGGATAACACGCTCACGCCACCTGTGACATACTGACCCGCACTCGACAAGTTCCGCTGTAGAGAGTAGAGGCAAAATGAATGCCAAAATCTCGAATGGAAGAAGTCCAAGGAAATCGACCTGTGTCTCTGATTGCGCCAGTGCCTTTATCCGTTCTTCTGCGAGTACAGTATACTGCGGATCTGTCACTGCTACTGCCTCGAGCCCTTGTTCGTATATTTCCACAGCGAGATTACTTTTGCCTTGCATACAATAAATTTCACCTGCACGTAAATATCCCTTGGACGATGCTGGTGCAGCATAGACGAGCTCGCGCGCTATTGAAAGTCCACCAGCAAAATCGCCTCTTTTGGCATGTGCAGCTGCGCGTTTGTCAAGTGTGTTCTCCGCGTTTCCTACGACAGCTTTCATTCTTTGTTGTCCCGGATGATCCGACTTGGGTACCATGCTGAGACCTTTTTGGTACGTACATATTGCTTCATCGTATCGATCTTGCAGAATATGTATCTATTACGAGATTCTTTAATAGTTTAGTCTCCAACGACCTTTCGTTGTCAGCCACCAAGATCTCTCGCTCTTGTTTTTTTCTCTTCCCCCAGCACTAGATAGTTAAAGTAATAAAGAATAGTTCACCTTGCCAGCTCGAATATAGCCCTTGACTATACAAGGTGACGTGCGGATCATGACCGAAGCATCTTCGAGAGCCTTGTCGAATTCCCTTAATTCGCTATATGATCGAGCGCGTACATCGAGGAGATCAATTAGCTGGATCTGGAGCTCGTTTATCGCTGTGGTTGCGCGGGCAACGACTTGCTTGTGTTCGGCTTGTGTCGAGGCTTTGCCGCCCGACGACGGGAGTTGCCACGATTTCCGAGCACCGCCGAATGAATCCCAGTCGGCACCAAAGGCAATGCCGAGCTGTTTGACGACTTCCATAAGGTATATATATATATATATATGCTTGTTGAAGAAAAGTAAAGAGGTGAAGAGAGAGGAAAAGAGAGTTTGGTTCAGTGACACGTTAAAGCTGCAAAACATATGCCGTATGCTGCCTGTGTACAGCTCCGAAGTTGGCGGTACGTGTCCTTTGAAGAGTCAGGTCGTCAGATGGTACAGGTGCACAAACAAGTTCTACTCAGACAGGAAAGTTTAGATAACATCGTTTCGGATAATCTTAAAAGATATTTCCTTGTTGCAACGATAGTAAAAGAAATACAAATACATGATTCAGGCAGAAACATTGCTGATACACATAATTGAAGCATTACTGATAATCATTCTTTTCGTAATAGAGTTGTATATGAACATCGGCCATAAGCATCAATTCATATCGCATTCTCCATAGAGCTTTATAAAACTGAAGCACGGTTTAGCAGACTGATATCACACCATGTCCAAGGATGTACTTTGTTAATATTCATTGTTCTTCGATCGGTAATCACGTAGTCATACGATATTCTTGGACGGAGTATGATCTATGGATGATGTTGTTGAGCATTCAAATGGTCACCCGACAAGCAGTTTATGCACGTTACAGCTTCATATAAAACTCAAATTGTTGCACTGCAGGTTCTTTTTTGTTGTGTAATACGGAAGATAAGATTCATAGTTGTCGTTCATACAGTAATCATTGATCCAACGTTAAAGTTAGGTACTACTAGATAGTGCAATCTACTCTTTTACCTTCTTTCTCACGGAAAGGCCGGAGATGTCAACGAAGTAAAAAGTATTTAATGAAATATTCCTTATGAATATAATGGCATTTCAGGGTGCAACAGGGAAAAACATACCGTATTGAACCATTTGTTACTTGTCTATCTAACCGCCAACTCTTTTAGTACATACTTACATTGTTTTTACGTATCTTATGGCGGTATCGATACCTACCATCTTCTTGTATTTAAGCTACTACACAATAATCAACGCGCTTACTGGCGTCCCTACCGAATGACCAACGCTTGGCTTTGAATGATATTTTGATCGGCCATGTCTGTCTACCGTTTTGCCTCTGTAAACCGGAGGGACACGCTCATCCACGGCTTGGCCTTCGTCATAAATGTGATACTACTGTACGATTGATGTAGCTCGACGATGGAACAGCCGTCCGAACATTTATTATCCGTTAGATGAAACGTATATCTTACTCGTGTCGATTTTTAGAGCTGCGATGCTCATTTACGTGCTGTGCAACACTATTTTATCCATTAATGTAACAAAAAGAGTTTTCAATCACACTTCTTTCGATCCCAAATGTTGCTTACATCATGAAACGCAAACTGTCAGGTGTGACTTTAGATGAAAATAGGCTACTGTACATATCATAATATTAGTAATTATGAAGCTACAGGCACGACGCTAATGTTTAGAGCGTAAATGCTGCAGAGGATGTCCAGCAGTTTCTCTGGAAGTTTATATAAAGGACTTAACGAGTGACTGCGATGTAAAAGAAGACTGATAATATGCAGTTCATACTCATTATATGTATCACATTATATGTCGATGATACACATGATATAAAAACCCAAAAATATCAACATTACAAAAAGTTTAATATCGGTCCGAGAACTGTTGTCGCCACTGTCAATCTATTCTCACGCTCCTATCAAAACGCATGATAAATAATTCTTGGCACAGCAGCAGTACTATTCTTAACTTTACTAGCTAAAAGGTATGCAAAATAAGAGACACGACAGATTTTGCTGATTTCATGGTTACTGCTGTATATTGGTAAAGAAGAAAGATTTTAATTTTATTCAACATCAGTGCTTCACTGTGTTGTATGTGCCATCTTCGTTAAAGGGAACCAGACCAGGCAGTCCAGCAGCAGTTAATGTACGGTTGAGGATGCAGGAATTCGAATATTCATCCTTGAACTCTGTCATGTGACCGTTTAATGTCCCAAAGATAGTCAGGTTCGTCGGCATGTATATCAAGACACAGGCGCCTTGGGGTTCTGCTTGAAATGCTTCTTGCAAAGAAACCTGCAATTGCTCGAGCTCGGCGCATACAATCTCTGGGTGTGGATGATCGCCACCCACTGGATCGCACGTTACCACCCAGTCAAAGCTTTCCATACGTTCATCGACAGTGATTGTTAGGTCTTTATGTTTTGGCAGTAAAATGTACATTTGTAATTATCTTTTTAGCGCTAAACCGGTAGTTTATTATTCAGCCAAGTGAGGCATTAACTTGACCTTACTTGTCTTTGGATGACTGTCATTGCAAGCTTTCACCGTTATAAACGCTGCCAAGAGAGAGCCAACGAGGTTTAGCAAAAAGTACCGAGAAAGCTTCATGTTTTCCAATTGCGTTGCGGAATAACACAAAATGTGCGCGGGGAGAAAAGCAGCAGAGTAAAGGGCGAAAGAAATAAAAAGCAGCACTTTGAAAAGAGGCTGTGGCGTTTTATAGCGAAATGTCAAAATAAGGCAGTAATATGATTTGCTAATTTCTAGTGGTGATGGTGACACGGGGTATGTCATATTTTTCTAGCTTTTCCTTCTTCGATCCTTAAACATCACCTGTATCAAGCAGGGTGCATAGTAGTCCACAGAAGCAAGAAGATTTTTCTATTATTAACTTGTATAGTTCCAAGCTACATATCTCATGATCAATTATCGTGAGATTTTGCGCTACCCTTTGTGGTGTCACTACCGTTTTTCCGACTGTTTTACTTCAACATTGACAGCTCTTTTTTATTATACTGAACCATTCATTATAGTCCTTCATCTCAATGATTTTCTATTAGGACAACGTGTATCTGTCTCTCCAGCTATAGTTCAATGGCAGTCGATCAGTACATGACTACCTACCATCATCGCATATCATGGTCCACTTTTTTCCTTGCGTTTGATGATTACTGTGATATATGGGATCTGCACTGTACACATCTATGTCATTAATAACAACGCTTAATCAAATCACATAAGGTTTGATACAAGTCATTGATGATTATATACCAAAAAAGGTTAAAGAATCAGTCTTCTACGTACTACAAAATGTTACTATCTTGGTTAATCTGATAGCGCCTGTTAACTTTCAACGCACCATTGTCGCGACAATTCATCTTTTTGTGCAAATTATTACGATGCTTATAAGCATTCTTTGACACTATGCTATGGCGTCGCATGGCTTCTTCTCCACACTAGTGAGTAATTCACCTAATGCATTAACACGTCAACGACAACTTTCTTTTTGTTCTTACAGCGAGGTATGTTAAGCAACGTTATCACAAAAAACATTTCTGTTGTTGCTGTTACTGTTGATGATGAAAACCTTTGTAGTCTAGTGACTAATCAGTGTATGTATAGCAATGTATAACAGCGAATGCTGTTATTTTTGCTGATCAGAAGAGCACAATGCGCAAGGATGCCATTCAAGTATGCACATCATAACGGATCCTGTAATTGTTGGAAACCTCGAGCAACAAAACAGTTTTTCCACCCAACCGGATTGCCGCCGTAATCATCAAGCTCATCATGCGTCCACGACAGATGTAAAACTCTGACTATTTTGTACTGGCATTATATGTACCTGGTACAGTATCACTTCAAAAAGATTATATCACGATCGATTTGACAACTTGGCGTTATGTTACGTACACCTGGTATTGAGCAGGGCAGAAATCTTTTTTTTTAGTCGACTTACATATGTATTAGCTATTTATAGCACACGACGCTTTCTTGTTGATATATACTCAGAAGACGCCTCGCAAACGTATCAGGTTCTTTCTTTTTGACCGATAGATCATGTATACCTCTTGTTCTTGTCTCAATGACGTTTTTTGGATATCATCGTCACAAACAACCGTGTGTAAACAGAATTAAACTGCTACTTTAGACATTTCATACCAATTCTGGCAGCAGCACTTTTTTTTAAATTCATCGCAATACCAGTCTCAGTAAAGAAAAAGGATTGAAGCCGGCCACAGCGTAGCTTATAGAGTCTGCAGGGATACGTATCAAATACACCCAGTCTCATCTCAGCTAGTGAGTCCCATTTCGGCTTTGTAAAGTACAGTATTTCATCCGGTTTTGGATGCTCCATGCCGAAAGGTTGTTAAGACTCCGACACTTTTTTTCCAAATGGGTCCCCACAATCAGGGTCGAGGGGAGGGGAGGGTGGCATAATCGATTTCCCTTACTCATTCGTTTCCCTTCTCCTTGGAGTTTCTCTTCCAGGTCACCTTACTACTGCATTATCCTACTTTTATCTAAAATATACTCTCTCTCTCTCTCTCTCTCTCTCGCTTATATCATCCCATCTTCAATGCTCGATCGAGTACCACTTGAAATCGCGCTGCACATAATATCGTTGGTGCCTTTGACGACTTTCAAAACTCTATATCAGGTACTGCCAGAAACCATCGTAGACGAAGCACTACGGATCCATCTCTCATCGTCGTCGAGGCATGACAACAACAAGAAGAATAGTGAGCCGTTACTGAACCTGGTGTCGACAAACTTATGTGAGCTATCTGCACCTCGACCGAATGCGAGTTGTTGGCTCAAAAACGAGTCGTGGGTCCCACTGTACTTTGCGAAAATGGATATCCCAAGTCGTATCCTATGGTTGTTTCCAGGCTTTGCATCGGAACAGCATTATTTCAGGGTGGAGGATTCGTATGTATCCCATGGCAAGTTATTACTGAGACCAACAGCAGAGCAGCTCTCATACAATTATCATCATGGACAGCGACAGTCATCAAGCAGTAGAGGAGGAAAAGAAGTAGCAGGAGCAAGAGAAGGTGGTGGTGGTAGAACGACGCTGGCATCACTGTGGGATATTCGCAAACAGCTTCCGCCGACACGCGCTGGCACGTTTTCCGGAGCAAGCGAATTCGCAACACAATCGCAATCAAGTCGGGAAATGACCATTGAGCAAATGGGCTGCTGGGTCGATGCTTGTCTTTTGTGTCCTAGCACCAACGATAACACCATTGCAGCGGAGACGACAGCAACCTTCACCACCACCTTTACCACCAACGACAACGACAACGACAACGACAACGCGGCAGCAGCAGCAGCGTTGGACCCACCAAGGCCAGTATTACCAAAGGAATATGCTCGCCGCGTGCCTGCACGGGAACGGGACCCGATGTCTATGAGCAGTAGGGCATGTGGGTATTTTTTAGTCGAACGGGTGGGACTGAGCATCCCGTCGCTTTTGGACATGTTTTTCCATGATGATCCACAGTTGTAGTAGTCTGCTGCTCTCATGTATAGTCTATCCCTTCAACGCTCCATCCCCTTTTGTATCTAATATGCATATTCTCTCTCTCTCTCTCTCTCTCTCTCTCGCTCTCTTTTATCCTTGTAAAAAATGAATCGTATCCCCTTTGTTGTTATATATCCATAGTAGCTTCTAGAATTTAAAAAAAATATACACTCTTTGCTTCCACTATTGTTTCGTCCGGAACTACAATTTCCAAAGTAGCACAACGATCAATGCATGTGGTTCCTGCAGCTATCAACAATACCTATTCTGTTTAGTGTGGGGATGACTCAATGGCCTTCAAAAGCACTATTATTTATTCCTTTGTATATTTGTATTATTTGTTGTTTTTATTGAGTTATTGACTTATTATTCTTCGGGGATGCTATGTAGGAAGTGAAGAAAGGGTGATCAAAGAGCGGCAACAGTGGTTGGAAAAGCAGATGGAATGTACATGAAAAAAATATTAGCAAAGAACTAAAATCAAACCATATCAATTATGGTCGTGGGGAACCAGGAAACGGTGGTCGTAGCTCGCGAGTTGGTTTCTTTAACCAATTGGATCGCATGCCAGCTACGTATACGCCTTCGATCACCTTTCCAAATTCACCTGTTTTTTTGTACTCCTGATACTTTCTAAACAGCACCAATGCCTATATATGCAATCCATGCAAAAACTGTTATATACACACTCAAGAACCCCACACCCCGCCTAACAATCACGATGTTAAATGTCACTTACGGTTTCAGCATCCTCGATACTGTCGTGACCCTCGGATTGGATATCCTGTCCAAGTAAATGCCACGCCAAAAACCGTAGCGATATTTTTCGTTGTCGATCTCTGATATGATATATATCTACCGTATCGATGATTTGTTCAGGTGGCACCAGTATATCTTTATAAAGTAGACATAAATTCATTAGCAGAGAGAGCTAGGACAGTACAAAGGGTGTCTCCCCGTCCAGATAAAATGTTACGAAACCAGCTTACTGATAGTTCTAAAATCTTTGACCAGACCATGTCCAATGAAGACACATCCGAGATCCGCCAACAACCGAAGTTTTGCATATGCCATTTTGTGGTCCACCAATGTATGCGTAGTAGTGTTGGGATTGATGTCCAATGCAGTGATACCACTAAACTCAGTCAAGTAATCCTCAACTTCCTCGGTAATTTCAATATAGTCGTCAATAAACGGAACGCCTTCCTTTGGCCCTTCACCTCGGATCACACTGAGGCGAGCCATGACTAACGTGCTGGGGCGGATCAAGGATTTGGTGCCGTCACTTCGGATTTCCGTCACTTCGCGTTTCAAAGCAACGAATTCCGTGTCCAACGCAACCAAAGTTCCCTTTTTCGGCATCTCATCTGCTGTGAGTATTTGATATTTGGGATTGACTGCCGGTCGATTAGCAACAGTCGTGTCGTTGAAGAGAATTGAGCAGTCTGCTTGATCTGGTAATCCGCTCAGGTCTAAACTCTCATCAGAGTCCACTCGTTTGTATTGTAGTATAGATGGGGCCTACGTTATCAATGACATTCAATTGTACGACATGAGTATACAGACATAGCAAGCAGAATAGTGAGAGATTTTATACATGCTATTTCCATATTTCTTACCTTCCATTTGCCCTTGAATGACATCGTTTCTTCTTCCCGGATATTTCGCACTAGAAAGTCATTGAAAAGATACCAAGGTGACGTTGACGATGAATCCAACTCATCTGGAGGTATTTTGATTTGTGCTACTAGATGCGGATCTTCGTCTTCTGCTTTTACTTCCACAATAGATGCCTGGTATATCGAAATACACAAAAGACAGTATATCAGCTTATAAGCCAAGAAAGAAAATCGCGTTTCGAGTTCAACCATGTTGGCATTACCGCTAGTTCATAGATAGCACATGTCTTGGATGTCTTTTGAAATTCTTCAGGAATGTCACTGCCTGGCAATAACGGTTTGATAACAACTTCTGAGCCGTTAATGTGTATGCCGAATCTATAATCAATTGATGGCAGAATAAGTAAAAACATGACTCTTTTTTCTCTATCACGCACAGATGTAATATGACGAACCTTTCTGGTACCCAAGGATTTGACCTTGGAGGGTCACTCCCGCCATCATTACTGTTGTCTTGTTTACTGTTGTTATTCCGTGGAGAGCCAGGGCCATTCTGTCGCCATAGCGCTTCGTCTTCAGGATATGCTGTGCCCGCATTGATGAATAGCGCATTTGGTAATGCGAGAACGGTTCTTTTTGTAGTGAGTGGACGATATCGACGACACGTCGAGCACCATGCTTTGGTTTTGCTTTCACGACATAAGCTTCCTTTTAGTAGATGTGTGAACGAGCGTTTGCGCGTTTTCTGTTCCTATCAGGTTAGGCTTTTAAGTGATCTTTATCAACTATATATAGCACTCTCAAACCCATAAAAGAATATAACTCACCGATCTGGGGTATATCATGTCAATAACAAAGGGAAACGTTGTTCGCTTGACGACTTGTTCACACGACGCACATTCAACGGTAAACAATGTTTGTACACCGAACAATTGTTGGATTGTAGACGGGTTGGGTGAATCCAATAGTTTTGAAATCACTGGATTTGTATCGTCTGGCTGGAAAGCTTCGCCATGTAGTTCTTCCAGTAAAAACCGTGCAAAGCTTTGTATCAGACTTGAGTATGAGAAGCTTGGATCTGGAATATCTGGCTCAAACAAGCTGAGTGCTGCTGCTTTCGGGCTCATCGTCAGTGTACGACAGAAATTTGTTGCCTGACAATTTTGGCCATGGGATGCTTCCAGCATGCGGAATAAAAATCCGAGTTCACATAGGAAACATTTGGGGTGCGAGCAGAGTGACTTGATATGTGATGTTGCTACTCTTCGTAATGGCACCGTAAAGTAAAGCACTTGTAATAACGAATTGCAGAAAGAGTTGCGGATATGTGTTTCCAGCCCACCGTAGCATGTTCGGTTGTAATATTCAAAGTCGAAATCCTCCACACCAAATTTACTGTACTGAATCTCCACTCGTCGATAGTAGCTTGGCATATTAAGTGCCATTGGATCAGTTGCACTGATATCTGCCACGGATGATGTTCGATGCTCTCCACGGTGTTGCTTAAACAACAAGTTAAAAAATTGTTTAGTCTTCATAACCTCAACCTTTTTTTTATCAATTCAAAAAGTCACTTTAAGCATCACTCACTTGCACTTCTTGATCATCCAAAATAGAATTCGACAGTAGCATATCGCGTTCCTGTTCTGATCGAAATTTCGGTCCATTACGTCTGTTATGCAACGGCTTCTTCTTCCGTGGTGCTTGATTTCGGCGGAGCCCAGGATTTGGTGCGTAGCCAACAAAGTCCACAGTTTTCATGTTTTTGAGCAATTCATCGTCGATATGTGGTGGAGGACATGATGCATCAAAAACCGATGGGTATAATGGCCAATTGGACAGTAAAGGCTCTGTGTAATAGGGTAAACCGACTGATGATAATGGACTATATATACGATAACGATTCTTTCGCATCAGTATCCTCCCATAGCCCTTTAAACAAGAAGACATATAGACCGTGTGCAAATGGACAAAGAAAGTAACGCTTTACCTTTCCTCTGTCATGTGTACTTCTGGTACCTCAACCACATCCGCCGTCGATAATCCCATAGAGTATGGGTTCACATCGTAAACGTCTCTGTCAGTAAACTGATACACAAAGCTCGCTGCATCACCAAATGCCAACGTATGTGCCGAGCTTGATATATCCATTGATGTAATATAACTCGTGCTCTGAATTTGGAAAAACTGTGCTGGAGGTGCATATGATCCCATTGTCAAACTCGATATATCGCACATCTGAAACTGCCCGCTTTGAGATGCTACAAGACAGGTGGTGCTTAGCATCGGATGCATCTTGACAAACATTGGGCCGCTTGGGAACGGTATGGGTGCCAGTGATCGCATTAACATTCGGACGTCGTATACTTTGACCAGTGGATCAATCAACAATGAATTTTGCCTGTAGCAGTATAAATAGCATTTTAGCATCTTACTACTATTTCAATCTATCCAACCAGACCTTTCCTTATCCTGACCTTTGAGAAAATCCACAAGTTACCAGCAGATTGCCAGATACATCCAGATCAGATAAGGTGGCCGTATGTGCTTGCAGTCGTTGTTCGACCCGCATCGTCCGTGGATCTCGCATAGTTACTTCACCAAGCAACGATCCACAACATACTGCACGAGCCGTATTCCGCATAACAACAATGTTCGACGCACCCGGTATAGTCTTTGTCACTGCTCCTCGAGCCAAATTCACCACAAGCATATCCTCTTGTTGACCTGCCACCATGAGTTCATTTGTATTCGTCGGCGTATCGAATACCATGGTATGTAAATCTTTGGTGTTTTCATCGCTGATTTATAGGATCAATTTAGCACTTATTCCATGCGTCTAATGAGGCACTGAGAGCAAATTTAAAGGACTGTATTTGCATATACCTCACATTGCATCGTACAAGCCCACGTCGATCTCGCATTTGTATACTGGTGGAGCTCAGTGTAATCACGCCTCGGTCAGTCAAACGAATCTGCCGAACTTGTTCATTTTTGTGTGCCTTAAATGAAGTATAGCGTTGCAGTCCGTCGCCAGAGTACGATGAAACGCGGCCCTGATGCATTACATTGTCACACAATATCGTTATTTGTCTTGCAATCGATAAGAAGGGGGCAACTGCTACGACGGCGCGGGTAATAAGAGGAAGAAGAAGAAGAAGAAGAAGAAAAGAACTTACTGCATCGTTGCCAACCCACAGTAGCTCAAAATATGGATCCCATGTCACTGCCGAGACAGGTGAGACTTTGTCAATGCTTTGGTCGCATAGACTGTGTACTTGGGTCCAACTACTCTCCATCAAAAAGCCCCCACAAAAAACAAAAAAGAAAGAAAACCAGAAGAGTGGAACGTATATGCACCAGCACGATCCCCTACGACGGCACCTAACAATTTTTTCTTTTTACAACACAGCAGGCAAGTCGGCTATGTTTAAAAAATGCCAAACTGAGTTTTTTGCCTTACTTTCTCTTTTTTCCACCTTTATTTTTTTTTGCAGGACACACACAAACGTGGGGCATGCCAGTGACAGTTCCATTTTTGACAGGAAATAAGCAGCTCTCTATTGAACTTGCAGAACCCGTCGTATATCTTCGTGGACCCCCCAGCAACCCAGCAACACATGTCCTAAGGGGTGAGATTGTCTTGGTCCTGTCAAAACCCATTTCGGCATCGTCTGTAGTTGTCAAGATCACCGGCAAATCGCACATGCTATGGCCCGAAGGTAATAAATAAAGAGATAACGTATTTTGCTGTTATGCCATGATCTCCGTACTTGTCATGACATGATATGATATGTACATCTATTAACAACACAAAACTACATATAACAAACCCCCATGGATATTTCCAGGCATCGGCTCTCGCGGAACAAAAATGTTCCATGAAAAAACGGTCCATGAACAAAACATTATTCTAGAATCCTGGGACCACCAGGAGAATCACTACGACAAAACCATTAATGCTGGATTACATCGCTGGCCGTTTGAATTCCTTTTGCCGAACCGTTTGACCGAGACGATCGAAGACGATCTAGCCAAAGTGTTCTACTACGTATCTGTCACAGTCCATCGACCGGGCCTGAGCGTACCCAACCTGAAAAGTCGGCGTGAGATTTTGCTGTTGCGGACAATGACAACATACGATTCCGCGCTGGCTTCCCACAATTTACCGACAACTTCGATCAACGTGGAGCGACAACTGGAATATTGTGAAGCCCACGTGTGCGTCGAGACTGCGATTGTGTCGTCCGGTACACAGTTTCCCATTACGCTGACGCTTACACCACATACGAAAAACGACGTTTCGCTCGAATCGTTCAACGTGATAGCAAGTGAACAGCGGATATACCGTCTCCCGGAATATGGTGCTCGTCGAGCTGAGATGTTCGACTTTAAACTCAAGCTCAGCTCAGTCTCCAATACAAATGATCCCAGCCTAAGACATGTCGTCAAGGAGGTACCGCCCGCTCAGCTTAAACGCGCATTGACGACGAAAAATGCACATATTCCATTACCGTTCTCGTATCGTTTTGTGCTGAAACTACCCAACTGCGTCGACGGTATGAACCATTCGACGTTCTTCAACGAGATCGAGCTGAGGCACTGTCTCAAAATATCAATCGAGTTGTCGGTCCCAGATCAGCCCGAAAGATCGATTATCAATCTTGAATTGCCATTTACGATTCTAGACTGTCGGCTCAAGGAGGATTATGCTGTACTCCCAACCTATGAAGAAGCGCTCACGGGTGAGCCTGCCACCGATGACTCAACACCAGCCGGGTTCTTTGCTTGTCCGTGCTACCTGGACTACAAGAAAAAACGCCGCTGTATTAGACAGGATTGGATGATGTTTCGCCAGCAAAGTGCTGCTAGTGCAAACGATGATAGTTCTCCACCACCTCCCCCTTACTATGAAAAGTAATCTTGACAGTATCTCATTTTGTAAATAATCCCCATTATCGGCACGCTATACCACCCATGTAATTTGTTTCCTTTTGTTTTGATCTTTTAGAAAATCTCTCTTTTATGTAATAATACCTAATAAGCATCGTATCATACTCTCTACCATACTACTCATTCTTATCTTCTAACTCTCTCAAAACCTTTTGGATCTCGTCTGCAAAATAACGGAAATCATCCAGGTCATTGTACACCTGAGCGCTAAGGCGTACAAACCATTGCCCATTGTGTTTATAAGGCGAACACATGGTATTGTGCTCGTAGATACATTTGTCCACGATAATGTTGATAATCTCTCCGTCCGATCTAGCGCGTTTGTTTAAAAATGGTAAGCGAATGTTTGTCATGGCCACCGTCAACGTCTTGTCTTGATTCTCCAGCACTTCTGTTCCTAATGCTTCGGCAACCAGCTGACCTCCTTGACGTGCCAGGTCATTGCAATACTTCTGGATTGCTTCTTCACCGCCGATTGATTCTCTGAAATCAAAAGCTAGAAATTTCAAATATGTCATTTGAACAATCACTGTCCTAATCAACTTTGCTTTACTTGACTACCATACCAGCATTGATGCATAGATAAGTGCTAAAATCCACCGTGCCTGGCCATGCAAACTCTTCTTCAAACGATGTGCTTATTCCGGAAGATCTCTCATCCTTGTAAGCGTAATTGATAACACTTGGATGAACTAAAGCCTGGTTCCGTTTAGGCACATAAAGAAAAGCGCAACCTCTGGGAGCATATCCCCACTTGTGACAGTTCGACACAAAAAAGTCTGGATCTGCCTTGTGTAAATCCAATGGGATTTGACCTGTCACAATAAAAGTTAAAGTCCCTATTTAGCAATAATGCGAGTATTTCGAGTTCCTCATCCACACACAGACACATATATGTATCCAACGACAATTAGGAAGGCATTGTGTATATACCAATAGCATGGGCACCATCCACAAGTGAATAGATATCGTACTCTCTGACGAGCTTGATCATGGCCTCGAATGGAAATCTTGCTGCCGGCACAGAACTAATTGCATCAAAGACTGCAAGACGAATGGGCACGTCTGGATCCTTTGCCAGCTCCTGTTCAATTGTTTCCTTTGCGAGATCAAGTATTTCTTGGTCAAGTAGAGGATAGTTGAGCTCAACAGGCACCAGTTTCACTTTATGCGCGTCTTGCAGAAACGTCATGGTGCGCTCAACTGCGTTGTACGCAGTAGTGAACTATACATAGTTTGTTGTTGTTGTTGTCTCCGTGTTATAGAACAAAACCTTGTGCCCTTATCATATTCAACTATAAAAGGTTACTATGATGACATGAAAAAAAACTTACAAAGAGTAATTTATCGCCTGGTTGCATAAAGCCAGATCTGACAACGGAATTGATACCATAGGAAGCATTAACTACAAAGGCCAACTCTTGCGGATGCGCATGAACGAGCGCAGCCAGTCGTTCACGATTCTTATACAAATCCTTGAACACTTGTCGTTTCAAGAACCGATCGGGATGCTTTTCTGATTCTTCTTGATAATGGCGCATAAGTGAATGCAGCGATCGTGGGCAGACGCCAAAACTGCCGTGATTCAAAGGAACATAGTTGTCCTCCAAGTAGAAATGAGAACGCATTGCTTTACCAAAGGGGGTGGTTTTGGAGTTTGTCATGGTTATTTTATGCAAGAATGTAAGAGAAAAAGAAAGGGTACAATGCCGCGTTTAACAACCTTTTAAGTAAGAGAGCGGCCGGATGAAGTAACCACTTCTCGTACCCCTGAGCACTTTTCCCACGGACCTTCTCCCTTGTAATCCTCACAGGCTTTCCTTATAAAATAAGGTTAAATATGCCGCTATATATCAGCATAACAACTGAATGAAACAAAACAAATACCAGTCTGAATATGATAGTCTGATAGGTTGTATTATAAACATATGCGTGTGCTCTTGTTAGAGTAAAACAGTTACTGCTATTCTTCGTCTAATTCTTTCAAAATCTGCTGGATCGCTTGTGCAAAGTGACGGAAATCGTCAAGTTCGTTGTAGATCTGGGCGCTCAAGCGAATGTACCATTGACCGTTGTGGAAAAATGGCTGGCAGGCGGTATTTTGTTCATAGATACATTTGTCAATGATAAGTCGAACGACTTGGCTGTTGGGTCTGTTGCGCTTGTTCTCGAATGGTATACGGACATTGGTCATGGCAACGGTCAGGGAATTATCTACATTTTCGAGAACTTCAGTGCCTAAGGCTTCCGCCAATAGTTGACCTCCTTGACGTGCCAAATCGTTACAATAGCTCTGGATCGCTTCTTCACCACCGAGTGAATTTCGAAAATCGAGCGCTATGATTTTGGAGCATAATAGTCATCAATACATGATGCTTTTTTCTTTTTTTGCTAGGCACAATGAAAAGAATCTTTTGGCATTTACCGTCACCGACACACAGATAAGTGCTGAAATCGACAGTGCCAGGCCATTCGAATTCCAGTTCAAAAGTTGTGCTGACTCCAGAATCGCTTTCGTCTTTATACGCATAATTGATGACACTGGGGTGTACTAGTGCTTGGTTACGCTTGGGTACATAAAGAAATGCTGCACCTCTTGGGCAAAAGAGCCACTTGTGACAATTCGAGACAAAGAAGTCAGGGTCAGCTGCATGCAGATCCAACGGTATTTGGCCTGCATATCCAAGATATTAAAAGTGATTTCATGGTCAGCATATAGTAGAAAGAAAAAACAAGCCCTTCGCATTTTCAAATAACAGGTATGCATTACCAATAGCATGAGCACCGTCCACAAGAGAAAGAATGTCATATTCTCTGACAAGTTTGATCATGGCTTCAAACGGAAATCGCACACCTGGAACCGAACTGATTGCATCAAAGACTGCAAGACGAATAGGAACATTGGGATCCTGTGCCAACTCACGCTCGATGGTTTCTTTTGCGATATCAAGAATTTCCTGATCAAGCAGAGGATAATTGAGCTTGACAGGCACCAATTCAAGTTTGTGTGCATCCTCCAAAAATTGCATGGTGCGTTCCACAGCATTGTAAGCCGTTGTAAACTTCAAAAGAGAATACCGTGGTCAGACTTTTTCAATAAAGGCGTGGGAAAATATTTCAGATGTAGGCACGAGACTTACGAAAATCACCTTGTCACCATGGTTATTCATAAAACTCGATCGAACAACCGAATTAATGCCGTAACTGGCATTCGCCACGAATGCCAACTCGTCCACATTGGCATTGATCAAACTGGCAATGCGGGCTCGATTCTTTTTCAAGTGCTGAAAAATTTCGCGTCTTAAAAGGCGATCGGGGTGACGTTCGATCTGGTCTTGATATTGAATCCATCGTGGACGAATAGAACGAGGACATACACCAAAACTACCGTGATTTAAAGGAACATAACCGTCTTCCAAAAGAAATAGGGAGCGACAGGCATGACCAAACAGTTTGGAATTTGTCATGGTCGGGAGGAAGCACAGGCCAGAAGAACAAGTAGTTGGCAATACCGAACGTTCGACTATACAAAGTTTTATACCGAAGGTTGTTTCGGTATGACTCACATTGCATGCATGTGTGTGCTACTGCATACAATTGACTCTTCGTTCCACCCATCCATAAGCCGAGCATATACATAGCAATACAGACTTCTTTCAAGTTGTTATGATGACATGAAAGAAAACATAGATTTAGTCATTGTCGTGCTAACTAGGTGTAAATGATACAATCAAACCCGGCGATATATATAGCACTAACTCAATTTGTCTGCTTTATTGTCACTTAGTCAATGTTTTCTTTCTCTAGCTCATCCACCACTTTTTGAATCGCTTGAGCAAAGTATTGGAAATCATCCAGATCATTATAAACTTGAGCGCATAAGCGTACATACCACTTGCCATAATGTTTAAATGGCCCAGCAGACGTATTGCGCTCAAACATCAACTTGTCAAAGATGATGTCAATGATCTCCTTCTCCGGTCGGTTGTGCTTGTCCATATATGGAAGACGCACGTTAACCATGGCAAAGGTCGGTTCATCCTCGTCTTTGGTTTCCAGCAACAACAACTCAGTACCCAATGCGTCCGCTACCAGTTGGCCACCTTGACGTGCCAGCTTGTTGCAATATTTCTGAATTTCCTCTTCTCCACCTAGGGATTCGCGGAAATCGAGAGCTACAACGATACATATTAGTTACCATTTCAATGAAAATACTTGATGACCCTCAAGTGAGAGAAAAATGCCATTATCATACCATCATTGAAACACAGATAAGGACTAAAGTCAGTTGCCCCTGGCCATGCAAACTCCCGCTCAAATGGTGTGCTAACAGTTCCTTTCATGGCAGTGCTCTTGTATTCACGACTGATTATACACGAGTGAACAAAGTTCTGGTTACGTTTAGGTACGTATAGGATCGCGCAGCCCCGGGGTACGAATAACCACTTGTGACAATCCGAAATGAAAAAGTCTGGATCTGCCTCGCGCAAGTTCAATGGGATTTGACCTTGTGTGCCACATTCATATAGGATGATACAGCAAGTGCTGGGTTTTAGTTATACAGATTCAAGCTGTATGTAGTGCGCATAATACAATACCTATGGCGTGGGCGCCGTCTACCAGTGAAAGGATTTTGTACTCTCTGACAAGCTGGATCATTGCTTCGTATGGAACCCGTACTGCCGGAAGCGCACTTATGGCATCGAACACTGCAAGCCGGATAGGTACTTTTGGGTCCTTGGCTAATTCATGTTCAATCGCCCGTCTTGTAATATCAAGCACGTCTTGATCGGATAATGGATATTGAAGCTCGACAGGTACAAGTGTCATCTTGTGCGTGTCCTCAAGAAACGTCATAATTTTCTTAACGGAACTATGTGCTGTAGTATTGAACTATATAAAAAAAAAGAAGTTAGTGCATACATGGTATGGGTTATACAATTCAATTCCCTCTTCATATCTTGTTTTGACGCTATTCTATTCATTCCGCGTATTACCCAAAGTATCTTTTCTCCTGGATTGAGAAACCCACTACGAACTACCGAATTTATGGCAGAGGTAGCGTTGCTTGTGAACGTCAAGTCGGGTGAATCGCACTGGACAAGCGCAGCCACACGATCCCGGTTTTCCTTCAAATGTTTGAATACTAGACGTAATAACCACCTGTCTGGATTCTGCTCAGCTTGATCCTGGTAACGACGCATCGCTGATCGGACAACGCGCGGGCATGCTCCGTAACCGCCATGGTTGAGGGGAACGTATTGCTCTTCCAAGAGAAATTCAGAACGCAGTGCACGACCGAATGGTATTTTTGCAATAGTCATGATTGACTTTTTTTTGAAAAGGTGTAGGAAGGAGTAAAGCTGAAACCACTCAAATTTGACGATGGGCAACCCTTTAAAATGTGTATAGGCGCCAATAAGAATTCATGCAAGCAGTCGGCGATCTTCACAACGTTACGCCATATTGCAAGCAGTCGGCAATCCAAAACATGCTTTTAGTTTGCGCCAACCATTATTTGTTTATACAAATATATCAACAGTTTTCTACGCTCTATTATATTTCTAATATCTAATTACAACTCTTGTCACTATTATGAACTGCTACGATGATTATCATGATCATCGTTATTATGATCTTCGCTTTGAGGTGACTCGGAATCTTCAGTAAGGTGATGGTTGGTAATCGTGGTATTGTGCTGCGATGGGGATGCAGATGGCGTCGCTTCAGCTCCACCGGTCGAGGGTAAACTTGACAATGTGGATGTTGAGATAGATGGCTGTGGTTGAATAGGAGGCGCTGCTGGTGAGTGGTAATATGGGTTGCTGGAGGGGAGAACGAAACCGCCTGGTCCCAAATGACTGCCACCAGCGCCGCCTTGTTGAGGACCCATGTATGGGCTAGCAAATGGACTAGGACGGTAATGATGTCTTGCCATGTCTTCGTAAGGCTGTGGTGGAGCATAATGCTGATAAAACTGGTATAGGTTTTGCTGCTGGTCGAGGTACACGGACGAGAAGCCACCGGGGCCAACAGCTGGACGAGGAGACTGAGGTGGATAAAACCCACCCGGGTTACTTTCCGTCGACGTGTTGCGTACATGGAGGTAGCGAGAAGATGGGCTTGGCTCGTCCGGCTTGTGACTTGCTTCCTCTGGCTTATCCGTAGGAGTTGCCGTGTTGGACATTGAATAAAATGACGCATTGTCGTCCTCATCCGCCTTTTCTTCTTCATTTTCTAACTGCTCATCGTTTTCTTGGGTCTTTTCTGCATCGTCCTTTTCCTTCTCTTCCCTGGTAGGCAGTTCGTCGTCAGTCAAAGTTGTAGGCACAGGGGGTGCCGGCGGTAACTTTTTGACAAGCGGGTTGTGGCCATGCTGAGACGTAAGAGTACGTCGTAATTTTGCACCGTCAGGCTTCCAAAAGTCCACTGCGCGTTTTACATCCTTGACGACAGTAGCCGTGCGCTCCGATCCTTAAAAATGCATGATCCATATCAGCACATTTCTTTTTCCTTCTGCACCCCATAGAACCTATCAAATTGAAAAGTGCTTTTTTTACCGGAATATTCGGGTCGGCCCTGACCTGGTTCGATAGGTGTGACATCCAGCTCATCCACAATGTACTTGCCAAAGGACGCAATCATATCCATCTTACTTGCCATTTCGTCCATTCCGTTCAGCAACAGATACATGGCTTCACGCATCGCGATGCGCTGATAGTTGCCCAATCCTGTCTCGGCTGGCAGAGTCTTGCTCTCAACCTTGGCCAGCTGTTCCTTTAACTGCATCAACTTGTCAACTCCTCCTGGATGTTCCTGCTCGTGTCTTTCGATAGCTTCTATTAGCCTGGCTCGCTTCTCTCTGTCTGAAAGCAACGTGCTTTCTTTATCCGCCATTGTCTTCATGGTATCGCAGTATTGATCATAGCTGCTGGAAAATTCTGTCATGGTCGAGCTAAACAAGATCAATAGTTCACCGAGCTTGCTTGTCACGTCCTATTATATCGCTTGTTGAGAACTTTTTTCTTTTCTTTTCTTTTTCCTCCCGCCCTCGTATTTTTCCTATCGTATATTCTCTCTTGTTTCTTACCGTCAGGTCATCGCCGAGTGGCTGGCCAAACATTTTCAAGTGATTGGCAGAGATCCTTCGCTCTTCGGACATACGGGCCCATTGCTTTGCGGCGGTCTTTTCTGCCTCCAGGAACATTAGCAGGTTTTTGTCAGGACCGACATGGTTTCTATTCCCTAATACGTGGAACGGATTAAAAGAGAACATTGTTGGAAACTGTAAAACTTCACAAAAGAAAGGAAAAGAAGAAAAAAAAACTTTGTTGCAATACTTCAAATATGTTGTGTTACCATTGCAGTATAAAAAAAAGCGCACACGCGGATTCTATTCCGTAATGCCTTCGCCGTTGACTACAAAAATGGAAATCTCCTGATCTATTTTCGCATGAACATCTTTTGACTTTTTGTTTGTCTGTGGTGTCATAACGCATATGCTTATTTATCGAGGCAAGCTATTACAGGACATACAGAAACCCTTCTTTTGTAACAGATACTGCCAAAACCATCAGCACGAAAGTGTGCTACTATAGAAATCTACTCAAGAATAGCGAATGCTTTGCTCGAGTATGGCAGCTGAACGGTGGGATGACATCATTTATGCTACACAATCAGATCATTTAAGGCGAACACGCGCCACAGCTTAGAATTAGGTCACTCGTGAATATAAAAACGGATCAAGCTACACGTTGCAAGGCAAGATGCTCAGGATTTTCGTGGTGCTCAGCGCCTTTGATTATTCAGGTCGGTGTCTTTCGCATGCTGGATTTGGTCGTCAAATGGATCGCTAAGAAACTCCTGTATGTCATTCGATCATTTGATCCGAAATGCGGTTCCTGTGAAAGTTCAAGTTGGCTATGCGTATCTAGGTCAATTCCATAGCCAAATATACTGCCATATCACTGTGATGACAAAAGTAAGTTAAGCTATGGTATGGCCACTTTGAGCATTATTGTTTAGCGCGCCTGCAGTCATTCTTTCGGCGATCATAACATTTGGTGACCCAGCATTCCAACTGCTTGTATACAAAGATATCTTCCCTTTAAATTTAAGGCCCATGAGTTCATAGCGAACGTTACTTATTCAATCAGATAACGGGTATCAGAATACATACTTACCCATATCGCTATGACGACACCCTAGACGTTATTTCATTTATTCAAGGCATAGATGATCACACAAAGAAACAAACAATACGTTTTGCTGATTTTTCATGCTATTAATTAGAGATCTTTATGTACTACTGTACATATCCTAGTCACCGCTCCTCGCTTCGCTGCCTGTCATTCTCATGATTGCATCGTCAAACAGCTTTTACTCTCAGAGTACTTTACACCGCTGAGGGCATTTAATTATAGCTGAAGGAATGAAAGACAGTAGATGTGCAGGGTTACATCGATTGCATTTTATGGTTGCTATGACAGTAAACAGTTGATTGGCTTAGTATATATACTAGACGCCAAAGTCGCTTCCCAACTGTTGTGACCGTCCTGACTAAAGCATTCACTGGTGATGAAGACAGTCAGAGTGTCCGATGGATACAAGGGGTTCTCGCGTATATACGTTGGTTTGGCCTCGTTGCGGCCAGTAGTAGATGCATCACTCGAGAAATCATTCCGAATGTCATGGCTAAGATGCATAAAGCTTGTTGCCGTGCTTCTTACATTGGATTTACATCTTACGACGCTCAGGAAAATCAAAGATTGAACGAAGTGAGACGCATTTAATAGCACTACTAGGTACGGAATGCCACCAACTGAAATATTCAACGCTCAGTAGTAGGATGGTGTATATATAAGGATACCAAGAATCCTTGCCGAGTGTTGGCTAGCACTTAAGGATTCCTCAGGTGGAAAAATGCTACGACACCATTCATTATACCAAAATGTATCCACAGCAGAAATACAGTACAACTTTCCGTGGTATACATATCCGTCAAGCGGGTAGACATAATGTTGATGTAATCCTGTAGGCATCATGGACATGAGTATTTAGATATATTACATACTCTTCCGGAAAAAAAAGCCATGTTAAAGCGGTAAAAGCATTATAGCGTTATAGTTAAGAGCAACGCCACTGAATATAAACTATAGGTCCTATAGGAACGTATCACGCCAAGAGCAACAGCTTACGAGCAGTACATAGAAAACGGAATCACTGTGCTCCGCTGTGGATCGCAAAGCTTGTCTAGTGTTATTGAACCTACATTGAACGGCATCTTTTTTCAACAAGTAGCTGTTACGAACGATGCAGAGTATCTATTTTATTTACCCATCCAGAAGCGCAGCAAGACTTTGTACATATGGCTTTACAGGAGATTTGTTTGGAATTTCATGTTTAGCTCTAGGGTCGGCAGCGACACTCTAGCTTATCCATAATGCTGTTGTGAAATATCGCCGGGGCGGTCGAATCCAAGTGTAGCTACATTGCTTTACGGCTGTTTTACGTATGATAGCCACAAAAAAGTCGGCTGAAGAAAAAAGTCAGGTTCTGAATTCATGAGGAATAGGCGTCGGCGTCTTTTGCCTTTGTAAGAATGGAGATAATCTTTAACGTTGGTCGAGGAGTCAAAGTCATTTTTACATAAAAAGACGGATCGGAGAGGCCCATTGGGGCCACCGTCTGTTACTACAGCCGAGTGATTTTCTCACCCATTCTAGGATCAACGCAGCTAGCTAGACACATTACTACATATCCGTGTCACGCCGCGTACAAAAATGCAGTTTTTATCATGCAGTTTTTGATACTTTCAAAAGTTTCAATGCTCTCTATGTAACAACATGCCGTTCTATGATACAGTTTTGTTATTGATTAATATAACTGAAAAGGCAAGAGAGAACACTCACCGTCAACACACCCCGAAACCTGTTGGAAGATGGAGAAGCCTTTCTGCTTTTTTGATATATGCAGAATAGGCACGGACCATCTTTACTTGTTCAAACTGGAAATCAAAACAGGTGATAGATCATGGTTTTCAATACTAAGTCAAAAAGTACAAGCTTACGAATAGAATAGCGAATATTTACAACTAAAGCGCAACGACAAGATCAGATTTGTTATATGCTGACGAAAATGGATCGTCACTGATCTCTAGGCAATACCGTTGAGGCTATTATAATGTTCGTATGCCAAAATGAGTCTGGTATGTAAGCGGGTCGGCCTGTACCAAAGGTAGGTAAACGAACGTTGGAAAAGAGTCAAGTTGCTGCTTCGTAACGATGTAAAAGGAAACAGGAACAATTTAATAATAAGCTCGCTTTTAGTTAAAAAGCTTTGGCGTCCACAAAGTAATTATCGCCATTACCCTATTACATACATTGGTACTGTAATATGGTCAATGGAGAAGAGTATAACCGTCAATTTTACCGCTAAAAGAAAGAACCAGCCTGGATTGTATCATGTTTATACAGAAAGGCGTCAAGGCACGCGTAGTCCATGCTTCGCTGTGTTTACTAGTATTTGTCCCCTTAAAATCTTTCAACACTGCTCCGCAAGCATTCTGTGGTAGAGTGTTAACAAGCAACTTGTCTAATAGCGTGTTTGTAAGAAGCCTCTCTCAAAATTACCAAGGATGTCATAATCTTAGAGACAGTACAGTCAGAGGCAAATTATTCTGGCAAATTCTGGAGCTTAGGCTAAAGTAGGTTTTATTGAACAGAACTTTATGTATACATCAAAAGCTGATATGATTTAGAATTAATGTGTGGGAACCTGAATTGTCTGAAAACATTTATGCAAGAGCTATCATACATAGTGCGTAGAAGACGCTTGCATCCGTTGTTTTCGGACTAAAATGAAGCGCATTAATCAAAAGTTGTATCCAACATGCCGTGAGTCCAAAAAAAAAAAAAAGAAAAAAAGACAAACCAGTCGTGCCATTGCAGGAGCATCGGATGCTGTCGAGTGTTGTGCACCATCAGAGAGCAGTTTGGTCAAAATAACAGAAGAACGCGTGGATAGGGTGCCCAAAAAGATTGCTCAGCTTGTTGTGTATGAACAACAAACATGCACCAGACTCATGTTGTGGCGCCAACCAGATTTGCCAAAGGAGAAAATGCAGCAGACATCGCACTGTGTAACCGTGCCAAGGGATAGGCAAAGAAAGAATTCTTTCTACCCAAGCTTTCTCTCTCTCTCACTCCTGTACATAAACAATATTTTCGTTTAGTTACTGTTCTCCTTATTCTTTTTTTGTTGTTTTAGTTCTTTTCTCTCCATTCATCCGCCCCCAATGTCAGGTTACGACAATCACAATCCGAAATCATACTACAACTATTCAGGTATTTACACTGTCAATGCGGTTCTTTCTAAGAGTGCTGTGTTCCTGAAAACATACCAACTTTTTCAATATGTCGCCGTGGGGCGGCGGGATGGGTATACTATGCTATAGACTACAACAATAACAGACAAGGAGACCCCGCTGGCGCAAGTAGCAGCAGCAGCGCTCGTGGTGGTGGTGGTGGTAGACAAGCATTACCGGCTGGGCCACCGCCTAAAGCATTTGATACAAACGTCATACACAAGCCGGACGAGGTGACACCGACGACTCCATCGGGACCGCCTCCGCCGTACTCGCCGCCTCCACCGAGATCCACGTCCAGTTCCACCGACTATGGCACTGTTACCGTGCAACCAGGTCTTCTGGATCCGTCGCGAACCTATGTGAGCCCCTCTTCACCACCACAACAATATCAACAGCAACAACAACAACCGCAACACCCACTACAACGGTCGGAACAGCCACGAAGACAATCAAAGTGGACCAATCCTCGTAAGTTTGTTTAGTCGACACATCAAGAAACAAAGATGTGTCTCCTTTCTTGGCACGGGATTGATGACGGATTTTTCTTTTTCTTTTTCCAAAAATAAATAACACAAGCAGATATACCCCGTGATTGGCAAGATGGCAACAATGACGACGAAGAACAACAGAGTCATGAGCCGTCTTACAATCAACCACGCAGTCGAGGAAGAGGAGCAAGTGGCGAGTCCGGCGCATCCCGGATGATCCGCCAAGCATTGCACTCGCATAACGAGGACGACAGTGGCGACGATGCGGACCCAGGATGCTGCAAGAAATGGTGCAAGTGCTTATTCCTGGCTATCCTAATATGGCTAGTCATACTGAAATACAGCGATACCATCCGCTTCACTCCACCATCGCCGGATCTGTCGTGCCATGCAAGCGTTACTTGGGACGATATGCCAGAAACGATCAATGTTGAAAAGGATGTGTGGATCTCGGTGGAAGGGCATGTTTCAAGTGGGTCCGTCATTGTGCACAGCATGGCAGACAGTGGCCAAGAAGGTTCGATCCAGACTCAAATCCATGTGACCCCATCCCTTGTCGAGGAGTTGTCGTATGAGCTGCATGATGGCCGACAAACGCAATTAACGATCCGTCTGCCCCAACAAGGCGACCACTGCGTCCAAGTGGATATGGAGATTTACCTACCGGACAAAGCCGAACAACTACGCCTCTCGATCAACAATGTACCCATCAAGGTGATGGACCCACAGTCTCACATGGACTTGACAGATCTCAGGACCACCAATGCGCCCATCGACTTGAGCAACGCGTGGGAAGGTAAACGTTTGACGCTACAAACTGCCAATGCAGATATCCACATGTCTTCGGGCGACATTGAGGCGCGCGATACTGTCCACTTGGAGACAGCCAATGGTGCAATTCATGCAGCGAATATCTTGTCCAAGCATTACATTGATTTGATCAATGCCAACGGCGTCGTTCAAGCAGATCTGCTTCAGGGCGATGACAGGGTCCACGTGGAAACAACCAACGCAGAGGTTCGTATCGACAAGGTGTCATCTGACAAGGCATCCATCATTTCGTCCAATGGATGGATCCAAGTGAACCATGCGGTGGCGCAAGATTCGCTGGTTGCAAAGACGTCGAATGCTCCGATCGATATTCACGTCGAACAGGTCAAGAACGGACATACACAGCTTACCACGGGCAATTCACCAGTGACGGTTCATATGGTAAGCCAGTTTCTCTCCGCCCCTCCATGTTGTCACATCGCACAGGACGATAGTAATTTATATCTTTTTTGTATATAGACAAGAGAATATGAGGGCAGCATCACATTCACGACATCCAAAGATAATGCGGTCAACGTACATGACGCGCCAGAGAATTTCGATTACGATCGAAACGAATCATACGAAAAGCGGGGCATGCGTTTGAGCGGAAATGGCGAATTGAGCGTAATGACGACAAACGCCGATGCAGATATTTTCTTTGACATTTAAAAGAAAAAGGGCAGAAAAAAAAATAAAACAAAAGATTAAGAAAGAAACAAATAGTACAGTAGTAAGGGCGCGGAACTTTACATTATATAAAATATCTTAAATATATACAAAGCTATGTGTATAGTGTATCATAGGTGTGTGTGTCGTGTATGATGATAAGGTCGTGGCATCGTCAGGTAGCGGGGCGGTAATGTTGTTCTTATTTATAGGTGCTGGCCGGCCAATTATTCCCCTTCACTGTTTCCCAATTGATCAACCTCGTCTTCCTCTTCTTGTGGCGTTGTTGATGACAGTAAATCCTGCATACGTAAGGCTGAAGAGGGTGCTTGTGTTGTGGTTGTGCTCGATGGCAGTGCTTCTGCCTCTGCTTTATCCGTTGATGATTGCTGTTGATAATGTGATGACGACGACGGTGGTGGCGACAAAGTCGCTGTATGATCATCCATGTCCATAGACACGGCAGGTGGTGATGACGCCGATGACGACGCTGTCTCCTTGACAACGTCCATCATCATCCCGTCCTCCTGCACAAGCATCCCATCCTCACTTCCGTCGACTTTAGGTGCGCGTCGATTCGCATTCCCCATCTGCTCCAAATTGCCGCGTTTCTTTTCTGCTGCAGCCATCACTCCCTTGGCAGCGCGTGGCTCCATTTCCTCAAAGCTCTGGGGTACGTAATGCCGTAAATTCTCAGCGCCTGGCAGATCTTGAATCAGTTTGGCGATCGTTGGGTGCTTGAATCCGTAATAATCCGGCCCACTGGCCGAGTTGGAGTGTTCCCGCTGCCGAATTTCGTTGGACTTTCTTACGACCACCGTCCAAGCACCAGTGGCTGAATTGGCGATGATGGGCTCGTCAGGCTGATCAGCTGCAATAACATGAAACCGTGGACCGTCGCCACCGTCTGTGATTGTTGATGTGATTACTGTGTTGTTGCTTGGATCTTTCATACTCGGGTACGTTCTGACCATGGTGTATACATAGTGGGTAAGTAAAATTTCCGGTTGTGTGTTGTTTGCTGTTGAAAATAATAAGGGGGGAAAAATGGGGGAGTAACGCCAATTCCACTAACCTGCTGACAGTATAACCGACCGGGAAGATGTATCGCTCATTGTGGAAGGTATCACGGTCGCTTACAATTTTGCCGAGATCCAATACAGTCAACACGCCGATTTGTTGAGGTAGCCGCGGCTGACCTTGTTCATCTCGATCGATCGGTTGTACTCGACGTGTCTTTGTGGGAAGACGCGACAACTTTGAGCGTTTGGGTGGTGCCGAAGCCACCGTTGCCGAGTCGCGGTTTTGAGATGGACTTTCGGATAATACGCGTCTATGACTCGTTGTTGTTATTGTACCTGAAACGGGGCACCCCATTGGAAAAAAAAAAAGAAATGTGTAGTGTGTGAGAGAAACTGGGAAAAAAAAAGTCCGCGTGCACGGCGCGCGCGCGCTCTCTCTCTCTCTCTCTCTCTTTACACTTTTTTTTTCTCTCACCTTCTTCTAGATCGCTTTCTGTGTCTGACAAATCGCTAGGCACGTCACTGCTATTATCATCGGACGAATGGCCCTCCATCCGCGTTATGTTGTCCAACAAGAGGCTTTATTTTTCATTTTCGGTTTTCGGTTATGGAGTTGATTGGAATTGCGTTGGAGTGTGCGTTGGAGTTGAATTGGATTGATGAATACAGTGAGCAAACATTGCCATCGTGCGTATATTGTGCCAATAGGTGTGGAAATGTCTTACTTTCTCTCAAACGTCAAAGTCTGAATCTTCTTTTTGGCGCGCACATACTCCTTGGTCATGGATTCGTTAACCTTTTTTTTGTGACATGGAGATTAATAAATGATGAACGACTTGAAAAAATGAACGCGTATTTTAATTTGAGCTTGTGTACACACCTCCATGATATCACGCAGTTTTCGCTTTAATTTCTTATATTTATCTTCAGAGAAACCAGAGGACGCTGGCTGCTGCTGCTGATGTTGTTCTTTCTGCGGTGGGGGTGGCGAGGACATGGTTTATTTACTGTTGTAGGGTTCGTGTGTAAAATTATCCGTAGAAAAAAAAGAGAGAAAGGGAAAGAAAGGGAAGAAGAGGAAGAAGAAGAGGAGGAGGTGTTGGTGGTGGTGATGGAAAAGGAAAGCGAAAAGACCGTCGTTTCTTTTTTATTTTACCCTTTTGGTTGAGGTTGTAAGTTGGGTGGGGTGGGGGAGAGGGACTTCAAGAGGAGTAGAGCAAGAAAAAAAAAAATTTATTCGCCTTTTTTCCTTCCTTTTCTCTTCTTCCTCTGTTTCTCCTCAAAAACCTAAGATGGGGTTGATTCTCAAGATTGGAGGGAAGGGAAAGAAGAAGAAAAGAACTTTACGCACACAGCTGGGCGTTTTAAAGCCCCTTCCTTCACCGACGGAAGCCATTGTGGTTTTTTGTCGTTGTTGTGGGAGAGAGAGAGCGCAAGGGCAAGCCGGAGTGGTACTGGCGGGTGTGGGCTAAGTGGGCAAACATCAGCCTTCATGGTCCTCTCCCTTTGCCGGTTCCCTTAGCACCGGATTTTTGCCTGCGCAAACTGTGCAAGAGCGAAAAAAAATACACGAGTCATACTTCAGGATCTGCGTTGCTGGGAAAAAGAGAGCCCACTGGCAGATAGTATAAATGACCGAAATTATCCTCCATAGGAACTCAGTTCCCTTTCCTTATTGTTATCCTTGCTTTTTCCCCATTGAAAATAAAAGAAGTCAACATGGACAGTGCAGCCCGATCAAGCAATGTCAAAGAAACTCTTGACAGCAAGTAGTCAATCCCTCTCTCATTTTATTACATTCCACCCAGTTGAATAAAAGCAATAACAATACAGCGCACTACTTTTTGATAATAGTTTTGTTGGAAATGGCGACCATGTTGGACACTGGTTTGGATCGCGACACGTTGGCCCTGTGCGTGTCAATGTGCGAGAGAGGTGTTAATCCAGAAGCCTTGGCGGTAAAAATGACCAAAAAAAATATACTGCTGTGTTTCGTCTCACTTCTTTCTATCGTTCGGACCCATTAATTTAATACCATGTAAACGTTAGGACGTGATCAAAGAGCTACGGAAACAAAAGGAGGCACAGACGCTGTTGTAGGAAAGAAGCTCAAGAAACATGAGGACGAGGAAACGATATCTGAAGAGGCGGTTACACTATCTTACCACTAAATAGAAACCAAGAAATGGTAGCCATGCCATGCTGTATCTCTTTATTATACCCTGCTATCTTTTCAACAGCATTAAATGTCCTACTGTCATTATCAGCATCCGGTCAAATATGTTTCCCAATTAAATGCCACTGTCAATCTTGTCCACAGGCCGGTGCCAAGCGCATAAGCCCAGAATAACATTAGTATAAATAATCATTGTCCCTCGCATCAGCGACGATGAAGCCTGTCGATGGTCCTCGCAGCTCGAATTACATCAATGCAAAAGAACGTTACAACACTTGCCCACATTTGACAGCTATATCATTAGCGACATGATACAGCACAGCCGTCTAAAGCAGCAAATCGTGTTTTGCTTATTCTCTGCATGTGACACATTTGTCTGCACAATGGAAATGCGATCCCGCGCCATCTGCTCTGGCGATCATATTTGTAGAGTAAGACAGCACATCAAGTCACTCAAACCATAAACTGCACTGTCAGAGAGAGATCACAAGATCTTGGGAATTTCGTCAGACAAAGAACCCAGATAACACACGATGCAAAGCAGGTTCTTAATGAGACTTTTCCAAATTCATAACAAAGATTGTATATGTTACACAAGGCCCTAATTATCGCTGAAGAAAACTATCGAGTGCTGAAGAAAGATGGAGGAGGGATTTCTGTAAGCGGTTCCGGACCAGCGATACATATGTCAATCGCGGTTAGCCACCATCCGTTCCATGATTCTCTTCATCATGCCCCTTTGCACACCATCGTCTTTTTTTTTGAGCGACATGCGACACCGTATCTTTCACATGCTGATGTCTGCTATTAGCACATGTTCGGGACCGGCAGTGACAACATCAGTAGTTCATGCATGCATCTAATATCTCAGTTTACCAATTAGACCTTTTGAGACCTTGCAGACCCTCGGAGGGTCGTTCCAGGTGTCCGAAAGGGCTACAAATGGCAATTTGTTTCTTTAGGATGGTGTTTATTGAATGGTACTGTAATTAACACCGAGACGTCATATCAGCGATATGGGATAATAATGTAGCACTAGAGTTACTAAAGTCAATACACTTACTCTACATGAACGTCACTTTATGCAAATGTCGCAAGTTTATCATCACTGACACATGGATCTTAATCACATACACTACATTTTTTGCATAAATTTTGACGACATTGTCACGTAATGCATAGAGTAACATTCATGCAACAAAATCATACGATCGGAAGAGTAACCGAGCTCTCTGTTGCAACGCAAAAACTTGTTCTAGACCGCTGCGCATGCACTTCTATATATTTACATTCTATCATCCACCGCTAGCAAAGTCATTCCTCTCTTCCTTTACTCTTTCCTTCCCTCGCAACTTTCTGACAACAATAGCATCAACATACACCAACATCATGCTCTATCACTCTCTTGACTTTTTCAAAAACCCAGGCCTTGGGCAGTCGACAAAGCAGTGCCCTCAAACTGTATGAGCAACTCGATCCGGCCAAGTGTTGGATTCTGGAAGCGACGAAGCGACGGGCATTGGCGGAGAATGTTGAGTCGTGGAGTGTCGAAAGTAAGATGAAAGAGTTCGTCGATACGCTCAATTATGTTCAGTAAGTGTCACTCTATATCTCTTTCACAAAAAAAGGGGGAAGACCTAGTTAAAAGAGAATCAAGTCAAATTAATCATTCTATATAGTCCTGCGCTATCATTCATTCTGGATGTTGACGACCTTAACTGGGAAACATATTTCAACACTGACGAACTTGAGGAGCTGCGCACTTTTGGCGATCCAATCATCAGGGAGCTTCCATCCGAGCTTAAAACAAAGTTCTTCGAGATGGAAAGTTTGGTAAGGTTATTGTATACCCGGTGCTGCGAGTGGCTGTTGCATATATTTGACTTCTTTCGCTGACTTAGCTTCGTGATAATCGCAAATGTGTATGTAGAAGACGGCGTTGGAAGCATATCAGTTCGGCCAAGGTATACACCACCACCCAATCGAGCAACCACTCCTCGCCTGGCTCTCGCAAACCCTCATGAACACGGCCAAATTTTTCATACCAGGTGCAAAAACCAACACCAAAGGCTTTCTCGAAACCGATCGGCTCTACTACTTGTGGAGTTTGGTAAACACCATTTACCATCATTCAGCGGTCGAAGCATTGGGGTAAGTGAATGGTGTACTTTGATACCAGGGCGAATAACAGAGATATGATTACGGTATTGATAAGGGCTTCTATTTTTCTAGATATGGAAAAAGCCAGCGTCTCCAATGCAGCAGCATTCCCCTTGTCCGTACCAGTTCTAAGTTGGTTGTCACGTAGCAACCGGATGATGCCCCAGAGGTCTCTACCAGCCATCCGATCCAACCGAAGCCAGACCAGTCAGCCAGCAAATTCCAAGCGCAAGCTTTCTGCTGTCGACGAGATTGAGCGCGAAAAAATAGGAAGAAGGCTCGATACAATTTACACTGCTAGCGATCTTGAGTTTGGTGGCCTAGAAGCAGCAGCGAATCGGGATAACACGAAGGAAATTCACGACGCAAAGTTGAGGTTACCAATGTTCCTGAGAGACATGTTATCCGCAATTGTCCGTAAAGCACATGTCCTTGGCTACAATGTGAATGGTATGTACATCAACAAATAAAATTTGATATACACGGTGTCGATATTCAAGTAAAGCTAACCAAAAGACAACCGATGCCAATTAGGTAACGGCATTACGATGATGGATGTGGATATGCCAAAAGGATATGTAACAAGAGTGAGACGAACGAACGAGCTCCTGTATCCCACAAGCAGTGACGATTACACCGGGCGCGTGCTATCTCTGCTGGAGCTTGCTGCCAATGCTAAGACGATTGTTGATGATACTGTGAATCTGTGTACGAATACGCGAGTAGGCATGTCAGTTTCTGGGGCCGGTTCGACTCTTGTCCCTCCATCATTCATTGCTACCGCCGCTCAAGAATCGCCGTCTACAACAGCGTCAAAAATTTCGTCAAAAAAACAAAAAAATCGCACTAGCTCGTCTGCTCTCATCGTCTTTCTCAAACATTCATCCTACCATTTCTGTCATTCATGTATCATTTAATAATAAATCTCGCTTTTCCCCCATTTAAATATGCTCTCCTATTAGATGCTGCCACTTCTGTTTTACTTTTTGTCTCTATTACACACATACTCGTGTCTCTATACATACCTACTCGTGTCTCATTAATATATATCCTTCTGTCACAATCTCATACACCCATCCATCCTTCACATACACCATAAGTTGCTATGCTCATTTTGTACATTTATTGTAACATGCAACTCCCAGTCAAAATAAATATGTTTATTAACGTCCATCAAGGACACAGCTTTATTGAATTGCGTTGTTCTCTGTGATCTTACCGTATGCACACAAATTTCCGTGCCAAAATTCGTTGCTAATGTTTGAAGGCTTTTTAAATTTTGAGTTAGTCACTTGGACGCCCTGCCATATACCAGGTTGCTAGCACAGCAGAGATCACTCGGTTTGACTAATTAGCCCAAAGAAGATCTAAGAAAAGAGAGGGTAAGAAATTAACGTATTAGTGTTGGTAATAATTATATCTTTGAGCTTTTTTCATTGCTGCTATTATCGACTTTGTACTCGATAAAGTACAAAATGTTTCGGGTCGTAATGCATTACAGTAGCCGCTCGCTAAGCCGATCACCTCGGTCATGACCCAAAAGTGATCGGCTTAGCGAATGATCGGCTTATCGAATTCGAAGCCCGATATAATGAGTGGGGTCTTCGTCTGTTGATACTATATACACAGTAAACATTTTGATCGCTTGTTCGACTTCCGCATGTCTCAGATATATTAAGAGATGAAATACTATGATTTTATTGGTCTACATAAGCCGATATGTCACAGAGAAATGATCGGTGATCGGCTTACCGAGCAAGCTCGATATTCAATGCTTACCGGGTCGGTAATTTTGAAAAGTGATCGGCTTAGCGAGAATATCGGCTTAGAAGTGATCGGCTTAGCGAGCGCCTACTGTATAGCTATTGCATTTTGGGCACTGATGATACAGATAATCCGTAAAGAAAATACACACTCTCTAAGCAAACTTGGACGGTAAAGAGAGAAGTGTAATGTCGAGGGGGGATTAGTAACAGCGACAGGACCTGATAGAAAAAGCCCTGCCATGTGAGCCAAATAGAAGGGATACGGCAAAAGTTCCAGCAAACTAACTACCTTAATAAACGGTTGAAAATAGTCCAATCGTATGGCAGCTCTAGACCATAATCGAAATACAATCGGCAGAATATACAAAGTACGATAATACAACAGGGGAAGTGCGAATACTTCGCTAACAATACAAGTAGACTACGAGAATCAAAAATGAATAAATAAGTATACAGAAGGTCTTCTATGCCTACGGGGTGTACTCACACGCAGGGCCTTTCCAACAAGTCCGCGAAAGAAAAGGTGTTTCTTTGTTCTTCAAAGTAACATGGATATTTATATGTGTGATACATGATGTGACAATTATTGTTAAGAGAGGGGTGTTGCTATGTTGCTATGTGTGTATATGGTTTTCAGTGTGGTTCAGTAGTCTTAGCGTCGGACTATATGGGTGCTATGTGACCTTCTTCGGCCACAGAAGGAAGAAAAGTCTTTAATTTGATTGGTTTGCGTCAAGAGAGATAAATTCACACACTTATTTGATTCTTTGAAAATTTTTCTCTTTCGTCTCTCGCTTTCCTTTCGTCAGGATTTCTATTAATGTCCGAGTAATTGCACATCAGATGGCCTCGAAGGTACCGCCCCAACGAGATGTCCCTCTCACGGGTGTGCATTTTGCGACTATAATTGCGTTACCAGATGGCCTCGAAGGTACCGCCCCAACGAGATGTCCCTCTCACGGGTAGCGCACTGAGCCTTCTGCGTTACCAGATGGCCTCGAAGGTACCGCCCCAACGAGATGTCCCTCTCACGGGTAGCGCACTGGGCTCAGTTTATGTATAATTTTTCCCCTTATTTGTGATCGTGTACTGAACCTTTACACTTGCGTCGGTTCCAAGCTTCAAATTATTGTTCAAGTTAAGTATATGCAGTATATTCCGCGTTCTCACTTAAACTAGCCCAACGAAACACGCATCGGCTGCGTCGGTTTTGTTAGACACACACTTTACTTAGGTTAGGATCGTCAAAACACCGATACAGGGCTGCAGACAGCATCGATAGCAAGAGTATCCAGGGGGATTGCTTCACTAGCCAGCCGTCATGGGGTTCCTTGGTTCTCCTGTTAGTTCCGGATATCCAACGTTAGGCTTAATGGTTGCGGGCGAGGACTAGCACTGGTTCATGGAACTTTGAAGTTTGGCCATGTGGACATTATATAACAGCCTTTTGCAAATACATTTTTTCTTTATTGGTTGTCCTCCCTTTGTTTTTACTTTGTAACCCGTTTTATTCCTTAACTATCATAACGAATGTACCTCTTTATAAAGAGGAACCTGTATTTAGTTTCTAGATCACATTGATCAAAATATGGATCCATATTACTGGCTTACACCTTATTCTCCCTTGATACTAAATGCACATTCAGCGCAATAAACATGAAGCACGTGTAGAAGCAAACCAAATCTGTACTATAGCGACCCAAGAGCTATATGATTCATTCAAAGAATGTTAGCTTGATACTCCACAATATATGTTTCCACTATCACCGCCATCAATACTGAACATCGTCCGCAATATGGAAGAGAGGGTTTCCATGGAATCAGTGATCATCAAGTCGGAAGTTTATTATGCACAGATAAATAACCTGTTTACAGTGCGTGTAAATGTGGCGTTAAAAATAGCCAAAGCTTTCAACATACCTTTGGGATTCATTATACAGTGTTTTCGGAAGAGGCTACACCGACTAACTTGTAAAAGAGATCGTTGAAGTAATACTAAGCAGGAAAAAACGCAAAATTGGCCGAGCTGCGTAAGGCATTTGTTTTACTGCATAGTAATGCAAAATTGACAGGAAATGATGAAAGACTAGCGTTTGATATTTTTACCTGTCCTTGTTGCTTTCATGGTCGCAGTGGAGAAGCCCTATACAGTGCATCTATGATTTTCATTGTATTTGCATGTATTAATATCTCACTGTAGCTAATGCTAGTTTGTAAACAAGAAGAGGCCGTGTAGTATTTATCAGCGTTGATTTTTCGCCAGGCGAAAAATCTTTGGGGTTTTTCGCCAGGGCGAAAATAGGCGAAAAAAAGGCGAAAAAAGGCGAAAATTAGAGGCGAAAAATCAATTACTTTATTTGGAAATACATATGAAAATCTAAATCTGTTAAAGGGAGGGGGTGAAAACTTATTTCGCTGTCGCACAGAAACTACTTAGCAGCTGCGCAACAGCTGCGCAGCAGATTTGTCATAAACATCAATCTGCAGCATGCTTTTGGCACGAGTCAATGAAGACCTGACTAATAAGAACCTCGCATTGACCGTTTAATATATTTATCTTGTAATCTTCTCTTTTCTTTATTATCGAGGGAGTAAACCATTTTACTTTTGAAGATGAAATTTATTTATTTAACTGCTTATTGGGGTGGTACACAATACTCAATCAAAAAAAAAAAATGTAGCGGGGAATTACCCGCAATTTTCGCCAATTTTCGCCAGGCGAAAATTATGAAGCACTATTTTTCGCCAAGGCGAAAAAGGTATTTTCGCCACTTGGCGAAAATTGCGGTTGGCGAAATTCGTCAACGCTGGTATTTATATTACAGGATGTGCTAGAGCAAAAGAAATATTGCATAGGTTATGTGTGACGATTATTCCATTCGGCTTTTTATTCAGTAACACGGTCGTCATACAAAAAGGTAGAAGCAGGATACAAACCTCTCAGATGCCACAGATGGGAGAAACTATTTACAGTCATGACCAACCGGATCGAAGGGTGGCTTCACAAGATCGTCTTCACATGCCAATGCGGCACTTCAATAATTGTTGCTGTGGTTACGTCTTTGCTGCTGTGGTTCTGTCTTGTTGCTGTGGTTACGCTCTTATTACATGATGACCGACCGAGTCGAGGAGATCAACCAAGGTAATATATACCGTCCCAAAATATTTGTCTCAAAAGATAAAGAAGCTTACCCCTTTTTTTCCAGCTATCATAGCTGCTTTGCATCGCTGCGAAGAAAACAAAGCCGTGGATCTACAATCTGTACTTTACGCCAACCAAAAACACATTTTGCAAGAAGTTTCCGAGCAAGATAGAAGCTTTGACTATAAGAATGTGTGGTTGAAAAGGATCCGAAGCCAAGCAGAAAAGCTAAAAATATCGATTGTACGTGCTAAATAGGCTTTCGATAACCGTGGCCAACGCAAAGCGCGTCTTTTTTAGTTTACTGACCGTTTTTTATTCTATGCACAATGTTAGAGCGAAAAACAGCCATCGTGGAAGTTTGTAGAGGAACATACTCAAGGAAAATCTGACAGTAATGAAGTAGCAGCAATAGCACCAACGTCCACATCAACATCCACGCCTTCTTCTGTCCCCTCATCCTCCACCAATCCGCCCACCCTAAAATCCAAGCTGTCCAAAGCCGACAAAGACAGTGCCCTCAAACTGTATGAGCAACTCGATCCGGCCAAGTGTTGGATACTTGAAGCGACCAAGCGACGGGCATCGGCAGAAGATGTTGAGCCGTGGAGCGTCGAAAGTCAAATGAAAAAATTCGTTGAAACGCTCAACTACATCCAGTAAGTGCTAATCCATATCTCATTCACAAGAAAAAAGAGAAAGACCTAGTTAAAAGAGAATAGAGTCAAATTAATCATTTTATATAGTCCTGCGCTATCATTCATTCTGGATGTTGACGACCTTAACTGGGCAGGTTATTTCAACACCGAGGAACTAGAGGAGCTGCGCGATTTCGGGGATCCCATCATCCGGGAACCTCCATCCGATCTCAAAGCAAAGTTCGCCGAGATGGAAAGTTTGGTAAGGTTATTGTGTACGCGGTGCTGCAAGTGGCTGTTGCATATATTTGACTTGTTTCGCTGACTTAGCTTCATGATAATCGCAAATATGTATGTAGAAATCCGCGTTGGAAGCATATAAATTTGCCCAAGGTATAGAGCACCATCCGATCGAGCAACCGCTCCTCGCCTGGCTCTTCCAGACCTTGATAACGACCGCCAAATTCTTCATACCGGGCGCGAAAACAAATACCAAAGGCTTTCTCGAGACCGATCGGCTCTACTACTTGTGGAGTTTGGTAAACACCATTTACCATAATTCAGGGATCGAAGCATTGGGGTAAGTGAATGGTGTACTTTGAAACCAGGGCAAATAACAGAGATATGATTACGGTATTGATAAAGGCTTTTATTCTTTCTAAGTATGGAGAAAACCAGCATCTCCAATGCAGCAGCTTTAAATTGCAAGCGCAAGCTTTCTGCTGTCGAAGAAATTGAGCGCGAGAGGATCGGAAGAAGGCTCGATACTATTTACACTGCTAGCGATCTTGAGTTTGGTGGGCTCGAAGCGGGTGCGAATCGCGATTATACAAAAGAGTTTCACGACTCAAAGTTGAAGTTGCCAATGGTCTTGAGAGACATGTTATGCGCAATTGTCAAACATAGATCTTCGATCTTACGCAAAGCACATGTCCTTGGCTACAATGTGAATGGTATGTACATCAACATATAAAATTTGATATACACTGTGTCGATATTCAAGTAAAGCTAACCAAAAGACAACCGATGCCAATTAGGTAACGGCATTACGATGATGGATGTGGATATGCCAAAAGGATATGTAACAAGAGTGAGAAGAACGAACGAGCTCCTGTATCCCACAAGCAGTGACGACTACACCGGGCGCATGCTGTCTTTGCTAGAGCTTGCTGCCATCGGTAAAGCAATTGTTGATGATACCCTGGATCTGTGCACGAATGCGCGAGTAGGCCTTTCAGTTTCTGGGGCCGGTTCGACCCTTGTCCCTCCGTCATTCGTCACTACTGCCGCTCAAAATTCGCCATCTACATCATCTTCCAAAAATTCGTCAAAAAACAAAAAAAATCGCACTGATTGATTAGCCCTTCTGCTCTCACACATATCTCCTATCATTTCTGTCATCATGTATCATTTATACCTAACTCTTCACTTTCCATATGCTGTCACATCTGTTTTACTTCTCCGTCTCTTTTACACACATACTCCTGTCTCTTTCACGCACATACTTCTGTCTCTTTCACGCACATACTTCTGTCTCTGTCACGCACATACTTCTGTCTCTTTCACATGCATATTCTTTTCTCTTTTACATACTCCTGTCACATTTACATATATCCTTTTGTTTTAATCCCATACACCAATCCATCCTTCCAATACACCATTAGTTTCTACTTACATTTTGTACATACTGTAACATGCAACTCTCAGTCAATATCGATATGTTTATCAATGTCCGTTAAGGACACAGCTCTACTGAATTGCGTTGTTCTGTGTGATCTTACCGTATGCACACAAATTTCCGTGCCAAAATTCGCCCGATAATACCTTTTGTTGCTAATGTTAGTACGTTTTTTAAATTCGAGTTAGTCACTAAGACGCCCTGCCATACCAGGCTATCAGCAGAGCAGAGATCACTCGGTTTGCTAATTAGCCCAAAGAAGATTTAAGAAAAGAGAGGGTAAGAAATTAACGTATTAGTGTTGGTAATAATTATATGTTTGAGCCGTTTTCATTGCTGTTATTATCGACTTTGTACTCGATAAGGTACAAACTGTTTCGGGTCGTAATGCATTATTTTAAAAATCTTCTTTTGGATGACATGGAAAGAAGCGAGATCACAAGATAATTTAAAGGAGAAAGACGACCAAAAAGCGAAAGAGAGAGCAAGAGAAAAGGCGAGGAAAGAACGATGTCACATGTGATCTACTACACACAATGGACGCAAAAACATTTAACAACTATTATATTCATCTATTGTGTGAATCGATCCTTGTATTATTCTTTCATGGTTCCACAGCACATCCTCGAAACACATCAAAGTCAGTAATACCAGTCATCTAACCCAGAACTTACCATCTTCTGGCGCGAGCTGCTAGAACTTTTAGATTTTGATCGATCGATTTATCTTTTGTACAGTACTTTAGCACCAGCCATCAACATAAGTCCAAAAGCTGTCTCGGAGTAATTGCCGATTTTCGTCCTTCGAAAATTGAATCCAACAAGCTCAGTTTGCACTCGTTACAGTACTAGGAGTAAAAAGTAGATTAAATATAGTTTATTAATGGAAAGAAAAATGACTCATGTGAGCACTGTAAGTAATATAGAACATAGTCGCTCTAGTCCGATCCTGTTTGGTAAAGTGATATGAAAAAACCTTGAGGAAAATAAAGAGGAATAAAAGTACTATCACAGAGTATGCGATACGTGCGAATAATGGTGCTTAGTAGTAACATCTAACTGCTCAGGCTACGGCGTCATAAAAGGCGTGTTCTGGTTGCAACGGAAGCAGATGCAGCTGTCTACGTTGCAACCATGCCAGACGCTTCTGGCTCGGACAAAACTGTTGAGCAGATAGGTATATGTATTTTATCGCACTAAATACCATTATACATTGTAAATTACCATTGACGGCATTTTACTAGACTCCTTATTTTTTCTATATTGCTATCTCTTCGTTTCGTTTCACATCGACAAACAGGTTGAGCCAGATACTTACGTTCTTGTGATGAATCGGTACGGTTTTCTTTCATTTTCCGAAAAAGGATATGATAAGCATGAACAAAGTTTGTGGCTTTCATTCGGAGCTGGTACAGACTTTTGTTTTTTAATCAGCGTTTTCGTTTAGGAGCTGAAATCCTTCTCGATCCTTTATATCGCATTCCCTGCTGAAAGTCGAAGCTATGTCCTCCGCTACTGTTCCTACATATGTTTATCCTGACAATTAGTAGAAAGAATGACTTATAATGGTATTGATTGCCAATGTATAAGCAGTAACATGAAAGCAGTCAACGACTCCACTTTCAATACTCCACCCTTGCCACCCCCACCCCAGCCCACGTTGCCTCAGTGTCGCCTGACATGCCAACGGAAACGTGGTACTCCGACAAATACAGGCCAGCGCAATACCCGCTGTACAACTACTGCATCAAGTGTTCCACGCAGTTTGCGGCGGATAACACTTATAAGCGGCACCTGGTTGATGTCTATAAGGTGCGATTCAGGCCTGTCAAGCCTGGACCAAAAAGGACGGTATCATGAGCGATGCGAATTCTAAACAAGTGAGAGAATGATAAAAAGCACGCTCGCACCAACGCACAAAGATCTAAAGGCAAAACCCGGAATAAAGCTGCGAAGAAACATCTGTACCAGCTCAATTGCTTGGTTAGTGCGGATAAACAGCTTCACAGATACCTTCAAATGTTTTAATATGTCGATCCAACAATCATGGAAAGTCATGAAAACTTTGGCGATTGCTGGAAGTATGCCACTTACAGCATTTGTGCCTTCGATGGACGGTCGTTGTTTAACCCGACGTACAAACACTTCTTTGGGAACATGATAATGGAGAATGCGTGCAGTGCCTACGACCGGCTATCGCCCACTGAAGCCTTGGTCGTTAACGACGCGGTCAGAATTGCACTGAAAAAGAAGGCACCCAAGTTCCTTGCCAACTATGGCCCAATGTTCCGTGCATTCCGCTGGATTGGATGCCCGTTGCTGGAGCGCGTCAATGTCGACTGCGGCATAGAGCGTGGTAATATCACTGACGATGACGGCGACGACTCGTCGTTAGTTTATGCAAGATATGAGCCAAGAGTACGAGAGTGGGCGAGACTCCTTAGCAAGCAAAGCCCAGATTCAGATGCAGAAGAAGGAGCCGGAGAAGATGAGGAAGAGACAGAGCAAGATAGTAGTAATAGTAGTACTGAAGAACATGGTGTGTATGGTGAAGACGGTAGCAGCAGTGGTGACGGACAGAGTAGGGAGTATAGTGATGACGACGATAATTGAGGAAGTAGAAAAAAGAGCGAAAGATTTTATATTTTAGTTATAGGCTTTATTATTCTTCTAATCGTTACTGCGGCCATCTATTGCCAGGTTGGTATATCGTATATAGAATGATCAAGTTGATATATGAAAAGGGATATAAGGCAAGAACTAAACATTGTAGGTAAAGATGAACATAAGAAAGACTGCAAAGGCAATGTGCATTCTATGGCGAACTAGTTCGTACATGCATAGCGTTATGTACATGTTATGACTGTGTGTACATTTTTACGGTTATCGACTTCAATATGTACTTAAACAAGGGGTACTGAAGAAGATAATCTGATCGTTGCGATCTGTAATGCTTTGGTGCGAGTTCCTGTAATCCACTTACCTTCTCAGTCCTATAAACAGATCACCTAATGGTGTGCTCCTACCCTGAAGGAACATTAAATAACAAACTGTACATATCTAAAAACGCTTATGTACTCAGTTCACGAAATGTCAATTTCCTTTCAAACTATCAGCAGTAGATAGTGCCAAAATTTGGAATAAAGCTCAATGATCTTACCATAGCCTTTCTTTTGATATCTAAACAATCTGATATGAGCTCTACATCTTAGTATAGATTGCACACTTACATGTGTAAGCGGTATGTAGTGCCTATGCAGCTTGTTTTCAACAGTGATGTAAATGCACCGATTACTACGTTGGTTGCAGACGGAGTGGCGAGCTTCAATCGGTTTAACCTTTCATGAAATATCCAACATAATGACAGTAGTTTCTGTTGATCTTTCTTGTTGAAAAAGTTTACTTGATTTCTATACCGGGATTTCATCCCAGGAAACATGTTCATGAACATGTCGTCATTATCGTCGATCAACTCCTCGTCGTCGTCGTCATTCTCTGCCTCTATGTCAGGCGCTAATTCTTCCGTCTCCTGTCCACCTTCTTCGTCATCGTCATCTTCTTCGCCATCCTGCTGAACACCTCGTACCACTACTGACGCACCTCTGGACAACATATCAGGATCAATGGAAGCTGATCCATTGGCAATTCTGCCTAGAAGTCGTTGCTGCTCTTCCATCCACGCCTCTGCGCGCTCTAACTTTTGCTTCCAAAGCTTACTCATCCTTGCTTTTCTTGCCAAGATTCTGTGTTCGAAGGTGCTCGTACAGTTTCGGGCACAGATGCAATGGCCTCTTGAAGCTTACTTATAACGTTATGGCCGAACTTGATCACCGAAGAGGCTTCGTCCTTTTTTGTTGTTGTTTGCATATTAGAAACAACGTTATGTAACTAATCTTTCATCACAGTTCTCACCTTCAGCAGCTCAAGCTCTTCGTTTGCTCTTCTTAAACCGTGAAACGCGTCATACGGTGTATTAGTTTCCACAGGCGAAATAATGTTACAACGGAAACGAAAGTGGCTGTTTTTTTTCAGCACTGTGCTAGAGTCGGGATAAAGCTCGAAGCCTGTTATTATGTTTGTCATGTTAGTAACAGATCTAGGTGTACGTGTACAAAAACGTCCTTACCAAAAAGTGGACCCACTGAAAGCTTTTCAAGATAGTTATTGAATTGTTTTTCGACTTGAGCACGGGCGGCTTTTCTTTGCCCTGCTAGATTTTGGGTTCGGTTGTGGCCTACAAGATATTATTATTGCATATTAATTTTTCTAACGTATGTGATGAAGGGATCATCGATACGTACCATTTCCCTGCTGTTTAAAGGCTCTCTCTATGAGGTCATAGATGCCAATGGCCAGGCGCAGGTTCTCCACAGCCCTACTGGCGGCACCAATTCTTCCTCCTTGACGGGTGTTGTTTGTGTCCCTCTGAACCGTCTCATCCACGTGCTCCTTCCATTTCCTTGCCATTGATGCAAGAGAATTCTCGTCACCTTCTTGAATGCCGGCTTTCAAAAGTGTCTTCAAAGCATCGGATTTAAGTTCCAAAGCGCGTTTATACTTACGCCGGAGGTTCACACCTATTAGAATGACAAGTATAAATAATGTATTCTATGAGCGATGAATCAGTAAAGCGATAAAATATGGTACCAATATTGTCTGTTCTTTGCTGCATGTAAAAGTCAAGAGCAATAGTCAAGGTGAGCCGTCTGTTGAGAGACGACATGTTGCGTGTCATGGCAACAAATCTATTGAGGAAAGACTAGAGCCGTTCAAGATGCTCACCATCCTGTATTCCCCACCCTTCCTTGAGGCGAGGATGGTAGTGGATCTGGCACCGTGGGGCATGTCCAGTGATGTAGAATATACCGACAGCAATAGGGACATCCTTAATACAATCCAACGATTCCTATTAACGAGACATGAGTATCTCTGCATTTGATCTAATACTAAAAGTGATTTGTAGAACCAACCTGTAATGCTTTTCGAATTTTGCAACCGACGTCATACATGATGCGAATGTTCGATCCATATAATGACATCTCAGTTACTTTTTTCAAGCAACTAAGGATGTAGGTGAATCTAACAATTAATAGATCAGAGATCTGAACTCTGAATAATGTCGCCATAATAATAAGATTGACTTACTGTTCACCAGGCGTTGTAATGTCTGTAATGGCCAGAGGAAGGCCATGGCCACAAGTGCATGCAAATGCACCATTTTGATCTAGATGATCGGTACGCCCGCGGCCCTTCTCGAGAGCTTGCCACGTGCTACAGCCATCAGTTGCCTAACCACAGATAACAATACATTTTAAGCTGGAACTGAAAGAATGATGCTTCTTGTCATCTGACAAGTAAAAACTTACTGCGTTACGGTATTGGACGACTTGGTTATCTTTAACCCAATACCAATCCACTTCTTCTTGATCAGTAAATGCGACGTCTTTTGGGTCCTTCGTTTTCGCAAAGCGTCGTAGTTGCATGTTACCGTCTGCAGCGACAATTTTGGGACCAGACTAGTAGGATGTAGATGATTGCCACCTCAATATATTAACACGACAGTACTACAACTTCAACACAGCACAAACTTACCATATACATGCATGCCGGACATGCTCTTTGTAGCTCAGATCCGTTTCTAAGATCCTTTTCTAAGCTAAGCATCAGTCTCCCATACATTGGGAGTGCTTCGCTAAGTCGCTGCTTAAAAGTGGCAGGTATCGGTAGCTTGATGAAAACAGGATAAGTTTAAGTTGATCAATGTATCTTTCGTCTAAATATACCTTGTAGCGATACTCTGCGCGGGCCCAGTTGGCAATCGCATGAGCAGAAGCGCGACAAAGATAGTGCATGTTGTGCATACTACGCATTTGCTCGACATGTATGGCATGATTCGGCTCAGATGGTGTCAGAGGGAAGAGGTGGCGACGCATCAAACCACGGGCAATGAGTGGTCTAGGCACTCGCTGCAGTATTGGATTCTGGCAACTCGACTACCTGGATCAGATCACGTCTTTTAGCACATAGTTCTGTTATCGTCATAGTTTATTCGTTGTATACCCACCACATTTGTAAATGCAAGTGATAGCCTTCTCTTTTTGTTCTTTGTCTCAGGGCAAGGGCAAAGAAGAAGATCCTCGATAGGAGCCAAAGCCTGAGGCTTGGGTTCCTCGATGCCATAACCCTGCTTATATGCTGCAAGAAGGGAAGGGAGAATGGCTGCCCAGTTACGGTAGCGGTTGCCTGCTCTTCTTCTTTTATTAGCAGCATCAGTTTCCTAATCGCGCAAGATTAAACGTTTTGATGATGGCTGTCGAAGCGGTGGTGGGACATTCGGCGTGCCTCCAGGATACAAAGGCTGCGCCATTCTAACAGTTCTTTTCGCGCCAGTTCTGCTGTAGCTGGAAAAAGATACTTTTGGCTTGCTGCCGAAACCTGGTGCTCGTTTGGGTGGCATGTTTATTCGTAATTTTGAGAATGGAGAAGAGAAGGAGTGAAGACACGTTTTTACTGGAGCTACTGCTTATGCGACTGCTACAATGGAAAGCAGGTCATGTATTTTTATGCTCCGAGGTTTTGCGGTTTTGCGGTTTTGCGGTTCGACTAAAAAAGACTGTCAACCGCAATCTATAGGGCGACTTTAAGCTCTGCTGCATCGGTATTACTAGGATCAGACGAAAACAAGGGCCGCCCGACATTCATCCGCTACCCTGGCAGCAGCATCATGGATTTCTTCCTAAGCACCCACCACTGCATCAACCCACGCTTAGAGATCCGCAGCGACCTATCCCTCGACTCATACCATAAACTACTACATTTCAGCTTTACCCTCGAACCGACGACCAATCCAGTCAACAACCTTGCTCATCAACGCCGGCTATGGAAACTCAGCAAACTCAAAGACACCAACACTCGCCAACGGTATCTTGCTACCTTCACCGATAACATCCAAAGTCTCAGCACCGAAGCACAGCACCATGTCTCCCGCATACTCGACCCAACACCAGACTCACATGCTTCCGGAGATGAGCGAACCCAGACTGAGATCATTGAGCATCTCACCAGTCAATTTTACGACAAACTGTACACCACCATGGATGACACACTTGGAGCAACACCTGGTGGGCAACACCGACGTGATTCCTTCTGGACTGCCGAACTCCAACGCCTAAACGATCACCGCGAGCTCTGCTACCGAAAATGGCGTCGTGCGATAGGTATGAATAAATTGACATGGTGGATACGACACCAAGAGGCTAGAGCACGAGTCAGAAGAGCGATCAGTAAACGCAGCCGTGAAACATGGCTGATGTTCTGCAACAAACTCGAATCCGATGATTATAGAAAGACAACAGCATCGATTAAAAAGATCCGACAACGACGCACCATTCAACCAACATTCAGCCATCCCGAGGGGCCACAAGCGGCAGCTGAAACAATGGCAACACACTTGGAATCAGTCTTTGATGGGCATCTCCTGCGATCTACCAACCATCCTGCTACCATCAACACCTCACCACTATCCACCACTCATACACACTCATTCCCCATCACCGCCGCTTCAGTTTCATCTGCCATTGACCGATTGCCACCCAAAAAGGCACCAGGGGTCGACCACGTCCGGAGCGAGATGCTAAAACCACTAACCGAACCGCTCACACCCTTCTTAGTAAACCTTTTCCAACTATGCTGGCTTGCGTCCTATACCCCTATCACTTGGCGGATTGCACAAGTCATACCGATTTACAAACGAAACGCTCCAGACCGTGCCGACAGCTACCGACCGATATCTCTGTTATCTGTAATCAGAAAATTGCTCGAGTACTGCATCACCGACCCGCTTCAAACACACAGCCCACCATTAGATATTGCGCAAGGTGGATTCCGCCCAGCTCGAAGTGCCCTCGATCAAGCCTTTTGTCTACAAGAGCTCTGCCGTATGCACAAGGTCACCCATGGTTCTGTCCCCACGATGGCCTTCTTGGACATTAAATCAGCCTATGACACCGTGGACAGAGAAGTGATATGGAAACTCCTCCGCCCTTGTGCACCCCCTCCTCTCCTTGCAATAATCCAAGACCTAATTGATAATGTGTCACTAGAAATCCTTATATCGAATGATGTATCTCGCCGCTTCTCCCCTTCTACTGGAGTTTCACAAGGCTCCATCTTATCCCCTTTCCTTTATTCCCTGTATATCAATGATTTACCAACCACGATTTCTAGACTCAGCGAGGATCGTCCGCCACGAGCAGCCATCCTATCTGACAGTGACAGCGATGATTTTCAGCCAACCGTTACACCACCTCACCCCACCACAACAACAAGCATAACTGCCTTCTATACGCTGACGACGTTGCCCTAATCGGCACACCAGAGGAAATGCAATACCTGCTCAACGCCTGCGAACAACACAGCTATCAACTAGGTTATCGTTGGAACCCGGCCAAGTGCGTCATTGTCAACTCTCCATGCACGACCGACACATTCAACCTATATGACACACCTATACCACGCGCTGACTACTTCGTGTACCTTGGGGTCCCGGTCAACAACAAAGGCCGTTTGGATGCAAAGCAAATGATTACTCGGAACCGAACTTCGGCGGAAGCCGGCATGCGCACTCTCAACGCCATGGGTGTCAACCCATCTGGATTCTCCCGTCTCCTCGCCAGTCGCATCTATGCCCAATTTATCAGACCCAAATTGGAATATGGGCTAGCAATCACATCACTTACACAGACACAGCAAGCAACTAGACCGCATCCAAAGCACCTGCATCCGAACGATCTACGGCGCACACACACACTCAGAAACAAAAGTCATGCGCCACATTGCAAAACTACCAAGCATGCAGGCACGCATGAGCATTTTACAGACGAAATTCCTACACCGAGCCCAGAATCTACCGGAAGACGCACTACTTACTCAACTACGCCCTACCATCGCCTCCCAGGCAGCCAGCCATTGGTCCAAACTCAGCACCTCACCAATATGGTTGAATCTTCCTGCTCCTCGCGAAGAAACCACCACCCGCATACTCAAAGCCACAATCAGGCAATATCTGTCCGAGGAACTCGCCACCATGCGCGCTGCACCAACAGGGGCTCGCAACCTGACCGCCTGCCTCCCAAAGCTTTGTATCGATCCCATCATGTGGCTGCCTATGACCAGAAGGGAACGAAGTCGATGCATTCGCTGGCGCCTAGGCTGGCTCCCGGGCGGCAAGCGGAAACCTTGCCACACCTGCCAAGCCCCAGATTTCAACAAAAACCACGCTATCCGCTGCCTTCGCATGCACCGCCGTTTATATATCACAGAGTCCCAAAGCCCGGACCCACTGTCGTTTGTCTTGAATCAGTTACCCCACTCCCCGCCAAAGTCACCACGCCGCATTAACCTACTTCTTTCAGAATGGCCAGTTGTATGCAAAATCCTAGCCGAACTCGACGCTCACCAACACCCCGACTCCGACCTACACCAGTACTACGACGAGCAGTCTGGCAGCACGCTACTTAAATGGATTGCTCCTCCCTTGCCGCAGGAATCTGGCTAAGTGCCACTAACACCGTTCTCTTTTCTTTCTCTCCTTCTGCTTATTCTTCCACTCTATCTTCAGCAATTCATAGCATCATCTACCATCCCCACAACCTTTTTCCCTGTTTACGCACACAGGGTTTTCATCATCCCCTTTCTCCACTGATCTGACTCGAGCGAAATTGCCACACAAAGCACAGCGTTCAAAGAGTCGTTAAATAAAACAATCAAATTTTAAACGTTACTTTACTTAGTGTTTACAAGAATTTTCCTACAGTGTTTGTTTTCTTCGCAGCGATGCAAAGCAGCTATGATAGCTGGAAAAAAGGGGTAAGCTTCTTTATCTTTTGAGACAAATATTTTGGGACGGTATATATTACCTTGGTTGATCTCCTCGAATCGGTCGGTCATCATATAATAAGAGCGTAACCACAGCAACAAGACAGAACCACAGCAGCAAAGACGTAACCACAGCAACAATTATTGAAGTGCCGCATTGGCATGTGAAGACGATCTTGTGAAGCCACCCTTCGATCCGGTTGGTCATGACTGTAAATAGCTTCTCCCATCTGTGGCATCTGAGAGGTTTGTATCCTGCTTCTACCTTTTTGTATGACGACCGTGTTACTGAATAAAAAGCCGAATGGAATAATCGTCACACATAACCTATGCAATATTTCTTTTGCTCTAGCACATCCTATAATATAAATACTACACGGCCTCTTCTTGTTTACAAACTAGCATTAGCTACAGTGAGATATTAATACATGCAAATACAATGAAAATCATAGATGCACTGTATAGGGCTTCTCCACTGCGACCATGAAAGCAACAAGGACAGGTAAAAATATCAAACGCTAGTCTTTCATCATTTCCTGTCAATTTTGCATTACTATGCAGTAAAACAAATGCCTTACGCAGCTCGGCCAATTTTGCGTTTTTTCCTGCTTAGTATTACTTCAACGATCTCTTTTACAAGTTAGTCGGTGTAGCCTCTTCCGAAAACACTGTATAATGAATCCCAAAGGTATGTTGAAAGCTTTGGCTATTTTTAACGCCACATTTACACGCACTGTAAACAGGTTATTTATCTGTGCATAATAAACTTCCGACTTGATGATCACTGATTCCATGGAAACCCTCTCTTCCATATTGCGGACGATGTTCAATATTGATGGCGGTGATAGTGGAAACATATATTGTGGAGTATCAAGCTAACATTCTTTGAATGAATCATATAGCTCTTGGGTCGCTATAGTACAGATTTGCTTTGCTTCTACACGTGCTTCATGTTTCTTGCACTGAATGTGCATTTAGTATCAAGGGAGAATAAGGTGTAAACCAGTAATATGGATCCATATTTTGATCAATGTGATCTAGAAACTAAATACAGGTTCCTCTTTATAAGAGGTACATTCGTTATGATAGTTAAGGAATAAAACGGGTTACAAAGTAAAAACAAAGGGAGGACGACCAATAAAGAAAAAATGTATTTGCAAAAGGCTGTTATATAATGTCCACATGGCCAAACTTCAAAGTTCCATGAACCAGTGCTAGTCCTCGCCCGCAACCATTAAGCCTAACGTTGGATATCCGGAACTAACAGGAGAACCAAGGAACCCCATGACGGCTGGCTAGTGAAGCAATCCCCCTGGATACTCTTGCTATCGATGCTGTCTGCAGCCCTGTATCGGTGTTTTGACGATCCTAACCTAAGTAAAGTGTGTGTCTAACAAAACCGACGCAGCCGATGCGTGTTTCGTTGGGCTAGTTTAAGTGAGAACGCGGAATATACTGCATATACTTAACTTGAACAATAATTTGAAGCTTGGAACCGACGCAAGTGTAAAGGTTCAGTACACGATCACAAATAAGGGGAAAAATTATACATAAACTGAGCCCAGTGCGCTACCCGTGAGAGGGACATCTCGTTGGGGCGTTACCTTCGAGGCCATCTGGTAACGCAGAAGGCTCAGTGCGCTACCCGTGAGAGGGACATCTCGTTGGGGCGTTACCTTCGAGGCCATCTGGTAACGCAATTATAGTCGCAATTGCACACCCGTGAGAGGGACATCTCGTTGGGGCGTTACCTTCGAGGCCATCTGATGTGCAATTACTCGGACATTAATAGAAATCCTGACGAAAGGAAAGCGAGAGACGAAAGAGAAAAATTTTCAAGAATTAAATAAGTGTGTGAATTTATCTCTCTTGACGCAAACCAATCAAATTAAAGACTTTTCTTCCTTCTGTGGCCGAAGAAGGTCACATAGCACCCATATAGTCCGACGCTAAGACTACTGAACCACACTGAAAACCATATACACACATAGCAACATAGCAACACCCCTCTCTTAACAATAATTGTCACATCATGTATCACACATATAAATATCCATGTTACTTTGAAGAACAAAGAAACACCTTTTCTTTCGCGGACTTGTTGGAAAGGCCCTGCGTGTGAGTACACCCCATAGGCATAGAAGACCTTCTGTATACTTATTTATTCATTTTTGATTCTCGTAGTCTACTTGTATTGTTAGCGAAGTATTCGCACTTCCCCTGTTGTATTATCGTACTTTGTATATTCTGCCGATTGTATTTCGATTATGGTCTAGAGCTGCCATACGATTGGACTATTTTCAACCGTTTATTAAGGTAGTTAGTTTGCTGGAATTTTTGCCGTATCCCTTCTATTTGGCTCACATGGCAGGGCTTTTTCTATCAGGTCCTGTCGCTGTTACTAATCCCCCCTCGACATTACACTTCTCTCTTTACCGTCCAAGTTTGCTTAGAGAGTGTGTATTTTCTTTACGGATTATCTGTATCATCAGTGCCCAAAATGCAATAGCTATACAGTAGGCGCTCGCTAAGCCGATCACTTCTAAGCCGATATTCTCGCTAAGCCGATCACTTTTCAAAATTACCGACCCGGTAAGCATTGAATATCGAGCTTGCTCGGTAAGCCGATCACCGATCATTTCTCTGTGACATATCGGCTTATGTAGACCAATAAAATCATAGTATTTCATCTCTTAATATATCTGAGACATGCGGAAGTCGAACAAGCGATCAAAATGTTTACTGTGTATATAGTATCAACAGACGAAGACCCCACTCATTATATCGGGCTTCGAATTCGATAAGCCGATCATTCGCTAAGCCGATCACTTTTGGGTCATGACCGAGGTGATCGGCTTAGCGAGCGGCTACTGTAATGCATTACGACCCGAAACATTTTGTACTTTATCGAGTACAAAGTCGATAATAGCAGCAATGAAAAAAGCTCAAAGATATAATTATTACCAACACTAATACGTTAATTTCTTACCCTCTCTTTTCTTAGATCTTCTTTGGGCTAATTAGTCAAACCGAGTGATCTCTGCTGTGCTAGCAACCTGGTATATGGCAGGGCGTCCAAGTGACTAACTCAAAATTTAAAAAGCCTTCAAACATTAGCAACGAATTTTGGCACGGAAATTTGTGTGCATACGGTAAGATCACAGAGAACAACGCAATTCAATAAAGCTGTGTCCTTGATGGACGTTAATAAACATATTTATTTTGACTGGGAGTTGCATGTTACAATAAATGTACAAAATGAGCATAGCAACTTATGGTGTATGTGAAGGATGGATGGGTGTATGAGATTGTGACAGAAGGATATATATTAATGAGACACGAGTATGTATGTATAGAGACACGAGTATGTGTGTAATAGAGACAAAAAGTAAAACAGAAGTGGCAGCATCTAATAAGAGAGCATATTTAAATGGGGGAAAAGCGAGATTTATTATTAAATGATACATGAATGACAGAAATGGTAGGATGAATGTTTGAGAAAGACGATGAGAGCAGACGAGCTAGTGCGATTTTTTTGTTTTTTTGACGAAATTTTTGACGCTGTTGTAGACGGCGATTCTTGAGCGGCGGTAGCAATGAATGATGGAGGGACAAGAGTTGAACCGGCCCCAGAAACTGACATGCCTACTCGCGTATTCGTACACAGATTCACAGTATCATCAACAATCGTCTTAGCATTGGCAGCAAGCTCCAGCAGAGATAGCACGCGCCCGGTGTAATCGTCACTGTTGGATATAGGAGCTCGTCTATACGTCGCACTCTTGTAACATATCCCTTCGGCATATTCATATCCATCATAGTGATGCCGTTGCCTAATTGGTATTGGATGTTTTTTGATTAGCTCAACATGAATATAGACACCGTGTATATCAAGTTTTCGTTTTGATGTACATATCATTAACATTGTAGCCGAGGACATGTGCTTTACGGACAATTGCGGATAACATGTCTCTCAGGACCATTGGTAACTTCAACTTTGCGTCGTGAAACTCCTTCGAGTTATCCCGATTCGCTGCTGCTTCTAGGCCACCAAATTCAAGATTGCTCGCAACGTAGATGGTGTCGAGTCTTCTTCCTATTTTTTCGCGCTCAATCTCGTCGACAGCAGAAAGCTTGCGCTTGGAATTTGCTGGCTGACTGGTCTGGCTTCGGTTGGATCGGATGGCTGGTAGAGACCTCTGGGGCATCATCCGGTTGCTACGTGACAACCAACTTAGAACTGGTACGGACAAGGGGAATGCTGCTGCATTGGAGACGCTGGCTTTTTCCATATCTAGAAAAATAGAAGCCCTTATCAATACCGTAATCATATCTCTGTTATTCGCCCTGGTATCAAAGTACACCATTCACTTACCCCAATGCTTCGACCGCTGAATGATGGTAAATGGTGTTTACCAAACTCCACAAGTAGTAGAGCCGATCGGTTTCGAGAAAGCCTTTGGTGTTGGTTTTTGCACCTGGTATGAAAAATTTGGCCGTGTTCATGAGGGTTTGCGAGAGCCAGGCGAGGAGTGGTTGCTCGATTGGGTGGTGGTGTATACCTTGGCCGAACTGATATGCTTCCAACGCCGTCTTCTACATACACATTTGCGATTATCACGAAGCTAAGTCAGCGAAAGAAGTCAAATATATGCAACAGCCACTCGCAGCACCGGGTATACAATAACCTTACCAAACTTTCCATCTCGAAGAACTTTGTTTTAAGCTCGGATGGAAGCTCCCTGATGATTGGATCGCCAAAAGTGCGCAGCTCCTCAAGTTCGTCAGTGTTGAAATATGTTTCCCAGTTGTGATCATCAACATCAAGAATGAATGATAAGGCCGGACTATATAGAATGAATAGTTTGACACAATCCTCTAATAACTATGTCTTTCTCTTTTTTCTTGTAAATGAGATATGGATTAACACTTACTGAGTGTAGTTGAGCGTTTCAATGAAATCTTTCATGCGGCTTTCTACGCTCCATGGCTCAACATTCTCACTTGCTGCTCGTTGCTTAGTTGCTTCCAGAATCCAGCACTTTGCTGGTTCCAGTTGCTCATACAGTTTAACGACACTGTCTTTGTCAGCTTTGGACAGCTTGGTTTTTAGCGTGGGCAGATTGGTAGACGATGAGGGAACAGAAGAAGGCATAGATGTTGATGTAGACGTTGGTGCTGTTGCTGCTACTTCATTACTGTCAGATTTGCTCTGAGTATGTCCTCTACAAAATTCCACGATGGCTGTTTTTTGCTCTAACATTGTACATAGAATAAAAAACGGTCAGTAAACTAAAAAAGATGCGCTTTGAGTTGGCCACGGTTTTTAATATTTAATATAATTCTTTGAAATTTAACTTTTAAAATTAATTAAAATTTTATTTTAAATTACCTGATTATATCTAGATAAATATATTACCAAAAGCATTAAATACCCAAATTATTTTTTATTTAAATTTTATAATTTCTTTAATATTAAAATAAAATTTAAAATTATTTAAGATTAATAAAAATTTGAGTTAAAAATAAAAACATGATCTGTTTTTAATTACATCCAAAATATTAATCAGATTATTAATAATTTTAGGAAGGTGATTGAAGATGAAAAAGATTGTTTATTTATATATTATTAGAGAAAATAAATATAACATAATAGATTTTAATCCTAGATAAATAATAATTATAATAAAAGAAAAATAAAAAGAAATGTAAAAGTTTTGTAGATGATTAAAACCTGAAATTGAAAATAGTATCTGATAATAAGAATATAAAAATACATATATTATTTTAATAACTTTTAAACAATATCTAAAACATTAATTATTTTTCATGTGAAATATGTATAAATAAAGATATTCATAGAATTTGTTGTTCGAATGAAAAAGAAAAAAGAAAATATTATCTCAGGTGATCATATTTATATTGAATAATGTAGATTAAATGGAATTTATTCATAAAAAGTTATTGTTATAAAGATGAAGAAGATGACAATCTTCCATAATTTTATTTGCAAGTATCTATATTGTTTTTTAAATATATAATTGTCATCATTATTTCTTCATAATTAATTCTTATTTACATTTAGATTTTTATATTCAAATACTTTGTTAATACAAATAATTTTGCCAAGAACTTTAAATTTAAATATTATTTTAAAATAATTTATTTTTTATTAGATTATTAAAAAAACCATCTTCTATTAAAAATCGATTAGCCCTTACGTTATTGTACAAAAAAGGAAATAGTTGTGGCTGGCGTTGGTAACTATTGCCCAGCTTACTTTTTTTGTTATATAGCAATTTGTTTCACCTGCAAGCTGTTGTTTTTGCATAATATGAGTTCTCAAGAGGTATTGCCCCGGAATCAGACAACTTATGAACACCAAATGTGTCGCTGGAAGCTTCATTCGAATTCAAATGGAACCAAATTCAGTCGCAAAAATGACTTCTTACAAAAGCCGGGCATTTTACTCATTTTTTAAAATTTTTTTTTTCACAAAAAGCAATCACTCGAAGTTCACACCTGTCGCTGCGGGTCGACTACTCACCAACGTGTTTCTTTCCGTGGATGTCCTTTGAATGAGCGCAATGTCCGGCGCAGACTTCTTGATTCTGAAAATGTATGCACCTGAACTAGCTTATGTTGTCTATTTTTCCTTTCTTATTCCCTTTGAACGTAGGAACAGCAGGAAGACACTATGGATATCATTATAGAGAATCCAGTGGAACAGCAAGCTAGCACCATTGAAGGTATTGCAGCTGCTATACACATAAGGCGTGAGAGAGAGAGAGAGAGAGCAACAGAGAGTGCGTGTTTCCTTGATATAGGCGATCCATGTCATCCTTTAGGAAAAAGAAAGTTTACAAATGAAATTTCGAATAGTTGCTGAGGATAACATTATTGAGGATGAGGACACTCCTGTCAGTGACTCAGCAACCAACGATGATGTGACAACAAGCACCAACACCACTACCAACAATAATAGTACTGCTTCTGTACGCAGTTGCTCTAGATGTGGATCACCCGATCATTCGCGCTCTTCTAACCGCAGCTGTCCTTTCCATCCCGGTAACGTTGAATCCCAACATGGCGCTCAATTCCAAAAAGCCTGCACTATTCCTTTCGTACCTGAACATATTTTCGGTCCAAACATCTGCTACACGCCCGGAACTTCGTATCGTCGTCATATTTTCCCTCGAATGGACACCACCTACTCTTTTTGTCATGCTCGAATGTGGATAGATGAGCGTATCAAATCCTCCTCTCTCTTGAGACCACGCTTTGGCATTTGCTGTACTCATGGAAAGATACGTCTCCCTCTTCCTCGCGCTCCTCCTGCACCACTTCGTGATCTTCTGATCAATCATGATCCAACGGACCGAATAGCTGTGGATTTCCATACCAACATTAGGGCTTACAACAATTTGTTTGCCTTCGCCTCCATCCGCGCCAATTGGGATCGTGATCTGGCAAGTGGAAGAAATGGAGTTTCTACTTTCCGAATTAATGGCACTATGTACCACTGTCTTGGTTCGTTGCGTGCACCTGAAACCGCACAGGCTCAATTCGCGCAAATATACTTTGCAGATGCACAGGAACAATTGGCGAGAAGAACGACGTTGCGTTCTGGATTAAATCCGGACACGATTGCAACTTTGCAACGTGTGATGCAGGAACACAATCCATTTGCATCAACTCTCATGACAGCAGCTGAAACACATGGCGATCAACCCGTGGGATCTATCAGTGTTGTCATTCGTACAGCGAGCGATTTGGGAAGGCGATACGATCAACAAGCTTATCCCGAAGTAGCAGCAATGGTCGTTGAAAATTCAGTCGATGGTTCGGCAACACCGCATGATATCGTGATCCATGACCGCACTGAAGGACTACGCCAAATAAGCTCCCTTCACCCATCCTATATGCCGCTCCATTATGTGCTTATGTTTCCTAACGGTGACAATGGATGGTATCACGGAATGAGGTGTCGATCAGCAGATAACCAAACAGTTACTGTCACTTTGCTCGATTTCTGCGCATATATGCTGATGTTTCGTGGCGATGATCAAACGTTCCATCATCATTTCGGGCGTTTGTTTCAGCAGTTGGTCGTGGACAACTACGCCCGTATTGAGAGTGCCCGGTTGTTTTTCATTTCGACACATCAACAAGATCTTCGTGCTGAATTGTATAGCGGTGTTGGTGACGCTGTGGATCCACGTCAAGTTGGTCGCTCCATCATTCTTCCTTCTTCATTTACGGGTGGACCACGCTATATGAAACAAATGCTTCAAGACGGCCTTGCCATTGTTCGTCAACGTGGAAATCCTACCCTCTTCATCACTTTCACCTGCAATCCGCAGTGGCCAGAAATCGTTGCTGAGCTGCTCCCTGGGCAAAAGGCTTTTGATCGACCGGACATTTGTTCTCGAGTTTTCAACATGAAGATCACCGTATTGCTACACCATATTGTGGACTCGAAGTGCTTTGGTCGGGTTGAAGGGTATTTGGCAACTGTGGAATTTCAGAAAAGAGGATTGCCGCATGTGCATATCCTACTTATTTCAAACGAGCAAGACCGACCCTACACGCCAACTGATTACAACAGATTTGTGTATGCGGAATTACCCGATCCGTTGACTCACCCTCAATTGTATGCAACGGTTACTTCCTGCATGATATATGGCCCTTGCGGAGATGCTGCACCAGATGCTGTTTGTATGGAAAAACAGTCGTTGTTCACAGCATTATCTGAAGCCATTTTCTCCAGAGACACGCGTAAGTCGTGATGGTTATGCTATGTATTGACGACGCCAAAATCAACGCCAGCATACTTTCCAACGAAGCCGATTCACCGCCACCAACCGACACGTCGTCCCCTACAACCCGTATCTTAGCCAAAAGTATGAAGCTCATATCAACGTCGAAACCTGTACCTCTGCTCGAGCCATCAAATATTTGTGCAAGTACATCACTAAGGGATCCGACCGAGTGCAACTTGAAGCGTGAATGTAGACTACTACCACTGACACAGCTGCCCAACCTGATGCCATTAATGAAGTAGTCGAGTATCAGAATGCACAATACATAGGACCATGTGAGGCAGTTTGGAGAACGTTGGAATTTAGAGTACATATGCACCATCCAACCGTAGCGCGCTTAGACATCCATCTGCCTAGCGAACAGCTGATGTATTTTGGGGCGATATGACACCTCAGGAATTCGAGTTAGCTCGCAATGCTGCAGCTACTGGGACCAGGCTACTCGGTTTCTTTGCTCTTTGTGCTCGGGATCCTGCTGCATGCCAGTACATGTATACGCAAATTCCTTGCCACTATACTTGGGACGACCGAAACGATAGATGGAATCCTCGGACCAACCCACCAGTACAGAACGTAGTGTCTCGCATATATGCTGCTTTAATTTCCAACATGCCATTATATGCCCTTCGTCTCCTTCTTTTGCATGTCCGAGGACCAACAAGCTTCGAAGCGTTGAGGACAAAGGATGGGGTTGTATATGCAACTTTTCAAGAAGCGGCCGTCGCCTATGGTTTTTTGGAGTCAGATCTGGAATGGGACGACTGTTTGGCTGAGGCATCCATTACCGCGCCATCCGCAGCTGCAATTCGAGCACTCTTTGTGTATATTCTCATCAATTCATCACCAACCGATCCACTTACCTTATGGAACAACCACCGTGATCGAATGGCCGACGACTACTTTTTCGAAATGCGTAGAACGCTATCACTCTCCAATGAGGATGAGTTGCAACCTGATCAAATCGAGCAAATATATCAACGCGCACTCGGTGATATAGAAATGCGATTGAATTCAACAGGCCACCA